GAGGGGGGAGGAGTTTGTGAGGTGCAGGGGGCGGGGAGATGGAGTGGAGTAGCAGGGTTTGGACGCTGACGGCGGGGGCGGCGGACATCTTTGAATCGTGGTCGATTTGCGTGGAAGATAGTGGACGAGTCGAATGAGGGGCTGACAAGGGGCGAGCTTCAACGAGGAGCGTCTTCGCCATGTTACGCTCGAGTACGACAATGTCGTCGATCGATACGCCCTATATAATGTATACTGTAAAATCTCCTTCCCAGTACGGGAAAGAAGGAGAAGGGGGAGAAAAGAAAAGAGGCAAAGAAAAACTTACAGATGAGGCAACAGAACGACATCATTATTGTCCAGCTCTCTCAGCCCGCCCAAAGACTCTCCGTACGCCGGCTCGAGCACAAACACATCCAGCCCCGCTCGCCTTCCCCAGCTTCGCGCCCTTGAGCGCCTTTTCCAACGCCCGCCCATCCACAATCCACCCCGCGCCTGTTGACCACCACTGCGGTGTCCTTCATCCACCCCAGGCTCTCTCCCCATCAGGTTGCGCGTGCTGTCGATGAGGGGGCAGTGGAGGAAGACGACGTCGACTTGGCGGAGGTCTTCGAGGGAGGAAGCGCGGGTGTGGGGGAGGGGCGTTTGGTAGCGCGCGTTGGAGGAGGTCCAGCGGGTAGGAGGGGACGTGGGGGAGAAGACGACGACTTGACAGCCGAATGCCGTCACGAGCTTTCCCACTTCGTACGAGATATCACCCATCCCGACAAGACCTACGACTTTGCCAAACAGTCCCGGGCTCAGAGCCTTGACTTGATGGACGGCACGCACTCGCCGCTCCTGATCCGGCGGTCGACTTCGAGCACGCGCGGCGGGGAGGACGGTGGACCATGAGGGTGAGGGGGCGAGCTCGGGCGACGACTTTGGCGTTGGCCGCCGGGGACGTTGGTGACGGCGATGGAGGTTGTCGATGCAGGTTTGGATAGGCACGTTGTTCGACGCCCCGGTACCTAGGGTTAAGCGGGGTTAGCGGGGTTAGCGGGGGTTAGCGGGGTTAGCCGGGGGTTAGCGGGGTTAGCGGGGGTTAGGGGGTTAGCGGGGGTTAGGGGTTAGCGGGGGTTAGGCGGGGGTTAGCGGGGGTTAGCGGGGGGGTTAGCGGGGTTAAGGCGGGTTAGGGGGGTTTAGCGGGGGTTAGCGGGGGGTTAGCGGGTTAGGGGATCTCTCTCTTTCGGTCGGTATCACTCCCTGTTGTTCGGTGGATATTGATGCTAGGGGGGGGAAGGGGAGGCGATTGGGATTTTGGAGAAGGTGGGAAGACAGGGAAAGATCATCAGAAAGAGACACGAGACGCGACGTTGAAGGAATGGATCTGAGGGATACGTCTCCCTTGACGAGCGACAAGATCAAAAGTGGACACTCTTGCTGTCGCCATGATGCCTTATCTGACAGCCGTGATCGGATACATACATCTCGAGGATGCACACACCCCATTATACAGCGCACATCGAGGCTCTGATGAAAAGAAGCGAGACATGAGGCAGCTTGTGATGTCAGCAGGGTCTCGACGCGTCTGGTAACTTTCCGGATTGAGCGGTGCCTAGGGTCTCGTTAGGAAATGATTAGAACTCATTATGCGCCGGATTGTAATGTTCGCCCTGAAGTGATTAGAAAATGCACGTGGTGTTTAGAGTTTTTGGGGAGATGGGACGATGGTGGATGCTATTGGTGGCATTGTTCTCTTTCCTTGCGCACTTTCATCGCAGCCCCCGTTCCTCGCCCCCTCCCTCTCCCTCCCCACCCTCTGCGCCCTCAACGGCCATTGGCGACCGCGTACACCCTTCTTCACCAAAAGGACGCTTCATTTCATCTTTGCTACTTTGCTTTTCTTTTTGCCTCTTTTCTTTCGATCAGACTTGGCTATACTCCCCACTCATCGCCTCTCCCTCCCCCCTCTCGCCACCACGATGCTGCGCAACGCGCTCGTGTCCCTCTCCTCCCTCGCCTCCGCCGCCCCTATAGAGGTCATCACCACCACCTTCATCCTCGCCACCCTCACCTACTTTCAGCTCCTCCAGGCCGTAAAGCACTCCGAGTTCTTCAACGTCCCTGCCGTAACTACACCCTCCCGCCCAGCACATCTCGTCCATCTCTCCCACCAGCCCCAGTTTGAAGACGCCCCTTACATCTTGCCCAGCTCGCATGGCGGTAGTTGGTCGAATGCTGGGAGTAGCGAGTACACGGGCGACTGGCAGCCTGTCACAGCTACCGAGTTTAGGAGGATTCTGGAAGAGAACGCGTTGGACGGTGGTTATGTCTTCCCCGTCGAGACGGGGGGGAACACTGCTGGCGAAAAGGCGACTGTGGCTATCGTAAAGCAGATCGTCTTGACTCGGGAGGGCACGGAGGGGTCTACAGAGGAGTGGGAGAAGTGGCTTCTGAACGACCTCAACGTCAAGTACGAGGGTTCGAGCTACACCTACCGGGATCTGTGCTTTAATAGCTCGGAAGTGCCCAAGTTTGTCCCTCACCCTCTTCACCCGTCTCAGTCAACAATCACGCTCTTCTTCCAACCTCCTTCCCCCGGTACTCCCACTATCCCCTTCCTTCACAAGCTCAACCACATCGTCCCTCACCACATCCCCAGCTCCAACTCGACACTTCGTCTCTTGCCCCCCCGCGGCTCAAGCTGGGGCTTTTTGCCGAGCATCGACGGCGTTGGCTTGTTCTCGGGTCTTGGCGATGGCCTGACTGTCGGAGATGAAGAGCCGTATGCTGTTCAGAATGCAAAGTGGATAGCGTTTGCGATGAGTGCGCTGGTCGGAAGGATTTGGACTCTGGCGATGGTACGTCTGATCGTTGTGTGTAGATGACTTGTCGCTGATCATTGTTCAGAATGCCGACTCTGCCGACATCTTTGTTGTCCTCCTGGGGTACATTGTGATGCACGGTGTGTTTGCCAATCTTTTCATCAGTATGCGTAAACTCGGGAGCTCGTTCTGGATCCGTGAGTCATTTTCTTATTGTTCTCGCGCCACACTCAAGATCTGACATTTGTATAGCCATTGCCACCCTCTGCTCATCTACCGCCGCCTTCCTCGTCGCTCTCCACGCCGCCTATCTCCTCGACATCCCCGTCGACCCCATCTGCCTCTCCGAGACCATCCCCTTCCTCGTCATTACAGTTGGCTTTGAGAAACCCTACCAACTTGCCAAGGCCGTCTTGCAGAACCCCGATATCGACCCCGTCCCCTCATCTCCCGAGCTCTCTCCTACCGACGACAAGAGAGACTCTTCCCTCGGCTTGGACTTGGGCGCCTTGCACAAGGAGCTCGCACCTTTGGAGAGGCTTCAGCGATTGGCGGAAGGCAAAGTGAAGTGGGTTGCGCCGGTGGCTGCGAAAAAGATTGTAGTGGACGCTGTCAAGAACAACGGTGTGCGGATTGTTAGGGATTACGCGTTGGAGATTATCGTGCTTTGTGGTGGTGCTGCGAGTGGCATCGGAGGGCTGAGAGAGTTTTGCTGGCTGGGTGCGTTCTCTTCTACTTTTTTCCCGGACGAAACTGACTTTGCGTTAGCCGCCCTTATTATGGCTGTTGACTGCGTTTTTCTCTTTACGTTCTACGCCTCCATCCTCAGTATCATGGTCGAAGTCCATCGAATCAAACTCATCCGCGGCAACCGACGAGTCAAGTCTGTCAAGCGCGTCTCTAGCTCTACCTCCCTCGCCGACAGCGCTTCCTCCTCCCCCACCGTCAAGGGCTTCTGGTCTCGCTCTACGTCCCCCGACAAGGAGGACCAGCCCGAGAACCCGGTCGTCCGACTCAAGCTCCTCTTGATCGTCTCCTTCCTTGTCCTCCACATCCTCAACCTCTGCACGACCCTTACCGAGCAGACCTCGTTGAAGCGACACTCTACCCACTCTGTCCCGCAGATCACCTCCCGTGCTCTTCTCGACCCTCGCAGCGCTAGTCTTTCGCCCGTACTTCAGGCGCTGTACGACAACCAGCCCGCCGAGACCGACATGGCTATCCAGATCATCCCCCCTACCCAAATCATCATGACCAGCGACAACTTTGTCCCCTCCCGCATGTCCTCTTTCGACCACTTCATGTCCGAGTGGACCTCGCTCGTCGGCGATCCCGTCGTGAGCAAGTGGATCGTCGTCTTCCTCGGTATCAGCATCATGCTCAACGGCTTCTTGTTGAAGGGTATCGCTTTGAACTCTATGGGAGGGAAGGGCCCGGTGGCCGCTGCTGCTCAGGCGCTTGTCGGTATATTCGATGCGGAGAGAGGTCAGAGGGCTTTGAGGGAGACTACGCCGAGGGGGAGGAACAGCGCTCTACCGGCAACTGCTCTTCGCGCGCCTTCCAACGTCCGCGATGGCGATTCCACCCCCCGCGTCGACGACTCCAAGACCAACGGCAGCATCCCCATCATCCGCGAACCTACCGCCCCCTCTCCTCCGTCTGCTGCTTCCCCCGACGACGGCATTCTCACGTTCGGTCGAAGGTCTTTGGAGGAGTGTATCGAGGTGTACGCTGGCGGTGTTGGGGTGAACAATTTATCGGATGAGGAGGTTATCCTGTTGGTGCAAAAGGGCAAGATTGCGCCTTACGCGCTGGAGAAGATTCTCAAGAACCTCGAGCGGGCTGTGCGGGTACGACGAGCCGTCATCTCTCGTTCGAGTCTCACAAAGTCTCTCGAAGCTTCCCTCCTCCCCATGAATGACTACGACTACAAGCAGATCATCGGCGCGTGCTGCGAGAACGTCATCGGCTACCTCCCCCTCCCCGTCGGTATCGCCGGTCCTCTCAACATTGACGGTCAGCTCCTCCATATCCCCATGGCTACCACCGAGGGTACCCTTGTCGCTTCTACTTCTCGAGGCTGCAAGGCTCTTAACGCCGGTGGTGGTGTCACTACCGTGTTGACGCACGACGCGATGACTCGAGGACCCGCTATCGACTTTCCCAATATCGCCCAAGCCGCTGCCGCTCGTATCTGGATCGACTCTCCCGAAGGCTACGGTACTCTCAAGGCCGCTTTCGAATCCACCTCCCGTTTCGCCAAGCTTCAAACGCTCGAATGTGCTCTTGCAGGTCGTACGCTGTACGTCCGTTTTGCGGTTCAGACCGGTGATGCGATGGGCATGAATATGATTTCGAAGGGTACCGAAAAGTCGCTCGAAGTCCTCCGCGAACGCTTCCCCGACATGCACGTCCTCGCCCTCTCGGGCAACTACTGCACGGACAAGAAGCCCGCGGCTATCAACTGGATAGAGGGACGAGGAAAGAGTGTCGTCGCGGAGGCGGTGGTACCGGGACACGTCGTGAAGAGTGTATTGAAGACTACGGTGAAGGATTTGTGCAACTTGAACATCAAGAAGAACTTGATCGGAAGTGCCATGGCGGGTAGTATTGGAGGTTTCAACGCGCACGCTGCCAACATTCTGACTGTGAGTATTCTTGTCTTGTAGTCGAATGATACTGACGTGATTAGGCAATGTACCTCGCATGCGGTCAAGATCCTGCCCAGAACGTCGAGAGTTCCAATTGTATGACTTTGATGGAGCCGTAAGTACTTTTCCCTTCCAGCCTTGACGCTATCTAACACTCTTTTAGCATTAACGACGGCGAAGACCTTCTCATCTCCTGTTCCATGCCCTCTATTGAAGTCGGTACCGTCGGCGGCGGCACCATCCTCTCCCCCCAACGCGCCATGCTCGACATGCTCGGCGTCGCCGGCGCCCACTCCACCACCCCCGGCGCCAACGCTCAACGACTCGCCCGTATCATCGTCGCCGCCGTCATGGCCGGCGAGCTGTCCCTCATGGCAGCGCTCGCGGCCGGTCACTTGATCCAGGCGCACATGAAGCACAACAGGAGCGCGCCAGTCACGCCGGGAGCTGTTACGCCTTTTGGAGGGATCACGCCTTTGAGAGAGAGTGTATTGATTAATGGGCCGCCGCCGAAGAAGAGTGATGAGTTGAGAGTGGTGCAGTAGTGGGGTTTGATGTCTCGGCTGCTGCAGAGGGAGGTTGGCGTTCTTATGGTCTCGGCATCATCTATCTCTAGCATCATTATATACCCGTAATCGCGACCCTGGTCGTCCTATACTTTTTCTCATTCATGTTCTACAATGTCGTTATAACTCGATCATGAGACAACATGCATCTTAACGTACACGTCCATCGGCTATCCTCGGACGGCTACAAGTTGATGAGTCTTGTACTCCTTGCGCTGTCCGAACCATTATGCTGCCTGGGATTTATCATGGAATCATATGCATCTAAACGTACACAAATCGGGCCGGGTAAAGACATATAAAGCTACCAAAAGAAACCCAAAGTAAACAAACTACGCCTTGCTCTTGACCTTCTTCACCTTCTTGCCGACGACAACCTCCTTGGCCCTCTTGCCCGCGCTACCAGATCCGACAGTCGACGACTTCTTCTTGGGCTTCTCCTCAGCAGAGGCAGCGGCCTTGGCGACCTTCTTCTTCTCCTCCTTCTTCGCGGCAGGGGCGGCGGCTTTGACGACGGGCTCGGGGGTAGCTTCCTTCTCCTCAACCTCCATAGCTCCCTCCTTCTCGCCCTTCTTCGCCTTCTCCTTTTTCTCAAACCTTCCACCAAGCGCGCTCGTCCAAACAGGAACCATGACCGATCCACTCGTCTTCACTCCGACGCTCAGCACACCATCCCATCCGCCCTCAATATGGGCGACGATCTGAGGAAGAGATTCAAGAAGGTTGGCGAGGGTCTGGGCGGGGGTGGTGATGGAGGGGGTGGAGAGGCGGGTAGAGGTGGAGGTACCAGTGGAGGGGTGGAAGTAGGTAGAGGAGATGGCGCGGCCGAGCTCGGCTTTGAGGTCTTTGCGGGCGAGGTTGACGGGGATGGGTTGCCTACATGACAGTCAGTAGCGTTCAAGAGGAAGAACAATTCCAGGACTCACTTCTTGGCTTCAAAGAACATCTTGCCCAACAACTTGGGCATCAACGGCACCACTCTGTCATCACACAAAAACAACTCGTGATCCCTCATCAACTCCCTCCTCGGCTCGTAAGGCTTGAACTTTCCCTTCAACTTCTCCACGCCGACCACTCGGGCAACAAACTTGATGTTGTGGGTAGCGAGGAGATCCTTGTACTCTCTTTGGGGGTCCTTGACGATAAGGCAGACGGAAGTCGCGGGGGGGGGGCGAGGGGAGGGTGGGGGAGTTGGCTATACCGGTCGTCAGCTCTCGTCCAAAACTTGAATCGCGAAACTTACATCCTGACGGGCATGACACTCCGTCTGGTAGTACCCTGCTTGGTGTTGACGACAACCCAGACATGCTCCTCCTTCGGCAGAAGCTCCTCTTCCTCCTTCTTCGCGGCGACCTTGGTGTGGTGGGCGATGAGCGCCTTGACAGCCTTCTCGGCTTGAGACTTGTCGAAGCTGGCGGGAAGGGGCACAGGGGCGCGGGGCTGGGGCTGGGGCTTCTTGCCCTTCTTGGCGGGGGCGGAGGTGGATGCGATGGGGGCCATGGTGTGCGTTTTGGAGCGATTCACAGCGAGACGCAGGATTTCGAAAACAAAGATCAAGAAAGATTTCAGCCAGGAACGATGCGGCGGGGAGCGCCGCTTTCACGTGACATGGAAGGCTCTGTCCGTCAACGTCGACGGGAATGGTCTTTTTGCATGCATGTTTTGACATAGGAGTGGCATGTCATGTAGTAGTAGCGAGATAATAGAATGTTATGCCAATTTCTCTCTGCCCCATGTTCACATCGCGCTGTTTGAGTCGGAAAGACGCCTGCCCCGCGTTGAGAGCTTTTGGTGGTTCAACATTCGGTTGCGGCCCTCGGGCACTCAGGAAGCCAGCAAAGCACACAGTCATGTCAATGAATTACCAGCTACATGACCGGGGGATAGGCTATTCGAATTGATTAGACGTTTTTCTGTCGGCGTCAGACATCGGAGTCAGCACCATCCACAGGCCATTCATTGTGATGGACATCATTCGCGTCATTTATGCCACAGCGGCTCGGCCACGGTGTCCGATTTCGAAATATTGTTGATTGTTATCAATCTTGAGATTTTCAAACTTCGTGCGCTCCTGTAAGATGGTGTAAAAAGCTTTAGATTCGTCGATTACAACACCAACATCACCCTCGATGTACTATCGTTACCCCCTCTGTACATTCTGCGAGCGGCGCTTTGTGCTCGAATGGAGGGCTTGCTATGTACACGCTGAAGTATCGTTCACACTGTAGCATACATCAGGTTTGAAAGCTCCATTGCGCGGCCTCGCGTGGGACCGCACGAGCTTACATTACGACACCAGCAGGTAGGCTGCTGCTGACGTTGATGGAGGACGGCATCTCTGCAGTACTCATACGGATCATAGCGTCTATCAAAACATATGTCTGATAAGTTACCGATGGACCAAAAGTATAGACACATATATGAAGAGCCCCGGACGAACATTTGCATGTCGAAATCCCCTCTCGATTCAATCTCATTATTGATCTACTTATCGATAACTCGTAATGTATCTCGAGAAATGCCTACTCCACATCGCCTCCAGATCTGCGGTCATATCCGGCTGATTCAAGACCAAGGCGTTTCCGTGATCCGTGACTGGATATCTATTGCTGTAGGTCGCAAAGTCGGGGTATATGACCGTGGCATTCCTCCTACCTTCATCCCTTTCGGCCAGGTCGCAAGCTGCAGTAAGCTTATCGTTGGTGTCAGATACTAGCTGATCGTGTTGCTGCTCAAACGCTTCAATAGTGGCGAAAGACATATTGGTCGGTGCGTCTCGATTCGACCAAGCATTATCCCAGTTAGACCTCCAATACGATCTACTGATGTCGTCCGCCAATTCCGCAAGTTTGGTCATTTGGTCTTCGTTCGGCTCATCGCCGGGTGCCCAGACTGGCTTGACCTTCCATACAGGCATGTAAGCCATATACTGATCGCCCTCTTCGGGATTCGTAATGATGATGTGAGAGCAGGCTGCAAGCTTCACAGAGGTTGAAGGAGTAGTCGTCGACATGATGAAAAATGGTTGGGAAGTAGTGATATGGATTGATCGTCGTTTTGGCGGGGGATATATATGCCTCTCGCTAGGATACGATACTCTCGGCTTGTACGACAAAGGTACGTTTCACCCTGTACTCCGCCGTCCCTCCGATATTCATATTAAAATGCGTTCTTTTGACAGGCTTTCATAAAGCTGCAATAACTTCCGCGAGAGTTCATCAATCGCCCCGACGGATTGATCGAAGAACTTCCGACCACTGTAAAAGCTCATTTGAGCAATGGGTTGTGCTTCTTTTGAAGGGAGGCGTGTCGGAGCCCTCTTGTACAGTATTGTGACGGTAACACCGTTCCCATGTTTCGAACCATTCAGCACACATTCTCGAGGAGAAAAACGTCTGCCTGGATTGGTGTCTGACCGGACCATTGTCAGCGAATCGACGCCCGTCTAGCCGTCCGTGGGTCACTCTGCAGGTACGAGTGGCCTTGTGTGAGCGAATTGGCAAGATCATCCATCTGACTGACTGTGGGAGGATCAACAAGTAGCCAGGTGCAGTGGTTGGATCAACTTCAGATCGGGCCGAAGGCCATGAGGACATTGTCGATTGGACGTGTGCGTAGGTTGAAGATCGCGCTGAAAGAGATATGTTGGGGGTAGCTTATGGTGAAAGAGGTTTCAGCGGGGGAAAGCAAAACTACTTATAATGCGTCGGCGTACTGAGCGCTGAGGAATGTCAGCGGAGGAAGGATGTTCTCGTCGTCGTCCATCGGTCTTCTAGCCCCTGTTTTTCGATGAAAAGTCAATTACCCTTCTTTGCTTTCTTCCCCCTACGATGATATTGCTCATATCCTTGATCTAGTGGAGAAAGACAGTACATCGTTCTGCTAAGATTGACGCGCCGCGCTACACAATCGACCAGCAATCGACGCACCATGCAAAGGCCATTCACACGCCGCACCATCGCTTTGTAAGAGTCGGGAAACCGTTTTTTGTATGATTGACGCACACACAGTCGAGCAGCAGTCGAGCTTTTTAAGCTCTACCTTCAGCAAGTCCCTTCTTGAAAAATTAAAAAAGGTTGTTAGGAAAACATAACAGCTACTTCCCATCCGATGGTCACGTGATGGAGTTGGTCACCATACCTGTCTAACAAGTTAATCTTGCTCTTCACAGGAGGTCGGCGGTTCGATCCCGCCCGGGATCATTACATTTTTGCCTCTCCAACCCGTCGAGCAAGCGGGTATTTGGAGGAGCGAAGATGACGGCGAAAGGAAAGAGGACATGATGCGATCTATATATTTGCTACTTCAGAGGGGTGAAATAGACCCGATGAGACCACTTTTTCACCAAGATCTCTGATCCCTTACCTCTCTAAGCCGTCTATCATGAGTAGGATATCTTTTTGGGTATCAATATGTGTACAGTATGTCGTTCAGGAAGACCAGAGAACATGAACCCGGAGAAAGTGAAATACATGCATCAACGCACTGAGAAACATCCCTCCCACTGTGTCACATACATCCTCCAGTGCCAATCTACCTCCTGCCGATACCAACGAAGCTCCAAGCTGCTGACGCGAATATCTTTTGCGAGTTAACGGCGTTTGCCGCATCTCCACTATCTTGCACGTGGGAGCCACGCGACTCACCTCGGGGCTTGCTCGGCCCCTCCACATGTCCGATGGTGGAGGCGCGTCTACGATGATGCAAATCGGGACAGCCCAACGTATATATTAAAGCAGCGACCAATGTCCCTTCTGCATCCCACCAGCTTCCCTATTCTACAGTCACAAACAGATCAGCCCCAACAAGCTCTTTCCAAGATGGCTTCTATCCCCACTACTACCGTTGCTGGCAAGACCGTCGGCCGTGTCGGGTGAGTAATTTGTGGATGTGTTTACCCAGAGCTACTTTAAATGCTGATATGCCCCGCAGCTTCGGACTCATGCAGCTCACATGGAACCCTAAACCCCCTTCCCAGGAAGTGTCTTTCGCCGCCATGAAGTAGGTCCACCCCCTCCCTCACCCAAGAATCGAAAGCTGATGATCCACCCAGGGCCGCTGTCGACGGCGGATCCAACCTCTGGTCCTCTGCGTCGTTCTACGGTAACCCCGGCGACAACTTTGCCAACATCAAGCTCATCGCCGCCTTCTTTGCCAAGTACCCGGAATACAAGGACAAGATCGTTCTCGTGGTGAAGGGCGGTGTCAACTATACAAACCTCCATCCCATTGCCGAGTGAGTCATCCTCCCCATCCCAACCAGAATAACAACGCTGACCCGGATGTAGCATCGACTACTGGCGAAACGAGATCAAGCAGATGCAAGAGATCCTCGGAGACAAAAAGCTCGACGTTTTCTCCCTCGCTCGCCTTCCCGACGCCCCAGTTGAAGAAGTGTTTACCAACCTCAAGACGCTGAAGGACGAGGGCTTGTTCGATGGCGTGGCAGCTAGTGAGCTCGGCGCCGAATCTCTTGAGATCGCAAACAAGGCACGTCATCTCTGTCTCTTTCTCTCCCGACTAATGTCCAACCTGCACCCAGATCACCCCCCTCGCCATCAACGAAATCGAAATCTCCCTCTTCTCCTACGACACCCCCATCCGCGACGCCATTGCTTGGCACACCAAGAACAAGATCCCCGTATTCGCCTACTCTCCCCTCGGCCGCGGCTTCATCACCCGTACCTACAAGTCCCCCGAAGATATCCCCGAAGGCGACTTCAAGCGCATGCTGCCCCGTTTCCAGGGCAAAGCGTTTTATGAAAACTTGAAGCTTGTTGACAAGCTGGATGAGATTGCGGGGCGGAAGGGGGTGAGTGGGAGTCAGGTTGCGTTGGCTTGGATTGTGGGATTGTCTGAATACGTGAGTGTTGAATCTCCTTCATCTCCCCAGTTCCCCTACCTCACCCTCATCCGTTTCCTGTCTCTATCTTGATCTCTATCTTACTCCCATGTCTCCCATGTAGACGATCCCCATCCCCGGCTCCTCCAACCCCACCCGTATCGCCCAAAACATCCAATCCGCCTCCATTTCTCTCTCCTCCGCCGAAACCAAAGAGATCAACGACTTCCTCGACGCTTTTGAAGTGCAGGGTACGAGGTATCCCGGTGCGGCCATGGGTCAACTTGTGAGTAGATTTCTTTTTCCTCCACGATGAGGGTAGCGCTGATGAGTGGTGTAGATGAAGTAATGGCGGGCAAAAGGATCAGAAGTAGGCTATGCGAGTAATCTTTGTAGCAGCAGTCAAATGTACACGTACGACCGCATCTTCGAGCAGCATCATATATACAGCGCCTTAGTCCTAATTACCAATGAGAATACTGCTGGGTATCATACTTGAATGATATATAGCGCCACGTCTAACGACGCTCGCAAGAAAGGGCAGAAGGCTGCTCGGTGCTGCATAAGCGTGCAATGACTATCTGCTATCTGTTATAGAATGCGGGTCAGGGGGATTTAACGTACTACTGTGGCAGCACATGGGCAATGCCCGCCGGCCTTTACTACCATCCCCGGCGCGGGTGCGTTCAACAATACATACCGCCGTGGGGCCTATGGGCGGCGCTGCCGAGGGTTTGACCTTGCCCGGTGTTGAGAAGGTCTTGCATGAGATAGAAGGTCGGATTGGAGAGGGAGATGATGGGAAGGAAGGGGAATTGGAATTGAAGGACAGGTTTGCGAGGCTGGGAAGGAAAGATGGGAAAGCGGGCCGGGGACGCCGGCACCTGCTTGGCACCTGCTATGCCTAACGAAGCGTTGCTCAACTTTGTAGGTCCCACGCCGGACGTACTGAAACGTCTAGCTGACAGACTTGACAGTTCCAGGGCTTGCTGGTGACAGGGGCAAGACGGGAGGTGGTGCTGCTGGGACTCCTACCAAGGGTACCAGTGCTGAAGGGGCGGGGAAGGGCAAGTGGGCAGATGTGCAGAGGTTCAGACATTTGGCCGACTGGAGGGATCCGTACAACGACCATGAGAACCATTCATGCAAACTTGGCTTCTCTTCTCGTTCTTCCATCATGTTCGCAAGCTGGCTATTGCTTCTCGAGCGCATCTGTGGTCAGACTCGGCCATAGACCCGACACCATAGTAAATCACTTCAGACGCCTGAGGCCGACGCCCAACCCACGCGCACGGTCTTTCTACGCCGCGTCCACGCTGCAATCAGACAAGCCTGGTATCCATGAGTGAAGGGAAATGCTCAAAAGTTACATGATACTAGAAATGAATGTCCATAAATTACATGACATTAGACCGCCAGCACCCAGCCCTCCCATTTCCAACACCTACCCCCTCCCCAGCGCCCCAGCCAAATTTTGCCGCCCGCGCGAGCAACACATCCACCTTCAATGGCGTGGCCACCACGAAGTTGACCCCAAGCCCTGAGAGGTAGTCGAGGTACTCGGCGTGAGTCCAGTGGTGCCGGGGAAGGACTTTCTCGGCCTCGGTGTAGATGATAGGCTGGTCATGGATGGCCGTTTCGTTGAAAGACGATCGGTAGCCGTACGCCTCCAGTACCGATTCCCTCCTGATATCACCCGGGGTGTTGGAGCCTGGACCAGGAGTCATCGGGTGGCGGTGGAACGCTCGCGCCATCATAGGTTACTTGGTGATTTCCTGCCACCACCCAGCTCTCCCAACCCCGACACCTATCCCCTGCCCAGTGCTCCACCCCAGCCAAATTTTGCCGCCCGCGCGAGCAACACATCTACCTCCGTGGGCGTAGCCAGCACAAAGGTGACGCCAAGCCTCGAGAAGTGGTCGAGGTAGTCTCCGTGGGTCCAGTTTTCGCGGGGAAGGACTTGCTCGGCAGTGGTGGAGAAGACAGGATTGGGAGGGATGGCCGTATCAATGAACGTACCATCGGCAGAAGCCTTCTGTTTGACAGACAAACACCATTCCTCTACACTGACTGGACGTTCAATCTCGAAACATGAGGATATTGTCGAAAAGGAAGACGGCGAGGGTGATGGAGTTGCAATCATTGCAGGACTGAGGGGCAAGTACTCGGTCGGTCCTAGATTCAAGTCAGACTAGAGCACCATCGAGACGAAGCTGAGAACTCACCAGAGACATCGGCCCTTTTCTGTCTTTTACTAGACGACACCACTGCCTCGGAGGTATCCGTGTCGATGACGTGCTCGAGGGAACGGTTGTCGATGGGAGGATCTGGGACGGTCTCCGGATGATGGGTAGCAAGGGCAAGGTTCAGATATACAGTGGCATCAAGGCGCTCCTTAGCCTTTGGGTCCAAGCTCCAATCCTCGTATTTTGCGATGAGGGAATTCGGTGCTTTCCACTGGATGCCAAGAAAAGAAACGCCTGCCGCGAGTTCGCCAAATTGCTCTGGGGACAGGCAAGGAAGTCTGTGGTGCCTCAACTTGGCGACAACATCTGGATGGGCTTCGACCAAGATTCTCCGGCCACCGTCTCCTCCCAGAGTCACGCCCTCCAAAACTACCTCTTTTCCTTCTGGCCCCAGGTGAGACAGGTTCAGGATACGAGTAAAATTCCCGTTGACCAATGCCATAGCCGAACGACACTTTGAGACGTGATAGGCTAGTAGGCTGTAGAAGGATGTCTGAGCGATAGCCTCCATGTTTGTGAATTGGAGGCTGTCGAGGTGTAGATTGATTTTGCCTTTCGGTTCCATACCGCTCGCCTTTGGCCAATGTTCCCACTTGTTCTCGAGGGCAGCGTAAAGGACTTTTTGGGGATTATCGTCATGGACCGATACTCTGTCGCCCTCGGGTTGTTTTGGATACGTCCCTTCCGCGACCTTTCCAATGAGATACCCTGTTAGACAGACATCTGGCAGTATATGGCCCAACTTCGTCGACAGCTGGGAAGCACCCTTTTTCTGGGATGCACCCTCGGATTGACGCTTCTGACGCTGTAGAAGCTGATCAGCCACAATATCCGGGGCACGGGCGATACTACTCACTTTCACTTCGGTGTCATGATTCCTGATACTTCGCACAGGCGGCAGATTCACAAAACCTCCTTCCAAGGGCAGATAAAAAGAAGTTTTGTTGAAGTTCACGTTCGTTTTCCAGCTAGTATGGTATACAACACTCGGAGCAACATAGAATTGATGCAGATAACGGAGAACGTGGTCGTCTTGGAATTCGGTCTCGTCGTCGATCTGGGGATAGCATTGGGCCCAAAATGAACCCATAGGAAGTCGGTCGACAGATTTGTATGGGTTGATCGTGAAGGAGTTGGGATAGTGGTTGGTGATCGCAAGGTTGTACGGGACCAACCGCAGAGGACCGCCGAGATCCGCATTCGCGGGATGTCCGAGACCAGAGGGGTACGCGTTGGGGACAGAAGATTGCGAGGGGGGTGGGGCTGCGGGAGCTGTGCCTTTGTGTGGTGCAGAGCTGGCGTGCGAAGCTGTAGCAGTGTCGGTAGGAGGATTCGTGGGAGGAGTGACGGCAGAGACGTCCCAGATGGAGCGAAAGATCCCTGAGAGCGGATCGAGGATTTGGTTCACTCTGTACGATGATTAGAAATTGATCAATACAGACACTACCCAGGCGCTCACAACTGCGGGGCAGGCGTCGGACCCCCCGCCTCTGAAGAGGAGTCTAGAGCGGCCATGGAGAAGTGAAGTTGGGCCACGCGGTTGTATGAGAGGAGAGAGGCGACGGCGGATAGGGGGATGGATGAGAACAAAAAGACAACAGAAAGAGAACAAAAAGAGAACAAACAACAGGAATGCGGTGCGTGCGAGTGGCAACAACGAAGGCTTGCGCGCGATCAAACACGTGGCACCGCATCTTTCAACTTGACATCGTTTTCAAGTGCATTCCAACAACCGTCTTACATTCTGTTGGCCTTGATTGAATTGTCCTGCCCCTGACAGTCCCATTTGGCTAGATGTACACACATAAGTACGTACTGCGTACGTGTACGAACGTCAGTCGGTATGACTAGATATGGTAATACGGACGTTGCGACATTCCGCCTGCACCCGACATTGCAGCCCTCAGCCTTCTCAGAACGATGACCGTCTTGCCAAAGCCTCGGTATAGCTAGATTGTCCATGCACATCTACTCTTGCTTATGACACCACCAGCAGAGAAGCAACACGATGATGCGACGCGGACAAGCCGCCACACTCGGGCGTCGCCCCGCTGGGGCCGCTGGCTTCTTCCTATTCTTGCTCTGACTCTTGTGCGACGAGGAAGAGTTTGATCGCATGCTTGGCAGCATGCTTAGGTTCCTGTTGGATGTTCATGTACGCAAGGAGAGGGGCTTGTGTCGAGCCAGCCACACAAGCAGCCACAACGTAGCATCCAGGTGGGGTTACGTAAGGTCCCGGAACACCGTTCGTGCTGCTGCGCTGCGATGACGATGGTCTCCTTTGTTCGCGATCCCCTCTTAATCCCAACCCCTTCTATCCCAAGACAGGCTGATACTACAGGCGGCCCTTCCCGCCACGATGCTCCTCCCTCTCGCCCTGCTCGCCCCGCTGGTGGTGTCTGCGAGCTACGGCTCCCTCCGCCCCCGATCCGGCCAGCCCAGCCAACAACTCGCTGCCCTTAGGGACGATATCTCCCCCCTTCACCCCAACTCACCTTTCGTACGCCCTCCCATCCCTCCGTGGGACTGCACTGACAAACACGCAGGCCCCACCCCGGCGGCGACCCGGCACCACCCCGCCCGGCTGTCCTCCCTGTTTCAACTGCCTCCTCCCGGCCTTCAACTGCGGTAACGGCGGTGAATGTAACCCCTACGACGGGCAGTGCAAGTGTCCTCCAGGTTTCGGCGGCCAAGATTGCCTGACGCCGCGTAAGTGCTGCCGATCCATCCTCCTTTGCGTTCAGACTGACAGGGGTTAGTCTGCGGCGCACTGTCGGATGGGGATGAGCGGTTCCCGAGGGAAGATGGGGAGCTTTGTGATTGTAAAGACGGCTGGGGCGGTATTAACTGTAACGGTGCGTATCTCTCTTTGAGCGAGGGACAAGGCTTACACGTAGGCAGTCTGTAAGAACGATGGCGCCTGCGCTGGCTTCCTCCCCCGATCTGAAGGCGCCGAAGATGGCGAAGACGATATGGTATGCTACAAGGGCGCCCTGGCCGTACGGGAGAATTTCCAGATGTGCGATGTCACCAGTACGCCTCCCTCATCCCCCTTTTTATTATTTCTAACCAAGATGTAGACCGAAAGATCATCGACACGATCCCAAACAACAAGCTCCCCCAAGTAACATTCTCCTGCTCCGCCAACGGCCCTTCCTCCAACACATCCTACACCCCTCCCCAATCCCCCTTCTCCTCCCTCGATACCCCGTTCCAGCCGGACGCTATCGGTACTTGCGCCTTCCAGTTTTGGGTGGACAGGATCGAGAGTTTCCATTGCGAGTTGAAAGGGTGTAATTGGCAGAATAAGGCAGAGGTGGATACCAACCAGACCAGTTATCAGTGTGAGACTATCGAGTGCAGTTGTATCCCCGGCAGGTTCTTGTGCGGTGAAGACGGCAGTGTCAGTAAGTCCTCCCCTTCTTCCCTATCCCCAAAAGTGCCACTCTGACAGGTGTGTAGATATCGACGACTTTTTATCAGAAGAAGTCAAAGGCCCCGGCTCCTTCAACTGCATATCCGGCAAAGGCTGCTCTTTCGAAGAACCCGCCATGAACCAGCTCATCAACGACATTTTCGGCGACAAGTCTATCACTCTCGATTGCGATGCTGGTGAATGTCTGCACTACACCCAAGTGCCAGGCTACGTCCAACCGGAAAAGCCTGATAATAGCTCGATGGTAGCTCTAAGTGCTGCTTTGGCGGCGGTGGTGTTTGTTCTGGCTTCCATCTGTACGTCTTTTTCCCCTCCCCCCCTCTCCCCCTCTCCCCCTGTCCCCCTCTCCCGGGATGTCAGAGAGGACAAGACTGACGAAGAGGGTAGTGATATGGTACACCGGCCGTACCCGCAAACACACCCCCGGCTTTGGCGAGGTCCACCTCCCAGAAGACGAAGCCGCCAAACTCATGTTTGACCACGTCCCCGCCACCCTCCACTTTTCCAACATCACCTACGACCTCCCTCCTCCCCTCTTCTCCTCCTCCTCCTCCTCCTCTGGTACCCGACTCTTGTCGCATGTTACGGGCACTGTCAAGCCTGACGAGCTGTTGGCCATCATGGGCGCTTCCGGCGCCGGTAAATCGACTTTACTGGATATCCTTGCCCGCAAAGCCAAGACCGGGCGCGTCCACGGAGAAATGTACCTCAACGGCCGTACCATCGAAGACGAAGACAATTTCCGGCGCATCATCGGCTACGTCGACCAAGAAGATACCCTCCTCAGCACGCTTACAGTGTACGAGGCTGTGCTCTATTCTGCGCTTTTGAGGCTGCCGAGGGATATGAGCTATGAGGCGAAAGTGTTCAGGACGCTGGAGACTATGAATGAGCTGGGGATTTTGGGGATCAAAGATTCGAGGATCGGCGAATCTGGAAAGAGGAGTATCTCGGGCGGGGAGAAGAGGCGAGTGTCGATCGCTTGTGAGCTCGTGACCGGCCCCTCCATCCTCTTCCTCGACGAACCCACCTCCGGCCTCGACTCTTACAACGCCCACAACGTCATCCAATCCCTCCAGCAGCTCGCCAAAGAATACAAACGCACCGTCATCTTCACCATCCACCAGCCCCAATCCAACATTGTCGCCCTGTTCGACCGGCTGCTCTTGTTGGCCAAGGGGCAGGTCGTCTATTCGGGGGAGACGGGGAAGGCGCAAGGGCATTTTGAGGGGTTGGGGCATGTTTGTCCACAGGGGTACAATATTGCGGATTACCTTATCGACCTGACTGTCGATGCTGCGGGCGATCACCGTCAAGCGCAAACGCAGACGCAAGGCCACCCCACCAGCCGGCTGGAACAAGATGCCGAAGCGGGCTTGCTCCCATCCGGCTCGACTCCCAGCACACAGCTGGCCGAGAGCGAGGTCTCCTCCGCCCCAAGCGGCGGGGTGATTGGGGAGATCAAGAACAAAGCGCAACAACTCCTCGGCGCATTCACAGTCCCCTCGTCCCTTCCCTCCTCTGGGGCCTCCACCCCCACGTCCAAGGACACCATCCCCCGCATCCCCGAAAAACTCGCTTCCCTCATCCTCGCCTCCCGCGCCAGCGACGACGCCAAAATCGTCGAAGCTGAAATCACCCGTATACAATCCGGCGGTACCCCCGACGGAGGGGACGGAGCGTTGGATGGGAGTAGGGATGTGGAGGAAGAGACGGGGTTGTTGAAGGGATACAAGAAGGCGAGTCTTTGGACGCAGTTTGTGTTGTTGAGTGAGAGGGCGTTCAAGAATCTTTACAGGTACGTCTTCTTTCCCTTCTTCTTCTCGTGAGCGTGGGCGTGGGCGTGGGCGGAGGCTGATGAGGAGTGTAGGAATCCGATGTTGATGGCCACGCATTACGCCGTGGCAGTCCTCGCGGCGTTGCTCTGTGGATTCTTTTTTTACCAAGTTACGAATGATATCCCTGGATTCCAGTACGTCCTTTATACAACCTTTCCGAGTTTTGAGAAGAAGCTGATGAGGCGGTGTAGGAACCGATTGGGTTTATTCTTGTTCATCCTATCCCTGTTTGGGTTCTCGTGTTTGAGCTCTTTGGGGATCTTTGCGAATGAGAGGCTGCTCTTCATGCGTGAGAGGTACGTTCCCAAAGCCCTGTCGTGAAACTCCACTAACATGATATCCAGAGCAAACGGGTACTACGCCCCAATAACCTATTTCCTCTCCAAAATCCTTTTCGACATCATCCCCCTCCGCGTCATCCCCCCCTTCGTCCTCGGCTCCATCGTCTACGGCCTCGCCGGGCTCAACCCCGAAGTATCAGCGTTCTGGAAATTCATCATGATTCTCGTGCTCTTCAACTTGTCGGCGTCGAGTATAGTGTTGTTTTTGTCGGTGGCGGTGGCGGATTTGGGGGTGGCGAATTTGTTGGGTAGTTTGGTCATGCTTTACAAGTACGTCCCCCATCTCCCCTCTCCTTATGTCTCCTTATGTCTCCTTCGCAGACGCTAACGATGTCGTGTAGCTTGCTCTTCGCCGGACTGCTCATGAACTATGACAGAGTCCCCAACGGCCTCAAATGGATGCTCACCACCTCCTTCTTCCACGCCGCCTACGAAGCCCTCCTCGTCAACGAACTGCGATACCTCCAGCTCATCGAACACAAGTTTGGGCTGGATATCCAAGTGCCTAGTGCTACCAGTATGTCCCTTTCTCCTTTCTCCTTTCTCCTATTTGTTTCGCTGTTTCGGGGCGCGTGCTGATGAAGATGTCAGTCCTCTCGTCATTCGGTTTCCATGCGCAAGCGTTCTGGTGGCCTGATGCGGCGCTTTTGGGGATCGTGTTTGGCACGTTTACGGTCTTGAGTTATCTCGTGCTCGAGTTTTGGGTCAAGGAGAGGCGTTGAAATCGGATATCGGACTATCTCCCAACCAAAGTTATTGTTTCAGTTTCAGCATAAAGTGTCATTTGGCATTTGAATGTATCGTCTTGTATATGATGCCAAAGTATCACCCATGGGACGCCCATTCACGATATTTGAAGGATATTGCTCGTCATCATGATTGCTGCATCTTCGTTACCACTGACAGATGTACGTCCACTACTTGACGCCGACATATGGCAGTCTACTCGTATATACCTCACTCCTCGTCGTCTCTCAGCTCTATCACCTCTCGGTCCTTAATCACATCATCTTCTTCCTCTTCTCTAGCTTCCCTTTCTTCCCGAGCTCTATTGTAAGCCTCATATTCTTCTTGGTCTCTCCTGGCTTCCCTTTCTTCCCGAGCTCTATTCTTGGCCTCAACCTCCTCCGCTGTAGAAGGTTCGAGAGGGACGTTGAATTCTTCGGTTTCGGGCCAACCCTCCCCGTTGATAGATCCAATCATCAACACATCATCCACGTCCACTGGCACAACATGAGAAGCCAAGAACTTCAACTGAGACATATCGCCCACGGGCTGTCCCTGCCCTTCCATATTGGTGATCTCTGTCTGCAGTACTGTGGTGATTGCGTGGTCGAGATCTCTGGACATGGAATCCCTAGACTCGTCCAATATCTCTCGGTGATAGTCGTTGAAACCACCAGTTGTGTTGAGTCCGGACAAGAATGTGTCGATGATACGAGTGACGTGGTTGGCAACGCTGGAACGCGCAGTATCGTAGTCTGTTGACATTGTGTGTGAGAAATATGGCAAAGAGTTGGGATGCAGTCTTTCAGTGAAAGCGCTACGCCATTTTTTATACGGATGCGTACAAAGGGATCCAGAAGTTTGGAAAGTCTGTCGCAGTCTGAAAGATGACCGCCTCACGATGCTAAGGAGACGTGTTGATAGTCCACCTTGTTTTGCTAAACTTGGACCAAAAGGACCAGTAATAAGTGTTTTTCACTTACCTTACAGTGCACGTAAAAGGTTGACTATTATTCCCGACGGCTGCGCTTGCTTTTGTTTGCTATAGTAAGAGCTATCGAGTCGTGTCTTGATTGAAGCAGGAGAATCGATGGTCAAAATAGCCTCAAAGTATGGATTATTGATCTTGCCATTCGTATTCGCAGTCATCTAAGGACGTGGCTCTAGAGTCGTCAATTCCCTTTCAACTCAACGTCTCCAGATGTTGCCGTAAAGATCCTTCACTTCTGGCTGAAGATCATGTTGTCGCGGTGTCTGTGGCATTACTTTGTGTACAGTAGATTCTGTAATAGATCACAAACGACATCTCCAAATACCAGTACGCCCATGGGGTTCTACACCAGGGAATGTCGCTGATGTCATGGAGTCTATGGTATAGCTTTTTGTTGGCCGGACTACTCATGAGCTATGACAGAGTCCCCAACGGCCTCGAATGGAAGCTCACCTCCCCCTCCTTCCACTACCCTGCCTGCGAATCCCTCCTCGTCAATGGATTACAATAAGTCCAGCTCATCAAACATCAATTTGGGCTAGATATTCAAGCGCCGAGTGCTACTTTACCAGTGATCGTACGACCCCTTTCTTCTCTTTCTCCTTCGCCATTTTCGCCGGTTGGAGTGTGCGCTGATAAAACTACCTGTACGATATATTCCTCTCGACATTCGGTTTCCATGCGCAGGCGTTCTGGTGGCCCGATGCGGCGCTTTTGGGGATCGTATTCGGGACATGCTGATTCATCTCGTGCTCGAGTTTGGGTCAGGGAGAGGCGTCAAGTATTGTACGAGCGCCATTGACTGGAAAGGCCTGTTTGTGAGATCGGGACTATCTACAACCAATGTCATCGATCAAGTTCTAGCATCAAATCTCGTTGACATTCGAATTTATCGTTTTGTATATGATGCCAAAGATACACCCATGATCTGATGCCTCTTGAAGATTTCTGAAGGATATCGCTCACCAACTTGAAAGCTGCATCTTCACCACTGACTTACGTACGCCCACCGCCTCATGACAACATAAGGGCGGTCTATATACCACATTACTCGTCGTCCTCCACCTCTTCCACCTTCCTGTCTCTAATCACATCTTCTTCGTCGTCTCCAGCTTCCCTTTCTGCCCGATATCTATTTTTAGCTTCCTCAACTTCCGCTGCAGTAGGCTCATCAGGGACCTTGAAGAGCTGACCGTTCCCCGACCAGCTCTGCCCCTCTATAGATCCAACCATCGAGACTTCGTCCACGCAGGTTGGCACAATGCTGACGGGTGAAAACTTCAAGTCAGACATATCGCCCACGGGCTCTCCACGTTGCTCCATCGTCGATATCTCTGTATGCAGTGCTTTGGCGATGGCCATAAGGAGATCTGATGCCATGGAATATTAGGATTCGTCCAGTATAGCTTTGGACTCCTTGCTGCGTTCAGTATCTGCGTGTAGAGTGGTGAAGAATGAGTTGATGATACGACTGACGTGGTCGTCAACGTTGGAACGCTCAGTATCGTAGTCGGTTGACATTGTGTGCGAGAATGTGGCAAAGAGTTGGGTCAAAGTCTTTCAGTGAAAGCTTTAAGCCAATTTTTATACGGACGAGTACAAAAGGATCCAGAAGCTTGGAAAGTCTGGCGCAGCCTGAATGATCATCGCCTCGATGTAAAGGGAATGTGTTGATGTCCACTTTCTTGTGCTTTTCTTGGACCTTAGAGACCAGTAATAGTCGAGTTCTCAATGGTGTGTCCCACGAGAAGGTGACTCTGGTCTTGTTAACGATGGATGCGTTTGCTTCTGTGTGCGCTATAGTGGAATCGAGTGGTTTTTAGTTGTTTGAATATAGTTTGAATATAACGACAGTGACCAAATACTCTACAAATCTCATGGCGCTTTGCGTGGTTAGAGCAGCACAAATGATCAGAGTCTATAAAAATTGTATGCATGTTCATCGGTATATGAATGCATCGATCCACTACTTGAGGACAGTTTATATACCACACTACTAGTTGTTATAAAGAGCTGCTGGCACCCGTCCCGCTGAATCTTTCACGGTCGCCCGCACAGACAACCGAGATCACCGACATGTCGTTCTTTTGCCACCAAGGATTGACGACCAAGCCTATCAACGGTGCTATCTTCATCTTCAATCCTCGTACGGGTCAGCTCTTCTTGAAGATCATTCACACCTCCGTCTGGGCCGGTCAGAAGCGTCTTGGTCAGTTGGCGAAGTGGAAGACGTTGTTTTCCACCTCCTTCCTGTCTTTGGCTTCCCTTCTGTCCCGAGCTCTAGTATATTCGAGAGGGACGTTGAAGGTTTCACCGTTTCCCGACCAGCCCTTCCCCTCTATAGATCCAACCATCAACACATCGTCCACGGCGACGGCAGTAATGCTGATAGACGAAAACTGCAACTCAGACATATCGCGCACGGGCTTTCCCCGTTGTTCCCATTTCGAAATCTCGGTTTTCAGTGTCTTTGTGATGGCCTCGTCGAGATCTGGCACCATGGTATCTTCAGAATCGTACAGTATAGCTTTGGTCTCATCGCTGAGCCTAGTAGTATCTGTTTCTAGAAGATCTTCGAAGAATGAACGAATGATACGATCCACGTGGTCGGGAACTTCGGAACGCGCGGTATCGTAGATCGATGGCATCGTGTGTGATAGGGTGACAATAAGGCAAGTTATCTCTTTCAGTGAGAACTCTTCACCGTATTTTATACAAAGACGCGAACAAAAGATTCCAGAAGCTTGGAAAGTCTGGCGCAGTGTGAATGATCACTGCCTACTATACGATGTGAAGGGAATGTGTTGAAAGTCCACCTTACTTTGCTTTTCGTGGTCCACAATGACCAAGAGTAGGTGATTTTCAATCAGGGTGAATGTGAAAGGCTAAGTGTTATTCCCGATGTCATGGGCTTGCTTTCATTCGCTATATTGAGAGCAATCCAGTCGTATCGTGTTTGAAGGTATGTTACACAATCGAAGAGCGCCGAACGCTTCATAACAATATATGCTCATCTACCCGTCCCCAGCAATCTGCAGAGTTTATAAACGTAACTATCTAGTTCTGGCTGTACTCCAGTACCGGAACTGGCTCGGGCACTCGTGTCGTACGACCTGTCCTTGAACACGAGTCGACGACATGATGCACATACATGGCATGCTCTAGCATAACTATCCTCTACAGTTGATTGCTGAAGTCCTTCCTTCCTTTACGTAGTCTTCGTCTCTGCCTATATCCACATCAGCTATAGTCACCTCGCCTCTGTCGACATTCTACTCACCTTCCCTCAAACCAACCTCCAACCCCTCATCCTCCCAATTCTCCTCAAAATCTCCTCCGCCTTGCCCGCCTCCCTCCTCTCTTTGTCCTTCTCCTTCTCCTTCTCCTTCCCAGCCCTCACCTCCTTCATCGCACCTCTCCACCCCGCTTCGTCCAAACCTACACCCTTCTCCCATATACCTAACTCTTCCCACTCCACATCGAGGGCGCGGACCGCATTCTCCAGATAACCCAGATCTTCCTTCAATTGCGCTTGTCCCGGTGTTGTCAGAGTAGATATGCCGGGCAAGATGGTGGACGTGAAGTGGGATAGGAGGGAAAGGGATAGAGAAGAAAGCCATGTCGTCTGAATGATCTCCAGTGTGGGCGCTTCGCCCAAGCCAGAAGGATGCGAGCCCGGCGGAGTAAAAGGCAACGTCCCCAAACTCCATCCCACCCCTTCTTCCTTCCCATACACCTCAAACACCCTAAGCAGATCCAACAAGCCCTCCGACACTCTCGAAATAATACCCGTCGGCGAAAGACTGAATTCTGGAAGGTCGAACCCAGACTTGGATTTCGCGGGCTCTTTTTGCCAGACGGAGAGGGTGGGATAGGTTGATAGTTGGGAGAGGAGAGGGGATAGGATGGTGCTTTGGAGATTCTCTTGACAGGATTGGATGGTCGTGATGAGAGATGCCCGACTCTGTGGGAACAGCGGCGAGGTAGGGGAGGAGACCAGTGTATGAAGCTCTGCCGTGTTGAGCGTCGATTGCTGCAACAGCGATACGGCACCCCATGTCACCTTCTTCCCCACTCCCCATGATTCCCTCTTCGCCCCCAAATTGCTCCCATACTCGCTGATAGTCCTCCCCATCTCTTCCTCAACATGCGCCAGCTTTTCCGCCAGCCTCTTACAGGCTTCCAGCACATGCAAACCCGTCTGGAAGCTCGCCCAGTCTTCGAGACCCCCTTCAAAGTCGAGCTCGTCGCCCTTGTCTTTGCTGTGAGCTGCGGCTTGAGATTTGGCGAGGTCGAGGAGATAACGTCGTTGGTCGTCGTATACCTTTTTCAGCGACATGTCGACAGCTTCGACAAGCCCCCTGGCACCATAACCGAGGGTAAACGCAGAGCACCGCTCGCCTGCTTCCCTCGCCTTCTCCCATACACCCTCACCGCGCTTGACCATCTCCCCAACTACACTCTTCCCATCCCTCCGTCCTTCCCTCGCCCAAACACTCGCCATCTTCTCAAACTCTACCGACAAGTACTTCGCTTCCAAGCTTGGATACGAAGACTGCCAGTCCAAGAACGGCTCGTACAGCGTCGTCTCCCACGCATCATTCACTGTACCGGGGGAGGACGTGTCGAACGAAGCAGTTGGCGCACGGGAGAATCGGCGAGATATGGAGTGGTGTCGTTTCGTATGAGAGCTGGTACGCGCCATGCCGACAGCGTGTGATGGTGAACGTCGATGATTATTGGGAGAGACAAGCGCATTGGGCGACGTGGTAGCCAGCGGACTGGGCGAGTCTACTTCAAGACCTCCGCTGAGAAGCCCGCCTTGGGTATTGAGAACAATCTTGTCCACCAGCCCTTGTACTCCCTTTCCGAGCTCCACAGTCGCCTCCCAGCTTTTGACCAGCTCTCCCAGAGCCGCATCGCCATGATGATCGGCCACAGACGAGAGCCTATTCGAGAAAGGTGGATGTAAGGCGTCGAGGGTGGATTGGAAAAAGGCGGTGAGGGTGGAGGGCGCTTGGTCGGGCGGAAAGACGAGGGGGATGGAGGATATTTCGGAGGTGAGGGTTTGTAGCAGGAGGGAGTAGAATTGGGGGAGGAAAGTCGTAAACCGAGAGGCATCGACCGCGCCTTCTTCGAGGACAGCACCTTTCCACAGATCCAGTACTCCACGACCCTTCTCGTTGAAGTACCACTTTCTGAACTCGTCGTCTCTGTCCATGTCCTCGAAGACTTCCCAAAAGCCCCGTACTTGCTCGAGCCCTTCGTCGCCCTTCCGTAGAGCCTCGCGGAGAGCTTCCCCAGCAGCACGCTCAAGCTCATCTCCAAGGGATACCAACAGCCGTTTGCGTTCCTCCCACTCGGCCGGCACATTCTTAAAGACGACCATCGACCGATTGGCCTCTGCCAGCCTCTGACCCGCCTTGGCATACTCCTTCTCGCCAATGAGGGTGGTGATTTCAGACTCGAGAGTCGACCAAGATTCAGCCTCTCGGAGGGTATCTCGGGCGGATTCGAGCCGGCCCTTGAGCTTGTCGAGGTGGGTCAATTTCTCGAGCGCGCGATACGTCTTGACTGCCTCGCTGTCGTCCTCCTTCTTGCCCTTCTTCTCCACAGGCTCCCAGTCCGCTTGCCTTGCTACACGCTCTTGCACCATCCCAAGGCCAACAGCGAGGCCACTAGCGCTTTCCCGCATGAATTGGAGGTCGTAGCCCAGCCTCGGCACAGTCCGGCCCACATCGCCCATGACAGTCTCGATTTCGCCCGCCGTATCCTGGCTGAGCATAGACAGTCTTGTCAGGAGGTCTTGAAGCGACTGGTCGATAGGAGGAAGAGCTGGCGGGGTGGGTTGCTGGGATAAGGGGAGCGGGGGAGGCAGGAGGGGCGCAAAGAGGTCATTGAGGAATGAGGTGGGGGAGACGGACGCATCGAGCCTGGTAGCCAAAGACTCAAGGGATGACGTCGATGCAGCGATCGGCTGATATGGCTCTCCATTTGGAGTTGGCGATGACATGTCGAGCTGCACAAGTCAGCATCGTCCCCGATGGCTGCCTGAGCACGACTTACGACTTACTGCGCGTCTCTGCGGGCTGCCTGTACCCTGAGATTCGTTGACCTGACTGCTCTCCAGATGTTTTGGATAGGAGATGGAGGGGAGCGTGGGATGCTACCTGATGGTGTAGATTGCGGGGAATTTATACTTTCTTCAAACCGTCTCCAGATGTGCGGCCCGTCAGAGATGATACGGCGCGCGGTGGACATCCGCCCCATCTCCGGGAAATTGCTTCCGTTTGTTTGTACCAGCGAGTGACCGACGCAGAGTTGAGGCGGTCACGAAGGCCACATCCCTTCACTAATCGCCAAGATTCCACACAATAGAGAGTGAAGATTCCACCCGGACTACAACGGGTGGACAAAAAAACAGGAAGAAGCCCCGAAAAGGAGCGCATCCGGACTTCGAGCGGCAAAGCAGAGAGACATCGCGCGGAGGAACGGAACCAGGCAGGGGGCATTAAAGCTGTGAGTACAGCCAAGTCCAACACGGCTGCTGCTGCGTGTCTTGCCTTTGGAAATCACAGTGGATGTATACATGTCCATGAACAACAATTCTCGTAAGATATGTAAGGGAACTTCGTGATATGTAAGGAAACTTCGTTATATATGCGAAAACAGCTTTCGTACAGTAATGGGTAAAGAGTCTCACTACTCAAACTTTCGGCGTAGCCTTGATGTTGTCGACTATGGCCCTAAACAAACTCTTCTCCGTGAGAACAAATTTGATGTTTCTCTTCAGGAGGATGTCGTGGAAAGCCAGCATATCGGAGCCGGCTCCGTTCTCGCTTGCGCAAGGGCTTTCGGGCCTTTCCACCTTCTCGGGCCTGTCTTCCCACTCTTTCTGAGCCCCACCCTCGTCCTTCATCGTACCAGAGTCTACATCTTCCCCAATGTCCGCGGTAGCACTTTGACCCTTGCGCTTGAATCCTACTCCACCTGCCATCCTTGCGAACCACTCCTCGACTTCACCCATCCCCAACGACGTGTCCTCTGATGTGTTGTTGCTGCCTTTGCTTTTGGAAAAAGAGGGAGGCTTGTCAAGAAGGGTGTTGTCATTCTTGTCGGAAAGCAGGTCATGGGGGAAGGGTGTGAAAGTCGGAATCCAAGATAGCCAACCATCAACGTCTCTTGTAGCTAAACCAGAGGTCAGATTTGATGTATTCTCTGCGTTGCTGTGCGGCAATCACAACGAGCATATGGATGAACGTACAGTAATGATTGTCGACAATAGGGGTTTTGAGGATTTCTACACGCCGCTTCGATTAGCTTTATGGATGCATAGCTGATTGAAAGCTGCCACTTACCCTCTTCGGATGTCTTGCCGTTTCCAAGTCTTCGAGGTCCCATCTCCAACGCCAGACGCAGATCATTGCCACCCACACGAGCAACGTCACGTTGGTCCGCGCCTCCGGCATGGCCAGAACTACTCTCCTGCTGCTGACTGCTACCACCGTCACCAGGTCCAGGGCCACTCGTCGTGTTCGCAGCACCCCCCATACCGCCGCCCATGCCAGGATTGGCCCCATCACCACCACCCCCGAGATTGCCGGACTGGTCATTGCCAGGGTCGTCCTTCTTCCCGTTTGAATCAGGGATCGGACTGTCGCTCCCATCTGAATCATCGTCGTCCTCCTCCTCCTCCTGCTCCTCATCATCGCGCACCTCGACATCGCGCTCCTCCTCATCGTGCTCCTCATCTTTACCATCTCCTTCATCTACATTGCTCATTTCCTCTTCCTGTTCGAGGTCCCTGATGGGAGGGAGGGATGAGGAGGCCTCTCCAGGCAAGACATACCGGCGAGGGGGGCCCTGGGAGTGTGGTCGAGAGGTGGTAGAGGCAGAGTACAGAGTTCCACTCGACACGTTAGTAGAGGGGGTGGTGACTTCCTGAGACTGTGTTGCCGTTTCTGTTTCCAATCCGTGCGCATACTCCAAAAAGGCCGCCAATCTCGTGTTTATACCCCCCAATCCAACCAGGGGTATCTCCAACTTCTCCTGAACATCCTCCCGCGACAGCCACGGTGGTTTCGGAACCGGCTGCAACCGTCTGTGGAGGGGCAAATCTTTGATAGCATCCCAAGCGAGATCGAAATACCGCCAGATGAAGTCCAAGGTCTCCGTGTCATTGCCGAACTCATGGGGGAAGGAGAAATTTTCGGCCAGGAAGTCCATCATGTCATCAATCCCATGGGTTGTCAAAGGCGTGTCGTCGGGAACCTCAAGCAGAATGGTATCCTTGTCGATGACAATCATGCAACTGAACTTCTTCCCCACAGCAAACCCACCGAGATAGCAGCCACATGCGTCATAGCTTCCGATGAGATACGCAACTTCCTGGAGGAAAGGCTCGGGAGGAAGTATCTCTGGCTCCTTGAATTCAAACACCAAGGACAGGATCAAATCCAGATACTCGTCGGACTCAAGTTTGAAAGCCCGATAGAAAATGGACCCCTTGGAATGGTGGGTTTGGTCGGACTGGAACTGGGATGGAGGTGGTTTGGGCTCATTTGGTTTATGGCGTTTTTTGTCGTGTTTCTGAGAAGATACATGTTAATGAAGATCAGTGCAGAAATGGATGACGATACTCACGATACTTTGCTTAAACCCGCGCGAGGCAGCAAACACTAGATCTGGTTTGCAATGTTCCTCGCTGTCCTTGACTCCGTATTCGCTCCTCCACCTCGTATACTCATCACAGAACGAGCTCCCACTATACGAGCGAGTGCCCCGCGGAATCTTGTAGCGGATGCGCTCGAGAGGGAAGTGCGGATAGGAACCATAATGTCCTCATTTTTTGGTATGCTGGGAAAAGGGCTCCGGGGGCTTCAAAGAAAAGGTAAATTCCGCAGCCAGATAGTCCCATAGATTCTGCACTCTATGTTCGTAAGGATTGTCATCGATCTCGCTGAGCTGAGCCTGTATTGTGTGGAGAGCCGGTGCATTCCCGCAGGGTGTTGGATAAAGGTCCCTGAAGTATTGAGGGACCGTGGCCATGGCGACGCCCGTCAAGCCTCTGATTGATGAGGGGCAAGAGCGTATCGGAGGTCGGAAGAATATATGGAGCTGGAACGTCTTCCGGGCAGCTGATGAGAAGACGGCTTGGGCCTGGACGACGCTGGCAGAAAAGGATTAGTGTGTGATAGGTGAGAGTGGCGAACAAGATGGTACCTACCGTACGTCTGGAAGCTTGGAAAGATATAGGAGCCTCTGATGGGCAATGGGATTGGGCCTGGACGAGGCTGGCAGAGCAGGATCAGTGTGTGATAGGCGAGTGGCGACAAGAAGATACCTAAAGTATGGCAGGTGTCGCGACGTGTAGGAGACGTGTCACGCACCTGAGGGCTATGGGAACTTGTTTCTGGGGAGGAAGGGGAGGATGAAGGGCGACGGGTAGCGAGAACAAGAAAAAGGATGGATGAAAGAAGAGTCAGAGATCATCAACAACACACCGACGACAGCTGCTTTGCTGGCGGAACGGGACCAAATCGGGGAGTGGACCTCTCCGCTCCTGCGCTATCCCTGCGCTATCCTGTTCGCCCCCAGTTCGCCTTGAGTTCGCCCCGGATTGTTCTACCTCCGCATCACATGCCAGCTCGCAGAACCCCTTTTCACCCTTGCAATGAATCGTGTTATCATCATGCTGGAGACGGGAATGTTGACCAGCCTTGGGGAGTGACGTCCGTCAAGTACGTCTTTGGCAGAAACACGGTCATGCAGCGCGGAGTGGACGAAATATAGAAAGTACATAGTAAATAGCACTAACACATATTTCCTTTCCCTTTCTTTGTCCTCCCTCTCTTTCTCCTCTCACACCCCTACACCCACCCCACAGCGACACCACACAAAACCCTTCACCCTCCTCTGAACGAATCATGATAGTCCGGCCCCACTCCTTCCGCTCCCGATGAGTGACCATACGGTTGGTCTGAAGATGGTTGTCGGCGTTAAGATGGATAATGAGGATAGAAAAAGTCGAAAGGCCTAAGGGAAAGGGAAAGAAGGAGAATGTGTAAGTGACGGTGGGATGAGTTCAGTCGTCGTAAGCCTCTTCGGCGGATCGCCTCGCCAGTCGCTTAACTCTCTTCTTGTAGGCTAATATGACGAATCGTCAGCACAAACATCCATGTATCGCCAAAGAGAAAGGAAGCGTACCAGGATAATCTTCCCGCACTTCCTTGGCGGCATCAACGTTGGCAGGAGAGTTCAAGTCGGGAACGTCAGCGCTCAGGAGTGAGATGACAGAGATGAGCTATCATGCGAGTCAACTTCTTTCCGGCAAAAACCATACGCAAAGGATAAGGAAGAAGAGGAACGTACAACAGACTCGACGGTATGCACCGGCAGCCACCTCTCAGACGCATGTTCATATCCCCATTCATCCTCCCCAGGCGCATGCTACAGCACTCGCATCAGAGCCCACTCCAGAGTTTCCTCAGACAGCCTTCCACTCACCAAGATGGACACACACACTTCGCCCTTCTTTTCTCCCGAATTGTACACTAGAGAGGAACGTCAGTCGGGTTTGATAAAGTGAGGAGGAAGGGACGGACCATTTGGGTGCCACATTTCCGAGTCAAAGATCATCTTGGGCGGGAGGAGTGGATATTCCTATACACATCATCAGCATCAAATCATGACTTCGGAAGAGTGTGAGAACTCGATACATACAGTAGGGAAGATGAGTCGAGCCTTCAAGATCGCGCCCTCCCAAAGAGTGTCGGCGGGGCTGCAACGATGTCAGCTCAATAACATTAGGCACCAGATACGGCCTTACGCCATGATAACAATGCCCCACTCGAGGATATTGTCGTCGTCAATAAGGCCGGCGGAGAATCCGTCCACAGGATGCTTTTGCATATCTATTCCGCAGATTGACTAGTCAGCTCGGGTCCTCATCTTCCGCGCGCCTCTCCATCTTCCCCGCCTCGTCACATCGTACTCCTCCTGATAGCCTTCATGTCTTTGTGCAAGATCCGACATACCGATGAGCTGCTTGCGCAATATAGGATAAGTGCTAGGGGTGCTGCTAGTACCATTTGAAGGGGTGGCGGGTTTGGAGGACCCGGGGCGCGAGGGGGGGTAGGGTGAGGGGGCAGGGCTGCCGTTGGACTTGCTTGCGGGGGGCATTTTGGCGGGGTCTTGCTGGCTAGGGGTCCGAGGGGGGAGGGGCGTCGATGCAAGAGGAGATGGAAACGCGAAGACGATCACGCACCCGACAAGGACGCGGATGGGCGGGATCAATTGGCGGAGTACGCCGGTCTCCGTCTTTTCGCTGGTGTTGAGTCACGAGTGTGGCGATGGGGTATATGGGACGACACGATCGCGCAGCACCCCACAAAGCAGCAGATGTCAGCGAGGGTATGGTAGGGAGCCATTGAGATCACAAAATACCTCTCTTCTATAGGTAGTCTCGATAGCAAACGCCCTACGGCTGTGGGATGATACACAGCGGGACATGATGAAAGGACCAGGTCGAGGAGTGAATAGCATCTCACAAGACATGAACTCCGATTAATTACCCCAAAGAAGGTAGTATCGTCAATCCAGTCCCACATTCACGTTTGGGTCCTTTCGCATCGAGATGTCCTACCAAGGTTGAACGATTAAGCGTATGTCCTGCCTATGATTTGATCGTCTCTGCATGGCGGTACGCATCGTGAACGATAAATCAGGAAGAATAAACATGAACATGCAAAACATTATGATAATACATCCCCATTCCCATTCCCCGTCCGGCTCCCAGACCTCTACCCAACTTCACGCCCCTAGAAAGCCCACAACTCTGCCACGACATCCTCCTCCCCTTCACCACCGTCTTCACCCTCCTTCTTCTCACCATCAGGGAAGATGGTGGTCTTGGCCCCAGTCTCGAGCGCTACAGAAAGTGCTGGCGGGTGTCGGATTTTACGCTTGATTTCAGTCTCAAACAACTACACCCACCACATCAGCTTTCCCTTCTTTGCAAAAAAGCGAGGAAAGAGGAAAAAGGCTTACAGTACCATACCCATGGTCCAAGAAATCTTCCATATCATACTCTGCCTTCGTAAACACCTCCCCAAACACCTTCGCCAAAGTCGACACAGAAGCGAGATAATGTTTCTGCAGCGTCGACAGTTCCCAGCAACTCGACTCTATCGCCCTGGTCTTCAAGGGATTCTTCTCCTCCGCATCATACGGGTCCGCTTCGCTCTTCTCCACCTTCTCTTCCTCTTTCTCGAAACCGGCGGAAGAAGAAAGGTTGAGAATGGGCAGATTGTTGGCGAACCGATCACCAGATTGGCGCTGAAGCATGACCATACACCCCGGATGTCTCTTGAACAAATTATACAAGAAGGGGAGGATGATGATGATGCCGGCTGGGGGGGCGGAGAGTGCGAGACGGGAGAGGCGTTTGATGAAGGAGGCTATCAAGGCTGCGGGGAGCAGACTAGTGTTTTTGTCAGTTTAGTTTGGGGGAGGGTAGGAGAGGAGGGGAAGGAAGGGAACGTACGATCCTTTGAGGAAGATGTCGAGAAGACGGACAAATCGCGCCCTATACTTGACGTGCATCACATCCTTGTCCAGCAACCCGTACAGCCGCTCATAGAATCTCGGGTACTCGCTGATCCCTCCATCAGCCTTTTGCTCTTTACCCCGTCATATCAAGAAAAGAAACTTACAAGTTGTACTCTGTCATCAACACAAACAACCCATTCATCGCCAACATCCCCACCACCCCGCCTTGATCCACCAAGCTGCCCAACCAATCCGCCACCCTCAATCTCCTCTCCTTCTTCCAGAAACTCAAGATCCCCTGTTCTCCGTGTAGCGCTACCAAAATCTTGCGTGTCCATCCTTCATCCAGCCTCAAATTGAAGAGCACACTCTCCCAAAGCGCGGTGAATTGGGTAGTGTGAGAGACGATCGAGTAGATGGAGGCGTGTAGGGAAAGCTGGGAGGTGCGGGTACGTTTCTTGGACCCGGCTTGGAGCTCCGAGTCGGATTCGGAATCGGACGACTCGTAGTCTTTCATCCAGTCTGGCAAAGCGTCGACCTCTGCTTTGGCTTTTCCCTTTTTCGCTTTGACCGACCGCGACTTTTTCACAGGTCTCGCCTCGCCTTCCCCTTTGGCCGGCGGCGTGGAGAAGGCAGAGACGTAAAAGGCGTTAATGTCGGCCGCTTCGCGGGGAAGATTGTTGAGCGGGAGTACTTGCAAAAGCACATTCTCCGGATGCGCAATCACAGACGTATGGCCCTGGATCAAAGTAGAAGCCTCCTTGAAGAAGGCCCATCGGATATCATCGTGCGGCGCCCAAAAGTCGTCAACCACCACTTTCGCGACGTCTTCCGGCAAGACGCCGTCCGCGTCCGCGACTTGGTTGGCAGCGACGATTTTCCACCCGACGGATTTGGTTTTGGGCTTGGCACCTCGAAGGGAGGGGCGGGGGAAGATGAGGTAGTTGAGGATGAGGCGGAAGTAGGGGATGTGGATGATGGGTTTGGAGGATATGGATGCGGAGAGAGATGGGAGGAGGGAGAATAAGAGTGGGACTGAAGACGCCTAAGGTCTGTTAACACTGCACCATATAATCAGAGAGATACTTACCCTGAGAGCAGACTCTTCATCCCTCATAAGCCCCGCCAACACTTCCACATACTCCAACAACCTCTCCCTCACCCACGCCTTGACCGCCTTCTCACCCTCCTCCCCCACCACCTGCTCCCTCTCCGCACCATTAACAAGATCCCCACTCAGCCCCCCGACCTTTCCATCCCCAATAAGCTTGATAAAAACACGGTGCAAAGCCCATACAGCCTTGTGCACGATCTGGGGGTCGTCATGCCTGGCGAGCGCGATAAGGGGCAGAAGGGGGTTAGGGTCGAAGGTGGAGGCGGTGAGGGCTGATTCGTATTTGGAGACCTGCTTGAGGGGGTCTGTAGACAGCTTTGCCCCTTTCGGTTTTGAGGGGGCCATAGTGCGCAGATGGGGTTGTTGACAAAAACAGGCAACTTTTTTGATCAAGAGCAGCGACCTCCACCCGTGTTATTAATAAACGTAATTAAGACTAGGTCCTGCTCGGCGCTCGCCGTTCTTCAACGTTCTTCACGACAATGAGCGTCGTGAGATGGCACAAGCATAGCCCAACGAGGAATACCAGATCGAGCACTGTAGCCGCTTGCAATCCAATCCGGCCTAATACCATATGTACATTTCATGGGAGTGTGATGAACATGTTACAGCAACCTCGATATGGGAGCACCTCCAACGCAAATAAATGATCAAAATACGAAAAGACTAAACCGAAAAACCATTCCCTCTACCAAAAATCAAACCCTCATCCCTATCAAGTATCGACTATACGCAAAGCTAAAGCTAACCTCCTCGTCCCCGTCCCCTGAACCCACCCCGGCCTCTCCAACCCCTCGGCGCAAAGCCCCTATAACCACCTCTCCCAAATCCTCCTCTAGCACTATCCATCCCCCCAAGCCCCTGCCCCTGCCCCAACCCCTGCCCAAGTCCATGCCCGGGTCCAATTCCGCCCCCAGTCGAACCACCAGAAACACTCCTAGGCCCCGTGGGCGGCACTTTCGGCCCCATCGGCGGTACCCTCCCCAGCCCCAATCCCGCCATGGTCGACCTTGAGGGCGTGTTTGCAGACGCGTGTGGGGGAAGATCTCGGGTGGTCAGAGGTGGGGGGAGACGGTCGTTGGCTGGGTTTGCTATCTGAGCTGCAGAAACGGGGGTGGAGATGGAGACGTTGGCGGACGTGGAAGAGGAGGGAGTTTGGTGGGGGAGTGAATCTCGGTACTGCCAGCTCTCCCTCTCCCTCTCCCTCACAGGCGACCTCTCCCTCGAACCCCACTCTTCCCTCTCCCTCCTCGGCACATAGCTGGGCGTACTTTCAAACTTTCTACTATAGTTCCCAAGACCCGGCAAACCAGGCGACTTTTCCCGCTCGCCCGACACCTGTCTTGGCGTATAAGACATACTAGCCCTACCCGCCCCAGCCCCAGCCCCAGGGCCAGCGGGCGTGAGCGCAGGGTGGGAGGGCGCGGAAAAGTCTTGTAGAGGCGCATTCGCCTGCAACGGCGTACGCGCCGGACCACGGGGAACATAACTCGTACTCGCCCCTCCCCCCAACCCCAACCCTCCCGCAGGCGTATTGGGAGCTGGGGTGACTGGTGTTTGACCCGCAGCGGCCGCCGGTGCTGGGAAGGTGGTCGAAATCGGAGCGGGCATAGCGGCGGCTGAAGCTTGAGCCGGAGTTGCGGCTGGAGCAGGGGCTGGGAGATTGCGGAAGGAAGGAAGGTGTTCGAGCAGGTTTAGCGTCGATGCTGGCAGACTCGTCATGGGACTCGAGGTAGGCTGATGAGCCGCCATGGGCATTGGCACATCCACCTTGTCCCTTTGTTCATTCTTGACACTCTCCAAGGCACTCGCTCTCTCACGTTCCGAGTCTGCTGTCGAACCCGTCCCAGCGTTCGTGGGCGAGGGTGCAGCCTCGGGCGCAGAGACCAAAGAAGAAGAAGAAGGCCCGGAAGAAGAAGGTTGCGACTCTTTCCTAAACTTGTGCGTCTTGAGATACTCGCTCAAGCTGACCTTCTTTGGCGGTTCGACCGGCGCCGGAGGTGCCGGAGGTGGAGGCGTGGGTTCCTTGACCTGTTCGGATTCGGGTTCTGGTTCCGGTTGTTTCTCGGGCTCTGGCTGAGTGGGAGCGGGAGCAGGCGGGGGCGGGGTATGGTCCCTGAAAAGCCCATCCAACGCCCTCGCACCTGACGCCACCGTGGCCGGAGGCAAAGGCGGCGTAACACCCCCTCTCCCTTCCCTCTCCCTCTCCCGGCTGACCTTCCCCTTCCTCCTCTTCTCCACCCTCCCCCTCTCCTCCTCCTCAGCCGAAGACTCCTCATCACTCGACACAATACGCTTCTGCCTCTTCTTTCCAAGCTTTTTGGCCACTCCCGCAGACGCGGACGCGGTAGAAGCAGGTTTGGAATTGGACGCAGAGGTTGATGTGGATGCGACAGAGGCGAGCCGGGATTTCGGTCTGCCAACAGACTTGGGCTTGGCCTTGAGCTCGGTCTTGGGCGTGCGGGCGGGGGCGGGGTCGAATGGGAATGGATCGTTCTTCTTGATCTTTGCCTTCTCCTTTGCCCTCTCCTTCACACCCTGCTTGGTCACAGCTTTGCGTCTCGGCTCAGGAGCAGGCGAAGACTCGATCCTCCTCTTAACCTTACTCTTCGGTAAAGCCGGGGTCGATTGCGGCTCGGCTTCGGGATTTGCCATCACAGCATCTTCATCCCCATCCCCACCCTCCTCCTCCGACTCGTCATCATCGTCGGAAGAAGACATCGCAGACCGAGGAAGCGTAATCGTCGTGGCATCCGACAACCCTCCTTCATCTTCTTCCTCCCCATCCCCTTGCTCGTGGTCGGACGAATCAACGTCGGTAGGGTTCGACAGCTCGCTCTCCCCATCTTCTTTCTCAACACCCTTGAGCGGTGCCGTTGCACGGGGCGGAGCCGGTGAGAGCGAATGACGAGACGAGGCAGGCGACAGACTCGAGCTCGGCGGCAGCGGCGGCGGCGGCGGTAAAGGGAGCGATGTCTTGTTTTTCGGAGAGACAGATTTCCTCTTTGTCGGCGGCGGCGCGGGTGAGAGCGAGGGCGAAGGCGAGTGGGTCGACGGCTGTGACGAAGGTGAATGAAAGCCTGTATCCTCACATCAGTACTTGTCATGCATCTCGAGAAAGGTGAGGGGGGCGTACCGAGTTGACCTTTCTCCTCTTTCTCCTTCTCATTCTCTTTGTCTTGCTCCACAATCCCCTTCTCCTCAACATCCCCCATCCGCACATCATCCACCTCACTCTCCCTCTCAACCAGCCCCCCCTCCACCTCCACCCCGCCCAAGCCCAAGCCCAACCCCGAAGCCTTGACAACACCCCTCCACCGCCTCACACTCTCCACTTCAAGTTCTTTCCTTCTCCAGCCTCTTACGGCGCCTATCAGGGGACCGAGGTTGGCCAGTTGCGGTTGGTGTTCGGCTTCTTCTCTTTCTGGTTCTTGTTCTTGTTCTTGTTCTTTTTCGGGGTGGAGGTCGGGATGGTCGGGAGCCGAAGGGTCGTCGGCACGGTCTGACGTGATGTTCTGACCAGGTACGCGTTCGCCCATAACCACATCCCCCTCCCCCTTCTCTTTGACACCAGAACCACGAACAGGCGGCTCCGGCAAGACAAGCTCACTCTTCCCCCTCACAATCTTCCAAACCTCCATCATCTGCTCTACCACACACCCCCCTCCCCCTCCCCCTCCTTTTCCTCCAGAAACACACCCACACCCCGCAAAAACCCCTCCCAACCCCGCCAACAAAACCCCAAACCGCCTCCCTACCTCTTCCCTCTCCCCCTCCCCCAACCTCCTCACCCCCTCAAGAAAAGGAGTTGATGGGTACTCTAAAGGGTATAGGGCGAGGGGGATCCCGGGACGGTTGTCTGGGAGGATGGTGGGGTGGAGAGAAGGGAGAAAGTGGACTAGGTGGGCATCGTCCCATTCCCAGCCTAGGGTGATCTCTTCTTTCTTGCCGATATCTTGGCTCGCAAAGATGCCAAACGTCACCTTCCCTTCCCCCTCCCCCTCCTTCCCCTCCTTCTTCCCCTTCCCCTTGCCAGCAGGTTGATGAATGACAACCCTCAGCACCGCATTCGGCCTACAACTCGACCTAACAAACCGCATCTCCCCCCCATAAGCCCGGGCATCAAGCACAAGATCCACCGGCGGGCCCACCCCCCTCACACCCGGCTTGCCAGTCCCCAACAACGCATACTGATTCACTTTATCCCGCCTATACCGCCCCCCCTCCCTCACCTCCGCCACGTATTCGCCTAGAAAGGTGCCTTTTTTGATAGGCGCGGAGGAGGGGGAAGGGAAGAGGCCGTATAGCGTTGGGTGGGTGTACAAGGAAGGCATAGACAAATGCGGCGCGTAAGACGGGGGGAGGAAGGATTTCTTCGGTAAAGGGATGGGGGTGACTTGGAGTTTGACCCCCCCTGGAGGGGTGAGGGATGAGAGGTACACCGGCGGGAGGGGCGGGGCGAGGGTATCGAATGAGGGGGTGGGGTAGACTGAGGGGGAAGGGGAAGGGGAGAGCGGGAGGGGGGGTTCGGTGGGGGATGGAAGATGGGTTTGGTCTTTGCGCGGTTTGGCCCTGCCTTTGGGTTCGGGCGGGGCGGGGTCGAGCAGCCATTCTTCATACACCTCCCTCAACGCCCGCCTCACACCCACCCCCCGGAGCACGCTCTCCTGTATGGGGATATACTCCATCGACCACGGGGAGAGTTTGAAATAATCGTCGTCTTCGGGTTCGTCCCTCTGCCTCGACGGGGGTCTGGCGGCGGGGAGAGAGGGAGCAGGGGCCGGGGTGGACTCGGCTGTTTGGGTTTTGCGCCGGCCTGATTGTTGGCGCCCTCGTTTAGGTTTCGCGGGGGGCAACATCTCGTCATCCTCCTCCCTCTTCCTCCCCTTCCCCCTACTCCTCGGCTTCTCCCCCCCTCCCCCTCCCCCTCCCCCCACCCCAGCAAGCCTCGCCCCCTTCGCCATCTCAATCATCCTCAACTGCCCCTCCCTCGCCTTCCCCCGATCCACCTCCCTGAAATCACAAATCTCACACAAATACCTTTCCGGCGCGTCGTCGGGGTGGGCAAAGCCGACGCAGAAGCCGTGCTCCCAGGCGCCGCAGAGGTCGCATTGGATGGTGAAGCCGTCGTCTTCGGGGAAGCCGCAGATGCAGCGGATGAGGGTGTTGTCGAGGCCGAGGTAGTGTAGGGGTTGGGGTTGTGCTTCTGTCGGTGGGGGCGGGGGGGAGGGGCGTTGGCGTTTTTGGCCGTGGGGAGAAGGGACGTCCATCGACACATCCCCATCTGCATCTCCATCTCTGCCCTCGTGCACTTGCTCACGCATCACCTCCTGCTGCTGCTCCTGCGGGTGCGTTTCTTCAGGGGCGACATGCTCGACAGGCGGTTGCTGCGGCAGGTCGTGGGAGTGGGCAATGTTGAGGAGGAGCGACACGGGGTCGTCAATGGGGGCGTCCATTCTGAAGGAGTGCTTCTGCGCATGTCAGCTGTTTGCTCGTGGATATCACTGGGGACGTACTTGTGGGAGGGGCTTATCGAGGCATCACACGTGGAGTATTATATAACGTGGGTAGAATGGCTGAAAAGTCAGAGGCGATGTGCGGCTTATTTTTCACGCTGCATTAGGAATGCACGATTAGCGGCATCAAATATATCCATTTTTCCCCTTTTCTCCCGCCCCCTCTCTCTTCCCTCTCCTCCACTCCATCTCTCTCCAAACACCCCCAACCACCCCCCCAAGCATCCGCCATGTCGAAAAAGGGCGCGAGGGACCTGTCCCAGTTCAACTATGGCGCCATGTCCAGCCTCGTCGTCAACCAGGGTGAGTTCCCGTCTCATCCACGACCCATCACTGACTTTTTACCAGACCGGAGTGTGGTCCGCAACGACGAGCCCACCGGCGCCCCTGAATCCCTCGTCGGGCGAATCGACCCCAAAGGCATGGGCGCCCGCGCATACCGCGACGCCCCCGACATCTCCAAACGCAAGAAACCCTCCTCCTCCTCTGCCGCCGCCGGCACATCGGCGGACGAAGTCGAGCGCCAGATCAGGCGCCAGCAAGACTCCAAACGCGCCCAATTCGGCGCCCAGGGTGTGCTCGACAGTGTCGCCGAGCTCGAGGGGCTGCGGTACCGCCCGCGCACAGCAGAGACGAGGGAGGTGTACGAGCTCATGCTTGGGCTGGTCCATTCGATCTTGGGCGACCAGGCGCAAGAGATCATCCGCTCGGCGACGGATACCATCCTCGAATCCCTCAAATCCGACGACCTGAAAGAGTTTGATAAGCGTAAAGACGTCGAGTCGGTGCTCAACAAGCTCGACGAGCCGATCTGGGCGCAGCTCGTCTCGCTTTCGAAAAAGATTACAGACTATGTCGAGGAGGACGAGCAGGAGCGGGATGAGAGGCAGCAAGCGGTCGACCAGGAAGGCGTCGCGGTCTTGTTTGAAGATGAAGACGAGGACGAGGAAGAAGATTTCGAAGCTGGCGGCGGGGACGACGAAGACGAGTCTGAAGACGAAGACGAGGACGAAGAAGAAGAGTCTGACGCCGAGCCGATCGAGGCTGGCGACGATACCCTCACCGTCGGTACCCGCCCCACCAAAAAGTCCAAACCCTCCGACACCCTCCACCCCCGCCAGATCGACGCCCACTGGCTCCAGCGCCTCATCGCCGCCTCCTACCCCGACCCCGTCCAATCCACCGACCTCGCCTCTTCTTCTTTCGACCTCCTCGCCTCCGAGCTCGAACTCCGCGACCTCGAGAACGGCCTCGCCGAGCTGTTTGGTTACGAGAATTTCGAGCTTGTCGAAAAGTTGACAAAGAACAGGGATGTGGTGGTGTGGTGTATCCGGCTCGCGAAAGCGACGGATGAGGAAAAGATGGATGTGGAGGTGGCTATGCGCGAAAAGGGTCTCGGCCGGATCCTCCGCGAACTGAAAGGCGACAAGACCCCCACCACCACCGCCACCCCCACCGTGCCGGAGAAAGCCATCCCCTCCCACGCGACCCTCAAACCAGGCTCCATCGCCACCCCCCGCGCCACCATCGACATCGACTCCCTCATCTTCTCCTCCGGCGCCCACCTCAACACCGCCAAAAACATCAAACTCCCCGAAGGCTCGTTCAAACGCCAGTTCCCGGGGTACGAAGAGATCCACGTGCCCGAGCCCAAACGCCGCGAACCCGTGCAAGGGGAGTTGGTCGATGTGCGGGATATGCCCGAGTGGACGTGGCCGGTGTGGGGGGTGGGCAAGACGGAGAGGTTGAATGTGATTCAGAGTAAGGTTTATCCGGTGGCGTGGGGGAGCAGTGAGCCGATGTTGATTTGTGCCCCCACCGGTGCGGGAAAGGTCAGCCCCCTCTTCTTTCTTATTGAGGTGTTGCTAATCAGAGTGTAGACAAATTGCGCCGCCCTGACCATCCTCCGCACCATCTCCCAACACCTCCTCCCCTCCGGCAAACCCGACCTCGACGCCTTCAAAATCATCTACGTCTCCCCCATGAAAGCCCTCGTCCAAGAACAAGTCGACGCCTTCTCCAAACGCTTCTCCCCGCTCGGCATCACCGTCGGCGAGCTCACGGGCGACTCGCAAATGACCAAAGAGCAGATCGGCAAGACGCAGATTATCGTGACGACCCCGGAAAAGTGGGATGTGATTACGAGGAAGAGCACGGATGTGTCGTATACAAATCTTGTGAGGTTGATCATTGTGGATGAGATTCATCTGTTGCATGATGATAGAGGACCAGTGCTCGAGGCGATCCTGGCAAGGACGATCCGCAAGATGGACCAGACGCACGACCCCGTGCGCGTCGTCGGTCTGTCCGCCACCCTCCCCAACTATGTCGACGTCGCCGCCTTCCTCCGCGTCGACCCCAAAGTCGGATTGTTCTACTTTGACGCCTCCTACCGCCCCGTCGGGCTCAAACAGCAATTCGTCGGCGTCACCGAGAAGAAAGCCATCAAGCGGCTCCAGACGGTGAATGAGGTGTGCTACGAAAAGGTGCTCAACTATGCTGGCAAGTCGCAGACCCTCGTCTTTGTGCATTCCCGGAAAGAGACTGCCAAGACGGCGCAGTTTCTCGTGGAACAGGCGCAGGAGAAGGAGACGCTCGCGCAGTTTATCAACCCCTCCGGCGCATCGCGCGAGATCCTCATCCAAGAGTCTGCGCAGTGCAAAGACCTCAAACTCAAAGAAGTCTTGCCCTTCGGGTTCGGTATCCACCACGCCGGCATGTCCCGCGAAGACAGGACCACAGTCGAACAGCTCTTCTTTGAGGGCCACATCCAAGTGCTCGTATGCACCGCCACCCTCGCATGGGGCGTCAACCTCCCAGCACACACCGTCATCATCAAAGGCACCCAGGTGTACAACCCGGAAAAGGGCAAATGGGCCGAACTCTCCCCGCAAGACGTGCTGCAGATGCTCGGTAGAGCGGGGAGGCCGCAGTTTGATACGTACGGGGAGGGGATCATCATCACGAACCATGGAGAGCTGCAGTATTATACGGGGTTGATGAACCAGCAGCTGCCGATTGAGAGTCAGTTTGTGGGGCGGATGGTGGATAATCTGAATGCGGAGATTGTGCTGGGGAATGTGAGGAATAGGGATGAGGGGGTGCAGTGGCTTGGTTATACTTATCTGTACGTTACTTCGTTTTGAAAAGGGGTGTGGCTGATGGGGAGTAGGTATGTGAGGATGTTGAAGTCGCCCAAGCTGTACCTCGTCGGAAGAGATTACATGGAAGGCGATCCCACGCTTATCCAAAAACGAGGTAGGTCCCCCCTCTCCCCATCCTCGCGCCCCAGCTAACTCGCTTTCCCAGCCGATTTGATCCACTCTGCCGGTGTCCTCCTCGAAAAAGGCGGCCTCGTCCGCTACGACCGCGCCACCGGCACTTTCCAGTCCACCGACCTCGGCCGCATCGCCTCCCACTACTACATCACCTACTCTTCCATGGCCGTCTACAACAAACACCTCAAACCGAACCTCACCATGATCGACCTCTTCCGCGTCTTTGCCCTGTCCAACGAGTTTAAACTCATCCCTGTGCGACAGGAAGAAAAGCTCGAGTTGGCCAAGCTGCTGGAGAGGGTGCCGATCCCGATCAAGGAAGGCGTCGAGGAGCCGGTGGCAAAGGTTAATATGCTGTTGCAGGCGTACATCTCGCAGCTCAAGTTGACGGGATTCGATATCGTGACGGATATGGTCTTCATCCAGCAGTCTGCCGGGCGTATCCTCCGTGCCATGTTTGAGATTTGTCTCAAAAAGGGCTGGGCCGCCCCGACGCGTGCGGCGCTCGACCTGTGCAAGATGGTCGAGAGGCGGATGTGGAAGAGCATGACGCCGCTGAGGCAGTTCCCCCGCGTATCGCGCGAAGTCGTGCAGAGGGCCGAGAGGAAGGAGTTCCCGTGGCATCGGTACTTTGACCTGAACGAGGCCGAGCTGGGTGAGCTCGTCGGTCTGCCGAAATCGGCGCGATACCTCCGTTCCCTCGTCGACAAGTTTCCCCGACTCGACCTCCAAGCCCACGTCCTCCCCCTCACCCGCTCCCTGCTCAAGATCAACGTCACCGTGACGCCCGATTTCCAGTGGGACCGCGATATCCATGGGGCTTCGCAGCTCTTCTGGATCCTTGTCGAAGACGTCGATGGCGAGCAGCTGCTCTACCACGATTCGTTCGTCTTGAGGGAGAGGTTTGCGCAGGATGAGCATTATGTGACGATCACGGTCCCGATCTCGGAGCCAGTGCCGCCAAACTATTATCTGTCTGTCGTGTCGGATAGATGGTTGCAGAGCGAGACCAAGCTGCCGATCTCCTTCGCCCACCTTATTCGCCCTGCTCCTTTCCCCCCTCACACCCCTCTCCTCGACCTCCAGCCCCTCCCCATCACTGCGCTGCACAACAAGGCCTACGAAGCTCTCTACCCCTTTACCGAGTTCAACAAGATCCAGACGCAAGTCTTCCAAGCCCTGTACGCTGGGGACGAGAATGTCTTTATTGGCGCGCCTACCGGAAGCGGTAAAACCATTGCTGCCGAATTCGCTTTGCTGAGACTTTGGGCCAAGAAGGGCGATACGCCCAGGGCGGTGTGTATCGAGCCGTACCAGGAGATGGTCGACATGCGCGTCGAAGAGTGGCGTGCCAAGTTTAGCACCCTCGAAAAGGTCGTCGTCGGGTTGACGGGCGAGGCTACTGCCGATCTGGCTCTGCTGAGCAAGGCCGACTTGGTCGTAGCCACCCCCGCCCAGTGGGATATGATGTCGAGGCGATGGAAGAGCCGAAAGGACGTCAAGAGCGTCGGGCTGCTGATTGCTGACGAGCTTCAGCTTATCGGTGGTGATGTTGGCTCGACGTACGAGGTCATCGTCTCGCGTACTCGATACGCCGCCCAGCAACTCGAGACCCCCATCAGGATCGTTGCCTGCAGTGTGTCTTTGAGCAACGCTAAAGACTTGGGTGATTGGATCGGCGCTACGAGCCAGACCATCTTCAACTTTTCGCCGTCGGCCCGTCCACTTCCTCTTGAAGTGCACTTGCAGTCTTTCAACGTCCCCCACTTCCCCTCGCTCATGCTTGCCATGGCCAAGCCCGCCTACCTCTCCATCGTCGAGCACGCCTCCACCCGCCCCACCATCTGCTTCGTCCCCTCGCGCAAGCAGTGCAAGCTTTCCGCCAACGATATCCTCACCTACACCCTTGCCGACGAGGACGAAGGGAGGTTCTTGAACGTGGACAGGGAGGAACTCGAGCCGCATCTCGAGAGGCTGCAGGACGAGGATCTGAAGGAGACGTTGAGGTATGGAATTGGTTTCTACCATGAGGCGCTGAGCAAGGTGGATAAGAAGATTGTCACTGGGTTGTTTGAACAGGGTGCGATCAGGGTACTTGTCGCAAGCAAGGTGAGTTGTACATTACGATCGAGGGGCGACGCTGATATTATCTAGGACACTGCGTGGTCTCTCCCCGTCACATCTTACATGGTCATCATCATGGGCGTCCAATCCTTTGACGGTCAAGAACACCGATATGTCGACTATGCCATCGCCGACGTTCTCCAAATGATGGGTCGAGCTTGTCGACCCATGATCGACTCTTCGTCCCGATGTGTCCTCATGGTCCAGCAGACGCGTAAAGACTTTTTCAAGAAATTCTTGAATGAGGCCTTGCCCGTCGAGTCTAGTCTGCCGAACTACCTGCACGACCATTTCAACGCAGAGATTGTGGCCAAGACGATTGAGAACAAGCAAGACGCGGTGGATTGGTGTACTTGGACTTGGTTCTACAGGAGGTTGATGCAGAACCCCGGGGTGAGTTCAATACGCTTCTCGGTAATACCTCGCTAATCCTATACCAGTTCTACAACCTTCAAGGGACAAGCCCAACGCAAGTCGCCGACTATCTCTCCGAGCTCGTCGAATCTACCCTCAACGACCTCGTCGACTCGGACTGTATCATCGTCCAAGACGAGATGGACACTCTGCCCAACAACTTGGGTATGATTGCCTCATTCTACTACATCTCCTACATCACCGTCGACACCTTCTCCAAGTCTATCAAGGAAACTACCAAGCTCAAGGGCCTGTTGGAGGTCGTGTCTTCGGCACACGAGTTTGAGGTTGTTCCTCTGAGACATCACGAGGACACTCTTCTCGAGAGGATCTATGACCGTGTACCCGTCAAGCTTCAAAACGTCGACTACACCTCTCCTTACTTTAAGACTTTCCTCCTCCTCCAAGCCCACTTCTCGCGTCTCACACTTCCCCCCGACCTCGCCATCGACCAGGCTCTCGTACTCTCAAAGATTACGGGTCTGCTATCAGCATGTGTCGACGTCATGTCTTCCAAGTCGTACTTGGGTTGTTTGGGAGCGATGGACTTGTCGCAGATGTGTGTGCAGGCTGTCTGGGATAGGGACTCGCCCTTGAAGCAAGTGCCCTACTTTGACAGAGATGTTCTCGCGAGATTCAAGGAGAAGAACTTGGACTCGGTGTACGACATTATGGAGTTGGAGGACGATGAGAGGAATGACTTGTTGAGGATGAACGATCGACAACTGTACGTTGCCTTCACTCTAACGGTATATTCTTTGCTGACCTGCATATAGCGCCCGAGTCGCCAAATTTGTCAACTCGTACCCCAACGTCGAAGTCTCCTATTCCGTCGCCAACGCCTCCTCACTCAACGCCTCCGAAAGTGTCGAGCTCAACGTCACGCTTGACCGAGAAGTTGACGAAGACGATCCCGAAGCTGGCCAACAAGCCGACGCTCCTCACTTCCCTCACAAAAAGATGGTTTCTTGGTGGCTCGTCGTTGGTGATGACGCTACAAAGAATCTGTACGCCATCAAAAAGGTCACGATGACCAAGGCAACGGCAAAGGCCAAGCTCGAGTTGCAGCTGCCAGAGGGAGAATGGGCGTTGAAGTTGTATTTGATCTGTGACAGTTATGCGGGCGCGGACCAGGACTTTGAGCTGGAGAAGCTCACGGTTGCGGAGGGTGAGAGCTCGGATGAGGATGATAGTGATGATGACGAGGACGAGATGGAGGTGGACAAGTAGATGGTGTCGGTAATAAAAAATTTGAAACGGGTCTTGGAAAACTAAAGTGTAACTGCTATTTTTATCTCTCTCTCGCCATTATATGCATTGTTCGTTTCCGGAAACCTAACGAATATTCTATCAAGATTCGTTCGTAGCCTTGACGATGCCTCGAAAGCGATCCTCTCCACAAACTTTGTCCCTCTCTTGGGGAAGATATCGTGGAAACATTGTACAACCGGACCACCTGCATCATCGTTTCCATCGTTGCCGGGCTCACCTATCCTCTCTCTTTCTCGATGAACGTACCGACCGTTCTCATCCTCGCCTACTTTCTCAGAATCTCCTTCCCCATCGTCGCTTTGACCCTCACCTTGAGAGGAATCAGTGTAAGAGGTTGTGTTGGGATGGGGTGGCTGTTTCGATAAATGTGACTGTCTAGGAGGAGGGGATGGTAGTCTAGAAGGGGGCGGTGGAGAGGCTGGGGTCTTTCATACTGAGCCATGACGACGTTGTTCAAGTCTTATGATTGACAAGTGGGCGACAATATCGACGATTGACCAAAGAGACAGGGACTAGCCAACAGGCCAGGATTAGCAAGTGGTACGAGGGCGGCGAAGGGCATGCCCACCTGGCTGCTGCTGACATCATCACATCAGTGTCGTCTTCTGCGAGATGCTAGAAGATATCCCTCCCCCAGCGGATGTCGCTTCTATCACCTCCCCTGACCATGCCCCAGTTTTGGAGCTTACGGATGCCACTATGAAATCAGAAGCCACTCTAACCTTCTTCCTGTCAATCATCTCCGGTAAAGATCTCGAGGTCGCTCTTGAAGAGTGTACGACTACAGACTACGTCCCTACGTTCTACTACGCTATGACTCTCGCCCGGAAATGAGATTGTGCGATCGCCACCCAGCTGCTAAAGAGTTGGCTGAATGTTCTGGCCGATAAAGTGCATACACATCCGCATTTCAAACCGCTGGACGTCTTCATGATTGCTGCCAAATACGACTTGCCCAAAGTCGCCGCGCGAGTCATTGAAGTCTATCGGGTCAACGGATCTTGCCTAGCGCACCCTTCCAGTGGCCGGTGGGCATTCCTACCCTCCAACAAACCGTTCAAGGCTCAGTCTCTCGAGATGACAGCTTGGAACGATACGTCGATGGCATATCTCCGTGCTCTTGCACTCACGTCCACTGTTGCGCAAGATCAGGTTGTGTCGATGTCGATCTGTTCCAATTGTCAGACTCGTGGTTGGGACTGGATCGGACAAGCCAAAGAGTACTTGCAGTCTTCCAAGAGGGCCGCAAAGTTCCTCAGCCACCTTCAGGATAGTTAAACCACGTAAAGTATGACTAGCAAGATCGACCGAGAATTCTGCTGTACTCGTTCGCACAGTATGTTGCAGAAGTAGAATGGATTCCTGTGTTCCTTGCTCCTTGGCACACCCACTTCCTGATATCAGGCGCGTATGCATCATTGATAGGTTCGCGAATCATGCGTCTTCTTATTTAAAAATATATAAGCAGCTCATCTCACTGGTCGTTCTTGCCATCCAGTCAAACCTTTGAGCCGCAGGATTTTGAGAGAAAGGCTTGGGAGCTCATACCGGGGGCTTACATACACGCTCTGGCTCTCGTGCCAGCTGCACCTAAAAAGGATAATCTCAGATGTGGTGGTTTTGTGGATATGATGTCTAGAGTCTGGCTGGATCTCAACTTTTGCTTGAGGTTTGTGGAGTCCTTTCGGAGGTCTCGCCAGTTGCACAAGCATCTTCAGGTCGACAACCATGACTACAAGTAGGTGAAAGTTCGAAGCATCTAGTATTGCACTACTCATACTGAGTTGAATCATGATATCTTGGTTTCGTATGCGCAGGACCCCCTTCTTCAATCTCTTACACAAGAGCGAGTGTCCGCGATTTATGACCCTGTGCATATAGCATGTCCGTATCAATGCTACCCATATGTATCCCAGAATTCCGCCATTCACCTTATTGACTGACTCCACTCATTCGTAATGGCCTTAATGTGACTCATCTCGAAGATCTTATCCCGCCAGAAGAGACCCGGCCAGGAGGAGACGACGTTGAACGAAGGCTATGTAACGCGACGTTAAAATGCAGCAACGAAGAGGAACTAGGTAGCAGATAGTGTTCGTATGCAGCCTGTATCTCCCGAATGTATCTTCATGAGGTAAACAAATGCAACTTGTATAGCAAGGCCTACTAGCTCAGCTACGTGGAAGTATAAGATGGGCTTCGCCGGCGGCCGGCGCGCAAGAGCCTCCACCGTGTCCTCAACAAGTCCTCAACGCAAATATCTCCAGCATTGGGCTCGTCGCAAGAACTTCTCTACTCTTCAAAAAAACAACAACAGATGGTCATATCGCCGAAACATGTCTACGCTGGCCACCGACACCAAATCTACCGTTTCTGCTGAAACTTGGAAAGACACTGACGGCAAAAACCCAACTATCAAAGTCATCTCTAGCGACAATGTGGTCTTTCATGTGCCAGAGTATCTTCTCAGGGCACACAGGTGAGTGGACCCAACAATTACACCACTTAACCCATTCAATACATGTACTGACACCATCGCAGTGCTGTTCTCCGCGCGTTACTCGAAGATATCCCTCCCCCGACCCTGAGCTCTTCAGACGACACCCCTACCCCTTAAGAAGACCCCTCCAGGATTTTCGAGCTCACCGATTCCACTCTCGAATCCGCCTCTACCCTCGCCTTCTTCCTATCCGTCATCTTCGGCAAAGACCTGGACATCGCTCTCGAGGAGTGCACGACTGAAGACTACGTCCCCACCTTCTACTACGCCATGGTTCTGGCGAAGAAGTGGGACTGTGCCCTGGCGACTCAGATGCTACGGCTGTGGTTGATGCAGCTGGCGGAGAAGGGTAACGCGCATGCGCACATCAAGCCACTGGATATCTTCATGATCGCTGCCAAGTACGATTTGCCTGATGTCGCAGCGCGAGTCATCGCAGTCTACAAGGTGGATCAGTCCTGCTTGACGCGTCCTTCCAACGGCCGCTGGGCGTTCTTGCAATCAAATAAAGAGTTTGAGACGCAACACTTCGAAAGGTCAACCTGGCAGGAGACGCCGGGGGCGTATCTACACGCTCTGGCGCTCACACCTGCCTCAGTTGACTCGGACGTGAAATGCGATAGGTGTCGAAACGCCAGTGGAGACTACTACGGTAGCAAGGCCCAGTGTAGCTTGAACTCAGGCGAGTTCAAAGCAGGCTTCATACAAGTTAGATCCGCCAAAAGGGCTGTCCAATTCCTTGAACACCTTCAGGTCAAATACACCAAGTATGAGTAGCGATATGAACCGAATACCCGCGTGTCTCTGATGCAGTCTCTGATGCAGAAGTAAAATATAAACCTCGTCTCTTGCTCTGTTGTCCATCACACTTTTCGGCCTCAGTTGCGTATGCATCGTTTATAGGTCTGCGCATGATGCTGTTCGTATTCAAGAATATATAAGCAGCTCATCTCAGGAGCATTTTTCGTTCCAATATCCCCGACCTCCACCATTCTCCTCCAGGACCTAATTCTGCTCATCCTCGGGCTTCTTGGTGCCTAGCACAACGCAGTGTTGACCACCAGCAGAAGGCGTAAGCGACTTGTACGGCCGAAGAAGCTACACCCCCATCAGTATCCCACCCCTCCCAAACACACAACAATGTAACGCACCTTGCTCCTAACCAAGCTCGGCACCTCAGCATCCTCCTCGCTCCCCAAGCCCAACTGCCCCTGGTTCCCAAGACCCCACGCATAAAGATGACCAGATTTCGAGACGGCAAGGTTGTGTCGGGTACCAGCAGAGATGCTGATGATGGGGTTGTCTTCAGATTTGGAGTCTTTCCAGGCGGGGAACTCGGGGACGACTTCATAAGACTCGGGGATGGGAGGGAAGGCGATCTAAAGGAAAGTATCAATACAGTTGATAATAGGGTAGGTGATGACTCACTCGGACAGGCTCGGGGACGTATTCGCCAGAAGGAGGCAACTTCAAAGCCACCTTGGCCTCTTCCAACTCTTGCTCAGCCTTCGCCTTGTCATCCTCATCCGCCTTGTCGCCCTTCTGCAAGATCTCATCGAGCTTCTTCTGCCTCTGCGTCACCTTCTCCTCTCTGTACTCTTGCAGCTCCTGACGGCGCTCCTTGATACCTTCTTGAGCGGGGTGGTCGGAAGGAAGACCGAGCTCGTTGGCATCACATCGGCCGCAACCCCATACCTCGCCGTTGTCGAAGAGGAAGAGGGAGTGGTGTTCACCACCCTCGATCTGGATGACCTTGCTGCCGTTGTGATTCTCGGGTCGAAGGGCGTCGACGGGAGTGGGAGTGACGACCATATCATCGCCATCCGTCACACCAGTCTGCTTGAACGTGTTCAAACCCCAGCCATACACCACACCATCCTTGTCGAGCGCGAACGAGTGGTAGATACCAGTAGCCACATGTATAATGTTCCTCAAGCCCAATCGCTCAGGCTCGAGACCGTTGATCCTTCGGCGCGAAATGATTCGTCGGCCGAGCTGGTTCTCCTCGCCTTTACCCCAGACGTAGACGTGGCCGGCGGTAGTGACGGCGAGCACGTGGTCGGCGCCGCAGGAAACTTGGGTGATTTGGACTTTGGCGAGGGCGGGGAGGGAGATGGGGGTGAATTGGAATTTGGGGTGGCCGGGCACGCCGTCGAAACCGAGGACGCCGTCATTGGACTGACACCATGTCAGCTCGGCAGATCACAAAGGGGATAAGGCTTACTCGGAAAGATCCCCAAGCACGAAGCTCTCCCTTGTCAGAGATAGCGACACTGATACTGTCACCAGCGGCGACCTGAACAGCCCTGAACCCTTCCTTCTCGAGGGTCTCGACGACGAAGGGGTAAGTCTCGAGCTCTTCGTTTTCAATAGCTTTGGAGGGGTCTGAAGGGTCGGGGACGTCGACGGTAACACGACCAAGAGCGGCATTGTCGTTGATACCCCAAGATCTGACCTACCGACGCGTCAGTTAAAATTCGATCGAGAGACTCGGTGCGACTTACTCTTCCACCTTCATCAATGGCGAGAGTGTGCATACCACCACAGTCGACAGACTCGAGCCCACCACCAGGCTTGCCATCCCGACTCAGCTTTCCCTCTTCGCTCTGCTCCTCGAGCCAGGTGTGAATCTTGGGTCTGGCGATTTCTTCGAGGAGGTCGGGTCCGAGACCGAATTGGCCTTGGTCGCCGGTACCCCATACAAAGAGGGCATTGTGGGGCTCAGACACGGCTACCAATCTGTCAGTATAGTTCTTTGCCCAACGGAAGGTACGCACCAGGGATAGCAGGAATATGGTTCACCTCCTCCACCTTCTTGATCTTGCTGCCAGCGGCAGAGCTGACCCTGCCTTTCTTCGCAGGGGGCTCGTGGGCATCAGAGACCTTTCGGCGCTTGTTATTGCCATTGACAACAGGTACTGAGGCTTCTGGGACCTTGTCAAGCTTTGAGGCGGCCTTGGGGGCGGCTTTCGAGACGGGTTTGGCAGAGGCAGCTCTGGATGGGGCCTTGGAGGGAGGCTTGGAGCTGGCTCGGGAGGTGGATCCTGGGCTAGTCAGCGGAATTCTTTCTCAAGGGGGATGCTCACGTCGGGGGGGCATTGTAAACTTTGAAATGGGCGAATTTGAGCGAAGAAAGCTGAAAGAAACTCTCATGTTGTGATGATGTTGATGTTTTCGCTCCAGGATTATGTAACGCGGAGCCAAATGGGGGCCGGCCGCCGATGAATCCACAATCGTCACCCTTCGATGCAACGTCTCTCATGCATATATCTGGATGTGGATGAGTTGATATACAGACCCAAGTGGATAGCGAGCCCTCGGCTACACCCGTGAGTACTCCCATAACGGACGATGGAATTGAGTAACGCGAGCAATGTGAAGGCACGTTGGACAGACTGGAATCAACACGACGATGAGCGTGCTTCGAACGTATCTGTACCAAGCTGCATGATGTTTTCCTTACGTATCCTTCATCCCTAGCATGGCCTTCACCTGTCTCATCTCCCACGCAAGCTGCTTATTCCCACGACGACCGGTTGGAACTACTCTCGTATCCTTAAAGCCTATTACCAGGCATAGACTACCAAGGAGCTTTGAAGGAGCTGAAGACTGCACAACAGGTATGTAATGCTTAATTTTACCAGGTATTAGGAGCTGAAGACTGTACAACAGTATTCAATAATGCCGAGCTAGCGGGAGGAATGAGATCAGTAAAGGCTATACTGAGAGGGTTCGTATATGAGCAGGGGATGCTCAGTAAATGCAGAGTACTTGTACACGCAACACGAATCTGTTATACATTCCTTCTTCCATCGTCCGAAAGCGGCGGACATGATTTTGAGTCTTACGCAAGTAATACAATTTCATTCCTACGCACAATCGCTAACACCACTAAGCCGCCTAGGCAAAACTAATAGGGAAATGCGCCAACAAATGCCCATACCTCTCCTGGAACAGCTCTTTTCCACCCCCATATCGCACACGATGGAGCCATAACCCCTTTCGTGCCCAGTTCACGGCGTCGCTCGTGTTCTACAGTCGTGTCAACCCTAACTTTAACCATAATACTATAGTCGAAAGAAGACTCACATCGTTGAATTCGAGGACAGCCAAAAGCATTATTGTCATAATGACATCGTCTTCCAGATAATGGCTTTCGTAGACTTTTCTCTGAAGATACTTTTCTTGAGTGGGTGTCGTGAGCACGACTCCAGCATATTTCAGGGAAAGCATGAACGCCTGCAAGATGGTCAGTGGGTTTACTTTATACCACAACAAGAGACAGCCACATACGTCTCTCGCCTTCGCCCCCTGCCCCGAGCACCGGAGTGGCCGCCGTAGGAGTTCGTCTTTGAGATTTGTCGAAAGATGTCGAGCCCCATGCTTGGGGGAGGGCTGGTGAAGAGGAGGGGGAGACGGGTGGGTTCGTCTGGCAATTGGGGGAGGCCCCGGGGGGAAGGGACGATGGCAGACGAGAAGCCTTTAAGAACCTCAAGGAGAGAAGGATCATCGTATATCCTGTGCAACATCCGATACACCATCGCATACGTCCCATGGGATACGATGCTCTTCGACTCAAAGTCGTAGCAGTTGACATAGACGTTTGGCGCATCGAGGCGGGGGCAAGTCGGGGCGATAGCTTTGCTGACCATGATGAGTTGGCCAGGGACGATATCCCGAGTCGCCATAACCCCTCTGCCGCGCCCGGCAACTTGGGTGACGTTGCAAGCCGGGGAAACATAGTCCCCAACATCAATCCCCATCTGTGCGTCCTTCAACGACTCTCAAAAGATCGAGACCCAGTCATACCCCCCACTCTCTTGCTCTTTCAATCTCTTCTCCGCTCTCTCCCTCACCATTTTGACAAACCCCGTCATGGTCGATACAGGCGCAGCGTCATCGCAAGCTTTGATGGCGGTCCGGTAAAGACCAAGGCCCATCGCGGCCTTTGCGATCTGTAGCTGTATATGAACGTGCATATCTACGGGGATGGTGACGTTGTTTCTGTTGATAACCTCTCGAGCGCGGAGCGCATCGCGATAAGCATGACCGTGCAGGCCAAGTGCTTGATAGGCTTGCGTACGTTCCAGGAGGAAGATCATGGTTTTGATACCACTGCTCTTGACCATGGGGTCGGAGAGAGCGAGTGAGAAGAGACGGAGAGCGACCTTGCGTTATCGTCAGCCTTGCTAGCCACGACTAGAAAAGGAAGGGATGCTTACACAAAAGTTTTGATTCGACATCTCTTCAGCTCCCTCGTCTTTGCAGTCCAACAAACTCTCCGGGCAACGCTCCTCCAGCCCATCCTGCCACTTCATCCCCCTCACCACCGGATCCTCCGGGTGCACCTCTTCAATCTCATGCGGTAAATCCACTTTGATCGCGAACCCCCCATTCCCACTGAACCCGACTCTCGGGGACTTGATAGCGAGTAAAGCGCCCAGGGGGTAGAGTTTGGCGAGCGTGTTGGGGAGGGAGAGGGCGAAGTGGGGGATGGGTGTGGGGTAGTTGATGATGACGGGAAACACGGCGCCGGAGGGGTCTTCGAGGTAGCTATATCATTGTAAGCGAATGTCAGCAAGAAGGTGGTGAGCTTACAAGCTGAGGGCTATACCAGATCGTACAGGCGTGATAACTTTGCCGATAAACATCCTCCCTGCCGACAAACTTCCTTGAGCATCCACCCTTACAAAGCTCAAGTACTCACCCTCATGCGTATGAAACATCGCCATATCCCTCCCCTCAATAATCTTCAGATCCTCCAGACGTGCTGGAATACACTTGACCCCCTGCCACACTGCTGGCAATATCTTCGTCTTGGCCGAGTCGTAAAAGTAAAGCCCCTCTTCAGGGTGTGTTCGATCCCATTCCAAAGCTTGTTGGCGAGTGATGAGAAGGAAAGGGTTCACATCCCGCAAGGGGCACGTGCTGAACATAACCCGCAGCTAAATACCATATCAGCACCCCATCTCCTCAGCCCAGTCACCACACCACACCGAAAAACGACTCACAATATGCTGGTCATACAACTTCTTCATCTGCTGTACCATAATCACCTTACACTGCTCGTCCGTCACTTTGGTGTAATGCTGGAGTATAGTCGATGCGGCGCCGCGCAGGGTGGCTTCGAAGGGGGTGTGGAGGTGCCATGGGAGGGTGGCTTTGATGCTGGTGTGGAGAAAGGTGAAGGGGGCGTCGGGGATGATGTCGTTGGGCTGCATGGCGGACGAGGCGTAGCACCCTCCTTGTTGTGAGGGGAGGGGGCGAGGGTGGTGGTGGATAGTCAGTGCTGAGAGCGGGTAGAATGGGGAGATGGGATAAGAAGAGGAAGAAAGAAATAACGATCGCCTGTCCGGGTGTGTATCTTGGTTACGCAGCGACAGGTCATCACCCGCAGCCCAATCAGCCTCACTGGTGTCTCTCTCAGCTTTCAATCGACGTTCATTGATGATTGTAGACTCTACCCTACCTTATTCTGGTATCAAATTTTGATGCTCATGCATGATGCTTACCTTCTAGAAGACTGTGGAGAATATACAACAAGGGGCGGGCGACGCCGCGCCGTCATGGACCAAGCCTGACGGCATGTACTTTACACCTGTCATTCATGGAACAAACCAAAAGCCTTTCTCTCATACCGCCCTACCGTCCCTCACCCAAGACCCATACTGTAAGGGATTGGTATACACTGGCTAATAGAAGGAGGATATGTTGTGACGTGTATCATGGAACGCAGGGTTCGGCGGTGACTAGGGTTGCCGCTATAGGCGGGATTGCGAGATGAGGTTCCCATATATATACATTGTGCCGCATCTCCGTAACCTTTTCCCCATCGATGTATTTTCGTAGTAACCTCATCACCTATATCCATCCTTCATCCATCCAGTCTATTCAAGGTCGACATCTGGTGCCCCTAGTCAGATCCTCTACATAATCACTCCTAGGTTATGCCACCTCCACCAAACCCATACACATAAAGACCCTTTATACCCGTCTACCCAAACCCTACCATACGCAACCCCCAACAACGCCTTCACCAACTTGATCTCCTCCCTCAGCTGATCCTCCCCTTCCCCTCCTCCTTCCTCTTCACCATGCGAGACAAGCCTCCACACTAGCAACAAGAGCAGCGAAGTACAAAAGACAAGATGCCTGATTCGAAAGATAACGCTGTGCTGACGCTATGCACGGCCGTGCTCTCGCTCGCTTCACCTGCCATCCGCGGTCTATTTGGTTCTGTGCCTGCCGTTGTTTACCCAAATGCGACGCGTCTGCCCCGGGTATTCCGGCCCGAAACGCGCCCGTTATCAAAGCATGTGCTGGCATAAGGTTTGGCGGGGTTTTGGAAAAATGGTTGAGCGATTTTGGGCGTGGCGAAATCTGATCCCGCGTTCTCCCTAATGAGGGCGGCCCCCCAGCCAAAAGGCTTCTTCCCACCAAACAACCATCCCCCACCACCCACCCACCCAAATCCATCCACCAGTGAGTTATCCCCGCCGTCTGCCCCAGAGCTTGCTTCGACGCGTATTCTCGTGCTACCTCCTTGCCCCTGCCTATCTGCCACGCTGGAGCGATGCATCCACCTCCCAGGGGACGCTCTATCAGCTCGCCCACTCCCAGGCTGGCTGGCTGGGTGCTGCCTGGGTGATGTTGACGCGTCTCGGCAGCCACCGCCCGGCGGTCATGCCTGGTGCTGCCGGTGGTTGCGCCGTCGTCGGCGGGTGGATGGGTGATCCCAGTGGCGAGGGGGGCGTGAAGGGGGGCAGGGTGGAGCGTGGGAAGGGCGGCGGGAATGCATCCCAGCCGCGCGTCATCCTCTCTGCCTGTTCTGCGCGCTCGTCCTTCAACATCCACCCATCCACCCATCACCTCAACCCCCGTCGGTGTGCATACGCGTCAACTATATTATCCCATCTTCTATTTCTTATCTCGTACTGCATAGGCTGATACATACCCTCCCGTAGCAATGCCCAAAGCCGCCACCGACAAGAAGGAAGTCAAGAAGGCCGCCCCCAAGCAGAAGCGCGAGAAGAAGGACCCCAACAAGCCCAAGAGGTCAGTCTCCCCTCCCCCCCTCCCCCCCCTCATCCCCTTCTTCCTCCCCCATTCTCCCCCATCCCCATCCCCGACCCAGTCCCATCCCTCACACATCAGCTGACATCATACACCAGAGCCCTCTCCGCCTACATGTTCTTCGTCCAAGACTACCGAGAGCGCATCAAGACCGAAAACCCCGACGCCACTTTTGGTGATGTCGGCAAGCTTTTGGGTCTCAAGTGGAAGGAAATGAGCGCTAGCGAGAAGGAGGTGTGTCTTTCTTTCTTTCTTCCTCCTTCTCTCTCATCTCTTTCTTGTCTTTCTGGTCTTTTTCGCGCACCGCGATAAGCTGGACCAAAGCTGACATGCGTTTCAGCCCTACAACAAGAAGGCCGACGCCGACAAGGTTCGTGCCGAAAAGGACAGCGCCGCGTACAAGGCCGACAACCCTCCCGAGAAGAAGTCCAAGAAGGCTGCTCCTAAGCAGTAAGTCCTCTCCTTTCCCTCTCTTCCTTCCCCCTTCCCCTCCGCTTCACCCTCTCCCCCCTCCATCCCAAATCCCAAGCGTACAAATGGCTGACACAAACCCCAGGGAGAGCGAAGAGGAAGAGTCTGACTAAACCATCTCACCCCCCTCCCCGCCCCCGCCGCTAGCCCCACCTGGCCATGTCTCTCTGCTTCGAATGTTGCCTTCCTATAGTACCTGTCCCTTCGCTCCTTCGCTTTTCGCTCTTATGCCCTTACTTTTTCGCTCTTATGCCTCCCACTATCCCACTTTTCGTATCATCATCATCATTCTGCTCTGCTGTGAATACTTTTTCAGATATTGGGAATGTCTCTTATCAAAACAGAAACAGACTTTTGTTCGTTGTTAAACTAGTCCTTTTCGCTTCGCTTTTTACACCTTTGAACATGACTTTTTTTCATATTCGTGAAGGATGAATTATATGATGATGGGATACTACCTACTTCGGAACGTTGCGCTCTCAAAGTCTCAATAGATGTTCCGGCACTCACAACTCTATCCAATCCGCCGAGGATGACCTTGACACCAGGTTCTTTTGGCTTCGTACTGTCGTCGTCTCCCGTTTGAGGGGGGCATAGTGTCGATAGGCGATTCTCTAGTTCTGCTGAGGGAAGGCGTGTTGGTGGAAGGGGCTTCTTCACGCTTGGACGTTGTTCAGAGTGGTTGTCGATTGAGGACATCTCGAAGTGCTGAGTGATGCGGGCGCGCAGGGTGGAGGTTGATCAAGCCGTGTGCCTCTGTGCTTTACAAAGCACCAGTCGTTAAGGAAAGGCTCTCAGATACAGAGGCTTGAGCCAGCCTCTCATCCCAATGCAAAGTATACGTTGATATGTACTTTCTTCCCAAATGCGATAGCAGGGGGCTTTGATGACCGCCGGCGTCGAGGAGTGGGGAGGAAGAGATTCTCCGACCTCGATGAGGACCGACACAAGCAAGGCCGCGTTGCCCCAACAAGGTCGGCCCAGTTCGCCGCTGCCCTGGATCGCCCTTATCAAACAGTACACACATAGACATAGCCTGCACGATAGTCAGTGGGGGCGTACTAGGCAGGCTGCAAGGCAAGCATGACGTGAACTCACTTTGCAAAACTCGTGAAATCACTTTTTCAATTCCTCCAAAAACTTTACAGCTCTCACAGAAGATAGCCACTTGCTTTCACCAAATGTTTCACAATATTTACACCAGTCTTCTTCCTCATCATCATCAGGGTCTTTGCTAGGCGATGCTTGATAGAGGGCATGCAGATAATGGCTCGGTATGAAGCCCCACGCTTCGGGCGTGAGGCTGGATATGTCGAAGTCGGCATGGGGATACACGAAAAGAGGCCAAGAGGGTGGTGGGTGCTTCAAGGCAACTTTTGTCTTGAAAAGAGGCCAAGAGGGTGGTGGGTGCTTCAAGGCAACTTTTGTCTTGTAGACCTCGAAGACTTTGGCAGCGATCTCTGGCAGACCCATCTGCGCAGCAATGACAAAGATGTCCAAACGCGATACCACTCCTTGGTCCAGGCCTTTCCCAGCGAGCTCCATCAAAGAGAACGTCAAAAGACGAGTCGCTATAGGGCAGTCCCATTTCTCGGCAAACCAACGGCAAACCGCATGACAGCCAACAACGTCTCTCCCCGCCCTCTCACAACCTGATCGCGAGCAACGGCGTCTTTCAGATCTTCGCCAGTCACGATGGCCAGGAAAAGGTGCAAGGTCTTGTATCCTTCAACCTTGGGGTCGGTGAATTCGATAGAATGGGGGCTGTCGCTGCCTGGGGGAGGGGATGGGATATCGTTGAGCAGGGTTCGGAACATGACACTGCCCAGTCTGTGTCAGCTTTTTTCCTGCTCGAGAAGCCAGACGCTCACCTATGTGACCTCAAAAGGTGCTCGGGCACATACAGCTCTACACCGTCAGCAGAGATGATCTTGGTGACGGCTTCATTGCTGCTATCTTGCGATATCGGCGGCCATAGTCTCGATTGATGGGGCTCTGTTCTGCTTTCTTTTTGAGGGTCGTCCGCGGACGGGCTGATGGGGCGCTTGGACATCGTCGAGTTTGGATTTGGGAAGCGTATGACTGTTTTGGGGAATGGTTGAGGATAATGGGCAGGGAGAAGATGCGATTGCAATAGAGAAAGGCTTGAGCGCGTCTGGAAAGTGGAGACGCGAAGTGGAGGTTAATTAAGCGTACCTACTCAGGGCAAGCTGAACGACGAAAGTGACAAGTGGCCCCGTGACCTGTGGGCTTCTTGGTAGCAATACATGGCTTTAATATACTGTAGTCTCTCTGCAACCATGGATCAATGAGAGGGGGTCGTTCTTGCAAAGAGCACCTCAATGATTACTACAGAAGCTGACAGAGCGAGGACGAACCACGACCGACGACTGACGACATCGATCATCACGCATAACGTACGCCTGATGATGGTCAGCCTGGAGTCACACAAGCCTGAGAGCATCTCACCATACTTCAATCTTTTTTGGAACGCGTCACTTCCTTCAAAAACTTTGAAGCTCTCAGTGCACTATTTGCCTCCCTGCTGCTGGTAGATTCACCACAATGTGTACAGAAGCCTCTCTCGTTGATGAACTTGGTCGATGCTCGATACCTGCCAGGCATCACTTGCCAAGCCTCGTCTTCCAGTGTATCAATGTCAACCAGTTTTCCCTACAGCAGAAAAGGCCAAGTCGATGTCGGCGACTTTGAAGCAGAGTCGGCTGCATCCTCCTTGCGTGTGTAGAGCTCGATGACCTTTGCGGCGATGTGAGGTAGGTCGAGCTGAGCGGCAATAACAAAGATGTCAAATGGGTCAATGATATCTTGGTCTCTGCCTCTCCTAGCTAGTTCCATCAGATACAGAGTCATCAAGTGGGCGGCCATTCTGCAGTCCCACTTCTCCGCAAATCTCATGGCGAATAGCAATGTCTCTCCAATACCTCCGCCGGTGTCATCCCGAAGGGCGCCCTCAAGGCTGTTCTGAGTGACGACAGCGAGGAAGAGATGCAGGGTCTTGTAGCCTTCAATGTCGGGGTCGGAGAACTCTATGAGGCGGGGGTCGGAACTTCCGGGGGCAGGGGGGGGATATCGTTGATCATGGAGCGCAGGACTTCGCTGATAGTACCATCAGCTTTGAGACTCTCGGCCTACTATTGGCGATGTGTCCTACCTATATGACTTCAGAAGATGCTCGGGCACATACAGCGCCATGCCGTCGTCAGAGACTACCTTGATTTCCACGTCTTTGCTGTCTTTGCCTTTCGACGGCCATATTGTCGATTGCTCGGATTTCACACTGCCTCCTACGCAAGTCGTAGAGGTGTTAGGCTTTCCCCTCTGTTTGGGCATTGCTACACGTGCTGTCTGGGTGTGGAAGTATCTAGTGATATCGTTGAAAGACTGAAATTCATGCTGAGGGAAGCGAAATCACCTGTGAATCGAGATTGCCTTTCTTCCCGCCCGCGGGACACGTAAGAGGGAGGTACGACATCGAATGATGGTCTTCCGCCTTTGAAGGTCTGGTATACATTTCGCGATGAAGGTTGCAGCCCTTGAGCTAGAAGCGAGCGCGTGTATCTCGTAGGTAGGGCGTCATCCAAGACTTACCTGCATGATAGCATTCGAGCCCTGGCAGAGCCAAACAAAGAAGCAAAATTCCGCATGGTGGGGAATAATGATGCGTGCGCGCGTAAGGGCAAGTTGAACGACGAACGAATGTGAGAGTGGCCCTGTGGGCTTCCTGGGGGTTCTCTAGCAGCAATACATGTCTTACATATGGTGGCTCGGTAACGTTGGATGATAGATACAGGCCAAATGAGATGAAGTCTTGTTTCTTTCAAGTATGTAAACCCCGCCTACCTTGATGGTCATCAGCAGGTCCTCGGATCAGTGCGCAAGCGCCATGATGAGGGTTTACTCACCAGGATACAGACGTCTCGTTTCACTTCTACGAAGGGGCTAACACTTCCTTCAAAAACTTTGCAGCTTTTTGAGAACTCGTGGTAGCACAGTAGGAAGGGTTGACCGAAGAAGAATATCGAAGCGAGGGGTACGATGCAGTCGATGCTCGATAGAGTGCCCGCATATAAATGCCAGGTATCATTTCCCAAGCCTTCGGTTCCAAGTTTTCAATGCTGAATTCTGCTCTAGATGAGAGAACAGGCCAGGTCACAGTCACTTCTGAGACGTAGTAGGTTATAGTGTAGACCTCGATGACCTTGGCAGCAATATCGGGAAGGTTTAGCTGGGCGGCAGCAACGAAAATGTCGATAGGAGTGATGACATTTTGATCTCGACCTTGTCTGGCCAGCTCCAGCAGACCTTTAGTCAGATTTTGGCCCGCCATTTGACAGTCCCACTTCTCAGTGAACCTCATGACGGACAGCAGGGTATCTCCTGGACCACCCTCCGACTCATTGTCAGCCATCACCTTAATACATTCATCTGTGGAGTGACAGCGGCCAAGAAGATGTGCAGGATGTTGGAGCTCTCAATCTTGGGGTCAGAAAACTCAAGAAGATGGCAGCCTTCCTGATTCTCTGCAGCAGGTGCCCCAAAGTCATTGATCATCGTGTGAAGGACCTCACTAGTATAGTGTTGTGTTAGCTTCACTATGCTTGTTTTCTTACATCGCCAGAGATACAGTAGCGCTCACCTGTGCGTCTTAAGGATAAGATCGGGGACATAAAACTCCACATTGTCGGCGGAGACGATTTTTGATACAACATCCCCGTTGTCATCTTCCTTTTTGGGCCACAGCGTCGATCGCATGACTTCCCCTTTTTTCGCGGAAGCGGCAGATGCGTCAGGCTTGAACTGTTGCTCGGACATTGTCAAAAAGTGTCAAGAGACGATACGATTCACAGACTCTTACCAAGATGTAAAAGTTGGTGATAGAAATGGGCGCGGGATCTCTCGAATCAAGCTCGGCCTTGTCTCCTTCTTGCTGTTTGTACGTACGAGGAGGTACGACATCAAAATCGAACTCCGGCTCTGTCCCTCCTCTGATATACGTTTTACTTTAGATACTCGAGTTATGAGTGTCAATCGAGGGTGTTCGTATGGGTACCTCCAAGTGTGACCAGAACGTCATCAAGGCTAACCCCAATGCGAGCAGCCGAGCCAAACAACGAAGTAATAACGCGCAGAATGGAGGTTAATTAAGCGTGCCTGTGAGTACGTCAGAGACACTTTTCGCGCATCCACATCTGTCCACGTTTCTCTTTTTGTCGTCCCTTGTCGCTCTTCAAGTCTCCAGCATGCGGATAACCAAGGCGCAGTTTAACGGCCTCGACCAGTACAAGTACTCGGGTGTAGACAAGTCCGTCGTCAGCAAGTACCTCCTCAGCCCCTTCTGGAACTGGCTCGTCACCCTCTTTCCCAAGACCATTGCGCCCAACACCATCACTTTCTTGGGACTATGCTTTGTCTTTACCAACATTGGTACCATGATCTGGTATGATCCCACTTATGCGGGTGTCGTCCTGCCCAGCTGGGTCTATGCTTCGTGAGTGTATCGGTTGACGCGATGTAGCCTAGTACTGATACCGCTTTAGCTTCGGTATCGGTCTCTTTGCTTACCAGAGTATGTACTCATCATTGCCTATGGAGTCGAGCTAACGTTATCTAGGTATGGACGCGATCGACGGCAAGCAAGCCAGGAGGACGGGTATGGCCAGTGCCTTGGGAGAGATGTTTGACCATGGATGCGATGCTATCAACACTACTGTACGTTTCTGCCATCGATATTCATCGTCCATTAGCTGATCAAGAACAGCTCGAAGTGGTGCTGGCAGCTCACGCCTTAGGCTTGAACCGCTCCTGGTGGACAGTTGCTTCCCAAGTCTTCTCCTTGTGCAACTTTTACGTCTCCACCTGGGAAGAGTACCACACCGGCACCCTCTTCCTCTCCGCCTTCTCCGGCCCCGTCGAAGGCATTCTCCTTATCTGCGGTATCTACTTTATCACCGCCTTTCACCCCCTCGGCTCTCTCTTCTGGGCCCAACCCTTACTCAAACCCCTCTTCCTCGTTATCCCTCAAACGTACCCTCTTGTCCAAAAGGTCGACGTCCTCCTCGAACACCTCGGCATCGCCAAACACGTCACCCTTGAGACCGTGCCCGCCAACGTCGCCTTCATGGCTTTCGGTGCCGTCGGTACCCTCGGCAACATTGCCACTTCCTACATCAACGTCATTTCGGCCAGACGCAAGGCCGGAAAGCCGATCCTTCCTCCTCTCGCCGGTCTTTTGCCGTTCTTCACTCACACCGGTCTTCTGGTAGCCTGGTTGCACTCGGAGATCAGGGGTGGGGTTTGTATCGTGCACGACCACAGGATCTTGCCTTTCATCGGGTACTGGGGCATGGCGTACGTCTCCTCTTCTCCTTCTTCAGGTCCCGGCCGGAGCATCAGCTGATTTCGGTATAGCTTCTCTTACCAGGTCTCCCAACTCATCCTCGCCCACGTCACCAAATCACCTTTCCCGTACTGGAACGGTATGATGATCTTTACCCTCTTTGGCGCTATCGACGCCAACATGGGTTCACTCTTCGGCCGGTACGTCGCCCTCTTTCCTCCTTCCATTCCATGCCCTGTTGCGCAGGAGCTCAAAGCTGACATGAAATAAAGCGAACCATTGGTCCAGTCTTCCCCTGTCGCAGCCAACGTCTTCATCTGGATGTCCTTCTTTGTCGCCTTGTTCAACTATATCCGCTTTGCCCGTGAGGTCATCTGGCAAATGTACGTCCCTCTTCCCTCTTTCTCTTTTCAAAGATATGGCTGATAGGGGTCGGGTGTGTGTAGTTGTGAATACACTGGTTTGGCGTGTTTCACTGTGCGACACAAGGACAAGGATGGGAAGTGGGTGGACCATGTCAAGGCGGAGTAGATGTCTGGTCGAAAAGAAGAATGCGAAGAGAGGAAGGAAAGAGGAGAAGGGGAGAAGATAGAGTGAGAGATGAGCAGAGCGCAGGGCTTGATGCCGATCTTCTCGTGAGATTGTTTGAGGCTAGTTCTGGTAGAAGAGTATCAAACAGAAAGATAGAAGAGGAAAGGAAAGAGGGTAGAAGGAAGAGTCCCACGGAATAGATGTGATTATTGTAGGAAACGATGCAAGACACGACTCCTCCAGAAGAGTCGACTTCAGATGCCTGCACACTACTAGTACCGTCTAATCAACCCACAGCTTGCATTGAGATCAAACGACTATCATGGCCATTACAACTCAAACCCGCTCGACTGTCTGGGCGCTCGAAGCGATTTGCGCGAGCGATGACCTCCCCGTTCTCCCAAGACGAGATGCATGTCGATATGATAGGAGGTTGTGCAAGCTGCAAGTTTGCGATACAGGCGCTTAGCGATATAGCGCCTACACTATACTGCGACTGAAGGAGAGTATAGTTCCTATCCACACTTCGCTCTCAATCCCGTACGCCAGGCTGGCCCGCTGGGCCCTTGCTGGTATAGTGAGAGTGGGTTCTGTCAGGATCATACGAATTGGAGAAGCGAACGCAAGATTGATCAACAAAAGACACTGGGCTTGCCTCCGCTTTGTTGACTTTTTCGGGAGGCAATTCGAGAGAGTCAATTTCCTTGTACTGGATGTCGATCCACTTGTCGTACGCCCTCCCATCTTTACTGGCGATGTCTTTGAAGAGAGGTGATCAGCGGCAAAGCAGAGAGACTTCGCTGAATGCAGGCTCGATGCGGAGGAATGGGACCAGATCTGGCAAGGGCATGTTTTCCAGCTCCAGCATTTTATGTGACGCAAAACTGTGAGTACAGCCAAGTCCAACACGGCTGATGCTGCATGTCTTTTCTTTGGAGATCTCAGTGGATGTATTACATGTCCATGAACAACAATCCTTGTAAGATATGTAAGGGAACTTCGTGATATATGCTAATGTGTAAAGAGTCTCACTACTCAAACTCTCGGCGTAACCTTGACGTTATCGACTATAGCCCTAAACAGGCTCTTTTCCGTGAGAACAAAATTGATGTTTCTCCCAAAAAGGATGTCGTGGAAAGCCTGTATATCAGAGCCACCTGCGTTCTCGCTTCCGCAAGGGATTTCGGGTCTTTCCACCTTCTGGGACCTGTCTTCCCACTCTTCCTGAGCCCTACCCTCGTCCTTCATTGTACCAGAGTCTTCTCCTTCCCCAATCTCCGCGGTAGCACTTTGACCCCTGTGCTTGAATTCAACTCCACCTGCCATCCTTGGGGGCCGCTCCTCGACTTCACCCGTCCCCAACAGTCCGAGAACGTGGAAAGGCCCGAAAGCCCTTGGGGCAGCCAGAACGCAGGCGGCTCTGATATACAGGCTTTCCACGACATCCTTCATGGGAGAAACATCAAATTTGTTCTCAGAGAGAAGAGTCTGTTTGAGGGGCAAGAGCGTATCGGATGTTGGAAGAATATATGGAGCTGAGACGTCTCCCGAATAGCCGATAAGGAAGACGGCTTGGGCCTGGGCGAGGCTGGCAGAACAGGATTAGTGTGATAGGTGAGGGTGGCGACAAGATGGTACCTACTGTACGTCTGGAAGGTTGGAAACATTTAAGAGTTTTTGATTGATAATGGGCTTGGGCCTGGAGTACTTTGCAATGACTCTGGCGGCAGTCTGACGATCGTCAAACTTAGCAGTGAGGATAAAGACATCCAGCGGTTTGATACGAGGGTGTTTCTGGCCCAAGTCTGCGAGCTGGGAGAGCCATCCTTCCAACAGCTCCCAAACCTTGGAACAGTCCCACTTCGCCAATATCATCGTGTAGTGATACGTAGGGACGTAGTCTGTAGTTGTGGACTCTTCGAGAACGGCTTCGAGGAACTTGCCACTGAATGGAGAGGAAGAAGTGTAGGACGGAAGAAGACTCGAGAATGTCGTCGGTGAAGGAGAGGGTTTTTGAGGGGTCGGCGGAAGTGGGTACAGAGTCCTTGGTAGGGGATGAAGAAGTGGGGGAGAGGTCTCTGATCATTTCGCAAAGAGCAACGCTTTTTCCAGAATCAGCTCGATCATGAAAGGGGTGCAATGATTAGGAGCGTTGACACACCTATGAGTTTTTAAGAGGTAGGCGGGGAGGATGAAGAGTCCAGTTTAGCCTTCCACCCACCCAAGCCTTTGCCCAGAAGCGCGGCGGCCCACAGGAGGTTGATGACCAACCAAAGCAAAGACTACCGTTGCGCCAAGAAAAAGGGGAGCGGTTAGCCGCTATGGCCCAATTGAGGAACAACCATTTGAGGTTGGCTGAGGGTAGGACGCTGACTACCACGATGGTGATAGTGCAGCCCAGTGTTAACGTGCGGCCAGCCTCTTTTCAGAAACGCACGCCATTAGGCTTATCGTGGGAAAGGGGGGGGGGAGGTATTACCCGACGAGACAGATGGCCACGGAGATGATGAAGACGAATGTGGGAATAATGGCCAATGGTTGTGTCAGGTTTCGGAAATGGTGCAGAATGTACACCCAGAGAACGTACCCGTTTCCCAAACTGAAAATACCCGGTGGTGATCGATTTTTTCTTTGGCTTCGTTGCGCGCATCGTTCGCTTCTCCGTGGGGCAAATGGCGAGAGTCGATGTACCTGTATTCGTTCTCAATCCACTGGTCGTATGCCCTCTGATCCTTGCGAGCGATGTCTCTGAAGAGATCCCCCATCACTCCATCGAACCCGCTGTCCCAAGAGGGCAAGGCAGTGGGAAAGACTGGTGCCGGTTCCCGCCAGCGGGGATCAGGCATGAGGGAGAGTAGGCGGGGTTGACGATGGGGCCAAAGGCAAAGCCGACGGGCTGAGGGCGGGGGCCGACGGGTGAGTGGGAGGGGGGATGGAATTGTCACGGTTTCCGTGTGGGGAGATGGGTGTGTGAGAAAAGGTGGGGAAGAGAGAAACACGTTGGAGCGTTGTTTGGGGAAGTTCAGGTTGGCTGATGGCAGAACACTGACTACCACGACGGTGACAGTGCAGCCCAGTGTCCTTCCATGGGGCCAGCCTCTTCTCAGAAAAGCACGCCATTAGCTTCATCCTAGAAAGGGAAGGGAAAGGTGTTACCTGACGAGATAGACCCCAAGGCCCAAGGGTAAGGATAAAAGCGATCACATGGAAGATTGCAAGTACTGATGGTTGTGTCAGGCCTCGGAAATGGTGCAAAATGTACACCCAGAGAACGTACCCTTGGCCCAAACAGAAATGCCCGGTGGTCATCGATCTCTTGTTTTGCTATGTTGCGAGCTTCGTTCTCTTCTTGGGGGGGCAATTGGCGAAACTCAATCTTCCTGTACTCGTTCGCAATCCAGTCGTATGCCCTCTGATCCTGGCCGGCGATGTCTGCGAAGAGATCCCGCATCACTTCATCAAACCCCCCATCCCCAGAGGGCATGGCAGTGGGAATGATTGCCACCAGTTCCCGCCAGCGGGGGACAGGCAAGAGGGAGCCTGAGGCGGGGGTGGCGACTGATTGAGAGGCGGAGTCGACGGGCTGAGGGGCGGGGTGGACTGGCTGAGAGGGAGGGGGGGATGGCATTGTCAAGGGTTGTGTATTGTGAAGGGTGTGTGAGAAAAGATGGAAAAGAGAGAAACACGTTGGAGCGTTGTTTGGGGCACACGGCGGGGCGTGGCGACAGCGGCACACTCCGCTTTACCTCCATCGATCAACCATATCATTACCTTCTTACCCGTCGCTGTTGCGTGCTGGCGATTTAGAATGCATGCTCATGAGATACATACCATTGGATGCTCTATAGCTGGTGCCACACTCAAAGTGCGCCGTGTTGACACTGCCCTTCCTGACGCGTGCGACGCGCGCTCATCATTCAACATGGGCGTTGATAACCTGCAGGAAATGTCACGTGCTCTGCCGCATACCAGCCTATACGCGACGTATCATCCGCTTACTTCATCGCCCAAATCTTGACATCAAAATAATCTCCCAATTGATATCTCGCGCCCAGCAATTCTACGACGAGCTCGGGGACAATGACACCCGCCCTCGCTTCATTTCCAATACCCCGTATAATGATATTCTGCATCGCGGATCTTTAAACTCCAAAAGCTATTGCTTCGATGTGCTCAGTTACAATTGGGCTTCCCAGTACTATATTGTCCGGTTCAAGGGACCCGAAGGGGTCGCGGTATGTGCTCTCTATTCCGGTGGCGAAGCACTGACGCGCCTTCACAGATATCCCGCATAGACTTTTGCAAGGCATGGGCCCTTTCCCGTCGGACAGTCGCTTTTTTAGGCGGCCTCAAATCGTCAATACAAGACTGGGTTCTTGAACAGGAACATGCACAAGATCTGGAGACCATCTCTGAGCTGCTCCGTAAAGTAGTTTTTGTATCCGGTAAAGCAGTATCAGCAGCTTATTCTTCTGCCTTGGAATAGTACGAAGCCTATTGGGGTGAGTCTCTCTCACTCAGACTAGTCAAGTCCCTTGTACATCTACTGATATCAATGGCAGACGAACTCAGCTTTGTCATGCAGCATATCAGTTCCTGGGAACGGATCGGTTATCTGCCCTTTACCCACGCCCATCCTTTCCCACCCAACTACAAATCCCTCGTAAACAACCCCTGCAAACCCCCTTCTCGTAGATGGATCCTCAAAGGCATGGACCATTCGGCTCCGCTCGACCCTTATGTTAGATGTGAATCGCCTTTCAGTGCGCTATACATCTTCTACGTCAAGAAGATACTGGAACTTCACGAAGAAGGTTTCGAGGATCGGTGGTTTGCTATGTGGGATAAGTGGGGGCCGGATCCGGTTGAGTACAAGCTATACCGCTTCCCGAGGGAACCCCCATCAGTGAGAGTGAATTGCAGTTGCGGAAGAAGAGTCAAGGTGTGGAATTTGGGGAGCTACTATCGGAATGTAGTGATATGTGAGCTGATATCGATCATCGTGTTCTATGCTCATGGAGGTAGATCACGAACTCCGGTTCGGGGCTACGATCAGTGACCTCGATACAAGAATAGTAGTATATGACTGCCGATCAGGAGATGTAAGTCTTGATTGTCGAGTGTATATTGCAGAGTCAATACCTTCTTCGCTGACACTGCCATATAGTCCCACTTTCATCACGTTATCCCTAATTCAGCATATCCCAAGTCGGCACCGCTCTCTTCCAGCACAGCCTTGTCTATCTCCGGATCCACCACCTTCTCCTTTGGTTCGCTTCGTATCCACCTTTATCTTTGCCAATCTAGAGACGCATACTCCACCCGCTTGTACTAGCTTCTCTCTGACCGGTACATTTCTTCCGCTTCCTCGAGTCCGAGCATGAGCTAATACATGTATAGCGTCTCTCACCAAGTCTCCCAACTCATCCTTGCACACATCACTCAGTCTCATACTGGAACGGCATGATGATCTTGTCCCTCGTAGCTGACGGGAATACAGCGAGCCTCTCGTCCAGTCTTCCGCTGTCGCAGCCGACGTCTTCATCTGGATGTCTGTCGTTGTCGCCTTGTTCAAGTACGGATGGAGAATAGGTGGGTCGAAGGCATTGGAGGATGCGAAAACGTGATGAGAGAAAAGGGCTGGGACGGGCATAAAGACCTTCAAGGAGAGACGATCTGGGCGCGGGGGCATGTCGCAAGTCGTATCCTGCAGGTCATATCGTGCGAGAGTGAGGGGTCAGTGAGCAAGCGAACGACGGGAGAGAAAAGCTGGCGGAATAGATGAGAAATTTGTCAGAATCGATGCAAGACACGACTTGTTTCCAGACTGGAAATCGTTTGCTACAATGCCGTCATACTCGTCTACTGATTGCTGCATGTCCTGACGCACGACTACATCCTACAAACAACAAGCGAAGGTTTATACCCTCGTGGTATATATAATCACAGGAACAGCTTGGACCGGCTCGTCTATCTGGACGCTCGAAGCAATCTTGCACGAGCGATGATATCCCTGTTCCCCAAGATAAGATGTTTCTCAAGAGGAGGGTACTCGATAAGGTTTGCGATACAAGCCCCAACACTACACCCCGAATCAGCTTACACACTCTCTGGAACCTCAAAATACTTACTCTTTCCCATCGACAGCCAACGCGTCCGTGCCTACCCCGGCCCATCTCGCCCACCCAAAAAGCTTTTGCAATCCAATCTCGGCCCAATCCACCCTCTCCCTGTGGCCAAGCAACATCCCAGGCTTGAGGATAACGACATGGTTAAAGCCGAGGGTGGTAAGGTGCTCTTCGAGCTGACCTTTTATGCGGAGGTAGAAGAATGACGAGTCGGGAGATGCGTGAGAGCCGGATACGAGGATAGCCTGGGGATTCGTCAGTTTCACGTCGAAGGTGACACCTGAATGCGATGACTGAATATGAAGACATAGGAAGCGCTCACTGTTCTGGCTCCGTCGGCTTTGGCTCTAGTAGCAAGATCCCTATTGAGCTCCCAATCTACCTTCTTCTGCGTTTCTTTCCCATTCACCCTTGTCGTCGCCAGACACGACACATACACTCCGCCCTCTTGTACGAGCTTTCCCCGGGCAGTATCGGCGGGAGCATCGAAGAGCGAAGGATAGATTCGTTCGTCGAGGACGGTTTGGGCGTTTGTAGGTTTGCATTTGGGGAAGGGGGAAGGGATGGGGCGGCGGGTGGCGGTGGTGATGGAGAAGGGGTGTGAGGAGGTGAGGAGGGCGTGAAGAGTCTCGGAGCCGGTGAGACCAGTGCTGCCGAGGATGGTGACAGGGGTAGGCGTAGACATGGCCAGTCGATGATTGAGGTGCGAGGGGATGCAGCGAATGAACAAGATATAGATGCACAGAAAAGAACGCTGAGCCGTCTTGCCGGCAGGGGACTGGCCGTCGGGCATCGTCAATTGCCGGTGATGCAGACTATGACGCGTCGTTCTCACCGTAGGTCTATGAGAAGCATTCCATAGCTGCATGTATAGACTTGAGCAGAACTGCAGCAGCGCCAGCCCCAATATTGGGACGAGCGTCAGGAGTACTTGGGAACCAAACAGAAAGCAAGTGGGACATGCGGCGATGCCCACCGAAGCAACGCGTCGACGCGTCGAGTCTTTGAGCTATGATGACTGGACTTTTCCTTCACTTCTTGCATTCGCCTCTCTCCTTGGACTGACCACAGACGATGGTTGGTACACGTACTGTCCCTGCCGACCTCAAAGCAGGTGCTCTCCTCCCGCGAGGACGAAGCATCACCGGCAAAGTCACCGCCTTTCAGTACCATGACACCCCCAACAAACCCTCCTGCCTCCTCTTCACGGTCGAAACTCGATCAAGTCATCCTCCAAATCCAAATGGAAATGGTCATCCGAGCAAGGTTGACGTAATCAGATACGACATCCAGCTCTACCCCTCCAAGTGGCATCCCTACAGCCAGGCACCGCAGTCGAAGCGCGAGTGTAGTTCTGTCAGGAAACTGCTGTTCAATGGTCACGATGAGCTCAAGGCGATCGGAGGGGAGAAGGAAGCGACGGTGTTCATGGTCGGTGGTCTCCAAGTCCGAAGCGTGCTGCAAACGCCCCGCGAAGGGGCTTCAGGGACGGAATGGGCCGTGATTTTGAGAGGGATAGGGAGGATGCAGATACTCAAACCTGGGAACAGGAATGGGTATATCTTCAAGGGTTAGTCATGGCGTGATTACTCCGATGCCTACTGATGGTATGACAGACGACCCGACACTACCTATGGAGAGGTTCAACGCCACGGAAGCCCTTCCCGTACCATCTCGCTCACCTGCTAAATCCGCCAATGCTTCTGCTCTTCAGATCACCTCGAACCCTACCGTCTTATCTACCAATGCGTCTCAAGCTTTGACGAAGAAGCGCGTCAGTGAATGGGGCGTTCCATCAGTAAAGAAAGTGAGAACAGAGCAGGACGGGCCGGCTGTCAGTGGGCCTTCGAGGTTGGGCAGCACCTCGACGTTACCGAACCCCCCGCCAAATGTCAATACAAGTCCGGCCGGGGCACCTCTTTCTCCTGTCACCAACTCGGTCTCAATGAGACCTGAAGGATCAACGGCCGCTGCCGCGTCACCATTGTTCGAGCTCCATCCCGCCGAAGCCGAGATCTCTGAGCGTCTACAAAAGGCTGGACTACCGGGACTACGAGAGCCGATTCCTGTAAGTCTCACTACTTCTTCTCGCAACTATTCTGACTACGCGCTGTAGCAATATACGAATCTCCAAAACCTGGTCAACGGCAGAATGGTCAACATCATCGCATACATCCATGATTGCAACGTCGCCAAACCGGGCAGTAAATCCACCCACTACATCTCCTACCAAACTGACTTTGGGGCGCAGCGTCGTGGGATTCAAACTTCACCATACACCTACTCGACGCCACTTCCAAACCCCATCCCGACGACCCCACCGAGCGCTCATTCTCAAGCTGTACCCTCTTCCGCCCCAAAGTCTCCCAATTTGACATGTTCCAACGCGGCACCGTCCTCCTCTTGCGCAACGCTACCGTCCAGCTCCAGCCCGACACAAGAGATATCTTAAAGCTCAAGGCAGCTTCCGGGGACGGGAATGGAAAAGGGGCGGTGGTGTATAAGGGCGAGGACGAGTTTGTTTTCGAGGACAAGAAGCTTTTGGCACACGTTTCGGAGGTGGAGAAGGAAAGGATGAAGGCGATGTTTGAGTGGGGCAAGCGGTGCTTGACACCCCCCTCACAAAAGCCTGTGATGGGCCAGGCTATACAGCTCAAGCCGGATTTCGCTACTGGCCCTACCCTCAACGGTCCATCCACCTCCAAATCAAAGAAGTTGAGATCACTAAGCGATATCAAACCTGGCGAGTATGGCGATGCTACTGTCAAGGTGAGTATTCTGATCTCCGTTTGTTCTACAGCTGACTTCTCGCAGATCCTGCGCAAAGAAATCGACTTTAAAACGACCGTCGAATACTACTGCACCGACGGCACCGAAGCCCAACACGGCGGCTTCAATCGCAACTATCGCGGCCTCTTGTTCAGCCTCCCCCACAACGCAGTCTATGTCATCAACGTCCCAAATGCCAGCGAAGTGGGCGGATTCGAGCACATGGAAGACGGAAATGTTGTGACGCTGGAGAATGTACATGCGACGCGGCATAGGAAGGATGGGAGTATTGTGTATACTTGGGAGTGGAAAGAGGCGGGGGCGGATGATGATTCGATGAGGGCGAAGGTGGCTAAATTGGAGAGAGGGGAGGTGGCGCAGGCGGTGGAGAGGTGAGTCTCTGCGCGCGTGTGTGGTATAAGCTGACCATAAGGGATAGGAGAATCGTAGCGCTGGGAGGCGATGTGGTGGTGAAAGAGGAACCTACCAGCAAGATCGAAATCGCAGGCGCGGGTTCGACAGGCTCTGTTGTGGGAGAGGACTCTGGAGCTAGTGCCAACTCTTCCTCGCGCGTTGCTGCTGCCTCTGCCCCTATCCCTGTTTTGTCCGAGTATCAACGCAAGAGGAGGAAGCCTCTCAAAGATGCCGATGTCCGGGATTACATCGATGCCACAGTCGAGGTACGTTCATGCCTTCCGTCTTCCGTTGACATACTGCTGACTATTGTAGATCCTCCACATCGACCCCATTTCCAAAGAGCTGTACGTATCAGACGGTACTGTTGCCGACCGCCCCTCCAGTGTTCCCAACCGCAATTACAGCAACGCCACATTTGGTCTACCACATAACGCCGTCTATGTTTTCGACATTCCTGACAGTCATAGGGCTATTTGGGGAGCTAGCAACTTACGGATAGGCAACGTTGTTGGTCTGCCTAATGTGAATTGCCGATTGCACCCAAGTGATGCTTCTTTTGCGTTCTCGTGGGAGTGGAGAGAGCAGACAGTGCCGGGAAGGACCATCGAAGCGAAGAGTGTGGAGCTGGTAACAGGGAATCGGGCAAAGATCGTCAAAGAGTGAGCCTGGTCCCGATGCACAGTGGGGTTTTGCTGACGCTTTGAATGTAGTCGAATTGCAGCGCTAAGGGAGCAGCACAAGCTGGTTGCAGGGGACGGAGCTCAGGGCGATAATGGACCGTTTTACAGGGGTGGTTCTAAACGCAAACGCAGACCGCTGCGGGAGATCGAGGTGGGAGATTACGTTGATGCCACAGTCCAGGTATGGTTCTCTTGTGGCTCCCCGATGCTCGCTGAACGTCTGATAGATCCTTGACATTGACCAAAGCGCATTCGGGGAAGCTGCCCAGCTATACGTCTCTGACGGCACCGAGGCTGACCGCGCCGAAACCAGCCGCAACTACTTTGGCAAGACTTTTGGTCTTCCCCATAATGCCGTCTATGTCATCGATGTCCACGATCTGAAGGACGTTCAGGGATCTGGACTTATCAAGACTGGAGATGTAGTGACGTTGCCCAACGTGCATTGCAAAGATGGGTATCGTTACTCTTGGGAGTGGAAAGCACAGGAAGTGCGAGGTGAGACTTACAGGGCGAAAAGCGTGATGAGAGCAATGGAACATGAGGCGAGAGATGTTCTACAGTAAGTCTTATACCCGGCCTGAGGGGACATATAGGGGCACAGACTGATGGCTGCCTTGTAGAAGGATCGCCTCGCTGAAGACTGGAAACCAGTATTCTCCAGCCCAGAACCCCGCTCAAAGCACTGCCGACCTTTCTCGACAGTCGATACACCAACCGTCAAATGCTGTAGCTGCTACCACTCGATATAACGATTCGAGTACCCATATCCTTCCCCGAGACTGCTCTCCCGCCTTCCACACCCTCTTCCGCCACCCTTCCGAATATCCTATCTCCTCTCTTCGCCGCATTGCGTCCACAAACAGCAAAGTCAACGAGACGCCGCCACGACGGACGATAGCGTGGGCGGGCAAGATATACGACCGAGATGGAGGAGGCGGGAGTGTATGTGTCTGGGCGTGGTGTAAGAGCTGCAAGCAGTGGATTGGAAATGCGGAAAGTGTTCTGAGGGAACAAGAGAAGACAGAGAAGGCTGTGGGATGTAGGGAGTGTGGGGAAGGGGCGGTAGAGTGGAAGTATAGGTTCTGGGTCACATTGTGTGAAGGAGATACTGAGTTGACTGTCTTTTGTGGGCACGAAGCTGTGAGGCTATGCTTTCGAGTACGCACTGCAAAGCTTATGATATATCAGGAATCGTACCTGCCTTTCCTGCCGCCTTATAATCTCAGTACCAACCCCAACGACACTCGCCGTACCCTGGGCCGCCTTACCGAAATAGACGCCGAAGTCACAGACCTCATCATGGGGGCACCGAAGTTGAGTTCTGGCAAGCAGCAACGGGAGAGGCCATGGATAGATTGGACGGTGGAACCATTTCGAGAGAGAAACGGAAGGGTGACGGCGTGGGCGGTATTTGGGATGACCAGAGGGTGCTGAAGCAGTGTTGAGAAGTCTTTCGCAGCAGACAATCTTGGATACAAAATCATGGATATATCTTGCTGTATGTTTGACCAACGATGGGAGAAGACCGCGTCTCAGGTATGCCTTGGATTTATCGACGTGTACTGGTTCAGTTGGTGTTAGGTACAAGTATCAATGTACTATGCATGGTCATGGCCTTCCCAGGTTGAAGATGGGTACATTGTATCACTAGAGTATGGTCAGCGCATGTCACAAGCCCAAGCGTCATTTAACCTCACTGGTACTCTTGTTGGGATCAATGCAAGATCAATGTCGATAAGTGCGAGTCAGCGAGACCAGTGATCTCTTATCGGCTCAGACTCAAGTTGTTCTACAAGGAAGGAGATGGTGGTGCTGGTACGCAGACCCTTTGTGCACTACTCGCCGCTCGATCAACGCAAGGGCACGTGGAGCAGCAGAAGCGGAATCAGCGAGGGAATCAGCGTCAGGAGACAAATCCGTCTACCATTCTATTCTGCGTCTTTCCAGATCTGAAGGTATGTTCTCTCAAAGGATATTTTGCGCCAAGCAATTATATGACGAGCTCGAAGACAACGACACCCGCCCTCGCTTCATCTCCAATACCGTCAGCCCGTATAATGATATCCTGCATTGCGGAGCTTTGAACTCCAAAAGCTATTGCTTCGATGTACTCAGTGACAATTCAGCTTCCCATTACTATATCGTCCGATTCAAGGGACCTGAAGAAGTCACGGTATGTGCTCTCTATCCCGGTGGCGATGCACTAACAGATATCTCGCAGAGACTTTTGCAAGGCATGGGCCATTTCCCGTCGGACAGTCGCTTTTCTAGGGGGCCTCAAATCATCAATACAAGACTGGGGTCTTGAACAGGAATACACAGAAGATTTAGAGACCATCTCTGAGCTGCTTGGTAAAGTAAGTCTTGTATCCGGTAAAGCAGTATCAGCAGCTTATTCTTCTGTTTTGAAAGTACGAAGCCTATTGGGGTAAATCCTAGTCAAGTCCCTTGTACATCCACTGATACCAATGGTAGACGAACTCAGCTTTGTCATGCAGCATATCAGTTCCTGGGAACGGATTGGTTATCTGCCCTTCATCCACGACCGTCTCCCACCCGACTATAAATCCCTCGTAATCAACCCCGTCAAACCTCGCTCTCGTAGATGGATGCTAAATGGCGTGGACAATTACAATTGGGCTCCGCTCGACGCTCAATTCTACTGTGAATCGCCTTTCAGCGCGCTATACATCGTTTACGTCAAGAAGATATTGGAATTACACGAAGAAGGTTTCGAGGATCGGTGGTTTGCGATGTGTGATAAGTGGGGGCCGGATCCGTTTGAGTACGAGGTGTATCGGTTTCCCGGGGATGTCCCTATCAATGAGAGCGAGTTGCAGTTGAGGAAGAAGAGTCAAGGCAAGAAGCTCGGGGAATCATCGGAGCCTTGAGCAGGCGTTGAGCAATGAATGGACGAAACGGGCTCTGGTAGCAGATACACATCTGGATATATCATCTTCTTGTTGAACAGATGCATCGTGTTTCAAGGCGAGCTTGGTCATAATGCGTGTCACTCTTGCGCTGATAAGGTACATACATGTCATACGAAGTTTCTATATGAAGAATCGGGGGATCACCTTTATGCCTAACAACTCGCTGTCTGACCAAGGACAATTCATGATACGTTTCAGCGACATAGAGACATTTTTACAGGGTAACGCATGGGAAGCTCGAAAGGTATCGGATTAAGGCAATTATGCGCGACGATTGATCGCTCGACCTGGATTGAGAATGCGAGTCAGCTCTACCGACATTTGTTAGGAAACCATCAGGACGTACGCATGAGCAATCACTTCTCATAGTACCTCGAAATCCACCCCTCGCCCCACATAATCACTTTGGGACGAATGCGACAGTGCTACGCAACCTGCGACAAACGCCTCCTTCATGAGTTTCGCGATTTCGAAGGATGACTCGTTCGCCTGGTATTGGTAGCCCTTGATGGTCACAAGAACGCGATTGGTGTAGTCCCGGGCTGCGAAATGCCTGTAAAATGCATTAGGAATCACATACTCTGCGAACTCAGGACTCACCCGGCAAAACCTTCCAAAAGCTTGCGATGATCATCGCCACCATTCTCCATAATGACCAATATGCTCTTAAGGGAAGATCCTGAAAGCAGTTCGATACGACGAAGGGTCTGGTGAGCCAAGTTTTTGATGATCACATTCTCAGCCATCCGCGACAGTTCGCGCTGGAGCATGATATTGTGGGATAAGTGGACGTCGCCCGGGCCCATCAAGTCCAGCTCGAGAGAGGGAGATCGAGCAAGCTGTTGCCATCTCTGGAAGCGGCTGGAACCATGAAACATCGAAGTGGGAGGAGATATACTGGTAGAAATTCGTAGAACTGGCTTCTCAAGGGCGTTGCTCTCGTGTGCTCGCCAGAAGAAGAGGGACGGAAGGTCTGTTGGGCGAGTGGGGAAGGGTCTCTTGAGAAGCGCTTTCACAGCTGTCACACAGCTCTCAAGTGCCGGGGAATCCATAAGCTCCACCCTCCGGACCATACTCAGCCATATCAAGCGCCTCGCAACCACACTCTTCCCCTCCAGCCGACCTTCGTTCTTCGTTTGCCACCCTTTGACTTCGCCCCTCTTCATCTTGCCATCTGCCAGCCCGTGGAAGAATGCGTCCGCATTGCCCTTGTGTAGGGTGACGCTCTTGTACAGATAGGGCGAGACAGTGTTGAGCAAGTCGTTGCAGGTGTACATGAGGCGGAGGGAGAGGGAATTGTCGGATTGGGCGAGAAGGAGGAGGTGGTTCAGGATGAGCTGGCAGATCTCGGAGGGGAATATGGTGGCGAGATTCAAACCGGTGTCGGGGTGTGCAGAAACTCGAGTTTGTCGCGTTTGGGGCATGTTGGGTGATGTTTGTATCTGAAAGCAGAAGATGGGGTGAAATTCTGAAAATGCAAGCGGGTATCTGAAAGCAGAAGATGGGTGAAATCCTGAAAATGCAAGCGGGAAGAACAACAGATGTGCCCAGGATGTGCCTGGGGTGACTGTGGTTGACTGGACCGGTTGTTTGGTTCGCCACGTTGGTTTTACTGTATGCATACAATCTCTAGGCTGCCCTTGAATTTTTACATCCCATATGCAAGAGGTGGGAACAAGTGGGGTGACAGTGGGTTGGCTCACGAGGCTGCGGTGGTGTGGCAGACACTCTGGCACCTGCATGCACGGAACATCATCGATCAAAGCGGGCGCCGTCCGGAAGAGCAACGTCGCCAATCTGGCGTCGGCTCGGGCGATGTCTGAGATGAACAACGGTCGCTGAAGTAATGCATTATCAGGTCCGATGAACTGCATAATTCGACCAAATCTATCGTCTCAATTGACGAGACTTCTCACCCGTAAACTTGGCATGCATCGTCGGCTTGCCCGAAGAATCCTTTTTTAGAACAAGCACCGCTGATCCAGCTTCTCTCCTGTCTGTCACACTGTCGCGGAGACTTTTTGGTAATCTATCCCAGCAAAAGTATGAGGCTTGTTCACCGCGATAAGTGCCAGAAGAACTGAAGAACAGGAGGCTGACGACGCTCGGCTCAATTTGGCTCGTCGTCGCACTCCCTGCTGCTTGTCGCAGAATGCTGCTGGTGCTTGTGAGATGCCATCATGAAGCACGACATGGAGTGATGATTCCGTACGCAAACAAGAAGGAGCTTCGAGCTGGATCGTTGAGTGTTGTACTCGTATCATCATCATTGCACCAGATCGCCCTAAAGCCTTATGGAGGAATCACTGGAAGATTCATTGGGTATATGGATGGAAGTGAGTACTGCATACTCGTAAATATGTCCGGCGTACAGCGCTGCGGACTCACGCACCTCATTGGTATAGCGCGCAGCGCCACGACCGACTATCTTGTATCGCTCGTATCTCACTGGTCCATGCATCTATCCTCAATATTTTTGCTGGAGGATGCTTGGGAGGAGATACCCCCAAAGTACATCAAAGCGCTCGGTCTGTTATCATGCGCGGATGAGCGTGAGCTGCCTTGTGTCTTCAGTACTGGGGGGTAGGTCTTACCGGAGCAGCTACTGCTTTCACTGCAAACGGAAACATGGAAAAGAGGGGGGCAGAGCAGCTTTCTTCTTGAAGAGTATCAAGAGCTATTGACCATCATCGTGTTGAGTGCATGCATTACGACTAGATCTACCTTGCGCACCCGGCCCATGGTGAATAACGCCAATGATAAATGACGCTCCTTATCAACCATGGACCCGCGTGAATGGCGACGCTCACTGATGCGCCACAATTGATAGCCCGTAGTCGGGCTGCTGTCTTTTTTTCTTGCTCCTCCTGAACAATCCTGGCCCATTTCATGTCTGCCTCTTGACGCGCTTGGCCGATAGAAGGATACACATGGCCAGGTGAAATTCAGGGTATCAGTAAGGGTATGTGTATATATCGCCGTCGCTGGGGGCGACGGACTGAGAACGACAGCCATGGTGAAGGCTGCAGCGCCGTTGTTGATTAGCTGTTGCGAGTGACATCCGCAGCGAGCAGTATTCACGGCATTGTCGTCAGGTCTTTGACGCTGAGAGGAGGCATCTCTATGATAGCTTGATCTGAGTGCACAGGTGGTCGTTGGCAAACAAAAGATCTGTGAGCTTTTCCGTCGTCGTTGCGCGTCGGATCACCGCGGCGAAGCATACTTACTTGTACGTCAGGGTTGAAGCAATGGATCTACGGCGCGCGCCTGACTTTTCGCCTGCTTTTCGCTCTTCCCACACAAGCCACCACTTCCCAGCCACTTCCAACCACCGTCCATTCTTTCAGCTTTGCACCTTCCCGAACCACATCACAGACCATTGCAAAATAACCTACCATGGGGGACGCCGACAACAAACAAGACGAAGTGAAGCTCAATATTTCGCAAAGATGGAACGACCCGAACGCAGATCAAGCGTTGAAAGTCGTTTCGAGCGACGGGATGATCTTCTACATTCCCGCTTACATCTTTCAAAGTCAGAGGTATGCTCCCACCTCTCACTCGTAACCAAGCTGACTTCGTGAACAGTGTTGTCCTCAACAAGATGATCCAAGACATGGCCCTCCCCACCACCAACGACTTCACGACTTCACACCCACTTCCGCCGACTCATCAAAAACCCTCCTTTTCACCGACGACACTCTCGAGTCTTCTTCCGTCTTACACTTCTTCCTCTCCGTCATCGGTGACAAGTCCCTCGAAGCCGCTCTCCAAGAGTCCGCAACGACAGACTACGTCCCTCTGTATCACTACACGATGATGTTTGCGAAGAAGTGGGACTGTCCCCAGGCTTTGAAGTTATTGGAAGGATGGCTTTTGCGACTCGCCCTCATGGGCCAGAAACACCCCCATATCAAACCCCTTGACGTCTTTATCCTCGCTGCTAAGTTTGACGATCGTCAGACTGCCGCCAGAGTCATCGCAGAGTACCAAACGTCGGAAGACTGCCTCGAGCCACCTCACAGCGGGCGATGGGGTTTCATTCCTTCGAATCAAGAACTTCAAATGAACAACATCCCCAGACAAGCTTGGGAGGAGATACCTCCTGCATACGCATACGCCCTTCAACGTTCATTTTCCTTGTGGAGCTATTGCCCTCACTGCAAGAACACTCGGTCGGATGGGCCGGAGAGAGCCGCGTTTTTCTTGGAGTGTCTCGATGAATAGCAACCTCTGAGGTGTGGACACGTTGTAGATTATTGTTGAGTTCTGTTATTGCTGAAAGATGCAAAGCATCCTATGTAAACCTTGTGATTTGCGAGTCAGAGTAAGGTCATTGACAGTGTCATGCTTCTGTTTGGTCCTGATCGCCATTAGTCCATTTCAATTCTCCCAACCATTTAACGTAGTACTGATTAAACCTGGTATTGATATCACCGTCCGAAGCCCCCACCATAAAGCCGACTACAAAGCTACACCAACACTCTGACTCCCGCTCCTCGGCAGCCCTCCACTTATCTCGCTCATCCCGCTCTTTCCAGACCGAAGTCCCAACACATCCTTCCAATCCCCCTTCTCCTCCGCCGTCGCCCCCAGAGGATACTCTCTCTCCCACACTTTCCCATTCCCCCTCCCCCACCTGTACCCTCCCTCTCCCTCTTCTTCCCCACCAGGTACATCCTCATAAACCACCTTCTCCTTCGGCCTTTCCACCCACTCTCCACCAGCATCCTTCGTCCACCGCCCCTCGTCTGCGGGGAGCATCTTGCCAAAGCCGGGGAGGAGGGAGAACCTTTCTTCCCGAGCTTCTTGGGGTCCGTTGAAGAAGACGTCGTCGCCGAGAACGAGGCGAGCGGAAGCTGGGGAGAGCTCGTGCCAGGAGTTGGTTTGGGGGGAGAAGATGCGGTGTTTGGGGGGCTGGGTGGTGGGTGATGGGTCTTCGACTGGTTGGATCTTGGGGCTATATATATCATCGGCGAGGGTAAGAAAGAAAGAAAGAGAAGAGAGACGTACTGGGTATGGTGATGGATGATATGTCTGTCGATGACGGTGGTATACTCTGTATGCACTTGGGGTCTTGTATGCTCCTGCAGCCTGGATCAGCTGTGTTCCTCGGACTGAGACTGAAAGAAAGAAAAACTTACTTGAATGACTGGTTCCAGCCACCTCGTCTGGATATCTACCGTCCCCGGCGTCCCAACTAACCCATCCATCCCCGCCCTTTTGAACGTCTCTTGACCCTCATCTGTCAAAATCGGGTATGAAGCCGAGTTCGAGGATATCTCAGAATGAAGTCTGTCCGACAGTACGCGGCGGTGTTCTTCCAAAGCGGCAAGGGGATCTTCAGTCGCCTCTTGCGCAGCGTAAGAATAGGCAGTAACGGGCACACCCCTTTCTGTAGCCGTATCCGACTCAATCAGAGAAGCCGTCTCGCCAATCGGAGACGAAGGAGCAGTCTCATAAGCCGAGTGCCCTGCCGTAGACGTCGCAGCAGCAGACGGCGCACGGCCGGCTGCGAGGGCTGCTTCCTTCTCGCGCGCGTCTCGGGAGCCTTGTCGGGGGTCGATAGCGAGGCGGGAGAAACCGTCCGAAAGAGGTTGTTCAGGGGAAGGGGGGGAGAGGGAGGATGAAGAAGGGGAGTGTTGAGAGGGGATCCAAGTACCGCTGCCGACTGGAATAGCCAGCCCCGGGCTCGTCCTTGCTTCGTACCCTTGCCCCTGGCCGGCACTTGGCAAGGTAAGCTCGTTCTGCCGTGTAGGCGGCGAAGGGAAATCATCCATACGCCCTTCTTCTTCCAGCTTTCGCACGCTTCTCAGGGTCCCGCCTCGCTTGAGACCGTTCGTACCAGGGACGACGGTGCTGTCTTGGGATAGGGAAGTGGAGGTGGTAGCGTTCGAATCGGCGCTGTTGGGTGGGGAGAAGCGAGAGCGCGATTGGGGTTGAGAATGACGGGGATCGCGAGAGGGGTCGATAACTACAACATCTTCTTCTTCCCTCCTCCCGGCGTCGGGAGAGATGCCAGTGTCGAACTGCGCCCTTTGCGGAGAAGTGGCGCTCACGCCATTCTGCCTCACACTCCCGAAAGTCGGCTTTGGCGGTGTCGGCGGAACGACTTCTCCCTGCATCGCACCCCATTCTCCTTTTCCCCTACCACCGACAGACGCTGAAGGCGCACGTCTCAGGAGCCTCGAGCTGCTCCCATTTTTGCTGGAGGTTGACTGGGCGAGGTTGGGGGTGGATTTGGAGGCCGGGGAAGAAGGGGAAGCGGCGGAGGAGGAGGTGGATTTTGATTTGCGGTGGAGGATCTTGTGAAAGAGGGAGGGCATGGTCGGAGGGGCCAGGGAAGCTGAGATGCAGGGGAGAGGGCAAACAAACAGAAGGACCAGAAGTGGATGGTCGATCAGCTGGGGCCTCGCAATGACGTCAGATCACGGCGTTCATCTTCCACGTCGACATATTCTGCATCTCCTTTGCTTTTTGCAGCGTGAGGCCCGAAGGTCGTCAGTATGCGTCAGGCCTGTGGGCTCTGCTTCCTAGAGGGGTATGTATGTCCCAAAGGTGTGCATGTGGTTGTTTGAGCATGGCCTGGCCCTGGCAGTACGTATAGACTCGCGAGAAGAGAGATGTGGTGATGACCCTTTTTGAAATGAACACGTACTCGTACTACTACGTACAGGGAAGCGAAGCACGCGCAACAGATCTCGCCATGAACCAGCATAACATCATCATCTCTCGCTCCAGCAAACCTACATCTCCTCGAACCTCCACCTCGCATCTCACTTTCCTCCAACGTGCGCCGATATGATCTCAGCCCCAACCCACTCCCGTGTCGATGGCACATGACGAAACCGTCCCTCCATTTTATTTCTTTTGCCCTGTTTCCTGGCGAGGCCTTCATACCCCTGACCTCTCTTCTCTCGATCTGCGTTGAGCACTCTCGTGCGTGTCTAAGTGGATTTCTACGAGTCGACAACGCAGGCCATGCAAAGCAGTCCGTGCATGGAAAAGAGAAGCAAAAGAATGCACCACAGAACCGGAATCAGGGACCCGGAAGGGCCGATACGCCAAACTTAACGCTAAAACTCGGAACATCCGGTGCCGCGCCGAAAGGCTGGTGACTAACCTGTTTACTCGCAAAGAGGATCATAAAGTTTCGGACGACGACGTCTTTCTGTGGAGACTCTTGGAGCGGACCTCTTGGGTACTCTTTTGGTGTCCCCAGAGGATACAGTGCATGAGGAAGCAAGTGTTCATATGTAGTGAAGATGAGAGACGGGGCGTCCGAGAACATGCTTGCGAAACCAGCGACGACGCATCCCACCCTGGCGTTTTCTCAGCATCGTTCTAATAACCTGACGAAATTCCATATGATTCATAGTCTCGTATAGCATGTCCTATATGCTAGAGGTAGCATCAGTCTATTTGGGATGAAGTGACGATTACAACACTCTACAAAACCCGAGCCCGTTGAACCTGAATATGTAAATGAAAAAGGTACATAACGTCAATCGCGTCAATATCCTCGGTCCAAGACAAGCTCCCAAGACCCAAGACCCCAGGAGCCCTAAATGGATGATCATCATCCGTGATTCACCACTCCCGAGAGCGAATGCAAAGGATCGTCATACCTTGTCATCGATACCAACCTACTCGGAATGTCGAGGCCTTGCATCATACCTGTTACCCTCCACCACCATCCCCCGCCCCCCGCACGGGTCGCCCAGGGCCAAGAGGATCATCATAGGGTCACATACGCGGTCTGGAGACCGGCGAATGGCATCTGAAGAGTGAGGTGACCTTTTGAGCCCCGGACGTCCGGGGAGAGTTGGGAGAAGGCATTCGTCATGCCGAGGGGTATGTAACCTTCTATGACTTCTATGACATCGCTCGATCTCTTCCCCAACCCCAGCCCACAGCATATATAAAGCCTCTCCACCTCCAATCTTCTTCTTCTTTACATTTCCCATACAACAACTTTCCACTTCACAGCAAAGACACAAAACAACTTTTCATCAACCATGTCCAACGTCACCCAAGGAGTCAAGGAATTCTTCAGCGGTTCCACCAAGCCCGAGACTACAGAAGTACGTCCCTCATATCTCTTCTCGTTCGTCGTGTATGGAAGAAGGACTAACGAAGGTTGGACAGGTTTGCACCGAGTCCGCCCCCGAGGTTGTGCAAGAACATGTCCGTCCTCAGGAGCACGTCAAGACTGCCGACGCTATCGACCGTGAGAGACATATCCACCACCACCAAGTACGTCTCCCCCCTCCCCCGCCCCATACTCGTATGCTTGATCCAATCTGATCTTTTCCAAACAGCACCGCGTCCAACCCGTCGCCGACGCCCAAACCCTCCCCGAAAAACACGTCCACTCCACCGCCCCCGTCGTGCACACTGAACACACCGAAGACATGCTGCCCGAGCACCAACAGACTTTGCAGCAGCAGCGTGGGCTGCACCAGAATCAGAAGACGGAGGGTGCTGTGGAGAGGAGTGGGGAGCATGTGGGTGTTGCGGTGAATGAGCATGCGCACCATCATATCCATGAGACTAGTGAGTCCTTCTTCATCTTCTCATCCTTTTTTTGTGGGGTGGTGCTGATGGAGTACAGTCCAACCCGTCATCCAACGCGAAACTGTCGCCCCCACCGTCGTCCACAAGACCAACGCCATCCACGAGACCGTCAAGGAAGCGCCCATCGTCCACGAAGTTACCACCCTCCCCACCGTCTCTGCGGCCGAGTATGCACAGACGAGGGAAGAGCCGGGGCAGGGGGTTTGTAGGACGTATGAGGGGGGACCTGCTGTGGCTGGATCTGGGGCTGGAGCCGGGGCGGCCGGCGCTGGGAGTCACGGCGCTGGGAGTCACGGTGTAGGCAAGACTGGGACTACTGGGACGACTGGGACTGGTATTGGCCACTCCTCCCACTCTCCCCACTCTTCATCAACGACCCCTGGCGTGAACTCCACCTCCGGCACTACCGGTACCACCAGCACTGGCAAGAGCCACAGCAAGACTGAAGCTGCTGCTGCTGGTGTTGCCGCGCACGAGGCCAAGAAGGCGCTCTAAGCGGGCTCTGGGTTGAGTTTGAAGAAAGATGGAAAGTAGGAAGACGAGAAGATCAGAAGATTAGTAGAAGTACAATCACATATCGCATCATGTAGCAATTAGCAACTATCGAGCAACCTTCCGTTCACACATCATAGCAACTCGTCCATCTTTGATCATCTTGCCAGATCTTGTCCGCGCTCCACCCACGACGCCCTAAGAATTTGACGCCCACCAGATCCGCATAGAGCAACAAGACGGATCAAACCTTTCAACAGATTAAGAGCCTGGTGCTCTACCAACCATATTGATCCAATTCCTCCCCAGTCGCGGCGCCCGGGAGAGGAAAGCAATCTGGGGAAGTGTGGTCGTAAAAGCACGCCTCTCTTAATCTGTTGAAAGCTGGAACCCGTCTTGGTGGTCTATCCGGAGCTGATGGACGTGGATTCGGGGTGGTGGGTGCTGGATTGAATTGGATGAGAGAAGGGAGGATGGGAGATGGAGAGATGAAAAGTCTGGGCAGCGGCGTTTCGTTTCATAGCGCGGTGGGGATCACCGCCGATGTGAGAGGAGGAGACGAGTATGCATGAAGCTATCTATGTATTAGGCTAATGCTGCACTCAGACAAAGGCAGCAGCAGAGACCTGTATTGCTGATGTCACTAATCTCCCCCCGAACGAAAAATAGGATGGATGAGATGAGCGAGAAAGGGGTCGGGCTCGCGAGACTTGCCCTACTCGCGAGATTTGGCATTCGGGTAGCAGAGGCTCTTCTAGCTTCGTCAAAAGGGGCTCTTTACACATAGAGGAAGGACATGAGAGTGTCAGAGTTCTAGGGAGAGTGATTGCGGTAGTATGAAGTGGGCAATAGCTCTTTTGTCTGCCTTTTGCCATTGAGATCGCGATGAGATCCTGTTGTTTGGTTCCACAGATCGTGACCACATCTGACTCGGCTCTTTCATGCTTTGCCGGTAGTGCTCTTCTCTTCATCCCCTCACAGAGATAGCCTTACAGTGCTGCCCCGTGGTCGTCATGTGATGCATGCGTATCTGTGCCGAACACGATCTGACTGCGACACGCTCGCGCCTGCGCTTTAGACCGTGGGATGGTAGTACCCCTAGCCCCCTCGGGGTTGTGCGAATGCACTGATACGGTATCCCTGCGACCATCTCCACTTTCATCCTCCTCTCTTCCCAATATCCCCCACAACCAACCCCCCATCGCCCGGTGAGTACTCTCCCACGGCCACCAAAGCACGCTATCATCCCTCTCGGCCAACTCCGTCTCTCCCATCTCCATCCATCCCTCCTCCCCATGCTCCCCTAACGCCCGATGCAGTCCCGCCAGTCCTCCCGCACCCGCCTCATCCCCATCCTCGACAAGGAAACCCCCCCGCAGCGCACCATGTCGTGGGACACCCTCAACCCCTTCGGCCCGCGCTGGACCTCTGCCGATAGGAAGCGCGCCGGTGTCTTTTTCTTGTCTGTCGTTGTCGGCCTCGCCAGGTGAGTCCAAACATGGGAAGGTCAAGGCTGATGGGTAGTGGGAGCAATTATGTGTACTCGGCGTATGCGCCGCAGCTGGCAAACCAGCTGCAGGTCAGCGCGACGACTGTCAATCTCGTCGGACTCGCCGGCAACTTTGGGGTATACACCACGGGGCCTCTATGGGGCAAGATAGTAGACTCGAGGGGCCAAAAAATGTACGCCTTTCCCCTTTCCCCTGAGCTATACTGATATCTAGTAGCCCGCTGTTGACAGGCGGGCTCTGCTGCCTGCTCGGCTACTCGCTCGTCCACGCCTTCTACACCCACTCCATCCCCATCCGCTCCTCCTCTTCCTCCGACATCTCCACCCCCCGCCTCGCATTCCTCATGCTCTCCATGTTTCTCACCGGTGCCGGCGGGTCGGCAGGCTTGGCGTCGGCTGTGAATGCGGTAGCAAAGTCGTTCCCTGATGCCACCCGCGCAAGTGCTACCGGCGCTGTGCTGGCAGGTTTCGGCCTGAGTGCTTTCTTGTTTTCATTCCTTGGCCATCTGGTATGGCCTGGTGATTCCGGTGGACTGCTGGGGCTGTTGGCAGTGGGCACTTCTGTCCCAATGCTCATCGGCGGCCTCTTCATCCGCCCCGTCTTTCCCGAAGAAGCCCGCCCAGAATACGAGCACTTGGATCAAGACGAACCTGGTGTAGAGGTGGTGGTGGAAGACTACGACTCGCCCGCCCTCTCACGCACCACCTCCCTCGAGATGAGTCGTTCCATCGACCTCTCCCGCTCCCGCTCCCCCGCCAGAGGCCGCGACCCACACCACCCGCACGCTCACGCCCACTTTGCCCCTCTCCCCCACCCCTCCCACCCCTCTCACCCCTCACACCCCCCGCACAAACGCTCCCAATCCCTCTCCTCCCTCCCCCCCACCTCCCTCCACCACTCCCCCCTCGACATCCTCCAAACCCCCGACTTCTGGCTCCTCTTCACCATCCTCGCGCTCCTCTGCGGTACCGGCCTCATGTACATCAACAACGCCGGCACTGTCGTGCTCGCCCTAGGCCGGGAGGGCCATATGCAGTTTGACCGCGAAAAGATCTCGGGCTGGCAAGCGAAACAAGTCGGCCTCGTCTCCATCTGGAACTGCTCCGGCCGTCTGATCGGGGGCTTCTACTCTGACTTTATCAAATCCAAATACCGCATATCCCGCATCTGGACACTCCCCCTCGTCTCCCTCCTCTTCATCATCTCCCAACTCTCCGCCCTCTCCACCACCCACGCCTCCTCCTTGTGGGCCGTCTCGAGTCTCCTCGGGGTCGCGTATGGAGCATTGTTCAATGTGATGCCGATGTTGGTGTTGGAATGGTTTGGCATGCGGCACTTTTCGCAGAACTGGGGGTGGACGTCGGTGGCGCCGATTATCGGGTCGAACGGGTTTAATCTTGTGTTTGGCAAGGTTTATGATGCTCATACGGTACGTCCCCCCTTCCCCCTTTCCTTCCTTCCTTCTCCTTGCTCGTGTTGCCTTGGGTGGGGGAGCTGATGTGTATATGTATGTAGGTTGGCAAGATAGGTTACCCATCTGGGGAAACGCCTCCCGACCTAGATCTGCCCTTGGGCGACAGCGTGCAAGAAGCCGCAAGAGGGTTTCTGGAGGCTGCTGTGGGCGTCGTGAAAAGGGCAGGAGGGGTGCCGGTACCGGATGACGGGTCGCATGATTGTAAGTCCTCCTCTCCTCCTCTTCTACTTCTTTCCCTTCTCGCATATCTCGTCTTTCTCCATTTCTCCATATTCCGCTGGATCAAAGCTTACCACCTGATGGTGGGGTAACAGGTCTAGTAGGAAACCACTGCTACACCGCCGCATTCCAACTATCCTCCCTCGCCTGCGTCTTGGCCTTGGGGCTCAGTCTGGTTGCTGGGGTGAGGAGGGAGAGGATGGGGAGAGAGAGGAGGAGGGTGTTGATGGAGGAGAGTGGGCAGTTACCGCCGGATGGTGTGCACGTCTAGTGATTTTTCGGCTTATACTTGTGCTTGTGTTGTGTTTGCAGAGGAGAGAACAGCGAGCAGTGAGAATTGGAAATGTGTATATCTAGAAATAGAAAGGGGGGAAATCGTTGTCAAGTTGTCGAAGTGGGGGTTAGTAGGGCCGGAATATAGATGGAGATGATGTACGAGTATGCCCAGCCGCGCATCGGTTGACTCGTCAGCACCAGCACGCAGCACTTTTCTTGAGCTTGGAGCAGAGCAAAAGCAATCTAATTTATTTTGCATTTCCCATCTATAAAGAAAAACCTTCACTTTCCTTTCCATGTATCGATACAAGCACAAGCATAAGAAACACCAACACAGAAAAAAAACACAGAAAGCGCAAATAAAGAGAAGATATAGAACTTTCAAAGGGCACGCGCGTGTTGATAGAGCATAGAGCATAGAAGGAGACTTACTACGGCAGAGGAGTACACTTGTCTTGTTCTATAGGGATGTAGGGATGACAAGGCGATAGAATAGTAGAATAGAAGGGAAGGCAAAAGACAGAAGGGCATTTCTTTGGGTAGAGGTAGGGACGAGGCACGATAATAGAGTAAGCATAAAAGGGAGCAAAAAAGGTCCATGTCACTTCTTTGAGCTTTGCCCGTGTTTGTGCACCGGGGTTTTGGTGGGGCTGGATGTGTTGTGGTAGTGGTAGTGGAAGTGGTAGTGGGAGTGTTGGACGACGACGGACTGGAAAACGAAAACTGGAAAGATGGACGTCAGCCGTGGGCCGTGGGAATGGTTGATGACGAGATAGAGAAAAGACTTGCCAAACAATGTCATCACGCCACTTGCCAACAACGCAACGACAGTCCCACCATCCACCACCTCCAAACAAATACTGACCCCAGCTTAAGACTGCACAAAGTCAGTTACTTGAACAACAATCCACTCGTCATTCGGCGGAGATGGGGAAGACGACTCACGCCAAAGGACGCGAGCTCAAGCGATAACTCGACCAACGCCGATTTCTGTATCGACTTCCATACTCATCCCTTCCTCTTCCTCTGCCTCTTCCACTGCCGCCTCAGCTTCAGTATGACGGTGATGGTCGCCAACATCGACATCGACGTCAACGTCAACGTCAATGTCCATAAGCTCGGCATGATTGACGATCACGCGCTTCCATAGTAGACCCGGGTCTTGTGCTGGATCCAAAGTCGACTTGGGTGTAATGCTCAGAGCGGGGGTGGTAGAAGACGATGATGAGGAGGATGATGTAGTGGAAGTGGAAGTGGGAGTGGGAGTGGGAGTGGAAGCGGAAGGGGCAGAGGGAGATAGCAGACGGACTTTGTTGGGGTGTGCGTCCTCCAGCATGGAAGAGGAGGAAGAGGAAGGAGAAGGGGAGAGCTGTCGTTTGGTGGGCAGTTTGGGGTCTTGCATCTCTACGTCTCCTCCTCCCTGCCCCTCTCCCTCAACCTCAGGCTGCTTGACAAAAGCAGAAGAATCGACCCCCGGCGTACCGACCCTACTTGACGAAGCAGACGACGCGCCAGACCACGAAGGTACGAGCGGTAAAGCCCGGCCTTTGTGCAGGAAGGCCGAGGAGGGGAGGTAGCGCGGGTCGGAGGCGTGGCGGTGTGGTGTCGGGTGGGAGAGCGCAGGGCGCGGGGCAGGCGTTTTGCCCTGGGCCGAAGAGACAGACGGAATCGGCACCGGTACCTCTTTCCCCTTGCCCTTCCCTTCGACAATCGTCACCGGCAAAGGCTGCGCCACCGGCCTCTTGGCCCCTTTCGTCCCAACAGTAGGCTCGACAGCGACCTTCTTGCCATAGAGCTTTTCGAGGTGGCTCGTAGGAGGGAACATGCCGCGGATGTCGTGGGGGTGGGTCGGGAAGGGGCATGGTCCGAGGGAGGGGTCTGCGAGGTGGGGGCAGGTGGTGGCGAAGATGGAGTGCTGGGGTGCGGCAGAAGGGGGAGGGGGGGCAGGAGGGGCAGGCGCGGGGGGCTTTGGGAGGATTGCCCGTGTTTTGGCCACTTTGGCAGCCATCCGCGCCATCGCACCCGGCGCAGACACAAATCTCGGGGCACCGGCGGCATCTACCGGCGGTGTGGGGAAGGGTGCGGGGGCCGCCGCTTGTTTACCCGGAATTACCGGTCGCGCACTCGGTGGGGCACCCCGGCTCACAGGCGTCTTGGAAGAAGCTGAAGGAGAGATGTGCTGGGGCACTATCCTTGGCCCGCCCACCCCGTCATACACTTCCGGCGGAGTAGCCGTACCGCTCCGCCCGCGTTTCCTGGGATTGTTGCTGGACGAGATGTAGACCGCGTCAGGCCACCCGGAGAGAGCGATCATGATGGGCGCTGGGGCTGGTACTGGTACTGCTGGGGCACTCCCTCGGCGGGCGCGTGCGCGGGGTGGGAGAGACTCGTTATCGCGTTCCCGTTGGCGGCGTTCGAGGGGAGGCGAGTTGGGGGACGATTTGGGCATCGGCCTCAGACGTCCCGGCAGAGGCGAGCCTGAAGCCGAAGCAGAGCCTGAGGCGGTGGGGAGCGTGGTGATGGGCGTCAATGGTTGAAGCGCAGGCATGGTGAAATGGAAGAATATTGTTCAAACGAAAGAGGAGATGGGAGAACAGCGACTTTGAGTACTTTCTGGAGTGGGGCTGCCGGCAATAGGGGTTCAGTTTTTCGGCTCTCGGGCTGTCGGGCAAAACGCACAATTGCAAGGCACCCCGCGTGGGGGAAGGGTAGTCTCTTCTAATAACGGGTATATAGATAAGCGTTTTTGTAATCGATCTCGGAGGCAAAGTTACAAAAGTCTAATGACACCCGCGTATGTTTTGGTTACCGGCGACAATGAGGAACAGAGGATCCCGATCACCAAAAAGCGCTACGGGGCTGAGATTCTCGACCATTTGACCTCATTGACCTCATGCATATCCTCATATCCAGCATTAGCCTACATCCCAGCCGTGAGTTATCCATGTGACGGTCAGGTATGACGATGAGGATGAGGGCAAGAAGAGATCGACGCTGACGTTTTTTAAGCTTTGATTCCAGCGCGCGGTGTTTCCGGTTATCAACGCGAAGATTTGGGACGGATGATGTCCGCCTCTTTCGCCCATGTTTCGCGGGTATAGCGACAGCCTGAGAATTGATTGAAAGCCTGAGGTGGAGTGGTACGTAGCGATGATGTTACAGATCGTCATACCGGATAGCGTAGATCCCAGGTGCTGAGGTACTCGTATGGTTTTACCCCGCGTTGGAGGGCAGGAGATGCTCGGCCACGCTTATCTATTCCACCTTTCTCCACTTGCACTTTCACAGATTATGGTTAATGACTATAGTCGCATGCCGATGTCGGAGAGAGACAGTTGTAGTTTGACAGTTGTTGCACTTCTTACGGGTACATACTTTTGCATGACGTTAACATCAGCTGCAGTAGTCTGGATCCCAACCCCCGGCTGCTTGAGAGGCAGACACCCGACGACAGTGACCGGAGCGAAGCTTCTGCAATTGTTCGTTTTGTGTGGTGGACCATCGTCTTTTCCCCTTCTTCTTCTTCTTCGTCTTATGTAGGTAGGCCCTCAGAATGTTTAGGTCACAGTGCAGGGGTATCAGATGTCCCAGCTATATACTTTATATTGCGAGAAGAGGAGACGCCGCAGAACAGCAAGCCGAGGGCTGGAAAAATCCTAATCCTAAATGCATACTATACTCGTACAGTCAGAATGGCGCCCGTAGCTTTTTTCTCGTTAGACTGTGCCGACTGACAGGACAGGACGACTGCTCTCTGGACGGCCGCAGTGTAGTGCAGATTAGCTGACAAGCTGACAACTCGCTCGCTCGCTGCGTGAGTCGTGCGTTGGTCGTGCGTCGGCCATCCGGGGGTAGCCGTGGGAAAGCTTTTTTTGCGTTGCGTGCCCGGCTGACGGCGGGACTCCCTTGCGACTGTCCGAGTCGATCGTCCATTTCTCTTTCCTTTCTCAATCCTAATCCTCAACTCCCTTTTCTCCTTGCAATCAGATCCTCGCCAGCCACGCATTACAACTTGTACCTCCAGACCACAGGCTAATCGCTCACCTTCTACCCCATACACTGCCCAGGACAAAGCAAACGAACCATGCCCGACCCCACCGCCATCGCCTCCGGCGCAGATACAGATACAAACCCCACCCCAACTCCCTGCCCCATCCAGCTCGGCCCCACATCTACATCAAGCACAAGCATCGCCTACATACCCCTGAAAGGCGCTGAAGGGTTCCGACTGACCCCTGCAGGAGAGGGGGATCTGGATGATCTCGTGGGTTGTAATCTCATTTTTCTCGTCAGAGCGCGCTGATCATATGTACTTGTATGCAAGGTGGATCTCTACAACCGGCCGGAACTGGGTAAATGGGCTTGTCGTCGACCGTACCCGTTCGTCCCCTTTCCCCTTTCCCCATCCTCATCAACGATATCGATATCCGATAATCAAAACCTGACCGAAGTGCCCAGATATACCAAAGCCCATACAAACTTCCTCAACATTCCCGCCAACGCCCCCATCCTCACCTCCATCCTCCGCACCCTATCCCTCCCCTCAACATCCACAAACGACGACGACGACGCGCGTAAAGCCCGTGCTTCTTTTATCTTTAATGCTCTGAGAGAAGAGTCGACAGGGAAGGTGGTGGGGATGGTGTTTATCGGTCCTTCGGACCGTACGAGTACTCCACCAGGATCAGGATCAGGATCGGGATCAGAATCGGGATCAGGATCGGGAGGACTGTGGGAGGTGGGGTATGATCTGTCCCCCGAGTACTGGGGTAGGGGTTTGGGGAGGAGGATGGTGCAGGGGGCGTTGGAGTATGCGAAATGGGCTGGGGTGACGCAAGTCTGCGCTGTGAGTTCGTTTCGAGTCCACCGCCTATCGCTTCTCTTTCTTCTTCTTTTGAACCTTTTTCATCGCTGAACCTACCACAGTTCCATCAACCCGAAAACACCGCCTCCGCCGCGCTCCTCTCCAAGATAGGTTTCACAAAGCACTCTGAACGCCTTGTAGAATGGCCGAAAGAGAAGGGTGGCGGGAAGCGGCTGTGTTATGAGTGTAGGATCGATCTTTAGGGCGCACACTCTTTCTCTTCGTCGTAGAGTGGGGTGATATGTACGAGTACTCAAGTACAGTATGACTTTGATGAAGCATTTCCTGTTCTGCGGTGCCGCCCGGAGCCTTGGGAGAACTAGAGATGCACGATGAGAGTGAGAGCTGGTTGAGCATCATGAACAGGTCATATCGATCTGTCAATCAGATCAGCCGCGCCTACAGAGTGCACCACGCATGATATCTTACAACAACTACATACATCATGAATTCTCCTTGTCACTGAATCACGGAGCCACCACCGGACTTGCGTTTCTCCTTCTTCTCGGGGAGGATCTGGCAGCATCACTATAATCAGGATACTTTCCTCCTGAAGCACGTTCATGTTCAAAGACCACATGTGCGCTTCCCCTCCAAGCTCTTTTTTGAACTCCTATCGCAGAAACAACCCCCGCCAACTGTAGTCGCAGCCTTGGAGTCTGTACCGACCGGCCTTGTACTGTAGAACCAAGTTCTCTAACTTCTGGGCTATACGGACGAAGCCATCGCCAGCGTAGTGCAACCTTTCCGGATTCTCGTCAGATTTATCGGGTTTGCAGCTGTGAGAGGTGATCAAGGATAACCGGACCCTCTCCAAACCAGTAATCATCAGTAAATAGCTCGCTCGAGGGAAAGTGGAGATTCATACGAGAAAGGGAATGGACTCACGGTGATACAGAATCAAGCAAGGTATACAGCTCGGGTGACAATCCGTCATGGCTTGCGTAGTAGAAGACAAGAAGTGCCTTGCAGAGTACGACAGAAATCTGCATATACATCTCAACCTGAAAGGACCATTGGTCAGATCGCAGCCCAAATACAATGTCCATTTGAAAGACTCGCCAGCGAGAAAAGTGGAACAGGTAAAATACTATGTCGAAACGCATACTTTTCACAGATATCCTCGACCCTTTGCCTCCAAAGCTTGAGCGTTCGTACGTTTGCCTTCGTTCTCGATTGCAAAGCAGATTCTTGACACCTTCCTGAAGCAGTCGATGGATTCAACCCTCTTGATCTCACAAGACTGATCAGCATTGGCCCAGGAGAGTCGGTACCTATCACTGGAAGACCGATGAAAAGGGACGGTTTTTGGAGGTGGCGATTGAGCAGGCACGATTGGTGTACAAGTATGATTCAAAAACGTTGTAATAATGACAGGCAGCGGCGGGCCTTCCCAAGGTATCCTTCGAGGGGGTTATAAGGGTTATAAGCAGGATGTCAATGGTGGAGTCTGATGGAGACCCAGGTAGCTGACCGCATGTGCGTGCGGGGTATATGATGGCAACGTCGAACGTACATTTGAATAGTGAGCCTTGTGTATGAACGCACATAAAGAGCGTGTATGTACAAGGATGGCAGTTACTACATGCCCCGGAGGTGAGGTCGAGTTCATGCGTATACATGGAACATCTGTCACTGCGCCTAGCCACCACTCTTCATTCAACAGTTACATGACCTCTAGCATAGCAAAAGGGAATATCAAAGATTGGATTGCTACCCTCTAACCTCAACGACATCCCTTCCGAGACATCTAATCCGAGCTCACTCACGCCTTCAGTCAATGCCAACGATATTGGAGAGTGCATGCCGCCGGACACAGCTGCGAAGGCCAGTGGACCGGCAGGGTTGTCGAGTAGATATGTTATGCAGCGTGGGAGCCAAAGAGCTGCTGGGGCCCTTGAGGGAGGAAGGGAGGATATTACGATGGACAGACCTGAGACTGCAGGTCCTCTAGCGTTTGCGAAAGCGATGACGCGGGCGGCTCTCAAATACAAGGCTTTCACGGTATATTTTACCGGAGAAAGACCAAATTTGTCCTCGTAGGGAAGAGCTCTTTTGGAGCTGTAGTCGACAAGATTACGACAACGCACGAGTCTTGATAACGCAATGCTTGTTGTATGAATGGAAAATGAGCTGTGCGTTGTGTGGTGCTTGCCTAGTCCTTTGTCAGCCCCATGGACGCAAGCGGTCCATTGGTCTCCATCGAGCACTCTAGCTGAACCTAACGATTTCTACGTTAATACGCATCTCTGCGTCCGGTTCTGTACGAGTAGAGTACGAGTATGGTAGGGCGGCGGCCTCCGAGATCCAACGAGATCAGCCTGTGTATGTGCGAACTACTACACGTCTCTTTTCTTGCATCTCCCATCTTTTTCCGGCATTCGATTCGTCTACAACAAGATATCCGAGGGCTCCAGCTCCTCAGACTCCAGATATCGCCAGTCACCCAACACCCACTGTGCTGTACGTCTTCTTATTATCAGCCTCGCACCCGCATCACCCGCTGATCCAGTGCGCCAGTCTCACCCATCTCTCACCAACCACCTCGTCTTGCGAATATCTTTCAAGCAATGAGCCAGCCATCTGAAGACGCTATGGTCGGTGCGGTTGATATGGAGGGACAAACTACTGCGGCGTCGTTCAACGATTCCACCGAGACAGCAATCCAGCGGCCGGGCAATGACTCTCACTCTGAAGAAGCGGTGAGCGAAGGCTCGTCAGATCCTGGCGGCCCCGGTACGGACATACCTCCTCATGAGCATCCCCAAGCCTCAGGAGGAGAAGGGGAAGAAGGAGACCATAAGGGCGATGCGAAAGGCGAAGAATACCGTACGTCCTTTCATTCCCGTTTTCTACTTTGCAAGAGAAACTTCGTTCTGACCTTCCATGCAGCTAAGCGCGATGTCATGGAAGATGAGGCAGTTGAAGACGATGTCAACCCGGGAGGCGGCGACGAGTCCGATGACGGGTCCTCGGGATATGGTTCCGATGATGATGCGGGTGGTGCTCGATACCAGGCCATGTACGAATTCCTCAAGGAAAGGAAAGTGAAGTTTGTTCCTGTAGAAAAAAGAATGTTCAGTGCAATACTCGACAATATCAAGGCGTCATACGAGGCTCGACGAGAGGGAGAGGCTTGAATCCAAGTTCATATTGCAATTCAAGCAAGAGACATCCGTTTTTATATCCACTGTATCATAATAAATACAAATCTTTCGAGCTCGAGGAGGATGAACCGCCTGATCTTATCTATGCCCTTTCATTCGAGTTTTGCGGTCTAGGCCAATTTGCCGGGACAACCTTCATGCAAGCAGCCGAGTATCTCATGGGAAGCTATACTGCATGCGGCTGCTATCTCGGTGGTTTTGCCTTGGGGAAAGGGTACGTTTGTATGGTCGTCGTTGATGACAATACCAATCTAGAAGAGGTTCCAGACCGTACGACTCTGGCGAGGTACGAGGTCAACGACATGATGGACTTTATCAGCGACCTCTCGAAACCTCCGGTCGTTTTCGCGACAAGTCCAGAAGAAGCCGGCCCAGAAGCCTTGCTCTTCCTCTGGAAGCTGTTTGGGACTGCGACGAGCTTGATTACAGAGCTACCCCTCGGCAGGCGGCTAGAGCGGCTGGTGCAGCCTGCGTGGCTGTCACGCGAGGGTCTGAGCAGCGAGCTGGGAATCCCATCTGTGACCACCCCAACTGATGAATACTTTATGGCGGGTACATGATACAATCCAAATCGACAAACCTCTGCGGCAGCTCTCAAGAACCCTACCGAGACTTCTACCCAGCGCCCCCTCACCCGCCCTCAAGCCTCAAAAACAGAAAGGAAAGATGGTGCAGATAGAGACGCCGCTTACGGTCAACACGTCTTTTCTACGCCTGCACTGACTCCAGCAAACAGATGCAACGCTCTGACCTCTGTCATAGCATAGAGAGGTGCCAAGGATCGTTTATCCTGCGCACACAACATCTCCGCCTTCTTCGCTTCCTTGGAGAACGGCCCGGGCTTAGCGCACGGTGGCCAGGGTAACGCGGCGGATGATGATATCTTCATCAGCGAGTTTGAAGGCAGGATGTCAAGCTCTCACGGGACCGATAGCATAGGCGTAGGCGGTTCACGATATATTCTACCAACGAAGGACCAAGTTTGTTCTTGTGGAGAAAAGCTGCTTGAAGGTTATAGTCGACAAGATTGCGGTGGCGCACGAGTCTCCGTAGCGCACGATGGATCGTTGTATAGACATGTCAGTCGCCATGATCAGCCATTCCTTATCGCAGCACCCAAGATCACGCTCATGCCAATACGATGAAACCATATCTGCATCGTAAAGAAATGCTCCATCACAATCAGTGTTGTATAAAACCCTAGAGGAGAAGGAAAAAGGTAGACAAGTTCGAACGCAGCCGCGCCCTATCTAGAAGAAAGGGAAGGAAGGCTAGACGAGGACGGGCGGCGAAAGAGGTTTTCGGAGAGTGGGGGTATACCAGAGGGTGGGAAGGGTAAAGTTTACTCCTGGTTGTAGTAGTGGATCTCCTCCTTCTCCCTACCACGCATGAACCCGGGCTCGGTACCCTTGTACTACATCCATCGTCAGCTCAACGCCCACCAAAAGCAGAATAGAGGAGAAGGGGACTCACGTAGATATCCTGCCAGAACTCGACCAAGTCCGGGAAAGCACTCTCCTTGGCCTCCTTCACAGCCTGCTCAACCTCCTCCTTCGCGCTCTTGTCAATCGCCTTCAAGCTAGCCTCATCCGTCACTCCCCAGTCCAAGATGTACTTTTTCAAGCCGGCAATGGGGTCCTGAGACGATCGCATGGCCTGGACTTCTTCTCGGGTTCGGTAGGTGGTTCCGGGGTCGGACATGGAGTGGCCACCGTATCGGTAGGTGACAAATTCGACGACGAGGGGACCCTTGCCGGAGACGACCCAGTCCTTGGCCCACCTGGTAGCTTCTCGGACGGCGAGAATGTCCATACCGTTCACCTACGAGATGTCAGCGGGGATAAAGAGAAAGGGGAGAGGGGATGTACCTGGAGACCGGGAATCTTGTCACCTCGGGTGAAGAAGGCGGTGTTCTGACTCGACCTCTCGGCAGAAGTACCCATACCGTACTTGTTGTTCTCACAGACAAAGACACAGGGGAGGTTCCAGAGCTTGGCCATGTTGTAGGCCTCAAAGACTTGACCCTGGTTGGAGGCACCGTCACCGTACATGGCGAAAGTGGCAGTGGGCTTCTTCAAGTACTTTTGAGCGAGTGCGATACCGGCTCCAACGGGGACCTACAGACAAGTCAGCACGAGGGTAAAAGATAAGGGGGAAAAAAGCACGCACCTGAGCACCGACAATACCGTTACCACCGTAGAAGCAAGGAGTGAAGATGTGCATCGATCCACCCTTACCGTACGACATACCGTCCTTCCTACCCATCAACTCGGCAAGCACACCCTTGATGGTACCACCCCTCAAGACAGCCTGGGTGTGGCATCGGTAGGAAGTGATGACCTTGTCCTCGTGCGTCATACCGAGCTCCATACCAACAGACACAGCCTCCTGACCGATGGCGAGGTGACAGAAACCACGGATAAGCTTGGCCTTGTACAAGGCGTCGGCAGCCTGCTCCATACGTCGCATCTGGACGGCGGTTTTGTACATGTGGACGAGCTCGTCCTTGGAGACGGTGGTCTCGGGGGCGGGGGCGTCGCATCGGTAAGAGTGGAAGGTCTCGGAGTGGAGCTGGACCTTGAACTGCGTGGGGTGTGAGCGGGGCGCGCACAGGAAAGCAAGAGACGCACCTCTTCAGAACCAGAGGCGGGGAGCTCGGACACGAGGGGAGAAGACTTGTCGGCGTCCATCTGGACGTAGCGGACCTGGGGGAGGGTGGCTCGGAGGGGCTTGAGGGCGGCGGAGCGGGTGGCGGCACGGAGGCCCCGGGCGCGGAGGGCGAAGGACATGGCGGTGGATGGGTGGATGTAGATGGCTTGTGTCTTGTTCGCGCAAAGATGGCGGAGGCGGCACGGAGCCACGGACTGCCGTGGGGAGGGGAAATCCCACGTGGCACAATAAATCACCCCCATTTCTCTCCTTTTCTCCCGCCCGTGTTTACCCCCCGACCATTGGAATGTAATGGGGTGCCCCGAGCGCTGTGCGTTCAGCGCATGGCACGGGTCGACGAGCTCACCGCTTCTCTTCCAAAATGTCAAAATGACGGAATCATCCAGAGCAGGCAAGCCGTATTAGCATGCACTTTCCTGGGGGCATTCCTCCACACCACACAATATTCTCATATGATAAGGGCTTTGGCTTCATATCTCGCGCAAAGCTCTCTATGGGTTTTCCTAACGCAACGCTTGCACGCCATTTGTACAGTATGTAGAGACCAGAACGTACGGGTAGCATCTGGTGTGAAACAGCTACCATGCCCAGAGCTTGGGCGGTTTCGGCTAGGGGGCTGCTCTCCTCCCATGTGGACCGCTGACGTCCCAACTCGCAGGGTGGTGGGCCGGAAAGAAATGAATGTTTCTTTCATGAGTAGTTGAGCGGCGACTGAAGGTGGTATTGATGACGGCTCATCTATCTATCGCTCGTTCAACGATGAAAGAGCATTCCATAATCAAAATTCTGAGAAAATAATGAGATTTTATTTAGAATGGCCGGTTCGAAAGTGCCTTGATCTAAAATGACCGGTTCCCACCAAGGGGGTGTCCTGAACGCTGTGCGTTCGTGACCGTTGTGCGCTAACTGTAAGGGATCGGTACGGACTGGTCAGTAGGAGATGTAGTGACGTGGACATTGGAACGCAGAGTCTGGTATTAGGGTTGCCGCTATGTTCTCAGGGACGAGTTAGGCGCGGAGGCGAGAGGAGGTTCCCATACATACATCTGCCGCGTCTCCATATCCTTTTCCTTACAGATGTATTCTCAACGTATACTCCTCATTACCTTTATCCATCCTCTCACCATCCGCCTGTCCCAGGTCGACATCTAGCGCCCCTAGCTGGATCCACTGCGTAACCGCCCCTAGGTCGCGCTTCGCCTACCAACCTCATACACTAACCCTCCTGTCTGCATCACTGTCATTAGCCTATTTCTAATGTTCCATCAACGGACTGATAAAGTACAACACATATGTGCCCATTATGACATTTTGTTCACCTGTATGAGACGAGGGCATGTGAAAACTACGCCAGGCTTTCTCACAGATGCGACCTGCAGGCTCCTTTCTGCCCACTTCTTCTGTAAAAACCGCGAGTCCCAACCCTATCTCGGAGATAGCTCACCATCCCTGCAGCAATCAGAGTCACAATGTCGTTAGACAACCCCCAGCCCACATACGTCCAATCCACAGCCGCCACTGACCGCTCCACCATCTCCACCCACGCAACCCGTATCTCCAACACCTTCATGACCACCCTAGGAGATATCATGGGTGACACCCGGTACCGCGAAGATGACCGAACCATCATCGGCCAATCGCGCGATACCATCAAACGCAACCTCGACCACGCCGTCACCGCGACTCTTGAAGCCGAGATTAGCAGGATGGAAGCACAGGGAAAGACAGTGGGAAGTATGAATGAGGTGGAGTTTGAGCCGCTGACGATTATACCGATCAGTGTGGGGGATGTGTTGATGGTTGGGTCGCTGCGTGGGGAAGGTTGGTCGGGGAATAATGCGTACTTTAACGTGCCCCTCGAGCCTTCCGGGTAGAAGGGTTGGGAGAGGAAGAGCCCTCTGGTAGTAGTCAGGTAGACTGTCGTAGTAAAAGGCTCATATCACGATGAATGTGAATACTTGATCGAAGGTTGAGAATGCTGAGATCGAGACTTGGGTTCACTTGAAGTGCAGATGATATTGAAAGTCTGTTGTCCGGTGTTGCTGACGATAGCAGCGCTCATCCAACATAACATACAGTTGTACATTCGTCCTTCAAGGTATGCTTCTCAAGAAGCAAGCTCTCATACCGCATTCTTCTCAGTGTATCATCAACAAAAAATCTGTGAGCGAATAGTACTCAAAAACATCTTCGCATGAAGCGGTAGAACGTGAAACGTAGGTCTCATAGCTCATGATTTCTTTTGGTCTCCTTTCTACCTACTACTTGATTGCTCAAACAGATGATAAGCGGTTATTTTTGAAGAGGGATACAGTTCCCTACAGACTCATTGCAGCAGAATGGCAGCTACACCACCCAGAGACATCAGCACCGCCCAATCAACGGCTGACGTTGAATCTACCACGGATACCAAGTCGGCTCGCACGACCATCACTGATGAGCGCTCCCGTATCTCCGTCCACGTACCTCGTATCGTCAACTCATTCTTCACCCATCTAGACCAGAATATGGGCACAATAATCAACAGCGAGGAGGACCGAGTCATCATGAGCCAGTCACGGGATATCATGATCCGAGATCTGAACGAAGCAGTGTACAGAGCTCTGGAGAGCGAGCTGAACACAATGGAAGGGAGGGGATGACTGTTGGTAGTATGGACAACATGGTGTGTAAGCCGCTAGTAATCTCGCCCCGCAGTGCTGGCAACGTGGCGATTACAGGGACCCTTCGAGGCGAGGGCTGGTCCGGCAACACTATTTTGTTTGACATTTCTCTCCTGCCTGAATTAGAGTCAGACACTGCTGGTTCGAGCGGGCAGTAGTAGGCTGCGAGTGAGCGAATTCTGTCTCGCTGTGCTCTGGTTCGAAGTCAAAAACTTCATTTATCGTACAAAATGTATTCTGAATGGATACCTGCATTCTAGAGTAGATGACACAGTAGCAGGTATTAGTGCCACTACCTCACTCGTACCAATCGCACATTTGATCGGACATTTTGGCATCATCTCAGGAAAGTACACTCTTTGAGATGGGCCCTCGCTCTGCTCAAAGAAAATTATGTCGGGGAAATCAACGATCAAAGACACGATAACGTTCTGATACTCCGAAGGGTCGTGTAAACACATTATGCAATGACAAGGGAAAATGCGGTCAAGATTCCCCACGCTCTCGACTTTCGTCAGTTCCCTTTCAACCCACCACTTCCTCAAAAGAAGGTGAATAGCTACACTCCTCAACAAGAGACTCTCGAGTATAGGAGAGTACTCTACCGTCAGCAGTGTAATTGAGATTACTACTGGTGTCCAGTAGCATTGCTGTTGGCGAAGATCTTTATCCGTCTTTTTCAACGTTGCTCGAATGTTATGGTGGGTAAAACGGACTGGTGCAAGCAGAATCTCGTTGTACATGTGAAAGGTGGTGATATGGACATAGGTGCTGTGCGACGGGGCAATACCTAGGCCCTCATCATGGGAAACACGGCGGAGGCTGCCTTCCATTGATTAGCGACCTATCATCTCCGGAGGACAAAATTGGAATCCTATGAGCCTTCTCACTCCTTCCGTCAACGATGTGGCATCTTTTTACCTTCAAGTCTTACTATAGAATTATATGTATAAACGATGCGGGCGTCATGCCTATCTGGAACATGCCGAGAGGTCTGGAGGGCGCCGCAGGGATGATGAATGGTCTGTCGGCTTCCTTTGCTGTGAAGCGTCGGGCGATCATTGAGATCAGTTTCTCTTTGTCCTCTGGCGTTTTGGGCCCTCTTATGTACTGCACATATGCTGCGAAGTTTTGAAACCCACTCTTAGCAAAGCCGGCCTCACGACCAGAGCAGCAATCATGCCCGACAACAATCAACAAGCTTCTGAAAATGCTTCTTCTGACGGCCAGCCTGGTTCTGCAGCTACTACTGCCGACTAGGCTTCTGCTCCCCGATCTTCAGCGGCCTCACAGCAGGCTGTCATCACGACACCCTCTGGAGCCAGGGTCTCTTCCACGGCTTCATTCCGAGCCCTCAATGATCAGCAGCTTCAAAATGCTATAGCGGCTGATACGAGACGACGAATGGCAATGGGACCACTTACCACAGCAGCAAGCTCTTCCAACCCAGGCGACTACCCGTCGCAAGGTGACGGATCCACATTGTACATGGGCCAAGCCTCCCAAGGTGAGTCATGGCATGACCGGTTATGCTGCTACCGTATCATGCGTACTGATTTCTTAACGCATAGGAGGGTCCATGATGCCGCCGCCACCACTCCCATTTCAGGGTCAATCAGGCGTACAAAACCAATTGTCTCCCGGCCATACATGGCAGTACCGCCAGGGACAATGGACCCAAGGTTCTGGCCGCTCCTTTGTTCCGCAAAATCAACAGCTACAGCCACAGAGATTCGGTGAGCAAGATCTCCTCGATCTGCTTTACAACGATGATAGTGGGCGCGAAGATGAGGCGTATATGGAGCTCTACCGAGCAAGAGGCAGCGACCCTTCTGATAAAGGTAAAAGACCAGCCTTAGAAGCGCCTTCTCTCGCACAGCATCCTCCCAAACAGCTTCGAATCACCGAGACCGGTACAGCAGAGTACGAGGGCGAAAGTGCTGAAGTACCAGAGATCGACCCCGCCACAGGCGAACCGGTCTCTGAGGGCCCAACGAGTACGCGCCCCGCTTTCCGCAACCTCACCTTCAGCGTCACCGTCGAAGCCGATTGGGGCACTTCTCTAGGACCAAATAGTGAAGGCCGAACAAAGTACAGATACGATATCTCATCTAAGAGCAAAAGCCGAGGGATGCTGCAAGCTGTGTTGAGGAATCTTGGGAACATCCAGCTCCACGACCAGGACGCTTTAGCAAAAGAGTTGCACGAGATGGAGAGTTGGCAACGAAAGTAAAATGATAGAGAGTGATCGTTTTTTTTTTTTTTGCAGGATGACATCGTACTCGCAGTTTTGAGGATGCTAGGTAATGAAGAAGAGTAGACAAAATGAATCGAGACATTCAAGACCATCGCCAAACAGTCATGCGATGTAATGGGAAGAAAGCGTACTGTTCTCGTAGAGTACATGAAGCTGCATCACGCAAGTCTCATGCGTTGTAAGACGACCATTCTAAGCTATGGTTGATGTAACTAAGTACACACAAGAAGCCCTCACCATCGTCTCTTGTCAAAAGTCCATGATCAATCGCCCATCAACCCTCCACTTGCAGGAAAGAGGCGAAGCGAAGAAGGAGGGATCAACCCAACAAATTTCCCAGCCCCATCTTGTTCTTCCCCGCCGAGCTATCCGGCCTCTCCCCCTCTTTCCCCCGCCCACTCGGCTCCGAGATTGACCCCCGCTCATTACTCTCACTGACCAACGCCCCCGCCGCTCCCAAGCTCAGACTCCCTCCAATACTCCCCGGCGACCTTGTCAACGGCGGAAGCATCAACGGCGACCCCCTTCTCTCTCTCCCACCTCCAGCGCTGGGCGGTGCAGGCGGCAAACCCAACGAACTTTCCCTGCTAGCGGAAGGAGGCCGGAGAAAACCCCTCTCTGGGCTAGTGACGAGTACTGGGCGGCTTGGACTGGTGCGTGACCGGGGTGAGAGTGGCTGTCGAGAGGAAGAAGGGTGGCCGTAAGGATGATGTCTCGACCCCGATGGCGCATGCGAAGAATGTCCCCTCGACCCCGGCCTACTCGATCCAAGCTCTTCTGGCCTCGGTAAACCCCTCCTCTCTCTCTCCCTCTCCCCCGGAGCAGGTCCCTGCGGCCAAGGAACGCCAGAACGTTCATAGTCTCCCGCCCCTGGGAAAGGCGAATAGCCACCCGCCGAAGGCGGGGGGTAGGTATGCCCATGCGAAGAGGGCGAAGGCAAAGCTGACCTTGGATCCCTCGGGTCTCTTGGGTCTCGGGAATCTTGCATGTAACCAGGATGAGGCGGCATGGATTGATGATGCCTCCCCGGGCCCGGCACAGGGTGCGTCGCTGGTCTCCCTCTCCCTCCCGCGCTCCCACCATAATACCCCGCCGGATACCCGTGCTGGCTGGGATGCGGCAGCCCCGGATGGTACCCCGCCGGGCTCTGCATCGACTGCCTCCTATACGGCTCATACGCCGAAGGCGGCGGTGGAGGGGGCATAGCGTGCCCTGGAGGAGGGTAGCCGTAGGGATGGGTATGTGAAGGCGGGGGGTAGGGGTAGTAGGCGTCTGGAGGAGGGGGTGGAGGGTGAAGCCGTGATTCCGCTTGTGGATGGACGTGATGGGGCGGGACATGATGGGCGTGGGGAGGATAGTCGGAAGACCCACGAGATCTCTTGCTCGACTGTACTTGGGGTGGAGGAGGAAGGGCGTCGTCTTCTTCCGAGTCGGCGGCGGAGGATTTCCGTTTCGACTTGCCTGTGGGAGGACCTGTCTTGGCGGCTAAGATATGGATCAGCGATGACTCTCGTGGAAAAGGGGGGGACGTACGTTGGCGAGGATCTTTCCGGACTCGGATCTTGAGACCTTGCTCCGCAAAAGACATCGACAGATCTGTCGCCTCTGCTCAGACCATCAGCATTATTGAGCACATCAACAACGACAGAGACTGACTCGACATTCCAGGGAACTTCTTTGCCGAGTAGACCGAGAAAGTTGAAGTAAACATCGTCGTACAGTAATACACCTCCTGACTGTAACCTATTATCAGCTCTCCAACCCATCATCCGGGAGAAAAGAGGACCCACTCGACGATCTCAAACAATGTCAACTTCAACTTGTACCTCCCCTCCTTCCTCACCCCCAGATCCGGAAACACAAAGAACGCAGCATCCGTATTATCCAAGTCCTTCAGATGGTACAAACTCGACACGGGCGTCCCAGTCAAGAAGCGTGTCTTGCCATCGTCGATGACGTGCAGTTCGTCTTCTTGCTCTTCTCCACCGACTAAGCAGGCGAAAAGGAAGTAGTATGGATCTACGGCGAAGTCAGCTATTGATCTTGTTTCGCAGGGGGATAGGGGACGGGGAACAGGGGGTGGGGGACGCACTGGAGATGGGGCTCTGACTCTGCATGAACGTCATTCCATCCGGTCCTGGCTCTGGCCGTCTCAAGATATTATGTCGGGGGTCTGTAGGCGTGATATCCGACCCATGCTGGTCGATGATCTTCAACTGGATGATGGGCGTCGGGTCTACCGGTCTTCTATCCGCTGCACACCCAGTCAGCTCATCTTCTCCTTCAAGAGGCAAGAGGGAACGTAAAGGAGGAGGGGCTTACATTTGTCTCCAACACCGCACATCCTCGCCTGCATCGGCTGTTGTCGAATGATCAATTCGTACGTACTAAGCACGCATTGATGGTCCGTCGCAAGTTCGACATCGGCACATGATTTGGCAGTTTCAAAAGCCGCCCGAGAAGGAGGGGAAAGAAGCGGGGGTCGAGGGAGGGAGGGAGACATTGGAGTGGGCGGGTCGTTGGTCGGTAAGAGCCGAGAGAGTGGACGCGCAAAAGGGCGGATGGTTGGTCGGATGGGTTTTGGACGGCGCGATGATCCGGGAGTTGGTGTGGATGAGCGAGAGCGATGATGAGAGTGAGGCGGCACGTAGACGAGTTGATAACCAGCCGGGGGCGGAGGGATGAAGAATGGTGTCGGAGGAAGACAAGAAGCAGAAGCAGAAGGACACATTGAAAATCAGCACTCTGTCGCGATAGATCGGCAAGTTCGGAAAGAAAAGAGTCAAAGTTTAAAGGCAAGAAGCAAAAGAACAATAAGACCCCTCGTCTCTATGAAACGTAGAATCAAGGCAAGGGATTGTACCACCCAGAGCCGGCGGCCTCGGTCGATCACCCAAGAGGACAATAAGAGACATTTCCCTCAACCCTCCATCAGAGCGGAATACACAAAGTCAACCGCCTCCAAGGGTATGCCAAGGGCATAGGGACGATATAATACCATCCCTTCCCTCGGCCTCTCGTACCGCCCTGGAAAGAACAACCCTTAAAGGTATCCTCCCCTGCAGTTGAAAAGGGGCTTGGAAGGCGGTGACGAGGGTTGGACAGATTGAGAGGAAAGGGGAACGCGAAGGCGATGATGCCGGAAAGTTGAAAGGTCTTTTTGTTGGGGATGGAAAGGATGGGATAGGGCTGTGTTTGGGGATGTGTTGTGGGTTGTGTAGGAGGAATGGTACGAGAGGGGGCGGAGGGAGAGGATGGAAAGTTGAGCGAAGGGCATGGCGTCGCCTCCTTGGATGTATGTAGATTCCAGAACCCGAAACGTTCTATGAAAGGCGTCAGCGGCCGATCACAGCTCAGGTACGAGAGAAGACTCACCATTCCATATCCTTCCACATGGACATGCAACCCAGTAACCAACGAGAGAAACAAGGAGTGCAACAAAGACACGCGATCGCCCCCGACCCCAGAACGACCTCCAAAACATCCGATGATGCGCAGACGGGTGACCTCCCAACAGCCGACCCAAAAGATCGCCCACTTTTCCCTTCGACACAAGCCACAAAACACCGATCCCGAGTCTCGACGCCAGCATACCAGAGCCCAGGCCGCTCCAACATGACGACCAAGCCATAAAGAAGATCATTTCGGACACAAGCAACACTTGGCCCGACCTCGAATTTCAGACCAGAGAATCACAGAACCAGATAGACAAAAACAGGGTGGAGAGCACCACTCACATATTCTTACGACCTTGCCGTTTCTGCGCCCATGTCAGCATGTACCCTCTCGTTCGAACTAGCTCCAACCCACTTGAATGACCGGGACATATTCGTACGCATAGTCGATGCCCTGTATCCACTTTCCATCCTTCTCGCCCCTCTTCTCCTTATCACCGGAGCCAGAGGCGCCAGCTTGGTTCTGTTTCGCAGGCAAAGTCAATCTCGCATCTCTCCCCCGGCTCTTGGCTCGTACCTCTGCTTCCTCCCTCTGCCGCTCGTTCTCTTGGTCTTGAATGTCGGGCCTGTCGGCAGGATTGGCGTGCGAGGGAGGGTGGGAGGGGGGGCTGAGGATGACTGGGCGGGGGGATTGTACAGACATAATTTATACGGAGGAATAAAGAATATAGAGATGTACAATGGGTAGATGGTTGACTGGACTTCCGTCAGCTCGTACTCCAGACAAAGTTGCCTCATGCCACTCGGCACAGACCACCTGCTGCGCCGAAACCCAGGGGGCTTTCGCTCTCGGGTCTCTCGGGAGCAGAAGCGATCAGATGCACAAGCACTCACATGGGGTACAGCACACAGAAACAGATCAACCGGGTGTTGTCTTGTGCCTTTCTATCCACAAGTTTAAAGCAGTGGGGGCAGTGCGAGATGAGAGCAGGGGCGGAGAGGGAAGCGGGGTGGGGGTGTGGATATATAGCGTGGGGTGTCCTTTGTCGGGCCTGCCAGTGGGCAAAGGAGCGGCGTGGGGAGTGATGCGAGGACGGATTGATGCGTGATGTCGAATACAGGGTGCGTGGCGTGGCAGTTGAAAGCCGTAGTCGATTACCTTTTGCTGTCGGATGAGAATAGGAAAGTGGAGGAATGGATTGACTTTTTTTCAATTGATTCAATTGATTCAATTGAGGAGATCAATTCAAGCTCCAAGGTTTCGCTGGCTGATCCATCCATCCCCTCTTCTGCGTCTTCTCGGCCCTCACCGGCGCCGAATATCCCCTCAGTACCCCACCATCTACAAGGCACTCTAGGCACATTTTCCCCTCCCTGCGCCAATTTTTACGCCCGAAGTAGCCGGTTCTAAACCTTGGAGTTTATATCTTTCATATGCCCGGCCCATGTGAGCGTAGAGTGCATTACGAAAAAGGCAGTCTTATTCGGTCTTTGGTGACATGTAGAGGCACGTCGAGATGTTTAGGGGCATTCTACATATTCTATTGATGGCCAGAACGAGCTACAAGTGCGTCTCCTAGTGGGCGATCCCTGTTGTTGCGGATCTGTAGGCTGTGGAACTGCGGGCTAAATGCTTTGAAGCAATGAAAGGCTGCTTATCATGAGGCCGATCTTTTGTAGGGCGACCATGGAGCAGTGATAGAAAATAAGCTGAGCGATACCAAATTTCAAGACCCAAAAAAGAAGGCTCGCTTGTACATATAGCCCTCTCTTCTGATTTTCGGTCGACATCGCTTGACCGAATGGAGGGTTGAATGTTGATCGTCGACCGAAACCAAGCTGATATGAGTAACTACAACTCCCCACAGGTTTGGTTGGGCCTTCGCTGCTCGTCCTTCTTGTCTCGAGTCCCGCTCTGTACAACTCACCAGCCTCTACTCGGCGCGTCAAATCCGCGACCACCTCGCCGTTTGATACCACCAGCGCCAAGATGCCTGTGTCACCGTCTACAGTATGTCTAAAGCAAGAACGCACAGCGATCTGGACACCTCAGACGTTCGATATGTGTAATATCTGACGGCATCTTTACGTGTGCACGGAAAGTGGGACCCCGCTATGCCGGATAGGAAGAACTCTAAACCGTCCTGCCTTCTTCTTCAGCAAGATGGGCGGCTACTTCAACATGTAGGATTGTGGGATCGGATGAGACCTACATTGTGCTGTCAGTAAGGAGGAAGGGCGGCGAACGAGGCAACTGAGATGCACGAGGGTATAGTCGGGTTTGGCAGAAGGTGCAGTGATAGACCGAGACGTCCCCGCCCGCCTCGAGCTTTGCTATTCCCCTGTCTATCCTCAAGTCACTATAGATAGTGAGACAGCATCAGTCTTCATCTGGTCCAGCAGCAGTACATCTCTATCACCCCATGCTACGCGAGACGCTTACACTTGAGAGACGACGGCGCAGAGTAACTTCACATTTTCACAACGCACAACGCAGCCGCCACCAACGATTGAGAACGCACAGCGCTCAGGACACCCAGAACCGTAGTTTTACCAGGGTCGACCCCCTTCAAGGCCCCCTTCACTGTAAAAACTCGCGCTCTTTGCGCTGCACCCCCCACTTTGCACGCAAGAGAACGAAGAGGAAGAACGCACAGCGCTCGGGACAGATTTCCTAGATGCTTAATGCTGCATCTGCTGGTGTCTGCTGTCTGTTGTCTGATCAAAACCCCTCCAGAAGTTCGTAACACACATATCCTGTTGCGAATACATTGCGGCTGGTGAGCTTGGAGTGGGCCCTACAGTACTTGCATTGTAAAGAATATGCTCCTCTTGTGTACAGTACGAGTAGAGAGCCCTAAAGGTGGACCAAGGTACGCAGAGTGAGGTTGAAAGAGAACGCACAGCGTTCGGGACACCCACAGCCATTCAGATGTCTTCAGGTATGTTCGGCAGTTTCCGGCAGAGCGGGACCGAATGAACAGAGTGAGCGGGGTGGCCGGAGCCGCAAACTTGAATGCCCTGTCCGCAGGGCTCGCTATGTACGAGAGTCCTTACGTCCTTGCAACGCAGAGTATTTTTGCTCTGATCCCTATAGGCGGGGTATGAGGTGTAGATTAGGCCATGTAACGATACTGTTTGAGCGTGCTGTCAACCGGACGATCACTCAACGTTGGCGATCTGACAAAGAGATCTTCTATATCCCCAGGTCGTCCAAGAAGAGACCTGTTGGAACACATACCTTCCCGTCGACAGTGCATAGCAGACGGCGACCTACTGCTCCTGGTCTCTTCGATCCATGGCGAGTACAGGGAGACGAATTTGTGGACCGGCTGGGTGAACGCACAGCGCTCGGGACACTCTCAACAAGGTTCGTGAACAAAGTTCATGTATCCAAAAAGACATACGAAGACAAATTTCCGCGGCGGGATCTCGATTAAATCACAAACCGCTCCAAAGTACTCGTATCGGGCCTCCAAAGTGTCCAAATCTCGCTAGAACGAATGCACCCATTGATGTAGCTCATGAGGCCCCTACTTGCTTGTTTTCTTCAAGGAGTATACAATCAGAGGTGACCATAACAGGTGAACGTACAGCGCTCCGGACACCGACTTGGGCTCAAAGTTTCTAACACGTTGACGCTAATGAATCACAATTCTGGACCTCTAGCCACAGTTCTCGACCTCTAGCTCCGTCGCGTCAGCCATCGTCGCACTTCTCCGAGTACGAAGGTGCCATGCACGTACTCTCGGCTCTGCCGGGCATGCGGCAGAAGAGGTCGAGCGGGAAGAACTGTTTCAGTTGTTTGGTGCTGTTGAGATAAGATTGGGATGGGAACAGGAGGGGTGGTGATGTCACACTTAGTAATCCCTGAGGTGGCATTGGCGCTGAGTTGTGTGGATGGTTGAAGGACTCTCGGCGTATATACTCAATTCATATCTCATTGTTGTACTCTTCCCATGCGATGATACCGAAAAGGTCTTTTCCCCTTCAAAAACACCCTTTTCCAGTCACTTCCCTGCTGCGTCCCAGCTAGGGCCGTGACAGGTGAGTAAGCGAAACAGTTCAGTGACAAGTCCACCGTACAAATTCTGTACAAACGAGCAGGTGGAGAGAGCGGATCATGTTGAAGAGACTTGAAATTCATGCTTCTGTACCTCATGCTACCACTATACACCAGCTACTTCAACCCTTTGAATGAAAGAACGACCCTTTCGGTGAAAACAACCCATGCTTTTTTCCTTTTTACTCAATGTCACCAACCTGGTCCTCCTCTCCCTCATCCGGCACATAACTCTTCCCTCCCAAAATCTCTCCAGCCCTAAACGCACTGGTCGACCTCTGCCTGCGCTCTTGCCCTTGGTCCGCCCCGCGTCCACGTCCACGGCGGTCATCTCCCAACGCCGAGGTGGTAGACGAAAAGTTGACGTTGGAGCCACTACCATTCGGCAGTGCATGCGTCGTACCCTTGGTGGAAGAAGAAGACGAGTTGGGAGGGAGCGGGTTGCCTTGGGCGTCGGCGGGGACGTAAGAGACGACGTAACCGAGCTTGCCCGGGGGGTTGGCGCCGAGGCAGTGGAGGCAGGTGAGTTCGGGGTAAGCGACGTAAGACGCAGGGGGATTCTGTTGGTTGTCGGAGAGGGAGAGGGAGGAGACGCCGTTAGTAGCGCCATGGATACCATCCCTGGGACTCCGTCAGCTGGTGAAGACACGTGGACGTGGAAGATAGAAAAAACTCACCCGGCAGGAGCCCAAGGCCTGAGGACGTTGGAAGAGTCGACTTGGCCGGCGCCATTGCTCTTACCGCCTTGGCCTTGCTGGCCGGGGGCGAAAGAGGGATGCCAGATGATGGCGGGGAAGGTAGCGTTGGGGGCGGGGCCGTGGGTGTGAGACATTGTTTCGTCTTTCTGGGTAGACGTCAGTGGGATGTGGTGGAAAAGGGAGGAGAATGTACGATGTATTTTTTGTGGCAAGAGTGGATGAGGAAAAGAAAGCGAGCCGTCTTATATATGGCTGCAGGCCCTGGTACTGCCGGCCGAAGAAATGTCACATGACAAGCCATGACACCACTCCTTTGCCTCTTTCTCTCGACGCATGACCCATTCCGAAAGCATAAGCGAGCAAATTATCCCATCTGGTGAAGCTGTATACGTGCTATTTCGAATGATTAGCAGAGCATTAGAAAAGCGGGCGCGGTATTTCGAACAGCGGCAAGAGGAGAGATGGGAAATGCCAAGAATCGAGACGTGGCGTCATTCCCGAGGCGAGTCTCGACTGCGTCGTCCACGTCGACGAGGGGCACGTTCGGGGCTCTCAGATCTGGAAGTATGCATGCGAGGGTATAATTGTCACTGTGCAGTAAAAGCATGCATGATCCTGGACAATCGACAAAAAAGCATAGGCAGAGGAAAGAAACGTGCCTTCGGGAGATTATCCGGTTCCGGCACACTTAGCCGGAGGGGCCGGTCTTCCGAACTGTGGCGGCTTGTTGGGTTCGCTTGCTTCGTCTGCAGTTTTTCTGTTGTAAAGAGCAGCATGACGCCGAGAAGAGCACTTTGAGTAAGCAGCAGAGGACAGCTTGATATTTGATACTGGAATGATACTGGAAAGAGTGGCAAACGGAGACTCAGATCATACGCGCATGATAGCTCTCGAGCCTGTTGGAAGAAACGTATGCCGGTCCGTTGCTTTCTTCTTCTTTCTGAACACTATTCCCCTATTCAAGTCTAGTCTTCAGGCCGCGTGATCGTCAACTTTAACACCCTGTTCACAGTCTCCAAAAGAGCAGAAGCAAAAACAAGACAGCAGCAAAAAGCAAAAACGACGGCACCCGGGATTCCCAGGTGGTCCCCCACCCTGGTACTAACCGAGCGCTCTCCTAGTTGACTTCGCGGATCAGACGGGACGCGGTACTTTGAGGAGGCTATGGCCGTCGATGTCAATATGGAAACGGTTTTTGATATTTGGCTATAATCATCTCTGCCCAGGATACTTTCACTACTCGTACTGGATATTACAGCTGGGACTAAGCGTTTGCCTATTTACCCCCCTTGGCCCCGTGGCTCTGGGCCTGGGCAAAGCTCTGCCCTTGCCAGAAACGTTGCCGATGTCGCTTTGGAGGCCAGCAGCCTCGGAGCCTGATTTGTCAACGTCAGTATGTTCCCGAGTCCCGAAGTAGATAGCTCACCTTTCGTCACTCCCCCAGACCCGAAGCCTGAGCCGGAGGGGCCGGGGCCACCCTTTGCAGCCGAGCTCTGAGCGTTTGCGAAGTTGCCACCGCTCTTGACATTGCCAATGTCGGACTGAATGCCAGAGGTGTAATCTTCCAATTTTGGGCTGGACATGTTGATGGTGGGGGTGGTTTTGATTTGTTGGGGTGGTCTAGGTTTGTTGTGGAAAGTACAGAGTTAGAGTGTGGTGGTTTGATGATGAGAAGCTGGTTTTGAGAGCGAGCTGAGATGAAGAGATATTGCTCTCTTTTATGCGCATTCTCGTCTTCTTTCATCATGTGACACATCTACATCTGAGCAGCATGACTCACAATGAGAAAAGAAGCACCGGACAGTCGAACGTCGCAAGTCAGTTACGTGGCGCAGTGTAAGAGGGCGGATAGGTGGTGTGACCTGGGAGCAGTCACGTAAGGGATCTGGCTAGGGGCGCCAGATGTCGACCTTGAAAAGGCTGGATGGATGAAGTATGGATATGAGTGAGGTGGTCTATACAAGAATACATAGATGGGAAAAGGTTACGGAGACGCGGGAGAAGGTTACGAATACGCGGCACGATGTACTTGTATATACAAGTACGGGAGTCTCATCAGCCCGACCTCGCCTCCAGTGCCTTCAGACGTCCGGGCTGCCCTCATGCAGCGACGGGCAACACGCAAGATGGCGTGGGATGACGAGAAACGTCACTCCGAGTCCCATCTATCCACGAGCGCATGGCGCCTCTAGATTACTCTCTGATGATGTTGATGCACCTAAGTTGATCTACAACATCAGTCATGTACGTGCTTTGTCATGTTCACGATTGAACAAACCGTATTGTTCCGTTGTCAAGCAAACGCGCCTAGATTAACGCCACAGGACTCATCCATACGCCTCGAAGATGCTCTGCGTCCTTTCTTTCTCCGCTTTTCTCCTTTTGGAGACAGAAAAAAGTACGCCTCCATCTAGGAGTATTTCGTGGGGCTCGGGGGCCCCGGCGGGCGGCCAAGGGTGCTGAGGTTTCTTTCCTCGGCCTCCTCGACCGATCCGCTCGAATGTTTCGTTGGAGGTGTTCGGAGACTCGGGGCGCTGTTCACAAAATCTCGGTTTGTCGCTCCATATGGGTGCACGTTCGAGATGATTCTGGCATCTGGGTAGAGCCACAAAGACATGAACAGAATACGGAATCCTGATCTACTACTCTACTCGTCCACGGGGGGGTGTACGTCGTTGCTCTTCAATCGCTGGCAATTCAGCCTCCATCTCTTCAGCCTCTTCATCCTCTCTAGCAGCGACGTCTCCCTTTTCCCGCATCTCTGTTCGAGCTCCTTATATATCTCTCGCCTCTCTTGCTAGCTCTGCAAATCCCTCTCCCGTGCCTCCTTCTCTCGCCACACAACATCCTGCAGTTTTTGTTCGTTCTGCAACTCCGTCTCCCGTAACCGCTCCGCCTCCCTTCCCTGATCCCTCTCCACAGCAAGCTGTTTCGCCTCCCACCCTGGACCTTGCTAGTTCACCCATCCATTCCTCCTCATATCGGCGACAGCAGCGAACGAAACTTCCCCCAGCTCAACCATCTGATCTACCGTCACGAACGGGTCGTTGATCCCAACGCGCTTCTTTGGTGTTTTGCGTAGCAAAGTTGAGGATAGCTTGGCTGATGGTCGGGTTTATGGAATCGCCGTTCACGGTCTTCTCGAGAGCGTTGTCGACGTGTTGAGAGCCGCTGCGGAATGAGGCTTGCAGTTGTTGCTTTTTGGGCTCATTCAGAGAGAGGCTTAGTATTGTCGCTGCCGAGTGCCCATCTGTCTTGTCAGAACGCCCGTTCACAGCTCCACACCTGAGCCAGAACACAATACATTCTTATACCGTATCTATTCCAAAAATCATGACCCCGTCAAACTACTTCAAGACCAAACGTTAACGTTCCACTGATCCAATTCTCACTCTCTTTTCTGATCTAAACGCTCAAATCACCCTTGTAGATATAGCCATCCTCATGCGGGGGCGTGAGTTTGTCGTGCAACAAACCCGCCAACTGCTGGTACTCCAGATCGCTCTCAACGTGGGTAAAGTTGACGTGCTGCCAGGGCTTGTTGGAAGCTTCTTCTTCTTTACGGCGCTGTCGTTGATCGTTCTGTTTTCGGGTCAGCCACAAGTACGCAGAAGGAGAGAGAAGGAGGGGACATACCTCGATACGAGACTTTTCCTGTCCAGCCTGATCATAGTTTCCACTCCTAATTCCCTTCGCCACCTTCTCCCACAGTTTCCTACTCTCCCACTCTCCCTGCTCCTGCAGACTCTTCACACTAACATCCTCCAACTGCACTGTCGAATCACAAAACACCGGGCCCTTCTTGCCAATATTCGACACGCCGGTCCATTGGCCTTCATAAGTCTGGGTGTGCTTGGAGGGGTGCGCAGTGGGGGCGATGGTAGCTTTGAAGGTGTGGGCTTTACCGGAAAAGTAGCCTTTGCCCTTGTAGTCGATTTGGGCGGTGAGGTTGGTGGAGGATTGGATGGCGTTGGAGTCGGTGAGCTCGATGTAGGGGCTACCCCAAAGAACGCCTTCGATCCTGAGCCGGGCTATCCAGAGTATGAGCGTCTTTTCTGTGAGACAGTAAGAGGGAGAGGGACGTACGAAGGGTGATCAAGTACTTTTCCTCTTTACCGCCAGTCTTGGGCTGGACAGTCAAGATGGCATGTCCGGATTGTTTGACGTTGATGGCCGTACCGGTGAACGAAGTCTTCTGGCCAGAGTGACCCTGCAGCTTGACGCCGGCGACCTTGTTCTCGATATAGTAGGCAGTCTTGACAGGATATCAGCACCATCGCGCTTACTAAGCAGAATCGAGGACACTCACGATAGGAGGGTGGTGGGACACTTGCTCGACGATAAGCTTGGTCTCGCCCCGGCCTCCAACGTCGGGCCAGACACCGTAGAAAAGCTCGCCAAGGACGGGGTTGAGAGGCTAATCATCGCGTGTTAGATCGAGGGGGCATGGTGTAGGCGCGCGGGATGCGCGGAATGGGTGATGGACTGACCTTCTTCTCGGAACCCATCTTTTCGTTACGAGTCTGTATTTCCCATCAGCTCTAAGCCTCTTGGTTCTGATAGGGAAGACTCACAGTGTACTGAGCTCGCAGAGTACCGATGAACCACCTCAGAACCCTCTCCATACGCTCAAACTCATCCTTGCCCTGGGAGATGGCGGCGAATTCGTCGGGGTGCTGACACCAGTAGGCAGGGAACTCGGTGAGGGAGGTGGGAGAGAGGATGACTGGCGCGGATGGTCAGTGGACAGAGAGATGCGTTCCAAGGACACTACGCACAAGGGGGAGCAGTCATAGAGCTCAGATCGCCAGTCATACGGGTCAAGCTCTTGATGAAGCTGGCCCATCCGGCCTTCTGCTCTTCGGGGACATCGGCGCCTGCCATGATTGTCAGTTAATGTCGCCACTGGGATTATATACAGAGAGTAAGAAGAAAAAAGAAGGAGATCGGTATGGGTCGTCAAGAAGGTTAGCTCAAAGGAGCGCCTTGTATATGAGGGTGAGCCCCGCAGGCTGATTACCGTATCAGGCTAAGTGGTGACGAGGAACCGCTCTGTGTTTGGCTCAAGGGCCGTCTGGGGATGTCTGAGACGGAAAAAGAACGACGCAGGTGGTGGACACCAAGCGAGCGATGGGGTGGATCGGAGGGGGGGCTTACCTTCGGCCTTGGCTTCTTCGTTGGCGGACTTGAGGGAGCCCTGGGAGGGGCGGCGGGAGGGGACGGCGGACATGGTGGGGCTGACGAGATAGCGAATAAACAGAAAGAAACCAACAAATAAGTGCCACAGACGCTCACGGCCGCGGAGAGGACACCGCACAGCTCATGATGTCATCCACGTGGAACTCGCGTGCCCCCATTTTTGGGGGGGCGGCGGGCCCCGCTGCCACTCTCTGCTCTTGCTCTGCTCTCCAGCAAATCTATGCATTCAACTACTGCTCAACTACCTCTACTTTTCCTTGGGCGCCCTCTCTTCAAGGTTTCCAGAGTCCATCCTTGAAAAGCTACTAAACATGGTTTCTGCCTCGCTTTGTTGTACCGAGAATTCGGGCTGGAACATCGACTGATTGCTGTGAGATTGAGCTGACCTGGAAGGGGTGGACGCCGGACCACGCGAACGGCTTGGCACACTCTCGAGCGCTTTCTTCTGCTCCTCCGAGAGGCTGCTGTCAGTGCTGCTCTGTTGGGCCATTTTTTTGCGATGGTTTATCTTTGATGACGGTTGTGAGGAACTGATGGACGGGGGCAAGACGGGGGACTATCTTGAGCTGAGGAGAGGAAGGGGAGGTATTTATAGGCTGCATAATGATTGACACTCATGTCTAAATCAATGGTGTTCCCGTCGGTCACAGAGACCTCGTGAAAAGATAGTATAGTGTACTCAGTAGCGTTTTTCAACGACCGCAGATTGAAACAAAGATGTATGGTTGTCCTTTCTATTGTGTTTCCCAAACGTGATGAGAAGGATATCTCCTCCCCGACCGAGGTATAACGGGGCAAAGAAAGGACCAAAGGGAAATGAATGAAATGCCTGTTTTGTTGCCGCCTCTCATAGTAAGGCAACTTTTTTGCTTATGCCGCTTGGCGAAATGATTGCTTTCAAGCAGACTTTGCCCCGAGATGTACATGTTGTGGGTCAGGACTATGGGAAGCTCAGCAGTGATTCGACCTGGTGGACCGGGAGCCCGCATCGGATGCCAAGGACATGTGGCCGATGGTGCTCGAGCTGTTGAAAAGTGTTTAAGGTAACCACAAATGCCCAAGATATCAAACGACGACGGCGACAGGAGGTCGTCATCGGGTTCGGGTATTCAAGATGTACTCGTACAATTCATCTTCCATCCATCTTCTTCTTTGTACAGAACCGTCCTGATTATAGATACTGAGCCTTGGACTGTCCTTACACTGTACAAATCTGCTTTCTCATCACAAAGTATCACGTTCAACGTTTTTCGACAAACAAAGCTCCGGTGACAGTCCCGCTCAATATCATCAGGGACGAAAAGAGCAAAAGCACGCCCTTTTCATTTCATCAGCATCGCTTCTGGCAGAACAGGAACTGGAGGGATTACGACTCACATAGTTGTTGAAGCCGTATCCGCCGATAGTGCCATGGAGAGCGTCGTACTTGAGAAGTGCTTCAGATATGGGGCCAGATGAAAAGTTGCCGACACCTCTGGTAAACATGAAGAATGAGAATATCATCCCAAACTGGAACGTGTTATCCTCTGCAAACCATCAGTACGCCAAACGAGGAACCATCAGCAATGTGTAACTCACTCGCAATAGCAGCATTCATCTTACTCCAAACCGCACAAAAACTCGGCCCAAACATCCCAAACACCACACAAAACGCCACCAACATGCCCTTCGACGTCCCGAACCCCCACAAAAAGGCGACAGACAAGCCGCTGAAGAGGCAGGAGATGAGGATGACGATACGCATGGGGAGACGGTCGGAGAGGAGGCCCATGAGGGCGTTGCCGGGGACGGAGGCGGCGTTGAGGATGGAGAGGAGGTTGGCGCCGTTTGGGTGGGAGAGGTGGAGGTCGTTTGCGTATGCTGAGAGGGATTGTAAGTTAGGGCTCCGTAGCCTGTGACGCAACGCACTCGGGATCCACAAGCTGGGGATGAAATTGCCAAGACTCGTCAATAGGATGGTAGCAAGACTGATAATCAGCAGAAAACTCTTCAAGAACGACCAGTCGGGTGTATTCTCCCTCCTTCTTTCGCTATCGGGCTGGTACCGAGAAGCGATAGGCACGCGACGGCGGATGAAGCAGAGACAGATGGTACCGACGACTCCAAAGACAGAACCGGTGATGATCATGGCTTTCTTGTAGCCGAGGTGTTGGAGGAGACCGCTCATGATGAAAGGGAAGATGAAGCCACCTGGTAGACAAGTCAGCTTCTGTGAGCTTCTGTGAGGTCAAAGAGCGATGGAACTCACCAGTGCCTATACGAGTGAAGACGCCACAGAAGAATCAATAAGAGAATTAGCGCCGTCTTCAGATGGTAGCCGTATGCTGACCTGTACCTATCAGAACGTCAGTACCGCTCGAAGAACCTGCTACACTTCTACTCACCTGCGTACATCACACCCGACGCTAAACCCCTTCTGGCATGGAACCACTCAAACAAAAGGGTACCACAAGGAAAGTACGCCGCGCCCTGATGAGAAGGTTTATTCAGCTTCGGCCTACCTCGCGTGGGAGAGACATACCGCTAGAGGATACAGCAATCCGATAGTCACCAAGATGTGCCAAGGCTGACGATATAAATCAGTCACGGTCATTCATTGCACCTCATTACCTTCGAGGCGAAAGCACTAGCAATCAAAGCAACAGAGGCAGCGAGGATACCAATGACCTGGAACGTTTTCTGCCATCGCGGAACTGCCGTCAAGAGTCTAGATGTTCTTATCAGCAAAATGTGTATTGACTCTCGGAGAAACCCGACTTACGGCCCGATGACAGCAGAGTTCATGTAAAGCAATCCGGTTTGGAGCGTCGCTGCAAGGGTCAGAGTGGAGCTCGACTGGTCCGGGAAGAGCGTCGACGTCCAAAAAGCAAGAAGCACGCCAATAGCAAACGGGATACCCCAGACCAATATCTCAATCATAGTAGCCGCAGCTAGAAAGATCCATGCTTGCTTCCCTCCGTCTACGGGGGGGAGCGCATACTGCGCGATTGGCTCGATATCTTCATGGTCGTTTGTGGAATGATAGGAGACGATAGGGACGAGTGGGACGGCAGATGAGCTTTTGGGGAGGTCGGAAAGCTCTATGGCTTCTTCGGAGACGTGAAGTTGGTTTTGCGGAATGGCCATAGAATGGGTTTAGCTGGTAAAGCTTGGCCGCGCGGCGGAGAGAGTAGTTTGGGGGAACGTGAAGGGCAAAGATCGGCCAGTATATATATGCAAGGCGATACCTGCTAGCTCATTTCTCATGAATCATAGTAACGATAAGGAATAACGCATCCCAGTATATATATGCAAGGTGACACCTGCTAGCTCATTTCTCATGAGTCATAGTCACGATAAGGATTAACGCATCGCGGGGCGTTAGGATTTAGAGTGACGATGCCCCTGTATCGGAATTCGCCGACGGATTTTAGCACATGATAAGCCACCGGTGGTGTCGCAGCCGTTCTATTATCAGCTATCTTCTACTTCAGCTCGTGGGTGTGTGAATATGGAACCGGATTGGCGGCTACATGACCTGGTCACCCGCGAGCCCTGAGGTAGGGATGATAAGGAAGTGATCAAAGCGTCAAGGATCGTGTACGTATATGCGCCACGCTCGGTGATTATCACTCAACGATGTCGTTCGTGGATTCCTTCTCCTCTCAATCGCAAAGCAGAATATGTGGCCCATCGAAGCGTAAGCTCTAAATAAAGGTGAAAGACCATCTAATAAACCCACCGGATCATGGTATGAGAACCCGGCAGTCAGGGTAAAACCCAAGTACAAGAGCCCTACAAAGTCCATTATGAAGAAAATGTCCTTGTTGGGAGCAAGCAGCGACAGAAAGAAGAGGAACGAGAGAGCTCTACTATATCTACAACAGCCGCTTACTGTGTACTCGTATTATGTATGTTACTGTAGTAAATGAATAGATGGAAGAAAAGATGAACGCATATACTCCACCAACAGGGAAATGTGTACTCGTACCGTAGCAAAAACATTAAGACTTCCACATGAGTCCCGTGGCTCCACCGGCCAGAATGGTGACAGTCGCATAGATGATGAGGATGCCCTTCGGTTCATTGTCAGCATATTCGTCTCTCGTTGACAGAAAGTTGCCGAGAAAAGCTTACATAGTTGTGAAGACCATAAGCACCGCTGGCTTTGCCGTTCAGAGCTGTTAGTGTCAAAAGGGATTGTGAAATGGGTCCGCAGACCAAGCTGCCGACACCTCTGACAAGTGTGAATATTGCGAGCACCAGCGGAGGTGCCACAGGGTCGTCCTCTGTTCCATCCCATAAGCTTTCGCACTCTGATAAGATAAAAGACGGTATAAACTTACTAGCAATGACCGAAATCATGCCCGTCCAGAGTGTTGCAAAACTCAACCCCAAGGCACCAAAGATGATTGCAAACCCCACCAACATGCCCCCGTTCGTACCAAAACCCCACAGGATCGCACACGACAAAGCAGCTATCACCAGGTTGAGGAGCATGACTAGTTTGAGGGGGATACGGTCGGACAGGTAGCCCATGAGGGCATTGCCGGGAATGGAGGAGGCGTTTAGGATGACGAGGATGATTGTGCCGCTTGGGTTGGTGAGGTTGAGCGCGTTGGCGTAGGCTGTGGCTGATCAGCAGTGGTCGTAGAATGAAGGGGAGAGGGAGCTTACAAGGGAGCCATAAACTCGGGATAAAGTTGCCGAGGCTCATCAGAAAGACCATCATCGTCCCCACAATGAACCCCCGGCTCTTCAAGAATGCCCAATTGACATTGGCCCCTCGCTTCTCTCTCTGACCTTGCGACTTTGGCACTATAGGAATTCTCGGGCGGATGGCGAGGATAGCAGCAGAGCCTACAAGGGCGTACCCGACTCCGAAACCAATCATGGTGGCTTTGTATCCCACTGTGTCGAGGAGGAAAGATACGAGGAAAGGCATGATGATACCGCCGAGACCGGTGCCGGCGTAAAGAATGCCCGTAGCGAGACCGCGGCGAACGTGAAACCACTCAAAGACGAGGGTGATGCAGGGCATATAGGTGATGCCGGAGAAGGGATAGACGCAGCCAAAACAGAGGAGAATGTGTACGGGCTGTGGACAGTATTAGGAAGGCTCTTTCGACAGGAGATGGTGGCTTACCTTGGTAGCGAAAGCACTGCCAATCATAGAGACCACAGCAGAAAGAAGACCGAAGAATTGGAGTTCGCATTGCCATCTTGGAAGCGCCGGCATAAGACTGCACCCCGTCAGTCCATGCCCTTTCCTTTCGAGACGAAAACACTCACAAGCCAGCACCAGCGGTGCAAATATAAAGCAGTCCATTTTGAAGAGTCGAAGCAAGCGTCAAAGTAGCGAGCCCACCTTGATCCTTGAATAGTGTATCGTTCCAATACAAGGCGAGGATCCCGACGGAGAAAGGCAGGCCCCAGACCAAAAGCACGATGACTGTAGCAGCAAACAAAAACAACCACGCCCTCCAACCTTCGTCAACCGGTGGCAGAGCATAAGACGGTTCGGCATCTTCTGGACCTCGCTCATCGATACGGTTGACGATAGCTGCATGTCGGCTGTTACGAGACTGAGCCTGAGCAAACAAGTCATGCTCGGAGTATTCTGTGGCGGGAGTCCAGGCTACAGGGGTTGCAGGCACGGATCTGAAGAAATCGTACTCGGGGTACTCGGACATAGGAGTCATGATAACGGAGTGGGCAGGCTCGGGGTGGGATTGATTGTAGGAGAGCTCAGGAAGGTTAGAGACGGGGGCCATGGCGATGGACGTTGCGGGCTCCATTGTGAATGGATTCGAAGGAGGTGGGGGCGATGAGGGCTGTTAACGTTAGAAAGGTAAGAGCTACGTGCTCTTTATAGTACGAGATCTAGATCACCCCACTATAAAACTTCGCCCCCAACATGCGAGGCGAAGGAACAGTCTGATTAGAAAGATCAGCACGAAGCAAGCACCCACAACAAAAGTCTCACCTCACGGTCCCCAGCTCTAGACCATCTGGACCGCCTGGTGCCCTGAAGCGCAGGGCATACTGATGTGGGGTAGACTGGAGAACGGCAGAATGGGTGATTTGTCGGTGAATTGTGACTTTTGGAGCTTGAGTCGTCGGAAGACCGGGAACGTATGGGGGTGAAAATTAGCCTCAAACGTCGGTCAACGCTCCGATATCGGATCGTGTGGCATGGCAGCTGCGACCCGGTGACATCCTGTCTAGCGCGGCACCTCTTTCGCAAGTCTTTCGGAGCTACGAGAAGAACCATGTCCTGCAAAGGTCTTTCTAAGTTTTTGCTCTCGTCAGAAGGCATTCTGAGGGTTGACAGACGGCCAATCTTCTGGCTCCTTGTCTCTTTCGACCTGACGTACGCAAACCAGCAGCAGGGATGTAAACCATGTGTACGCAACTCAAACTCCCGAAGGAAAAGATGGTCGACTCATGTTGAGTGACCTGCACTGTGTTTTCCAATATCGAAAGCCCCGGACCTTGTCATGCCACATCGCGCAGACATCTTGGGCCAGCGAGTGGAGCCAAAGGACGCAAAGGAGGGGGTGCACCGTCCGAGCGTCCGCCAACACACTGATTCGCCCCCTCCGCGCGCAGCTCGACGAGGGTCCAAGGGCGCACCGGATCAGCGCTTAGTATGAACTAGATTCCAGGCTTGGAGTAAAGGGGCATGTGCAATCGGTGGGCAAGTGCATGAATCCAGGAAAAGAGGATGTAAACATAATAAAGGGGGCCTTGAGGATCTCTCGGCGATCATTTGTCTGATCGAGGGGAGGCCTGGTTCCTAGCATCCGTGCAGCGTCAGCATGTGCTGATCCCACACCTTCCATGGGCACATTCCTGCAGGCATATGCATATCTCACGTGGATGATCGAACCTGCGTATTCTTCGGAAGACAGAACTTGAAGCCGTACCGGAATAGTTTGTCGCGGACTCCTCTCTTTGGGGAAACTGAAGAGAAGATAGAAGAAGACACGGCACTGAGCAATCAACAGAAGCCGTTCTTCTTTTGAACGTACGTCCAGTATGCGAGTTATCAAGCGACGGCTGCATGGCATATACCGTCTACATTCAACTCTTGCTTCGAGGTCAATGTACATGGGACGATCACCATATGCATCGTAGGACGAGCCTCAACAATCAGGCGCGTCGGGAGTCAGAACGTCGCGTCTCTCGCCAACAGTCAATCAACATCAGCAATCACAGAGTTCCTTCTCTTGCGTGACAATTGGTACTTGCAGCCATTATACCACTTCTGCAGTAGATCATTTACACATGTACTAACGGTACATGCAGACCCAACGAGGTCCAGAACGCTCTGGCCAAAAGGACGATCATCATCGGCTACGGGATAGTACGACAACATACCGATGGTTTCGGTATCCAACCCACCCAGTTGTCCAACGAAATCATCGAACAATTTGGAATACCGTATACTCGGTCGTCTAGACTCGCGTGGATCGAATCGTGAATTCTCCCCGTGGTCGTTGTTGAGGTATCGCAAACGTTAGCTTTTCGTGCATCGTAACCAGGCGCAATCGATGTAGGGCTCGCATGGATATCTGATACGATCTTTCAATGATATGTCTACCGTTCCTCCACCCATGTACGTCTAAATATAAATCGAGCATTATACAACAACACATAACAGGGGACCTTTGATCCGACAATTCACCGGTCAGAAGCTCATTCAACCTAGGCCAACGCTGTGTTGTCGCCTACCATTCAAACGTCCTGCATCTCGCCCCTACTTCCGCAGAGCACAAAAGGAGAACTCGCTACAAGAATAGCTGCATCCTCGTCCACATAGCCCCAGCCCACAGAGCCTCTGAAACCTATGGAACAAAGGAATCAAGATGAAAAAAGCCTCTAATGATTCTGCCTCGGTACCCCCGCCGTCTGCGCCAACCTCTGATACTTCTCCGCCCCCCTCACCGTCATTCCCCCACTCAGCTCTCCCGCCGTCTGCCTAAACAACTCTTGCCACGGCGTCTGACTCTCCGGTACTTTGCCCCTTTGCTTATACGTCCCCCATTCTTTCCTTCTCTTCTCCAACTCTTCGGGAGGGAGGAGGACGTCGGCACGGCGTTTGAGGAGGTCAATCCGGATTCGGTCGCCGTTCTGCAAAAGGCCGAGGGTGCCACCGGTAGCTGCTTCGGGGGAAGCGTTGAGGATACTAGGTGACCCCGACGTGCCGCTCTGCCGTCCATCGCCGATACATGGCAGCTCGACGCCTTCCTTTACGAGTCTACCTGGAGGGAGCATGTTGACTACTTCGGCTGCACCAGGATACCCTTGCGGTCCTGCGCCTCTCATAATGAGGATAGTACCAGCATCGATATTGAGGGAAGGGTTGTCGATGGATTTGTGGTAATGCTCCGGCCCGTCAAAGACTGCTACGGGCCCTTCGAATGCCATCGGGTCGTCCGGGTTTTCCAACCACGCCTTTCTGAACGCTTCTGATATCACAGAAGTCTTCATGATAGCGCTGTCGAAGAGAGAGCCCTTCAAGTGGAGGAACCCTGCTTTGGGCAAGAGGGGTTTGTCGAATGGGAGGATGACATCGGGGTTACGCGAAAAGTCGTTGGAGCAGTTGGAAGAGATGGATTTGGAGGTTATTGTGAGGGATGTGGGGTGGGGGAGGGCGTTGTGTTTCAAGAGTTCTGCTATCACGGCTAGATTCTTATTAGCATTGCCCCCAAAAAGAATTGGAAGAGACATACCAGGTAGACCTCCAGCCCGATGAAATTCCTCACAAAGCCACTTCCCCGCCGGCTGCACATTGACCAAAAGCGGCAACTCATACCCCACCCTCTCCCAATCATCCCCACTCAACTCTACCCCTATATGTTTCGCCACAGCAATCAAATGAATCGGCGCATTGGTCGACCCGCCTATAGCTGTACACGCTGCGATGGCGTTCTCGAATGCGGCTTTAGTGAGGATATCGGAGGGTTTGAGATCTTCGCGGACGAGCTGGACGATACGGCGGCCAGTGGCGTAAGAGCAGGCGAGGCGCTCGCGGTATGGGGCGGGGATGGTGGATGAGCCGGGGAGGGCCATACCGAGTGCTTCGGCGAGACAGTTCATCGTGGTCGCTGTCCCCACTGTATTACAGTGCCCTACCCTACATGCCATCAGCTTGCTTTATATGGCGAGGAAGAGAAGACGTACGAAGGAGCGGAGAGAGAGACCCGGGTGACGAATTCTTGTTCGTTGATCCTGCCGGCGGCATAGTCGGCTCGGCTGTCCCACATGACGCCCCCAGAACCGACGAGCTTGTGACCGGCGTAGCCGTTCAGCATAGGACCCACGTTCTGCTTGGCTGTCAGCTAACGGAGCTGACTAGTGAGGAGAAGGAAAAGAGGAGGGGACTTGCCATGACAATGGCAGGAATGTTGACTGTTGCGGCTGCCATCAGCAGCGCGGGCGTTCTACGTCTTTGTCAGAGACTTTCGGCACCATCGGAGGGTACTTACGTCTTATCACACCCGGTCAAAAGCACGACCCCATCCAACGGGTATCCAAACAACACCTCCACCAACGACAAATAACTCAAATTCCTATCCAGACTCGCCGTCGGCCTCTTGCCTGTCTCTTGAATGGGATGACAAGGGAACTCAAAGGGCGTACCGCCTTCTGCGATGATACCGTCTCGCACGCGTTTTGCTGTTTCAAGATGATGGCGATTACAGGGGGCAAGATCGGAGCCTGTTTGGGCGATACCGATGATGGGCCGGGTCTTGGGATGGAGTTCGTCGAGGGTGAGGCCGTAGTTCATGTATCGCTCGAGGTACAGCGCCGACATGCCTGAAGGATATTAGCTGGGCTCTTCAGCAATAATGTGTACAAACCAGGATCATTCGGATCATTGAACCACTGCTTCGACCTGAGAGGAGCAGCAGGCTCTACACCCTCATAAGATTGAATATCCGCCGGCGCCGTGAACGACCTCTCTGGCCTGGCGACGAGCTCTTCTTCTTTGGCTCCATTCTGTTCTGCGCGGCCGCAAGTACAGCCTTCACAAGCTCCGGACATGGTTGAAGCTTGAGAGACAGGCGAATGAAAGAGGACATGAGGGGATATGGGAAGCACGTCGTTGGCTGGAGGCGACCCGGGCCGAACACCGAACACCCGTCCCGGAACGCCGAGATCAGCTGCATCTGTCCTCTCCTGTGTCGCCTTCAGCCGAAAGTGGGGCAGCCTCATCAAAGCCATGCATCTCCCCTATCATATGGCATCTTACTTCTCCTCAGCCTGGTCTCCTTCTTCTTCCGGCGCCTGTTCAGTCTCTGCAGCCGTAGCTACTTTCTCTCGTTGGGTGCCTCGTCGCCGTGGCCTGATACTTCTGAGAGCGGCACCATACTCGTCTTGGCGTCGAACCCGATTTCTTCGCCAAACTCACCAAGCGATTCACAAGGTGCAGTATAAGACCTCCAGTCCGGTCCTCCCCTTAGAAAGCTAAATACCTGAAATGAATTGGTATCCGAATCTCGGGCGATGAACGCTCGGGGCCGATGGTCAATTTCGTCGGCGTCTGTCTCTAGGTAGCGGGTGACGGAGTTTCCCAAGTAGGTGTACTCTACCTTGATAGCCCTACGAATTGGTATCAGATGGGCCGCTGGTATGCAGATATAGGTGGTATGAAAGTACGAAGACTCACTCATCAGGCCTGCTTTCGACATTTGTGAGTTCCGCAACGAGACGGGACATATTTAATTGCTTGTTGTGTCGAAGTATATGAAGGTTAGCTGGTAGTTTGGCTTCTGTCTGAGCACCGAAACAGGACCCTTATATATGTTATCGGCTGGCTTATTCGGGGTATTATATGAGTCAGTATGCCTTACCTTCCATTCATCACATCTGCACTTCTTAGTATCGTTTTGGGTGCACATGTTCTCTTCACCAAAGAACTAGAGAGCAGAAATAAGAGAACAGAAATAAGAGTGCAGCTGTATCTTCTTTGGTCGTGTCGCCCCAAGCTCCAAGGGATAGGTAATTGTAGGGACATAGCGATTCGAAGGTCAAAGGATTCCAAGCTCAAGGGAAGCAGACCACCACGGACGGATGTCTGCTGGAAGGAACGATTTGACAACGATAAGATGCCTATTCTGGGTCGAGAGAAGAAAAGAGCAATCATAAACCGCTGGAAGTGTGCCATCGGGATCAGCGCTTCTTCCAAAATAGCCTTGAAGCAGATCGCTGGAATTCAGCCGCCAGGGGCGTTGATGAAGGCCCTTTTCATGATGATGTTACAGCAATCAATATGATACAGATTACACTCCTCACATCCTTATTCCCTCTCCTCCTAAATGATCATCTAAGTCACCTTCCTCTCCTTGAAAAACGCCCCCGCCACCCCTCCCCCAAGGATCATCCCCGCCGAATACAATATCACTGGACCATAATTCTCCACCCCATATCCTCCCACCCCGCCTCGCATTGGAGAGGTTTTGGCGAGTAAGGCTTCAGAGACGGGGCCGGAGGAGAAGGAGCCAATACCGCGGAGGAAGGTGAAAAGCGAGAGGATGTAGGCGAATGCTTGGGTGTTGTCTTCTATTTGAGGCGTTAGCGGGGGTTATCTGAGGGAAGTGTAAGGGAGGGGAGAGGGGAGAGGGGACGTACTCGCAACAGTAGCATTGATCTTGGTCCAAACCGCCGAAAAACTCGGCCCCAACAGCCCAAACACCAAACAAAATAACACCACCACCCCTTCCGACTTGCCGAACCCCCACAGGAAGGCTACAGCGAGACCGGAGCCGAGGCAGGAGGTGAGGATGGTGGTGCGCATGGAGAAGCGGTCAGACATGTAGCCGAGGAGGGCGTTGCCGGGGACAGAAGCGGCGTTGAGGATGGAAAGGAGGGCGGTGCCGTTTGGGTGGGTGAGGTTGAGGTCGTTTGCGTAGGCTACGGCGAGTAAAAGCTGGGCAGGAAGGGAGAGGAGTAGGGAACTTACTGGGAAGCCACAGACTCGGGATAAAGTTGCCCATACTAGTGAACAAGATGATGCTCAAACTAATCCACAAGAGCCCGCTCTTCAAGAATGACCAGTCGAATTTGACTTTTCGCCCGTGTTCGTTGACTGGCGCTTTGGTGACGGGTACACGACGGTTGATGGGAAGGAGGCAAATGAGACCAAGAACGCCAAAACCGGCACCAAGGATGATCATAGCTTTTTTGTAGCCGACGCCGTTGAGGAGGCCAGACATTATGAAGGGGAAAACGCAGCCGCCTGATCTCGGATCAGTTGAGATAAGACGGGGCTGGGAAAATCACTGACCGACACCTGGAAAATCAAAAGCACGAAAAGAGACATTGTTAGCTATGATTGAAGTTGTCGATGATAGAACTGACCAGTACCTGCGAGAATGTTAGACATCATCCCATAGAAATGAGACAGTAGACTCACCGGCATACATGATTCCCGTAGCTAAACCCCGCTTGGTGTAGAACCATTCGAATAGGAGCGGGCCACATGGAAAGTAGGCGGCTCCCTACGTACACAATCAACCATCATTACATGTTACAGAAAAGCGGACATACTGCAAATGGGTAGAGAAGACCCTGCGTGACCAAAATATGCCAAGGCTGGTCATTGTCAGTACGAACAAACCACAAATGGAAAAATGTAGCAAACCTTTGTCGCGAATGCGCTTATGATCATGGATAATGACGCAGCCAGTATTCCAAGTACCTGAAGCGTCTTCATCCATCTCGGCATAGTCACAATAATACTTCATCCTTCATCAGCACGTGTCAATGGGGTACAACGCGGCACTCACGGTCCGACAACAGCAGCCATGATATACAACAACCCCGTCTGCAATGTCGCCGCCAGGGTCAAAATCGCCGTCCCTTCACCCGGGAACAGTTCTGTTGTCCAGTACGCCAATAAAATACCAATCGCGAATGGCAGTCCCCATACGAGGAGCTCGAGGCCAGTACCGCCTGCGAGGAACAACCATGCTTTCCTTCCGCCGTCCACGGGGGGCAGAGCGTATTGCGTGATTGCCTCAATGTCGAAAGTGTCACTCGGGGCGTGGACATGAGCTGTCAGTTCTCGTGGAGTGGCTGTTCCTGAGACGTTTGCAGAGCCGGCTTCTGCATCGGTGGAGTAATTGAGCTCGTGGCCATGGATGTCGAGGGACCGGAGCGAGGATGGCTTCTTGTCGGGCGGAGGGTCGCTGCTAATGTTGGCGAGGGGGATGGACTCTGTGGCCATGCCGGTGGTGTTTATGGGATTGTAGAGATGCATCAGCAAAATCACATCTCCATTTGGGAAAGACTTTACGTACTTCCGTCGCCATCTCGTCGTGAGCTCATGATTCAGCCTGAAATGCACCCAGGCACCGGCGCACTCGAATTGCCGAAATGTAAATTGTTTGGCGAATGTCTGTTCTTTTTCTTCTTTCTAGCATCTTGAGCAGTGGTTTATACCTGGCGCTCATGTCTAACCTTTTCCCATAGCTGGCACGGGTTTCTCCAACAAATGAGCTTCGCATGGCCCAGATCACTAGTCACATACACGTCCGCGCGTCTTTTGCATGTCCAGTCCTAAGTGACTAATCGTCGATAAGCCCGGACTCGATAGCGTCGTTCCAAGCCTGGGTCAATTGTGCGAGCAAACCCCACGACACCCTGCACCTCGCCGGCTACATGTCCACTCTCCTTCCCTCAAACGGTACACCATGACTCGTTTCCTGCTATTTTCCACGACGTCGATCGTGTACGAGTACTCGCTCGATTGAACAGAGTATACAAGGTGGTGGCAATCGTCTTTGAGAACGTTTGCGTAGACTACTAGGATAACAGGTTGATGACAGACCACACTTCTCATCTGATATCTCGAGAAAGAGGACATACACACAGCTCCGAGGGCGCTTATAAGTGCGACGACAATCGCATATGCTTTCGCTCTCAAGGGACTGAAGATGACAAAAGGTAAAGCGCCGCATGATTCGCGTCAGCTACAGGCCGCCACAAACGAATGAGAAATTACGCACATGTTCCAATCTTCGCTCATCCCAGTCGGGAAGCACCCACATCCACATCCACATAGAGGATATGACGTGCGCGAAGGCTAGCCATTGCGTCCCTGAGCAGCTCGTGCGAGACTTGGTCTTGGACATCCGGGCTGACAGGCGCTTGTTCCATTCTTTTCATTGAGTGTTCAGACTCGGGAGAGTTGCTAGCTTGACTCGATTGGTCTCCGACGGCATCGACTACTGGGTTCACGTCTCGTTGCCTCTCCTAGCTCCTCGTCGGTGTCCTAATTCAACCCTTGGCCCTGATGGACGACGGCTACTCCCCTCCCGCCGTTTTCAAAACTTTACAGACCTCCGAGAAACTCGTGGAGAAGACCCTCGAGAGGGCTGTTCTAGCCAGTCCACAGGACCTCCAGTAGCCTAGTAAGAGGCTGTCAAAGGTATAGGCCTTAAGTCGTCGTGGGCTGACAAAGAAGATGGAGAAGGCTTGGAGGATTTTGTCGGTCGTAGGTGAGTATTGTCGATCGGGCGTGGAAGGGAGCCTGGTGGCGTCGTAGATGGCCGAAGAAGAGGGACGAGAAGGCCTGTCGGATTCTGGGGTGACCCGGTAAATGCCCGGAGTCGGGGAGCCCTGTGGTTCGGACGTATGACACCTGGAAGATGATCTTCCCCCTAGGCTTGGGGAGAGGGACGGATAGGGTGGGGCGTTGGGGGACATCACTGACTGATAAAGTACAGTGTGCAGCAGTGGTGGTGGTAGTAGTAGTGGATGTGGATGCATCGTCATTGTACGCTGTTCTAATCCAGCTAGAGTCTCACAGGTGCTACCGGAACCAATAATGGTCTTCTGATGGTTCGATTGAATAGTATGCCATTTGGCATATGCCCCCTATAGGCCATTCGGCCTATTTCCGTTGGGCCAGATAGGCCAGATACACGAATGGACTTTTGGACTGTACTCGTAGTCGCGTACCGTCATACCGTATATACATAGATCTCAGTGCGTTCTTCAGCATTCTCTCCATTCTCAAGTCCTGGCTCAACATCCTGTGTAACATCTCGCGGTGGTCGGCCTTCGGCAGTGCCTATCCGAAAGCCGAACAGGCCCCACCGGCATCCAGAACGGCACTCTTCGCCTTGTTTTGTACCAATTTGAAAATTCAAGATGATTCATGCAGGGTTCCTTGTTGATAACTGTAATGCTAAAGACCGTGCCCCACAAGCGACCTGTCGTCGCCCCTGTCACTTGCTGCACGGTGACTTCAGGTCGTCGGTTCGGCAAAACTTGACTGTCTCTCGTCAGTACTCCACTCAAATTTGGTTCGCGCATTTGCAGTCTTTCACCAACAACTCATCGTCTATACTACTACTTTGATTCATCACCAGCACACCTGTAACTAGCCTACCCACACTTCGCGCTCACAATATGCCTTCAAACGAACGCGATTCCTACGTCCTCGACGACTACAGCAAGTCTCCCACTTCCTCCTCCAGATCATCCTTCAAATCCAACTACTCCCTCAGAAGTGGCGAAAATTCCGCCATCGACCTCCCCACTCTCGCATACGACGACGACGAACACACTACGCAGTATGATCCCTCACAAAGCTCCCGGAACGGCGCAAGGCGAAGGTCTACCATCGTGGGCGCTTTCAGCCGCAGGCCGGCATTTGAAGCCATCACCCCTATCCACGACTCCAAATTCGACCCCGAAGCCCAAGAACCAATCGATACCGAACACCCCCTTGGCCTCCCTGCGGAGCAAGCAGCTCTCCCACCAGTAGACGGAGGCAGGAAAGCCTGGCTCTTCCTAGCAGCATCCGCGATGCTGGAGATGCTCGTGTGGGGTCTGCCTTTTGCCATTGGTGTGTTGTTGTCGTACTGGAGGACGGAGCTCTTCCCGGATGAAGGGGAGGATGCCACGTTGACCCTGGCTGCGACGCTGCAGACGGGGTTGCTGTACATGATGGCAGCTCTTGTCGGACCGTAAGTCCCTGAACTCTATTGAGAAGGGTCGGCCGATTGACGATCTGGGTCTAGTGTGGTAGCTTCTCTGCCACGGTGGCAAAAGACGTTGCAAGTCATTGGGATTGTGGCTGCTGCCCTGTCTATGATCGCAAGCGCTTTCGTGTCCAAGGTGAGTCTAATACTTGGCTGTCCTTTAATTATTGGTAAAATGAGGGTAGCCGTGGCATTTGCTCGTGACCGTAGGACTGATATATCCTTTTGCTGGGGGCAAGTTTCCATATTAATCGTTGGAAGATTGAAGACTGATGGATGTTGTAGCCGCTTACTTTCCTTGCGGCGCCCTTCTGTTCGAATGGTTCTATGCCAAAAGAGGTCTTGCGACAGGCATCATGTATGCCGGCACTGGTGCGTGATGATCATGGCCTTACCCGTGCAATTGTGCTGACCTTAGACCTTCTTTGTAATCAATAGGTGTCGGTGAGTGGCGAGCCTGAATCAGACACAGAGAGAGCCGACTAACAACAATTCTCAGGCGGCTGCATTATGCCCTTCGTCATGAGCGCCCTCCTCGACAAGCTCGGCTATAAAACCGCCATGATCATCCTCGGTTCTGTGTTCGGCGGCCTTAGTCTCATCTGTCTCATCTTCATCGTACCCCGCGTCCCACCCGCCCACAAATTTGAACACGGCACCAAGAGAAGGCACAGCATTGACTGGTCATTCCTGAAGAGCAAGTTGTTGATTGTCAGTGTTACAATCATCTTCTTGACCAGTTTGGGCAATTTTATCCCTAGCTTGTGGATACCCAGTACGTCCTACTGCCTACATCCCTAGCGTTACCTTGCCACACAGTCTGACTCTTCGCAGCATACGCTACAGACTTAAACCTCTCAGACCCAAACGGCGCCGCTCTCCTCTCCATCCTCAACGGCGCTTCCGTCCCCGGCAATGCCCTCCTCGGCTTCATGTCCGACCGTCTCCCCCTGCGCGCCGTCATCCTCATATCATGCCTCGGTTCGGGCTTCGCAGTAGCTTTCCTCTGGGGTTTCGGTACGAGCAAGGGCATGTTGGTGGCTTTTTGCGTGATATTTGGGCTTCTGGGACCGAGCTTTGTGTCGCTCTGGACCAAAATCAATGCTACTATCGCTAGTAAGTTGATTCTTGCTAGTATAACATCTGGGGTTAGGTGCTGATCGGTTTCCCAGAGGACAACACGTTTGCATTCGCCATCATCCTCTCTTTGTTCACCTTTATCCGCGGTATCGGCAACTTCAGCTCTGGTCCCATCTCTGAGGCGCTCCTTAAACACAGCCCCTTCGAAGGCGCTATCGGTGGTTATGGATTCGAGAACTACGTGAGCAATTTCCCTGTACCTTTGTGACTTATAAGCAGAGCTGACAACTTGTCTAGGGCTCCATCTTGCTGTACTCTTCCATCATGATCCTCAGCGGCGGCGCAGCTGGAGCTTTCTTTGTCGAGCGCAAATTGACTTGAGCTCCCTCACACTCATTACATTTTGATAACACATAGCATTACTATCACATTGCATAAGCATGATGATCATACAACTTCCTAAGATGTATATAATGCACGTCTATCATCTTCAATCATCGTCGGAAACGACAATGACCTCCCGACTATCATCATCAACCGCCATATTCCGATAAACATCCTCATCCACTTCATCTTCCACCTCCTCCCGCCCATTGTCTCCTCTCTCGAGTTGCTCGTCATCGATCATGTCGATATCTTCTCCCGGTGCCACGTGGGCTCTGACATCTTCGTCTGGGGGATCGTCTTGTACGAACATTTCGTAGACCTGATCGCCTTCGGGACCGGGCACAACGATTTCGAGCAGGTCACCTCCCATCGCTAATGCTGTATCAGCAACAGCCTCGATACAAATGAGGAAACTCACCCTGAATGACTCTGAGGTCCTCCTCCGCCACAGACCCATCGGCCCCTTCCACAGCCCCAATCCCTTGGTCAAAGATCCCATACGCCATACACCCCATCCCACTGATAAACATATGCTGTAGCCCGTTGAACTCTTTCTGCATATTCAGCGTCCTCAGCCTTTCGACGAGGTCGACGCCGATGATGGAGTCGGGGTCTAGCTGGGAGGGACGGATGCGGCCAGGAGTCAGTGTAGAACGTTGAGATTGGGTGACACTGGCGGGTTTGGTTTGGGAGGAGAAAGGGGCAAAGGGATAGGCGAGGTGGTGGAGCAGTGCTAGAGAAGGTCGGAGCAGCCTCAAGACCCTAGTCACGGAGGTCAGCGTTGCTCAAACCCCATGTGCGCAGCACTCACTCTTCGATGACAACCTCCTCCAGGTGCACACCCCAGATCTTGTTACTCTCCCCATACAGCAGTATGGTCAGACACGCCGTCAAGTTCGTCCTCGCGGCCATCAAGATGGGAGCATCGGGCACAGAGGCTGACATCATGGCCAGGCCCCGAACGATGGTGATGTTCATCTCATGTTTCTACGCCACTGGCATCAGCACGACCATGAGCAAAAAAGCTGGGGAATGACGGACCTCATGTGGTTGAGCAGCATCGTGGCCGCTGATGAGGTACCATCCTAACTGGTCAATCAAGGGTGACTCTCCAGCATTTTGCGTAGGATATTTGGCGGAGGAGTTGATGAGGGCTTGGAAATGGTTTGCACCTGTTTGCAGCAGCTCGTCAGGCTCAATATCGCGCTCGACAATGGATCTACTCACGGATAGATCCAGCAGCAAACAAATCAATCCCGCGTTTGACGACGTAGAGGTCAAGATTAGTATTGATAAGGCCCAGAATAATATCGACCAGCTCGTCGCCTTGCCTGCGCCAGATCGTCAGCATGCAGCAGTGTAGAGAGCGATTGACGTACCAAACAGAATTCTGCTCCCCAAACCAACAGAGAGCTTCACAGAGCCTGACCACACTATCACTCAACTCCAACTCCCACCCCTTGAGTCCTTCTTTCTGTTCCGCCCTTTCCTCCTTCTCCTTTTCTTTCGCGTCCCTGTCCTGATTCTCGCCTTCTTCGTCATCCTCCTCGTCTTCTTCTTGTTGAATATACTCTCGCATCATCATCTTATCCAGCGCCTCCACTTTTTCGGGTTCGCTGAGAACATCCGAGACCAGTTGCCTTATCCAGGCTATGATACCTCCCTGTCCCATTCCTGAGTCAGAGTCGAGGATGAAGGGTATCAGCCCTGGGAAGAGGTAAGTCGAAGAGGATAGCAGATCGAGGACATTCTGCAAGATAGCAATCTCCTCGTATCTCAGCTTATACTCATCATCTTCGTATCCTGATTGTTCATCATACTTCGCCGACGTGAGCACAAGTGCGCTGAAGTGGCGCACCATTCCTGCCCAGACTTCCACCAGCCCCTTGCCCAGAGCCTCAAACTCTAGACCACTATCACCCAACAGCTTGAGGATCCTCCCGCACCATTCGGTGTATTGCGTCCTGAACTCCTCTCGTCGTTGTTCTTCCAATATTTCGTGATGGGTCGATGGTGCGTCTTTGGGTTTGCGTCGCCGAGAAGGAATTGGTGGTTGGTAGTTCATTATGCGATAAAGAGTCGGCGAGAAAGCAGTCCGTCCAGACAAAATTGTCGTCTGATATCCTGAGAGACAAGTGTGATTGAAAATGTGGTACAGCAGCTACCACGGTCATCAGCAAAGGTCCACGCTCCAGTCTGCAGACACTCACTTCAGACCGCTCATCAATATCCACTGGTTCCAGTCCATCCCATTCCAAATCATCCACATCATCATCCGCTTCATTCTCCCCTCCTTCTCCGTCCACTTCCATCCCCGGCGAGCTCCCCCTCCTAGTCGACGCTGAAGGCGGTGAAGACCTAAAAGGCGAGCTCGCCATCTCTCGTTCTTTCCCTTTTCCTTTGCTCTTGGTCGTCTGCGACGTGCCCTTGGAGCGGAGTGCGATCTGGGTCCGTTTGGTCGGCGAAGAAGCTGGTGATTTCGACGGTGACCCCGTCACACCATGGGTCCTGCGCGACAATTGGGCGACAGGTGTTTGCGAACCGGACCCTTCAGAAGCAGGATGAGACGTCTTGAGCTTCTTTCTCGGCTGTATCGTCGGTGTCGCCGCAAACGCATTGTAAAACCCACCAGCACCAGGCTGAACACCCTGCCTCGCTTGAGTCTGGGGGTGCCGGAGTAAAGTAGTCGGCGGCGCCATGCCGCCTTGTCCTCTCCTCCCCAATGCAATGGGCGTTTCATCTCCATTGGCGCCAAGGTGGAAAGGAGTGCGGTGATGGGAAGGGGAGCCGTTGCGAACTGGCGTAGGTAGCACCCCGCAGGAGAATGCCTGGTTGTGCGTTGACGGTCCAGCGGGGTGGGGGAAGCCTGAATGTTGGGTTGGGAGACGTTGCGAGGGACGGGGTTTGATGGCGGAGTTTTGGAGAGCATGATTCTACATGTCGCATCAGCCTCCCCTTTCATCCACCGTCTTGTCAGGAGACGTACAGAGAAGACAGCTTGATGTTTGATACTCTCTACCAGTCGACTCTGATTCTTCTCCTTCTCCTTCATCTGCGCCTCCTTATCGGCTAGGCTCTGTTTCAGCGTCTCGAGTTCGGCGAGGTGTTTCGCGTTGGCCTTTTTGTCTGTCAGTCAAGCAGAGACAAGCAAGAGAGAGAAGTAGACACACCTCCTTTTGGGCTCGACGCATAATCTCAGCCTCTCCCTTGGCACGATAAAAGTCTGCCAGCAGCTGTTTCATCTTGTCCTTCAGATCTTCTCCTCCAACACCACTGGTACCCGCCCCTGCTCTCGAAGGTCCCGCGTTCGCCTGTTCATCAAATCAGCTTCATAGCCACAAATAGCAGACGAGGGGATGATACGTACATCAGGAGTTTGAGCCTGAGCCTTCTTGAGTGCTTGCAGTTCGTTTTGAGCAGCTTGGAATTGCGCTTGCAACTCTTGCAGCTGCTTCTGCATTTGCGCATCCGGACCTGGCCCAGCGGGCGAAGGAGCTCGCGGCTGAGAGCCAGAGGGGATCGTCGGCATCCTCACAACCTGTCCTTGTCCTTGACCCTGTTGAGACGGTCTTCCAAAACTCTGCGATCCAGTCGATATAGACCTCGACAGTTGCCTATTCGGATTCGGATTGAATCCCCCAGGTTGGCCGTTGGCTGCAGGCCGGGGCGGGATGCTCGAGGACGAGTTGGATCTCGACAAGACGCGGGACTGGCTTGGATTGAAGCTTTGGGAGGCAGCAGGTGCAGCCCCGCCCAGCGCCTCTGCTATAGCCCGCCGACGATTATCCCTCGCTTGCTCACTCTGACTCAGCGGTAGCGCACTGCCCTCCCTGCTTCTTTCTCCGCCAACCGATGTTGTAGATATCCGATCTTGCAATGCCCACGTCTGCGCTCGACGATTGTCGGTGATGACAGGTTCTTGCGACGAGCCTTGGTGCAGCGCATATCGGCCTGTTTGGTCGAGGACGACATCGCGAGGTGGAGTGTCGTCTCTTGTTTGTCGTTGGGGAGGAGGAGGTTGATAGGCAGGTTTGGGAGGAGGAGCTCGAGGGAATCTGGAAGGACCCGCCTGAGGCTGGGGAGGGAGCTGGGGCTGAGGTGGACGGGAAGAAGTGGTAAATCCATGTTGAAATCCCCTATTTCCTTGAGCCCCGAGCAGCACTCTGTTCCTGTCTCCTTGGGGGATGTCGCTCCGTGGCGGCGCTTGAGAAGCCTGGACGGCTTTTTGCTCTGCCTGCTCGAGCAGCTGGAGAGTTTCGGGATTGTCGAAGAAATCGTCATCGTCGTCGTAAGAGTCTGACATACTACGGGGAGTGCTATATCATATCCTGTGTGCTGTCAGCTCTCATTCATATATCACAGTGGGGATGAAAGAGAGAGTAGATTCAGATATGGGTACGGCTTGGAGACCGCGATTAGCAAGCTGGTATTGGCGTCATGGGAGTCGGTGCCCCAGCAATATCATCATAGAGAAGGAGATCCTTTGCAGGAGCTGGCAGGAGGAGGGATGTGGAAGAAACGTACGATTTGTGGAGAAGGCGGGAGATGAAAGAGAAGATGAAGGAAACGCGAAAGTTCTGTTCGACGCGTTTGTGCATTACGTAGGTATATTTGTTTTGAGAACATATCATGTATCTGTAACTTGCAAGTATCCCATCGCATTATGCATGTATCTTTCCAACCCATGGATAGATATTACTGTGGGTATGCTCTATGTTAGCCCGACTGGGTTCGTGGAAGCGCCAGACAGAAAGGCGCCGGCGGGAGGATGTAGGGCGAGCAGTCCGCTGCATCTGATCCCTCTTGCATCTCTTCAATCATACTCTCTACCGATATCAGTTTACCCGACAGCCATCATCCTATGGCCGAATCGATCGAGCTCGGTACCATACCTACCAACGCCTCGCAGACTGATGCCGACCCGAGACCGGAATCCAGCACAAGGGATCAACAGGACATAGACGAAGAGCCTGCTCATGCGACTTCCTTGTCTCCAGTGGATGGAGGATGGCGGGCTTGGCTGTTCTTGGTAGCTGCTACCTGGATAGAGGTGCTGGTATGGGGGCTTCCCTTTTCTGTCGGTAGGTTCCGTATCGCCATCCTTCATCGTGCCAGCTGCTGATTTTTCTCATTCAGGTATCTTGCACGGTGTGTATCACCAACCTATGGGTAGGTTGAGGCTGACCTGAATAGTGTACTGGACCAACACTCTCTTTCCCGGCGAAGGAGCATCCACTTTGACGCTCGCAGCTACTCTCCAGACGGGTCTGCTTTTCGTAAATGCTGGGCTGTTTGGGCCGGTCATTGCAGCCTACCCACGCTGGCAAAAATTGGCACAAGCCATCGGTCTTCTTTCTGCCTCTGTCGGTCTTATCTCGAGCGCTTTCGCCACTCGGGTGAGTAGCATCTATCGCATGGAGCCGCCCCTGACATTGTTCGCAGCCTTGGCATCTGCTAGTAAGCATTGGCTGTATCTATCCCCTCTGCGGTGCCCTCTACGTACCATGTGCGACCCTCCTCTTTGAATGGTTCCTCGAGCGCCGAGGGCTCGCCACGGGCATCATGTACGCCGGTACTGGACTTGGCGGCACCATCGTCCCCTACATCATGGACGGTCTGCTCAAGGGTGTGGGATACAAGGCGGCAATGTGCTCTCTGGGTATCGCTTACGCTGTTCTCGGCGGTGTGGCTTTGATCTTTATCGACAGGAGGATACCAATCTCGCGATATGCCAACAACAGTGAAGAGCCGAGAAGTAGCATGAGGCAGAGGCTCAATTTGTCGTTTGTCAAGCGTCCATCGTTCTTCCTGGGAATCACTACCATTCTCTTGACGAGTGTGAGCAGCTTTGCTACAACTCTGTGGCTCCCTGGTATGTGTCCCGTCCACTCTTCCCAGGTAGCTGCTCATGAATCGCACCATGACAGCTTTCGCCGACGACCTCTCCCTCACCAACCCCTCCGGCACAGTCCTAATCTCCATCCTGAACGCCGCCTCCATCCCCGGCACCGCCCTCCTCGGCTACCTCTCCGACCATCTTCCCATTGGCATAGTCATCTCAATATCGTGCATCGGAAGCGGCCTTGCATGTGCATTCTTGTGGGGCTTTGGGACGAGTGGGGGAGGGATTTTGATCGGTTTTGCCGTCTTGTTTGGGCTGTTGGGACCGAGTTTTGCCGCACTTTGGACGGGGATGATTGTGGTCATCGCCAGTAAGAAATCTTCTTGTCATCGTTGTGAGGGACAGTCTGACACCTGATCATCCAGAGGATGATCTCCTGGCTCCGCCGATGATCTTTTCAATCTTTGCCATCTGTCGCGGTGTGGGCAGTTTGATCTCTGGTAAGCTCTATATCACCCTTCATGCCCACCTTCATCTCCTAAAAAGACTGACATTTGATCCAGGCCCTATCTCAGGTGCTCTTCTGAAGACCAATGCCATGGAAGGAGCCCCCGGCGCGTATGGTTTCCAGAGCTATGTGAGTCGATTCACTAGAAGGAAAGGATGAAGCTGACTCTGATGATAGGGAGTGTTGTTGATTTTCATCACCCTGAGCATAAGTGCTGGAGCTGTTACGGGGTTTTATGATCAAGTATCGAAAGTGATAGGGAAGAGCTTAGCGAGACCTGTCCTCGCAAGGTACTCACTCATCTGGTAAGTAAGCCCTTGTACGCGTTCTGTCCCAGTTCCCCTGAGTACTTCACTGACATTGTGACCAGGATCACAGTCTAATGTTTTCTTGGGTGCCAACGCTATACAAGAAGCCGAGGGCTCCGCTGGACCCACCGGGTACTTGAGCGAGAAGCCAACGAACTACAGCGACCGCTTGATGTAGGGCGTTGAATCAATGACGGAGGTTGGAGCTTCCGTTGATGTATGATGTCATGCATATTGATTCGATAGCATGAGGGCGACGTTGCGCCTGGCCCCTACCAATCATCCATGTAGGCAGCATCATCCAATGTCTTTTTCCGAAACAACAAACAGATTAGGTTATCTTTTGGTTTGCGGGCACAACCGCCCCCACGGGGAAAGCATGCAAGACGCCCATTCGCGGTATCCATCTCCTCAATCTTTCTTCTCTCCCCTCAAAAGTGCCACTTACCAGTCGGTACACTTTCACTATGGCGGAAGCGATAGAGCTCTCAGCCATCCCCACTCGACTATCCCACTCCAAAATCGACCGACCCCTGGGCGCAGCTTCCGAAAGAGGAGACAGCGGTGAAGAGCCCGACTATGCGACTTCGCTACCTCCAGTAGACAGAGGGAGACGTGCTTGGCTCTTTCTGGTCGCTGCGACTTCGATAGAGATCCTGATATGGGGGCTGCCGTTTGCTGTTGGTGAGTGCTTATCATGATTGTGATGAGTCAGACTAATCACGGATTTCAATTCAGGTATTTTGCACGGTAAGCGTCATGCTTTTCTGCCTGGAAAGTGGATACTGACGTTGTGTGTTGATAGTGTATTGGACCAATACTCTCTTCCCCGATTATGGCGCTTCAACAGTCACGCTTGCGGCTACTCTTCAAACAGGTCTGCTCTACATGAGCGCCGCGCTCTTCGGACCCATCATCGCGGCTTATCCCCGATGGCAAAAAGCAATTCAGCTCTTCGGTCTTCTGGCTGCCTCTATCAGTCTCATATCGAGCGCTTTCGTAACCAAGGTAATCTAGGTTACAATAAGGCTCGAAACCTCGTTAACGCGAAATTTAGCCCTGGCAACTCTTAGTGACATTCGGCTGTATCTACCCTCTCGCCGGCGCTCTCTACATGCCTTGTGCAACGCTACTGTTTGAATGGTTCTTTGAGCGCCGAGGACTCGCCAGTGGTATCATGTACGCCGGTACCGGGCTCGGAGGTACCATCTTCCCATACATCATCGACAGTCTCCTCAAAGGCGTTGGGTACAAAGCCACCATGTGCTCTCTGGGTGTCGCCTACGCTGTCCTCGGAAGTATCGCTTTGATATTTATCAACAGACGAGTACCCATCTCTCGGCATGCCCATGGTGGGCGGGAGAGGAGGAGGCAGGGGCTGGATTGGTCGTTTATGAAGAGTAAAGTGTTCTTCTTGGGGGTGGCTACGATTCTCTTGACGAGTCTCGGCAACTTTGTCCCGAGTTTATGGCTCCCTTGTAGGCCCCATTCCTCTCCTCATCGATGCGCGCTCACCGCTTCACTTGATAGCATTTGCCGATGACCTCTCCTTGACTTCTCCCTCCGGCACAGCCCTCATTTCCATCCTCAACGCCGCCTCCATCCCCGGTACCGCCCTCCTCGGCTATCTCTCCGACCACCTCTCCATCCGCGTGGTCATCTCCATCTCTTCCATCGGCAGCTCTCTTGCCTGCGCTCTCCTATGGGGGTGGGGTACGAACACAGCGGTGTTGGTGGTGTTTGCGATCGTTTTTGGGTTACTCGGTCCGAGTTTCAGTGCGCTTTGGAGTGGGATGATCAGTATCATTGCGAGTGCGTCATCAAGCGAGTTCCGTTCCTTCGCTTTACTGGCTGACAATTTGTACTTTGTGTATAGAAGACGACCCCGTGGCGCCGACGATGATCTTCTCGATATTCGCCTTCTTCCGCGGTGTGGGCAATATCACATCCGGTGAGCCTTATTCCTATCCTCCTAGCCCGATCGGTCTGTTGCACCTCGTTAACTCCTCACCCAGGTCCCATCTCCGGAGCTCTACTCAAAGTCAACGCTATGAAGGGAGCCACTGGGGCGTATGGCTTCAACAACTATGTGAGTAGGCCGTGCTTCATATCGACTCTAAAGGCAAAATCGGAAGCTGACATGGCCAAGGGCATACTGCTGATCTATACTGCTGTGACAATCTTGGGTGGAGCTGCCACGGGCGTCATGTTCAAACCTCGAAAGTCATAGAGCAGAGAGATTTCGGTCATGTACAGTATTGTACCTATTGTCTTCACTACTGATCACGCATAAAAAACAAACCGATCTTATAGCAATGCAGCATGATCCATGGGTGTATGAATCCCATTTGCTCGTTAGCACACACTTGAGCTCGCTATGTCACATGACTCGGTTTCCGAAGGGATGTTCACCTGCGTTGTTGGAAAGAAGGTCGACTGATCACGTAGTCGTCCACAAGCCACATCTCGCTTCACCTACCACAACGTGTAATCACTCCCTTCCTTCCAAGCACGCCTTCCAAGATATGTACACTTTGTTCTATATCTGATGACGATCACATAGCCTCCGGCTCTCCGCCGATGTACGTACTGGGAGTACGAGAACAAAACGCGAGCTTATGGCAGCAACAAACGAGAGACTGGTCTCCAGTAAAGGAAATGCCCGAGACGTCGTCAATTTCACGTGTAATATGCTTGAGGCTCTTAGTAGAGAGCATCACATAACTCGAGATACCTCCATCAAGTCGGTTAAGCCCGTGTGCCACAATGAACTCCCTCAACCTCCGCCCTCCTTTCGTTCTTGCGTGCTCTGAATACACTCGGACTGTTCCGAAATACACAACAACCACGCATTCGTATCTCTTTTTCTCTTTCTTCTCCTTTCCTGCCATATTCATGCTCTCGTATACACTCGCATTCGGAATCATACGCAAGCCAGCATATACAGACTTTCTAGCTCACCAAGCCACGACGACGCTCTCTCGACTTCTATGCTAGGCTTACTCGGACTAGCTGATTTTTAAGGCCGACGTTGGATCTCCCTCGCCTACTTCTCTTCTTCGCCAACCAGCCCTTGGGACGTTCCCTGCTCGAAATGTCAACCTCCGAGGGGAACTCCTGCTCGCCAAATCGCCAGTGCTTGCAACGGTCTCATCGAAGCTCTTTTTCCACCATCCTGAGACTTGCTATCGGTTTTGCTGGAGGTGTTTGGCTAAACACAGTTCTTCGGAGCACGCCATCAGAGTGTTCTCTCAGATGAGCTCTGTGCTTTGGTCGAAACCTTGTACTAGAAGAGAAGAGAAGATTGATGGGCGTTCAAAGGCGAGGAGACAAGGGAACACGACAGCATATTCTACCTCGATTGTCGAAGAAGGGTGAGTCATATGAGGCTGCTTTTTTCTTGCCAACATACGCAAATGACTGACACTTTGCTTTTCGTAAATGAACTCAAGCGTTTTTTCGGACTCTGACACTGCTCCAACGTCGCACGTTCATCATAGCTCAAGCAGCGGCGAGCCTTTGCAACGAATGCTGAATTAGGACCTCGCCTGCTACACTTCGGTCCACCGATATCCCGAAGGAGTAAGCCACAGCTCCTTTGCATGTTTCTGATATATCAAGTAGGTGCTGTTGACTACACCCTCCTGGCCTCTCCTGTCTCCTATAGCACCGCCCTCATCTCTCTCTTCTATGTGGCGTGCCTTATTCCTCTGCGAGAATCTTGCTTGAGACCCTCGGATGCCCCTCAACTTTCACTTCCAACACTGAGCGCGCTTTTCCCCTCTTTTTCGTTCAACATGACCCATCTCGGTCTCGCACTCTTGCCCGGCAAATTTTCAACAGATACAAGCGAGCTCCTAACTCTTTTTGCAGGTATATCGGACACGGAAAAGCCATCCCCTCACATATGCGAGGCGTCGATCAGATACCATGCTATCAGAGGTTGGGCCATACATAGCCCATATAGGCGAGCGTCTGATCGGAAGCTATTGCCGGAAGAGGTAATTTTCGGAATCTCGTGCCTGACATGCGATACGCTTAAACCCCGGCGATAGAGGTGGCGCGAGCACGCGATTTCTACACATTTGTCGGGCAGGGCTGCCGGGCTGGCTGCCGACTCCACTCTACCCTGCCAGCACTCCAAGTTGCAAGAGAAGATTAGCGCAACGCGCGCAATACCCAGTCTCGAATCGCCAAGCTCTCGAAGCGACCCTCTCCTCTCGGTGTCCGACATGCGCACAGGTGCGGAAACGGCCAGCTTGGCCTGCGGGCTGTGGCAGTTGTGACGTACAAGACGATCAAGGCACCGATCTTTCCAGCTGGAATTGGCGCTCGCTGACGTCCCTGCCGTGGCAAGCCCGGTTATCGTATCACGACGTGCGTGTTGAGCATCACGCCATCTGATGCGGGGGTGGGCGAGGTGGCCCATTTATTTGTCGAGACCCGAGATTATCTGGAATGCGGGACCAACTGCGCTGACATCAGAGTTGCTGTTATGCAGGATTTCACCTCTGACCGGATACAGCATATCTCGCGCATGCATATCGCAAAAGTTTCCGCAACTGCCATTCCATCACCATCTCATAAAGCGCCCCACCATTCCATTCGCAATTCACATCTCTTTTCATCCACCACTTTTCTCCCCCCCGCATCCACCATGCCGGAGACCTACGCCGCTGAAACAAAGAGCATCAGCAAGGCCGAGGACGGTGGCTATGAAGGAGATAACAGGGACTCGACGGACGCCTTCACCGCTCTCGTCCACAGGGAGGAGGATCACGATATCAAGTACAGAACATTAAGTTGGCAGAAGGCTGCGATCCTTCTCTTTGGCGAATATGTCTGTCTTGCCATCCTTGCGCTGGCGTGGAGTTGGAGTGTGCTCGGCTGGGTGAGTACCTTCCTTTGCACTCTATCTTATCTACCTCCACATGCTTACTTTTTCCACAGGTCTGTGGCTTCTTCATCACTTTTGGTCTCGGTATCGTTACTTGGTGTAGGTTTTCATTCCGGGCCATGCATGTGCACTGCTGATGGATATGCAGATACAAGTTATGTCTTGTGGCAGTTCTGCATGAGACATCCCGAAGCTCGCGATATCTGTGACATTGCTGCGATCCTTTTCGTGAGTCCTCTCAGCATTCTCAAGTGTTCATGAACTTATGCTCTGCAGCCCGCCATCCCCAGAATCGCTTTTGAGGCTGCCGCGGTCATGCTTTTGCTCAATAACATCTTCCTTGTCGGATTCCACGCCTTTACTGGTGCCAAGAGTGAGTTCCGATCGTTGTATCCGCTAGGCCTTGGACTGACCGTCTTTCAGTTCTCAACACTCTGAGTAACGATGGTGCTTGTACCGTCGTCTTCCAGGCTGTGACTGCCATTATCGGTAGTAAGTGCGCCCAATTACTGCTTGCATCGCCGTCTGACGTTCTTCAGTCATCGTCTCCCTCCCCCGAACCCTCAACCATGTGTCCACCCTGTCCATCATCTCTGCTGCAGCTATGGCCATCGCCATCCTCCTCTCTCTTATCTATGCTGGTATCGAGGATGCGCCTTACTATGGCTACGGTGGCAACTACCCCGAGTTGGGCGAAGTCACGACCTCTATCGGTCTTCCCGATGGTGGACCCGGTTTCGTCGCCGGTCTGAACGCTGTGCTCAAGTGAGTCATCCTCCTCCCCTCTCTGATCTCCTCTAAACCCATTCGCAGCATCACTTTCCTCTGGATCGGGCAGCTGCTCTACCCCTCCTTCATCGCCGAGATGAAGCGTCCCCAAGACTTCCCCAAGGCCCTCGCCGCATTGACCATCATGGAGCTCATCCTCTTCACCATCACCGCCGCCGTCGGCTACCACTTCCTCGGCCAGTACGCCACCGCCCCCGTCATCGGCTCCCTCGCCAACCCCGACCACAAAAAGTCTGCATTCGCCTTTGTCCTCGTGCCCACCGTCATCATCGGCGGCATCTACGCGCACGTCGCTGCCAAATTCGTGTTCAACCGTATCCTCGGCAAGTCCCGACACTCTTACTCGCACTCCTTCATCGGATGGGGCACCTGGATAGCGCTCATCGTGCTCATCTGGGGTATCGGCTTCATCCTCGGGAACGTCATCCCCAGTATGGGCGATTTCCTCGGTATCATGTCTGCGGCCTTTGACTCGTTCTTTGGGTTCATCTTTTGGGCTGTGGCGTATTGGCACATGAACAAGACTAGGTTGTGGGCAAACTGGAAGATGACGACGATGACGATCATCAACATCTTGATCCTCATTCTTGGTCTGTTCATGCTTGGTCCTGGGCTGTACACCAGTGTCGATGCTATCATTGACGACTAGTAAGTCTTCTTTTCTGATTTGTTGGTGTGTTGGCGGAGCTGACTTTGGTTTAGCGCTACAAGTGTCAGGCAACCGTTCACTTGTGCTTCCAACGCGTTGTAATACCATCCTCATCTATCATTTGTCAATCATCATTTCTCATCATCTCGATCTCTATCTTTGCTATATTCTATCTTTGTTCGCAACCCTTTGTTTCGTTAGGCTTATAACTCTTTCCCTCCATCCACCTTGTTTCGACACATCATTAGTTTAGAGCTGTAGATGATAGCTACAGACGTTTTTGTTCCTTTTTCCTGGTTATTGGGTTGTCCTCATGCATCAGCCTTCTTGGCATACGCGATGCGGTGCCGCATTCACCTCTCCATGATATGACAGATATGTACACTTCTACAAGGTTAATTGACGAAAGACGAGTGCCAAGCCTCGACTAACGCGCATCCGCGCACAGAATGATAGTTCCTGGACCGCCCCCCCCCCCACCCCCCCCCGCTTCAATGATAGTTGAATTGATTAGTTGTGAGATAGTTGATAGTTGAATTGATAGTGGCAAGGTGCTGAAGATCGGCAGTCTTTGAGGCAGGATACGAGAGGGCGGAAATGCGGGAGACGGGACGGGAAGGTGGATCATTAAAGCTCATTCACTTGGATCCATATAGTTTGGGGGCAAATGGGCCAATAGATAGTTCCTATTTCCTAATTATCCCTGATGTTTTTCCCTTGCTTCTGGTCGTCGCTGTGAGTCACGAGCCAGAAATCTGGGAAGGCGTCGGCATCCAATATGACGTCTGACCGCCGACGTTGTGTTGATTCATTTTCGGTTGTGGCAGTCGAGTTACGTAAACGCCTTTTGGCGCCAGAATGTTGTTCCCCGGCGGGTGTTGATAAGGTGGTGTGATGCATGGACTTGTGCATCGACAGCAGGCCTGAGGTGGGTGTGCTGGATGGGAGGGAGGCGTTGCTGACGTGGTACCGCAGCGGGTGGAAGGGTCGCGGTGGAAATACGCCCTGTGGGAAAGACGAGTTCTTGCCGTCTGAGCACCACGTTGCCAGGCTCCTTGTTGTTGTGTAGATCTCCGACACCCTTCCCACCACCATGGAGTCACATTTATCCCCATAACGCCATTGCCCTCGCCCACACCGTCTAGTCATGGCGACGCCCATCGCCTACTCGCTCGCAGACCTCCCGCGGGAAGTCCTGAGCGTCATTGCGCTGGCCATCTATGACCCTTTGGAATTGTCCCAGCAAGACAGGCTGAGTTCGTGCACTTCTTCAGAGCTGTGGAGTCTGGCTGACGTTGGGCTTGCGTAGCATGGGGTATCTTTTCGACAGTGGACATGCACGAGGAAAGGCAGGAGAGTCTGCGAAGCTTGATCCACCTCGGCTTGACGTGTCGCAAGATACGCCGGGAGGTCAAGCCGCTTTTGTTTACCTGCGTGAGGGTGGGCACTGTGGAATGTGCGAAGGAGATGATTGAAAACTATGCGACGTGGGGGGTGTACGTGAGGTGAGTGCTCTTCTCTCTCTCCCCGGTCGCAGGCTGACCTTATCAGGAGTATCATCATCGACTGTTCAATGTTTGAGGTCCAGCAGAGCCACGAAGACTTTTATCCAGACCTGGAAGAGGCTCCCGTCAACCCTCGAACTTGCTGGGAAGAATCGGCTCTGCTGGTATCACTCTTGACCGCCCTGCCCAATCTCGAGCACATCTCCTTCTTCGCCGATGCCTCCGACGACACCACCCTCTCTCTCATGTTTGCCGCCCTCATCCCCTCCGCCCTGCCCAGTGCCAGTGGCGCCAATTCATTCTCATGGCAGTCCCTCGAGGATACAGACTCTACCGGCCATGTCCCCTTTGCACAACGAATCAAGTCGTTCGGCTGGCGCCAACGCGCCTCCCCTCCTCAGTTCTTCCATCAGTTCTCCCAGACATCCCCGTTCATCTCCATCCACCACTTTATCCGGCACGCTGTCAACTTGTCGTTTCTCGTGCTGGATACCAACACGTATGTCACTGCCGGTTCCGACATTCTCGCGGTGTTGCGCGAGCTTGCGGCGAGGCAAGTGCCGGCAGGTGGGAGGGAACGGTTGAGCTTGATGTTGTGTGGGCCTATAGACGGGTGGGAGGCGGATTTCCTGCATGATCTTGGGGATACGTATGATGATATCGGAGAGCTCTTCATCGATCGGCCTATGGAAGGCTCCATGATCCCAGTCAGCGGCGAAGAAGACGTCGGCGTGCTCGTAAGTCCCTCCCCCCCAACTCTTCCTGCCCTCATGCTAAGCCGCCCCTCAGCTCGACCTGCTCCAACCCCTCACAAGCTTACACCACCTCCACCTCCTCCAAGTCGGGTCCTACGCATTTGACACCCCGGCCCGTCTACGCTTCGCCACCGTGCTCTCTGTCAACCTCCCCTCCTTGCGGGTGATGGGGCTTCTAGGGTCAGATGGGGAGACGTTGTGGATGGTGGCGTGGCGGGAGAAGGGGTTGGAGCGGGCGATGAAGGCTGCGGCTGCTGGGGGTGGGGGTTTGACTTCGGGGGCGCCGTTGAGGGATTCGTGGGTGATGACTTTGCAAGATGGGGACCTCGCGGAGGTGGATCAATGGCCGGATACATGAGGATTCTTCTTTATACTGTTGGTGAATTGGCATGTGCATAGGAGAGGCGCATTGCGAGGATAGGGGCAATTTTGTACAAGTCGTATAATGGTACTTTCTCTTTCTCGTTGTTATATTGTGAGTGTCGCGGCTCGTGGGTGGCGTTGTTAGCGTTGACTCATACGCACACAGAGGTTGTCACCATAATGTATCTTCTTCTTGCTTCTTGGCTTGCTCCCTGCTTTTGATTGATGGCTATACTTCGACACACACCACATCTTTGTCTGTCGAATCAACTACCACTTGCCGGTCTACGAGATCTACGAGCAGACTGGAGGCATGAGCGCTCCTTGTCGATCTTCATCGACACTTTTGGACCACCCCTGCGGCCCGCGGCACAGTTGGATATATACAATAGCACCAGAAGTAACCATCACCGCCCGGGGAGTGTCTCGCAATTGATCCAGCTCAGGGCAGACGGCAAGTTGCAAGAGAACTGGGCGTGATGAGGCAGGACATCAGTACAGCAAGCTTCACACTGCTCAAAGCCACAGCCACACCGCTACAAGACCTCATGTCTCCCTCAACTTTATCGTGCTGCCCCCCACACCTCTGAGGTATGAACCCTGGCAAGCGGAGAGTCTGCAGCGGACAAGTCCCTTTCAACGTGGCCTACACACCTATGCGGCCTCTGCGGCCCCACGCTGGCTACGAGCTATGTTAATTGTAGGTCTGGCGCCCAAAGCGTTACTAGGTTCGTTTACCGGGTCTTACCATCATCAACCATCAGCCGCCAGTCGTACACCTCCATCCCCCAGTGCAGGCAGCTATATACCTGCTTCGCCAACAAGAGCAAAAGCGACGACGACAACACACCCCGACTCTGATCTTACTAACAGGGGCAGGAGGAAAACGCCACACGCATAGCGCATACGTACGTATGAAACTGGCTGTGTTTTACCTACCACGGGCCACGGTCAGGCAACGAGCAAGGCGCGTTTAATTCCCCGGAAGGAACCTAGGGACGGGGGGTGCTGTCGCAGCGAGATGGACAGTCGTGGATTCATCAAGGCCTTTTCCATCTACTGTGCGTAGTGAGAGCGGGGACTGGTATATAAAGAACATGATTTCTGACTTTCTCTCTAGCTTACGACATCCTTCATCGACTGCACGCCACAGCAAAGCAAGCAAACATCTGCTTTCAAAAGATATTAGGGCATCAAAACAGAAAGTGATGACCGCCACCGTACCGCTCCCAGACGCACCTTGGCCTGAGGGTACAGACCCCGCCGTCATCGCCAAATCTGAACTGCAATCGCAAGTACGCGATGCTACAGAGTGGGCGACAAATTCGGATCCTTCACAAGGGGGTTTTGTGCATATGGAACTGTATAGGCGTATTCAGGAATGGGTGAAGAACCCGTGAGTACTGATGTGGGCGTGATGTGCGACGGCTGATCGGGGTATAGAGATGCGTTGGAGATCATAGATGGAATCCTGCAGCAGAGGTTGACTATGGCCTTCCCGGCTAATCACAAGGTATGTCTTGTGTCGTCACGAGTCACAGCTGCTAACCTTCATTGAGGCTCTGTTCTTGACGCAGCTCATCCCACGAGATAGTCTCGCCCCATACGCACCCCTCCTCAAACCCCTCTCAGAGCCTCCACCAGACGCCGCGGGTGCCAACTTCAACTTTCTCATCACCACCCTCGCTGCCTCCCTCCACACTCTTGCCGACCTCGAAGCCAAGAACGTAGAGGCAAAGAAGAAGGCAGATGAAGAGGCAAAGAAGAAGGCGGAAGAAGATGCGTTGTGGGAGCGGACGGCGGAACTGTATGGGTGGGGAAGCAGGCCGGAGATGTGGTATGGTGGATATGCTGGAGGGTATGGACCTTATCCCATGCCTGGAGCTTATGCGCCCATACCACTCCCAGAAGCGGCGCCGCCGGAGCCACCCAAAAAGAAGGTGTCTTGGTTTCCGCCCATCTCTCAGGATGATTGGTGGGTGGGGAAAGGGGGACCGGATGCAAAGCCCGCTTGATAAGGATGCAAGAGAGGAGTCATCGTAGCGGATGCTGTCTGAACGATGTTGTTCATGTATGTTCAAGTATGTTCATGTGTATCTGAAATCACCACATCGTAAAGTTGTACATCCATGTAATACTGTATTATATTGCATCTCATACGTCCTCATTTCTCATTATAGACATGAAACCGTACTGTACATACTTCGGGATCCCTTCACATGTAAACGTTACCAACCCTCACTCGGAGCCGCCAACAGAAGCAAGCTAGTCCGAAATCTCAAGCCGGATGGCGTCATACCTGCAACACCATTGAGCATCTCCCTAGATATATAACGATGGATTACTCACATAACAGCCACAGAGTGGTCTCTGAAGTTGACGTCGCCCCCGCTGGCGTTGTAAGGAAGCTCAAGCTTGAAGACGTTGTTGGTGTTGTTGTTGAGCCAGTCTCCTGGGAAGGTAAACCTATCCGGGACACAATCAGCTGGAAGATCCCCGACCTCTCGATTGAAGAAACATACAGACGGCTCAAGGTATAGCAAGCGATGCCACTTCGGTCGGAGCAGCTGGAGCTCTGATTGTAGTTGATGGTCCAGACGAGCGGGTCGTTGTCGTTCACTCGTACGGTGTAGTCGACGTTGGAGTAGTTTGATGTCGGTTCTGGGATGTCCAAGTTTCCTGAAGCAGTCCTGGCACCGGCCTGTGAATGAAAAGTCAGTCGGAAAGTACACGACCATGGAGGAAACGTACGAGCTGGATCGTAAGAGCACTGCTCAATCATCAGCGTACTGCCCTAGACTTATGACGACGGCTACTCACGCGGTCTTTCCGGTCACATCCAGATCTCCGTCCGGAGCCCAGTTGACAGTCCAGACGTTCACGTTGTCCACCACATAGCCAGGACGCGTATAAGTTCCTCCGTAGATGCTGTAATGGACATAGTTCTGTAACAGTCTATCAGCAGCTTTCCCCGACAAGAGAAGTCGGCATGTGAGCGTACCCAGTCTTTGGCGGGGTCGCTTCTGCCAATAGTGTAGTTGACACCATTAGGGAAGTCTGTAGGGAAATCCCAAACACCCCAGTATTGACGATACTCTTCTTGATGCAACGAGTGGTTGTTGTCCTTGGCAAACCCGTGACGGAATTCTCCAGCAGTCTGTGAACGACCCATGAGCTGTGCTCTCACGAGACGACATGTATGCCACTCACCTTGTCCGGTACACCGATCCTCCAAAGTTCGGCTCCTGTATGTGTGTCAGCAAACCATACCCATATGTGGAAGAGTACCGCACCATTCGATTCGGCGTTCCACTCGATGAAGAACGGTGCTTCGTTTCCATCCCCAGCACTGACCACCACATCATCCTGCTCATATTGACCAAAGACGCCCTCGGCATAAACAGTCACTCGATAAGTCCCAGCTTTAACGCGTGGGATAGATACGGTGCCGTTGGATGACACGTTGGCCCAATACTGGCCAACAGCAACATTGACGGCGGTCGGCTGCGAGCTAGCGGAAGGGAATGAAGTGAAGGAGGAGGGAACTTACAGAAGTCGACGTTGTCTTGGAAGTCTACGCGATTTTGTGCTAGAACAACCTTGGCGTTTGTCGCATTGGTCGGGAGTTTGATCTGAGCGTTGAAGTCGCCTCGTTGTGACGACGGTGTGTAGCCAGGGATAAGGTCGGCGACGTCGTCGTAGAAGTCGGCAGCGAAGGACGAATTGCTTTACCGGATATTAGCATCCGGTCATGGAATCTGAGCAGGGGTTAATGATGCTCACCTGTAGCTTTTGGCGTCAGCGTACAGACTCTGAAGATCGCCGTCCTTGTTGAGGTAGAGGAAAGTGGGACCAAAGATCCTGTCGAAGCCGGATGTGATGTTCATGGTGGAAGCTCCTCGGTGGTTTGAAGCATAGTCTACAAGGCATCAGACATTGTATTCTCCGTTCTTTCATACGTATCAAATGAGAACGTACAGTTGTAGATGTTGGTGTCTACGACCAAATCAGACCTCAAAGGTCCGCCGGTATACCCCTCAAGGTTGTTGAACACTGTCCAAAGACCGAGTGTCGTGCCGTTGGTTGTGACGTTGGACGAGCTGTTGGAAGAGCTTCCATCCGCATAGAAACCGTGCGCAAAGTGGTCGCCTACACTCGACACGTTGATCAGCTCATGGTAATCACACATAAGGGTGGCGGTTGACGTACCATACAAGTCTGCCCATTCGTATTTCGTAAAGTAATCAGAGCTATACACGATCAGCATCTGTACAATCGTGCAGAATGCAAGAGAAGTCTAGCTCACCTCTCGGACTTGTATGGATTATTGTTACTGACGTTGAAGTACCAAGTAGCATCTTGCACAGTCCTATACCCGGCACATCAGTCCTTCGAATTCTCTGTGCAACAAGGAAGGATCAATGCTCACGTTTCGTTCGCCGTTGCTGCGGCGGAAGGTAGATGACCGTATTGAATCTCGTTCGTGACAAGGTGAGTCCAGATAGGGCTGTTCGGTGAGATCTGCAGGGCGTCAACCTCGTCATCCGCTTATTAGAAGACGCGTAGACTCACAACTTGACGAAACTCTTGAAGATTGCCAAGATTAACGCCTTCCGACCCGTTATCGAACTGCAGCCTGGTGAAGGTGTGGAACCCGGGTTCATCTTCGCGAAGGAACCACCATTGCTGGAATAGCTGTCCGGTGCTTTCGTACTAGACTTGCATCAGCCTTTCGCCCGTTGACTCTTGATCGAGAGCTCTTACAGTCTCACTCATGATAAGTCCGATCCACGGGGTGTTCGAAGTGTCGTTTCCCTGATGGACCTCGAACGTAGCATTCTGTGATTGTCCCACGTAGTCTTAATAACACCAAGTATCAGTACGCGCTCGGGCAGAGAATCTTTCTGTCTTACAGTGTCGAGAAGACTGTGGATTTGGGTTATCGGGCGACCATACAGAAGCGTTGACAGCAGGGATGCAGTAACAGTCGAAATAGCCCATGCCGACTCGGCCAGACACCGGACCGAGAACATCGATACCGTCGAATTCAAAGCCGGTGAGCGCTCCGAGTGTCTTGTTGACTCTACGCAAAGGGGCGTCAGCAGCAGCAAACGATAGATTTGGGAGAGGGCATACTCCAGTGTGAGCCTGGAAGAGGATAAAGCGATGGCTGAAGGTGAAGTGGCAAAATTAGCAAGTGGAATATCGTTGACAAAAGTGCGCACTATCGTTGCTCTCCGAGTAGCTGATCTCGGCTACAACTCTCTGAGCGGCGCTCAGTATCGCAAGCAACCCAAATTGCTTCCACATATCGTCTTGTTGATGGCTGAGTGCTACAAAAACTCGTCTTTGGTCTCTTTATATTCGATGCGTGTTTACATACCGGGCGGCCAAAAAGCATGGGTGTCCAAGCCCGCAGCCCAGATGTTGGGTCGTCACTCGTCACAAAAGTGCCTTAGCGGCGAGGCGCGGGCCGGGCCGTCAATGAGCTGCATGACGAATGTAGATCATATGAGGCTTTTGATGAAGAAGGAGGGGAAGAAGGAGGAGATCAAGTCAGGTGATGGGATGGAGGGGAGGGTGGACCATCTCGGTGGAGGCGCGCGGGTCAATGATCTTGCGGGCCATGGGCGGTGTTTGATTATTGGTTTTGGGTGGTGGATATCCGAGTCGGATGAAGGTTGAGCTCAAAGATATGCCGATGGATTAGTGTTTGAATATGACCCATTCGGCGAGTACAAATCAAAGCCAAGAGGACGTGACTTGATACACCAGCTCCAGGCACACTTGTATTTCTGCCGAGTGTTCGCCGAACGTGGGTTGTTGGTCCGCTCCATCGCATTCACCACGAAAGCTCCATGCATGAGCAGTACGACTATGGTCACAAGACATGCTTCTTATGCTGCTCGGTGTATTCATAGCAAGAGATTTCGGACGAGTGCATATGTCCACGCTGACTTTCGGAGCAAGATCAGCCCTAGCGTATCGGCGGGCCGAAGCGTCTCGAATGCCCGGTGCCGCCGTCCATGGAGCTGAGACTTGACAGAGGACTTCAGAGCAAGAAGAAGAACATGGCCCCTCTATCAACAAATCAGCTTCCACTCCCAAACATATGCAGAGTACACTCACAGATCAAGATCCTCATCTTTGAAACACGAAATCCAAGCTCACAACAGGCATACTCCTCACCCTTCTCAACCTCTTCGTCCTTCTCCACCTGACATCCTCTACACCTTTCTCCTTCCCGCTCTCAATGCTCTCAATGTATCCAACGCCCGATGGAGTGGCGCCTGGTACGACGCCCTCCGGGTCGTTCAGGGCGAAAGAACTCGTAGCGCGCTCTTCCGACTTTAACGTCTGCCCACTTTCTGATTCTGAAGAAGAAGAAGAGAGGGAGAAGCGGCTGATCATCCCCCCTTCCTTCCCCTTCTCATTCTCAGTACCATCCCCTCTCTCACTCGCGCCCTTCTGAGGGAAGACCCAAGCTTTCTTTGCCCACTGCGGGCGTACGGCAAAAGACGACAAACTCGACGTCCCTGAGCCTGAGGTACTCGTAATGGTCGATACACTCAACCCTGAAGCATGCCTGAGGAGAGGAGGGAGAGAAGGGCGGTGGATGAGAAATGAAGCTGTTCCAGGGGATCTGTGAGGTCTCTCCGGCGGTAGGCTGAACTCGTCATCGACATCGTCTTCGGCGGGGAGTGTCTTTTGAGAACCGGTATGTCTGCGGTGGGTGTTCTCATCCATCATCCGGGCGTTGAGAATATCAGCATGAGTGATGTCTACCCCTTGTTCGCCATCGCCACTTCTATCGTCGTTTGATCGCTTGCGTTGAGCGGGGAAGAAGAGGTGTTTGAATTTATCGCTCAATCGGCGCGCGTGTCCATACCCTTTGGCCTTGGGCGCCCCTGGTCGTATCCCTACCCCTAGACCTTGACCTGGACCTGGCACTGGCGCGGGGTGAGAAGAACGACTAGCGCTGAGGGGCGAGTCGTCCCCTAGGACGATGAAGGCTTCACGATGAAGCGATGCTTTCCTCCCATGCCCCAGCCCCAACCCCAGCTTTTGCTGACGGACGTCCACAAAGCCTTGGGAGGGTAAACATAGCGGGGCTGTCTGACAATGCCTCACAGAGTGGCGGAGAGGAGGCAGATGATGTGGGTGCTCGAACCGAGCGGGAAGGGATGTTTGGATACGGAGGGACGGTCGATGGGATGGTTCTGGATTGGGTAGAGAGCCTGAGGATGGAACCTCGGAACGAGGGTGTGAGGGACAGTGGGTGATGGGGAATGAGGGGACGATGGGGGTGGCAAATGGATGTCCAGGAGGGATGTAGTCGTCTGGTATCATGATGAGAGCGAATAAAGTGACCAGCACTTGTTATGGGATTGATGGTAGCCACTGGCAATACGTTGTCGAGACTGCTTTGTCGGGCATAGATGGTGTTTATAACAAAGACTCTGAGGTCAAGATACTATGAACACTTGGTCAGCTTTTAGTAGGCATATAGGCAAGTAGCAGAACATACCGGTCCACTTTTTGCCGCCACATTTCCTTTGACTTCCTTTGCGTCTCAGCGCATATCCCAGAAGTATATCATTGCTGATACACTCACCCCCGAGTATATCGCTCTCTGGAAGTTTCGTAAAGGTGAAAGTCCCCACGAGCTGATTGCTTGTTCGTGCAGCGCATCCTGGGACGATCGGTAGAGCCTTGCCGAGGGTGGGACGATCAGTAGTCGACCCATTCAGGCCGCCACGCCCTGTCGTAGTCAACCTTCTTTGGTTGGAAAGCGGCAATAAACTGACAAACCAGTCAGCAATGTCGCTTCAACGCTTGAGGAAGTGCACACCTCCATGCCAATATCCCCCAAACCAACACCCTCCGCCCCGCCCGCAGGTCCAGCGAACATATCCCCTTCCGCAAACAGCCCCGTCAAGCTCCAAGACTGGAACCTGCGTAGCAGTGCACAGATGAGGGTACAGCTCCCCTTCCCCGTATCATCATGCACCAAAAGCGGGTGATTTCTCTTATCCAACAACACCCTCAACAACCCTCCCAGCCTCTCTTGCCCCTCTGTCGTAAAGAGGTCGGATTCTTTGCTAAAGTCGAATCGATACAGGGTCAAGTTTTGCGATTCGACAAAGTCGAGAGAGTCTTGGCGGTATGGATCGCTGCCTTCGAGGTAGATGATGCCCTTGAGGTTGAGGCGTTTGAGGAAAGCAAAGTTCTTGCGGTTGGGATGGCCTGAGCGGTAGATGCCCCGGGCGACGAGGGAGAAGTTGATGGGCGGGACGACAACGGAGGGGGGTTCGTCCGTCATGCTGGGGTGGGATATGGCGGGGATAAGTACAGTTGGAATAAACGAGATGGCTCTGTGAATACAAGTATGCAGTTCAGTCACAGACCATCCATCTCTTTGTCCATCTACCTCGGTACTGAAATGAGGACAAGCCACAAACACTACTTCATCTACAAGGGACTGTGTTGCAGTGGTAGCATTCAAGACTTCGAGGTCTTAAAAACTGGAGTTTCATCTTGCGGTCACGGGTTCGAATCCTGTCGGTCCTTTTTTGCTTTTTTTTGTTGCCCTCCCTCTTCTTGCATAGCCTAGGGTATATCATGTGTATGTATGTGTCAGTGCATCCACACTCTTTTGATCTCTGAAAAACTACAGCTCCAACTTCCGAGACACCAATCTCCTTGAACATAAAGTATTTTGACTTCTGAGATTCGCGTCGACGCGACGCGTTTGATCAAGTCTTCGATATTGATTCTCCATCAGACAAATTCAATAATCGACACTCCCCTCCCTTCATCTTTTGTCGCCATGTCCGAGAATGAGGAAACTACTGAAGCCCTTCGGGCTGAGATGGCTGCCTTGCAAGCGAGGCTGGACGCTAAATTGGCCAAGAAGGAGAAGGAGCGGCGGATCCGCAAGGCCGAAGATGCCAAAGTCCTCGTCCAGGACACTCCCACCAAAGCGAGCAGCAGAGGTAAGTCGCTCTTGCCGTTACTGCAGTATCAAGCAGCTTATGTCTGTCTAGAGGAGAAGCGCCAAAGATCATACTCGCCACCAGCAGCTCAGCCAAAATTCATCTCCAAGAAGCCCGCGCTTGGGTCAGAACACGGTTCACGAGCATCGACGCCAACCCCTGCGCCTCCCGCGGAACCTGCCAAATCGTCTATGGCTTCTCGTCTTGCTGGGATGCACAGGGAGGGGTCTTCAGGGTCTTCAAGATCTTCAAGAGCAGGGTCAGCAGTCCCCCGTGTCCAACCACCGCCTGCGAGGCCTTCCACCTCGAGAGAAAGATATCCCGCCCCCGCTCCCGCGCTTGTTCCTTCTTCCAGCTCGAATCAAAGCAAAGCCGCAGCCAAACGGAGGACAGATGACCTCGAAGCAGCCTTGGCGCGAGACAAATATGGAAAGAAGCCCGTCCAGAAGCTACCGTCTCTCCTTGCTCGCAAAGGTATCTCGTCTGCTGCCCCGCCCGGCCGATCATCACATGAAAGCACCAGCGCTTCCTCGAAACCCTCTTCTTCCAAAAGAGTGAATCCTGCTCCGTACCCGACAGCAGCTTCTTCTCGAGCTCGAGCCGAACGCGAAAGGAGCGACTCTTTGGAGGTCGAGGACAAGAAAGAGTCGTACCGACGAGACGACGTGGATAGCACGCTCATAGAAGAGCTGGAGAGGGGACCGAAAGAGTTCGGGAGGGATCCGGAAGGGGATGATGAGTGGGCGTCTGTGGAGCCCAATTCGGGTATCAGATTAAGGTATCGTCTCTCGCGCAATATAGTATGTGCACTGCTGATTGGGCTATACGTAGAAAACGAACAACGCCACACAAAGAAGTCCAAGAATTCCTTACAGGCCGATACTACCTTCCCCCTTCCAAGATATACTCTGTCGCCCGCCTGAGCCGAGACGGTACCTCCTACGACGTCCCCGTGGACGACGAGTGGTTGACCATCGCCGTCGTCGCGCAGAGGGGTCCGATCAGAGTCAGCGGTACGAAAGTCAAGACGGAAAAGAATAGCGATGATGAGAACGACGAGGGTGAGGATAAGGATGAGAGCGATGAGGAGGAGTCGGAAGATGATGAAGATGATGGGGAGCAGGTGGCCGATATCAAGCCGTTCATCGGGACGGATGGTAAAGCGTGGAAGCCGAAACCGAAGAAGAAGGCCAAGAAGTCGAAAGAGGGTAGTGAAGACGACTGGAAGAAGAAACGTGGGCCTCGCAAGTACATCAACCTCACCTTGTGCGCCATGCCTCGCCGCAAATACGGATCTACCACTTCCACTGGCGATGTCCTGCTTCACATGCTTTTGTTCGAAGCGGACCACGTTGTGGCGATGGAAGATGGGGAGGGCGGGACCTACAAGTCGTATAGAGGAGGATCGGGGGGGGCGTACGAAAAGTGGTGCAACATTGCAGAGGGGAGTGTGATCGCCATCTTGAATCCACGGGTGTGGCGGAATTTGAGGGTGAGTGCAGCTACGTGACAGGGAGCGAAGCTGATATGAGACAGGGTGGATCGCACAAACCTCATCCAATGGAATCGCCTCTCGGCTTGAACCCTTTCTCGGACGACGATATCATGCTCATCGGCCAATCGAGAGACCTTGGACACTGTTCTGCTATCCAAAGAGACGGGAACAGGTGTAGATCCTGGGTCGATACGTAAGTATATCCATAAGCTCTAGAACGGCGCTGACTTCTTGAAAGCCGTCTGAATGCTGTATGCGAGTACCATCTCCATGCCGCCGTGAAACGAGGCAAAGCCGGCCGAGGAGAATTCACAGCTAGGTACTTGTCTGTCCATATCGCTCACCGTATCACTAACATCTCCCCAGCACCAACGCTTTCCACCTCACCCACTCTAAATCCCAAGTCGGTAACACTCCAACCAAACACCGAAAAGGCCTTTTACCAGCCAACGGCCGGATCGCTACTCCGCGAGGGGAAGCCAATGGCGGCGGCGGCGCTACCTACGTCGTTGGAGGGGGCGTTATTCATACAGGAGGGCCTCCGGGGGATGAGAATGTTGCTGATCGATTAGGCCGGGGTCGGGCAGGGAAGAGGAGGAGAAAGGTGGAGCAGCAAGAGGCGGAGAGGGATTTGCAAAAGCTTTTTGAGAGGGAGAAAGCTATGGGCGGAGGGGGGACGACTGGGGGACGGTATCTGAGCGTCATCAAGCGTTATGAAGGAAAGACGAAAGAGAAGGATGGCAAGGATAAGGAAGATGAGGATCAGGAGGATCAGGAGGATCAGGAGGAGAAGAAAACGAGGGTGTTCTCGGCGGAGGCTATCAAGAAGATTGGATTTGATCCTTCAGCTCGGGCGGGGCAGCTTACCAAGGAAGAAGATCGAGAGAGAGTGAGCCACTCGTGTACTTCCTGTTCTTATTTCTGTACTGATACCGTTTCAGATCGAAGCTATAGCGATTCTGGAAGGGCTGAGTGCTAAGGGTAAACGCGACTTTACCACAAAGAGGAAGAGAGAGGATAGTGCTGTCCCACAGCCAACCAACAGTCCACCATCGGCGCCTGCGAAGCCTGTGGCCCCGCCCCAGGACGACGATATGATCGATCTTGACGATTAGCCTTGTTGTACTTGTACATTTATGAATTTGTGCATAGTGTGCTATTAGAAACGATATATGCTGCATAGAAGGACGCCAATACATCCAACAGACAAACAAGTAAAGAGATACCTGCCAACAGCCTGAAATAACAAACGGCCGATAATATATTGAGTTAGAGAAGTACGAGAATAGAGACCGTTTGAATGTCCTTCTACAAAGATAATCCGTCCATGAGAAGAATATGAATCAGAACACCTTGTATTCGAAAGAGCCCAGTAGAAAATGGAGACAGTATCACCAGGGTACCATATTGCTGAGCGGCAGGCGCGAGACTCTCCCTGCGACTGCTCTGATGACTCGCTGTCCTCTCGCTGCAAGGCCTGTCCGCTTGGCGCAGCACCGCCGCCAGCAAGAGGTCCGAGACAAGAAACGGGTACAGCACCCTTATTGTGCTGAACGTCTACCTAGTCAGGCATGCGGAAATGTCGTGTCCGGGTGAAAACTGGTGTCGTGTCCCGATAAGGACTCGTCACTTGAGCTTATCGGTCGCATCAGCTGAGGTCGGCAACAATTCGCACGAGCGCTTACACATCTGAAGCTCATCGCTTGACCTTGCCGTCATCAGCGACCTTAGCAATCCACCAGAAGTGCTGTGTCTCCGAGACCCGTTTGGATACGATGCAAGTACTCATCTACAATGCATGATATGAAGATTGATTTGAAGCGCTATAAATACCCTATGTACATTTGATTGCTGTCATCACCTGTTTCAGCAGACCGAGAACCTCTTCTTCGTGTTGCCGACGCCCGATAATCTGCAGGGAGACAGGCGCATTCTCATATCGTTGGGGACTGTAGCTGGCTGCGTGTATCGCGTCGAGTTCACTGAGAGGTTCGCCGGTCGATATCGGCACCGCATCGCGGACTGGGTCGACCTTGGTCACTGGGAAAACGGCTGCGACGTTGTCGAGGAAGTTCCATATAGCGGTGTAGCCAACATATGTGTTCTCTCCATGTGGAGGTGCTGCGTAAGGAGCAATAGGAGAGATGATGGCGTCTATCGGTCGACCAGTGCTCGTGCGAGCTGAAGTAGCGTTCCAGTGATCAAGGTGTCGCTTTCGGTATGCCAACTTGCGCTTGTTCACCTATCGACAAATCAGCGAGTTAATATACAGGCTCATGCGCCGACTCACCTGCCATTCCTCGTACGTCGATATCATCTCCGATGCCTTGTGTAGGCTCGGCAGCTTTGGCTCGCCCGACAACTCCAACGCGGTGCGGACATCGTGTCCTCCGTCACTCGTGACAAGGGAATACGCGATCTGGCCTGCGTATGTATAGTCGCACGGTACCCAGTCGATCACTAGACTCGATCGTTAGCGGCAATTCTGAAATAGCACAACGTTCGCGGAGACGCACCTTCATGCCCGGCAGCTCGAAGTTTCCGCACTGTCTCCTCCAAAGCGCGCCGGATGGGTGGATTAGGCTTGACAACCCCATCATTCCACATGACAGCAAACGCCTTTGGACCGGTACTCGCACTGGCGAATTTCAACTCCTTCCACGGCATATCTAGGACCTCTGGATCGAGCAGACTAGGGGTTGCGTCTACTACAGCTTTAGTGAAGTTGACGAGGCCGGAGAAGCTAGTGCTGATTGGCCCAGCAACGGAAGGTAGAGTTTCGAAGCCTGAGTCAAGAGTTCAGTATAACTTCAGCAGCTGCTTGAAACGCGCGCTACTCACCGAGAAGAGAGTTCTTCGCGCCGTAATAAGGGATGCGGTGGAATGATGGTCTCAAGCCGTATAGACCTTGGAAACCAGCTGGTACTCGGATCTGCGAATCTTTGATCAGTAATCAAGTTCTGGGTCCGTGAGAGCTTAACATACCGAGCCTCCAAGATCCGTCCCCACGCCTATCACTTGCGGATGAGCTCGCGGACATATCGAGTTTATCAAGTTTTACGCACCGACGCATGATCCACGTATACCAACAAGAGCGCCTTCTCCTCCGGAACTTCCGCCGCATGTTAATGCCCGGTTGAACGGGTTATCTGTTCGACCATAGATGTTGTTCTCGGCTATAGAACATGGGTTAGCCAAAACCCCCATATTCTGAAAGACCTGAGTGACGCACTCTCCACTCGGTGCATGCTCTGCGGCAAATTGGTCGATACGAAAGGAATCGCGCCTTGTTGGTACAGTATTTGAACGAGCACGCTGTCTTCCTCGTTGCGCTGGTCGAGCCAGTGAACATAGCCGCACGCCGTTTCATGGCCCTTCAAGCAGAACTGATCTTTCATGGAGATGGGCAGGCCATGGAGGGGACCAACTGTTCGGCCAGTTGTAGCCAGTATATTGTCGAGCTCGTCGGCCCGCGCTAGTGCCGACTCAAAAAAGACCTCATTAAGGCAGTTGACCTACTACCATCAGCTCTGAGACACACTTTTTGCTCGACTCACCAGCTGATGCGCCATAGTAGCTCTCTTGCAAAACGCTACCATCACCTGCTTGGCCGTCCAGACACCCCTGGCGATATTACTGAGCAGCCTGTCGCAGTCATCAAGCTCAGTGATCTCTGTTTCCAGGGCGGAAAGGTGCAACTTGGGGATTTCTGTGACATCGGTAGTGAAGCGATCGGGGAGTTGATGAGCTGGGATGATATAATCCTTGGGGAACAACGCGTTACGGCGTTGGAGTTTGCGCTCTACGGCGAGCTTCCAGTTATCGATGGTCATAGTCGAAGTCGGTATATGCTGTTGAGATGATTGTAGGATGCCGTGGATATCAACAAAATGGACGAGAGATGAAAGCTTCACGTCTGTTTATAGGGGTTTGCGTGACGCTTGGGCTCGCCGTGACCCCAAGCATCTGATTCGGTCGGTTCAGCTCATCTTCGACCAAGGCTCTGCGTGATCGGACAGACCGAAGCGCCGAAGACAATCTCAGACCGAGACCGAGCGAGCCAATGAGAGATGCAGCTTCGGATAGCGAGACCGATATCTTCCCCCTTACAATGTATTTCCCTGACAGTTCCAGGCATGAAACTATGCATCCTTCACCGTTAACTCGATTCGACAACCATAGATCGGGTTAGCTCACCGCTGCTGCTTCTTTCCCAGCGATGCACTGTCACCATACAGTCTCGGATCAATCGGGATACGGTCAGTCCTAATCTGTGACTGCCCCGATCGCATCGCACCTTGGCCTCTATAATTCGCCTTGCGGTCTCGGATCGACGAGACCGAGAACCAAACCAAATCAACCAGTTTGATATTCATCGACACCGACATTCTTTATCTGCACTGGACGATATGTTCGAGCATCGCCGACGACCATGTATATATACCTGCTAGCTCCTCTGTGAGTGAATCGCATCGCACCACTACACTCCACCGCTTTCGCCGCAATTGAAATGTTGCATAAATACTTGAGCAAGATCTTCGCTCCCGGTATTGGGATGCGAATCCTACCTTATGTTTGCTTCAACCTTGCCATCGTTGCCAACGGTATTAACAACGGTATCATTAACTCGATCCAGGCATCCGAGCAATGGCAAACCTTCTTCGAGTTGTGCGTAAAGATGCATCTCGAGCTTGGCGGTGACTGACTTGCGCTCTTTCTACAGCCCTTCGGGATCTACGTTAGGTATCCTCAACTCGATTAGTATCCTGGGCATGGTTCTAGGAAACGTACGTTTGACCCATTGAGATTCTGGAAGAATCTTACTGATCCATCTGAGTAGGTCATCGCACCGTGGACCGCTAACGACCGTTTTGGCCGAAGAATCTGCACAGCTATCGGCTGCTGCATGCTTATCCTTGCCACTGGTCTGCAAGCTGGTGCCAAGAACATTGGAATGTACCTTGCTGCGTGAGCGATGTGTAATGTAGTGATGAGGTGGAGTACTGACTAACATGTTATCAGTCGTTTCATCTTGGGTCTCGGTTCAATCTACGTGCATCAGGCCGCTCCTGCCTTTTTGTCCGAGTTCGCCGCTCCTTCGGAACGTACCGCCATCCTCGGTCTTTACTTGCCCAACATGTATCTCGGTAACGTTGTCATCGGTTGGGTCTGCTACTCGACCGTTACCTGGAGCAGCAACTGGTCGTGGCAAGTTCCCTCGATGGTACAAGCGATCCCTCCACTGCTTCAGCTGGCTCTCTTGCCCTTTGTCCCCGAATCGCCTCGTTGGTTGGTCGTCCACGGCCAGACTGAGAAGGCCAGGGAAGTCCTCATTAAATACCACGGTCAAGGCGAAGAGACCGAGGTGGTTGCCTGCACATTGCAGGAAATCATTGACAGCGTGGAGGACGAAAAGACTGGTCACAGGTCTGGTGGATGGCTCGACCTGGTCCGAACCAAGGACATGCGTATCCGTACCGTCATCGCTGCTTTGGTTGGAATCGCATCTCAGTGGAGTGGCAACGGTGTAAGCAGGAATCGCTCCACCAATCGCAGATTCATTCTTGACGCTTCCTAAACAGATCATCACCTACTATCTGACTACTGTCCTCAAGAGTGCTGGAATCAGTGAGTTCTTCGCCCGTCATACTGTCTGTCAATCTGACTGATCCCTCTTTATAGCTTCTCCCAAGACTCAAACCATGTTCACCGCCTTCCTCAACTTGTACACCTATCTCTTCGCCACCGGCCTTGCGCCCCTCACCTCGGTAGGTCAAGCCCATAGTTCTTACTGTTACTTGTCGCTGACATGTACATCAAAGCTCTTCGGCCGTCGTCCCATCTTCATGACCGCGCTCATCAGCATGCTGCTCATCTGGGTCACTTTTACTGGATTGTCAGCTGGTTACATACAGACCGGCCACAAGGCCATGGCTTCCGGTGTCTTGGGCATGCTTTTCCTTTACCAAACCGCTTACGGCGCTGTCTGGGTCACCCTCTTCATGTTCCCCGTCGAGTTATTCCCTTCCGCCCTCCGTGCCCGGGGTCTGGCTGCTCAGAACAGTATTGACGTGAGTCTGCTGTGGCTACATTTCTGTGGCGAACATTGACTTGCATATAGTACCTCGGTCTTTTCTTGAACGTCTACGTCAACCCGATGGCTATGGATGCCATCAAGTGGAAGTAGTAAGTCGAACGTACTCTTAATCGCTTTGATCTTAATCGGTATCGGTGGAGCTGACTTTTCCTCCAGCTACCTCGTCTACGTCCCCGTCATCGTCGTCCAGATGGTGGTCGTCTACTTCCTCTTCCCCGAGACTGCTGGCTACCCTCTTGAAGGTGAATTTCGGTCTCGTGATAGTGCACGTTTACAAATTAAACTCACATACTTCAGTTGTCGAGCAATATTTCATCGACCACCCTCGCTGGTTTTCGGGGCCCAAATCTAAGAAACTCATGGCCGAGACCGCTGCTCGACACGGTGCACGACTCACTGAGCTGTCAGGTGCTGCTGTTGCGAACTTCCACGACGTTGAGACACCGGAAGCCCCTTCACGAGATGAGTCATTCAGTGGAGAGAAGAATGTTACGAGGGTTCAAACTGTACCTACGTTGAGCGATTAGTGTGGAGTTAATGTTGTAGATCTCTTTAAGGCCTTGCTTGATAGTATATAAGCTTCTCGATAGAATGGATAAGTGCTTTGTAGTCATCAGGAATCATGATGCAATCTCGAGAGGCGCATGATTGCATCGATAGTGTCGGTCAACACCATCTGTGGTACAAGGTGGTGCTGCACGCTACAGTAGTTTCACCTGAGCTGTTTCGACTAGCCACTCAAGCTATAGACCTACTGTAAGTTCAAACGGGTGATTACACAGCTTTTCGGGTCCACAAGATGATTGTCGTGCATTGAAATGAAAGCTTGCCGAAGACTGATATACAGTCTTTAGCGCTTCACACCTGGTAAGATGAAGAAGCAGACGTGTACACCAGCTATGGAAGAAAGTACCCCCAACGATTTCCTCGAGAGATACCCTGCCACTGTGACCTGTGTCAACTTTCTGCGGTCTTTGATGATGAGTGCGACTTCCGTTGGACGCCGTATCTGGCCTTATTTTGTCGGCTCAATTGATTAGATGTATTCTGCATTGTTCTCACCACTGCTCGAGAACACAGAACGTGATTTGCGCGACAACTGAATGGGCGGCTCCCCCAGGATGCATGTTGGATTCCACAGACGTAGCACAATTACATCGTAATGCCGGTATATTCAATCAACAGCTCCCTCAGAGAGTTTGCGCTATCAATGGCTGAAGGCCACACCTTGCCCGCTCTATTCAGAAAACTGATGGTGTCCTTGGTGTTTGCTAAACCAGTGTTACTGCGAGCCTGCTGCTCTTGATCGGATCCCCGGCGATCGACGCCGGCAGCAAGCAGAATCCATACTGAGGCAGCGCAGAAAATGGCGCTGCGCGACCATTCAGCTCATCGTGGCTGTTGATAGTGTGAAGAATAGATATACTCACTAGTAGAATGCTGAACAATTTCGCGCTTCGCCGTATACCGCCGAGAGTCGCATGAGCCATAGGATGTCGGACGCTGCTGTCACGCAGCGATCCATAGAAAGATCCGAACTTGCATGGTCACCAAGAGAGATAAAGAATGGACGGTGTAGGATGATTGTATGCACGCAAATGAATGCCCAGTGTGCGACAACGCTGACATGTATGTCAGCATGTCGTAATTCCAAATAAAGCTTACTGTGGTACTGGATTGCTCGCAAAACCATCTGGCTTGAGCTGCTGAGGTAACGCAGCGCACCTTCACATCAAATCAGCTGGAGCATTTTGTGATTGATCAGTAGATGCGATACGCACCAGGTGACCAATTCCTGATCGAGCTTGACAAGATATTGACGACGGTCATCCGCACGATTGTATATTTGTGATACGATTCTGCCCGCAATTTTCGATAGCCGGCAATGATACTTGAATGCGAGATCAACCAAGCTGATGGGGTCAACTTGCAACGAGCTGCCTTTGAAGGGAATCTCGATGTGCTGTACTGGTCCTGGCCAATGGTGGACTCTGCCAAAAACGCAGAAATGCCAGGAGCTGACTACACTGAGAACCCAATATGTCATTTGGCGATAGCGTTCCAGTCGCCGATCGGAATCACTCATTGTGACGACATGATCTGAGACCCGCTGGTCCAACAAAACTATTTGCAAGTATCAAATCAGCTAAGCGCTTACTATAATTATAAAATGACCCACATTCTTCCGCCATAACTACAGCGATGCCTGCACAATCAACGATCAGAGTAGAAGCTGGTTATACGGCTACGTGTGCATACCCTGATATGTGAAAGCGAGATGACTGTTTTTTTTTAGCTCCTATCGCCTTCAAAAACACTCACTCTTGGCGCATGTTGCCAACATAGATTGCCAGCAGTGCAAACGCAGGTATCGAGCTGAGACATGGCGCTTCCATCTCGGCGGCAACTAGAGCTTTCGCAGCAGATATAAAAATGTCGCCCCGGTTCTCATATGTCCCATCTATGCTAAGTGATGGTTGCAGGTCGTCAATATACCGGCAGCCGTGACCTAGTATTATAAGGTGTAGGAAACGGGAGTAGGAGGGCGTTCGAGAGTTGTGATTCTCTTCGAGGTCTGCTCGGAATAACGTTTGGTCGACAATCCTGCCTGCGCTACCTGATTAACTACAGGCCGATATTTGCCGAGCATTGATGGAACCCACCGAATTCGAGCTGCGATTGGAAAGCGAGGTTGATGAGCCGATCGTGCATACTGGGAGACAGAGTGACCGGTAGATGCGGGGGGAAAAGGTATGACAGAGTCGGCGGATGAGCTTGTGGGAGGTTCTCCATAGCGCGCTTCTTCATGAACCAGAAGAATGTCGAGCTGGATCCAGCATGCACAAGGTTCCCTTCAGCATTCAAGCTCATACTCCCCGTCGCCATGATGATAGGCCGTGACTCATCGGGCTCCTCCCTCACTCCTTGTGGGTCTACACTGATAGAACTCCTACGGGAAGCATCGAGTTGGCTCTCTAGGTCGGCAACGCGTTGGCGTAAGTTTTGAATCTGGTCCTTCAATGGCCGCCTATATCGGTCAGCTCAAGTGTCAGATAGCGGACGTACCGAGCGCGCTCTGTAGCGTATTCGCAATCTTGGCCGTCCTTTACGCATCGTTGGCAGGCCGGCAGCTTCCCATCACATCGCACTTTACGCGAGCGGCATCTGTAGGCCTCGAGTCCGTTAGGTATTCGGCCATATAGCATCGTCCGAATGGCTCACAAGCTGCAGGCAAGTCCGACATTGCTCGCACGACTGAGATGTTCAGCACAGCGAATTAGCGGTTAGGCACACATGAACTGGTGCAAAGACTCGCCTGGTGGCATGTGCTCTTCGCTGTGGTGGAGACATGCTGTTGCTGAAGGTGGACATGGTCCTGTCTCACTGGTACGCTGCAGTGGTGCAAGCGAAGTAGTCTCGATGATGGTCGACAACAGCAAACAACGGGCGCGCGGCGGGACTTGTTGTCTCGCACTCAGTTATGTCAGGGTGTGGCCGACCAGCGGCGAGACCCGTAACGCAAAAAAGTACATGGTATGCACCTTATCTTTTCCAAGACCGAGCCTATAGTAAGCTAGGTAGACGTCCGGCAGTGGCAACGCAAGGATCTGTACAGACTGTTTTGTACATGAACGTGCTCGACGAACATGTACGTACGGTGACTCGATACGTAGACCCGCGCAGTTCCGACTCTTCGGACTGACATTGTCATTTAATCAATACCTTTCATGACGCCTGGATTTTCCATCCATCGCCTAATCGCTCATTCTCATTACCATTTCCTCCCTAGATAGTGACTCTGCCTTCGCTGAATGCGTTAGTTGCAAGTCACCCTCTCTTGCGCCGACCCCCTCTGTATTTTCCGACCTGGACATCGATGTCCGTGTTTTGTCGGTGTTTGTCCGCCTCCTCGTACCAATACATCCAACAGACTAATAGATAAAGAGATATGATATCTGCCAACAGCCTGAAATAACAAACCACCGATAACATATGGAGTTAGAGAAGTACGAGGATAGAGTACTCTACCTTTTGAATGTCCTTCTACAAAATAAAAAATCCGTCAATGAGAAGATTATGAATAAGAACACCTTGTATTCGAAAGAGTCCAGTAGAAAATGGAGACAGTATCATATCACCAGGATACCTTATGGCTGAGCGGCAGGCGCGAGACTCTCCCTGCGAGTGCTCTGATGACTCGCTGTCCTCTGCAAGGCCTGTCCGCTTGGCGCAGCACCGCCGCCAGCAAGAGGTCCGAGACAAGAAACGGGTACAGCACCCTTATTGTGCTGTTCGTCCTCACAGAGCGTCCAGTCGTCGTCGTAGATGTCGTGCAGGAAAAGTTTCTGGCCGGGCGTGATAGCTACAAAAGACGATTAGTACGTGTTTCAATGTAATGAGGAGATGACTGACCGAGCTCATCGTCGAGAGAACGGACAAAGCCAACTTTGACGGCGACCCAAGAGTTGGGCGCAACGTTCCTCGCAGGCGCGCCGGCAGCGGGTGCACCAGAAGGAGACCCGTGGGCGGCAGCAGCCCCCACACCAGCTACACCCGCCGCCCCAGCACCCGCAGCAGCAGCCCCATACCCAGACCCTGCGCCTTGATGAGGATAAACCTGTCCGGGCTGCATCTGCGTACCAGGCGGGTAACTCGGCGCCAACCCAGGGACGGCCTGGAACGAATTTCGGTAGCTGTTGCTGTAGCTCGTCTGGGGGTTGTGTCGCTCCATGTAAGACAAGGGAGTGGAGGATTCGGCGGGGACGGCGGCATAGGTGTCGGTGGTGGGGTAAGAGACGGATTGGGGGTTTTGAGCGTTCGCTTCGGACATGGCGAAAGATTCGGAGGGAGGGTCGTACTGCTGCTGTTGCAAAGTCAGCTCGGGTACCCCTCGGCCGGAGAATCAACTCACTTGGGGTTTCTCGTAGCTCTCAGCAGGAGCTTCGGCACCGGCAGGCCAGTCAAACATCGAGCTCCTCCTCTTCATCCTGTCATTCCTTCGCTTCTGCCTCACGAATCGAGTGGCCAAAAGGAACAGCAAAGCAACACCGACCACACATCCAATGACAATACCAACAATCTGCCAAGCCAATTAGCAATCCGCCCATCATACGCCAAGATCGTTTTCACTTACGGCCCCGGTGCTGAGGCTGGAGCCGCTGGAACTGCTACCGGAGTTGGCGTTACCGAGCCCGGCAGTCGCGCTGGAGGTCGCAGAACTGCTTGAAGTGGTTGCCAGAGTGCTGGAGGCGTCTGTCGAAGTGGCCGAATCGGTTTCGGAAGAAGAGGTAGAAGTATGCCTGCTTCTGGTGCTCGAAGTTCGAGAAGAAGTGGTAGAAGTTCGCGCAGAAGAGGTACGAGACGAGCTGGACGAGCTGGTTCGCGAGCTGGTAGCGGAGGAGGAGACCGCACTCGAGCTTCGAGAGGAAGTCACAGCAGAAGAACGCGCAGCAGAAGAGGAAGTGCTCGACGAGACTCGGCCTGGTAAAACATCACGTTAGCTCGGTCTGGTAATGAAAGTATAACGTAACTCACCGCTTGATACAGAAGACGTTGCGCGACCGGATGTAGCAGAGGATGAGGCGGTGCTTGTCCTCGCGGTGCTGGTCCTTGCAGTACTGGTCGACACGGCAGCGGATGTCCCGCTCCTCGTCGAAGAGGTGCCGGTGGTGGATGTGCGTTCGGCCATGGTAGTATCTAAAGCGCCCGCGTCGTCGATGGCAGTAGCTGTAGAATCTGTATTGGGATCGACAATAGTATCAGAATCAGATCCAGAATCGGCGCCGCCGAAAACATCGTCCAATAGTCCAGACATGGCGAAAAAGGCGACGGAGAATCAGTTGTCAAGCCGGAGTGGTCGTGAGGGACGCGAGCGGGGATATGTCGCAGGTAGACGGGGAGAAGCGCATGATTGAAAGAGAAGGAGGAAACAAGATGTCAGCGAGGAGCACGAAATGCGGCCACGTCGCCTGACTGACCAGGGATGAAAGGATCTGATCTGAAAGCCGGACAGTGGAATAAAAGGATGCCTTCGGCTTGAGTGATCAAGGGACGGTGTGTATCGCCGGGCGCCGGGTGTGCTGCCAAGGGAGGAGGGAGGCAGGGAAGACGGGTCGGGGGATGGCCACGAAGGTCGACAAGGAGATCTTTTCGAGTGCGGGGTCTTGTAAACACAGATGTCAGATGTATACTGTAGGTGACCCCAGTTCTGGATCCTCTGGGGTGAAGCGGGGTTTCCCGCGATGACCCTGAAAGTGACACAGCACAAACAAAATTTAGAGTTGCCGTTAGTTCGGCGACGAGGTTTTTTGAGAGCAGCAGAGCGTCAAGAGAGGCGACGCATGCCTGGGTGATGTGCATATGTATGCTGCTTGAAAGATGTGACATCCGGAAGGCGAGCCGAGTGCGGGAGCCTGAAGAAAGAAAGGGGGACCAACAAAAAGAGCAAAAAACAAGGACCGACAGGATTCGAACCCGTGACCGCAAGATGAAACTCCAGTTTTTAAGACCTCGAAGTCTTGAATGCTACCACTGCAACACAGTCCCTTGTAGATGAAAGTCTTGAATTGCTCTTCGCCCGGTCCGACCTCGCTGATCACACATCCTTCGTGATGTGCCACAATCGGAACGACAACCAACGCCATGGAAAGCTTCAAAATCAGTTCATCAATATCGTGACATATATGATCATCTCTATGCTACAGATCTAGACACAGCAATCCCTCTAATGCGCAAACCCCCCAGTACTAGGCCCACCGACTCTCTCAAAAGGCAACGCCAAACTACAAGCCGCCGTCATACAGAAGATGGCGGCCGACGTAAAGACAGGGAGAGAGGGAGAAACTGTGATGAGGAACCCTGCAGAGACCGGGGCCAAAACGCCAGTGCTGGAGCGAGTCAGTCGGAATGGGATTTTGAAAGGCGGTGGTGGGACTTACAAACGACTCAGAGCGGATGATGTGCCGCAGGCTGTTCCCCTGATATTGGTTCCAAACGTTTCGGGCGTCATCCCATCTGTATCCAATCAGCCGAGGAAAGCCAAAGAGGCCGGCCATGACTTACATAAAACAGCGTACATGGCCGTGGCCGCCGCTGAGATCACCATCGAGCTCACCACGACCGCCCATTTCTGCTCGACGTTGATGAACGCGAATGTCGACAAGCCGGTGGCAAGCGTACATATAGCGAGAGATTTGCGGCGGCCCAAACGGGTTTGGATCATCCACGCGCCGCACTAGAAATGATCAGTATGGTTCTGCAACCAGTGGCAAAGTCGCGCTCACGATAGATCCAGGACAACCTGCTACAGAATACAAGACAAAATCACCAAGAGCTTCTGTGATCGCATCATCCCCATCCCCAGAAGCCCGGCTTTCGAGTACAGCCGGTAACCAAACGTTAAACATTGTGTACGCTGCGACCGTCAGTATAAATACTTTTCGCGAGTATGAGACTCACCGAATGACATTGATCCCCAGATGATCCACATCAAGATGACCGTCTTTCTCCATTGCGGTACGAACAGCTTTTGCATCTGTCCCACCCAGCTCATCCACCAATCCCTCGGTTTTTCCGTCCAACCACCACCACCACTCGCGCTCTCTCTCTTCATTGCTGGCTCCTCCGAGCCTTCATTCAGCAACGCCCTGTTCTCTTCGCTGATGCTCTCATGGAAGGACTGATCAAACAAGTTCCGAGACTCTTCGATGTCTACCGTCCCCGGTGTCTTGTAGAACGACGTAGCCGTCTGCAACGGTATCCCCTTCCTCTCCGGCCCCATTCCCACACCTCCATAGTCCTGCTCCGCCCCCGGCGACCCCCCTTCCCCTGCCCCTCCTCCTTCACCGCCAAGACCCATAAATGACGGCCTTCGCGTACTGGGCTCAGCAGCAGAAGGTTCATTACTCTGCACATCGGCGTGCTGGATACTGATGGAATGGTCGTTGAAATCGGCGATGGTTTGGAGGGCGAGGATGGCTTCTTGAGAACGGCCTGTAGAGACGAGGTAGCGCGGGGATTCTTGGAGTTTAAAGAGGAACCAGCGGGCGAGGGCGCATATCAGATTCTGGGCGTGTCAGCATCAACGATTGAATCGGATAGGAGGAAGAAAGTGTACATACAAAGATGCCGAGGGAGAAGAGAACTTTTCTCCATCCGTCGTTTGCGTGGTTGGAGAAGTCACAGCCTTCAAATTCTTGACAGCTAGAGCCTGGTAAGAAATACCAGCTGATGACGGATGACAAGACGGCGCCAAGGGAGAAGAAGACGGATAGAAGAGTGAGGAGGTATTGTTTCGAATGAGGTAGATTCTCAAGGAAGAGCGTTCCGTCGGTCGGCATGGATCCTCTGCAACACTCTTCAGCTGTGCCCTCTTTTGATGATGGAGAAAGACCGACCCGACGGCGCTTCCAAGCCAGAACATCCATATGCAGAGGACAGTGAAGTTGGGACTGAAGCTTGCACAGACGCCAAAGAATCCAGTGAGGAACAGAGTCGAGTTGAAAGGCAGAGACCGGCCCAAGATGTCCGAGATGACACCCCAGCTGACTGCGCCGATCATCATCTACCAAAGCTGTGAGCAAATCGTCTCAGTATGGGGCAGTATGACCTACGCCAGCCATGGTACAAGCTGATAGTAGACCGACCACTTGAGAAGACAGGTTGAAATGTATCTGTACTCTTGGTAGAATGACCGCTATACACTGCAATGCAGAATTGTCGCTCATCCAGCCAAAACCGCACAATGCCTGTCAAGCATGTCAGCCGAATCGACAGTGGTTAATCAAAATCGAGAGTTTACAAGTAGTCGCCAATGGTACGCTCCTGAATCATACGAGTCAGCGATCTTCCACCCCATCATACTTTCTACAACTCACCAAAGCCGACCCGCTCTAACGTCTCTTCCAGCCCTCGCCCTCCCTGTGACTCGGCCCCCTCATCGTCCATCGCCATCTCCATCCTCAGCTGCTCATCCTCGGCATCTTCATCTACATCGCTATCGCGCCTCTCGTGCTCGAGCCCAAGAGCAGTTTCCGCGACTGATCGCATCGAGGGTATGCGCTGGTGTCCTGGCTGGAGAGATGCGGTGGATGGCTGGCGCGATACGGTGCGCTGTGGCACGTAGGGGTAGCTGCTTTTGCGGGTTGTGGGTGGTGGGGGCAGCATGGCGGCGACATGAATGGCTCTGGATAGCTTAGGGTGACCAGAATGTCAACAAATGCTTGGACAGCGAAACATCGCCCATATGCTACTCGGCCATCCGGCGGGATCAATTTTTAGCCACGTTTCAAAAGAACTTTGCGATAACATTTGAAAGCAATATCAGCATGCGTATATCTTCGCGTACGTCAATCTTTTCGCAGTAACTTCTCCCCGATATGGACTCGATTACTGTCTGATCCGGCCGGTCCGACTCGACATATGACTTCAGATCACCCCGACACAGACGTACCGTCTTGCCCCAATGGCATCTTCAACTTCTCGCCAGGCTCTGTCTTGGTGACTGACCCTGATGAAGAGGTACATGGTTCTTCTTATAATATAGTACATGCTGACAGAGAGCGATCAGCTCATGGAGCTCTATATGAGCCTCGCCAGCGTAAAAGAAGAATCGCAACACGAAAACTTTGGGAAAAGCTCTGAAGGCTTGGGATACCTCGACTCCTCGCAATCTGTGCTCGAGCTCCTCATCGACATTGAGCCTCCTAAAGACTCTTCAGCTGTTCCGGAAGTCGTATATGGGAAAGGTCGCAGAAGGAAGGGGACCAAGAAAGAGGGAGGCAAGGACAGTATGGTATCGATACCAGTTGTCTTGAATCAGGACTTGACGGCTTTGCGAGGCCGGAAAGGCGATACTGGTACGTCCCAGATTAAAAGCATTGCTGTACCATACCTGACGCTATGATAGGAAGCGTACTCTGGCGCAGCTCTTTACATCTGGCAAGACATGTCCTATCCCACCACCTCTTCCGTCCTCAAATCCCCCTCCTTGACATCGACCGCCTGAACTCTGCCCACATACTCGAGCTCGGCTGTGGTACCGGTCTCCTGGCAATCCTACTCAGTCAGCTATGTGGTCAATATACCGCGTCAGACCAACTCGACAACCTGAAACTCATCCAACGAAACCTTGAGTTGAACGATATTCCAGTCTCATTCTCGTCCTCCACTCCAGTCAGCGAGAGCGCAGTCGACAAGAAAGGGATGGGTAGAGAAGTCAAGAAGGAAGTCGTGCTGGAAGAGGTCGACTGGGTCGAAGTCTCAAAGTCCCAAGGCCGTTACCGCTCGCCCGTCGATACCAAAACATACGACCTCATCCTCGCCGTCGATTGCATCTACAACGAACACCTCATCCAACCCCTCATCGACACTTTCGCCCAGTACTGCCAACCGGGGAGCCAAACAGTGGTTTGGGTCGTAGTAGAATTAAGGAGTGCCGATGTTGTACGTTCCTCTCCGCACGCTGTAGAGCGCAGCTCGTGGATTGGGTTGGTTTGGATGTGGCCGGAAGCTGACGACGGAAGTAGATTGGCACGTTTCTGAATACTTGGATCGACGACCCCAGCGGGCCTTGGACGATAGTCAGGCTTGGGGAGGATGATATGGGGGACTGGGGGGAAGGGAGGAAGCCGCGCTGGGTGGGATGGGTGGGCTGGAGATGATAGAAACAGCCATAGATGAATATAGATAGACATAGATAACATAGAGGTATGTATTGAGAGCGTGTGTTGGTTCGTCCTGCCATGCTATGCAGTCTTGAGCTTGCGAGCATATCCTGAGTGACCGAACCATCACGTAGCACTCGATCATAACGTGACAAGAACAGCCTCCGGCTTCCGGGGTTTGTAGGAGGGATCAAGCTAATGCGAGGAGGTAAAAATAGAGGTCAACACGAACAACGAGATGGAAGACCTCCTGCTGCACCTGTGCTGGTCCACCGACCCGATCGTCTCGGATGTAAATCATATTCCTCATGCTGCACACATTTTATCTATAGCATTCTTGCATATCTTCCATAATCCTTAATACCATAAACGTCATTTTGCTACGCATTTCTTTGCTTGTGATATCGTACAGTTTGTACGGCATTTGTAATCAGACCGGGGGTATATCTTATTACTTTTCGGCACTCGGTAGTGGTACAAGCGGGAGCCCTCTTTCTTCAAAGACCTTGGAGTCTTTTTGACGCTATCATGATGATGAGCGATGATCGGACTTTGCATAAAACCGTAACTCGGACATCCTTGGGGCCTTGGGTTGAATGATTAATTGTTCAACGGCAGGACATTACCGCAAAACTTTCAAGATCAGGGAGAGTCACTACATCACATAATGATGACAGTAAAGGGACGCAGACTGGTGACGTTGAAGCAAGTATGCAAAAGAGATACCGAAAAACAGCTCCATAGCCTTTCATAGCCGGCTTGAACTTGCAGCAGTGTAGTTGGCCCGGCGCAAAAATGAAAGATAGAAAGTATCAGCCCCCCCACTTCATTATGGCCACGCTAGACTGATGATCTACCTGATGCAGTCGTCACTAGAAATCAAACTGTCGTTATAAACGTCGAGTGAAGACATAAGGCAAATTCATTGGGGAGATAGATGAACGAAGAGCGTGTACCAAGATCATGGATAACGCAAAACTCAAATTGCCCGACGGCCATCGCTTATCTTCTTCTGCTGGGCTTCCTGTCTTATCTTTCAAACATTCATTGATCATCAACACCTCATGCGATGGTGCTGATATCATCTCATCGCTGCTATGTGAACCTCAAAGCCGTTTATGGCTTGACTTCACTTTCTGCGCACAAGGACAGAAGAACGGCGAGCGAGTTCGAGATCCGTCTACATCACATGCTTCTCCACTTTCAATGTCTGTCCACCTCCTACCTCGGCCCTCTCGCTCTATACATAGTACATATGTACAGCAGAGACTGGTCCAGGCTCAGCTCGAAAGGCGCTATGTAAGCGCAACAGAACATCATCTTTCGGACCTCCGAAAAGCTCCATACTAGTCTCCGCGATGAGCACAAGGCCCAAGGCCCCAAGATGGGCTGTGGCCTGTGGAGCTCACTCTCTTTATTATGCTTGCCCTTTCCGATGCACAGGGTAGCACTAGGTGCCGCACGTTGCACGTTGCATGGTTCTTACCATTCCACGGCCACCGGCCACCGCCGCGGGCGCCATCGTGCACACCATGCACTAGGCTCACGGCTATCTCAAGTTGCAAGCAGATCCTGTCGCAGATCTTGGGGAGCGGAGAATTATTGCAGTATGGGTCTGATCTACGATTTTGTGGAGCCGGCGCTACATACTGGGCGTGCAGTGGAGCAGGAACCAGGCCAACAAGCAGGCAGAGATCTTCAGCTGCTCACCCAACTGCGCCGGCTCTACTGATGAAATTCTTCTCAAGAAACGACTGCTTGTATTACATGGTCTCGGAATAGATCGATGTGGTAATTATGAGCTTGCGTGCAGTGCGCATGCACTGCCAGCTTCCAGCAGACACGTGATACTTACATGTGTCGCAGCCTCTCGTCCTACGCAGGATTCTTGGGATTTTGTGCTCGTCAGCATGATCAGCATAGAAAGACGCAGAGCAAAGTCTTCCGAGGCCCGAGGCCCACCAAAAGGCCTGCAAGGAAAATAGTCCAGACAATGACTTCATGAGTTAGTGTCCATGAGTCGACAGCTACACTAGAGCAGAATCATGTCCCGAACTAGAAGTCGGAAATAAGTCAGCAGTGCAAAAGTCCTGCGTTTCTCCGCAAAGCCGAGCGCCGCAGGACACTGCCCGCTCCAACCTTCAGCCTTCTGCGACTTCCACCATTCTCATTCTTCGATATTCCTCCCTCCCGTCTCTGGAGTTGGATTGAGGGCCCTATCTTGCCGCTCTCTTGCTTCTAGCTTCTCGAAAAGCATCCAGTGCATCCAGACATTGATCGCCACTGCTTACGTTGTTGAGCAACGCTGGAATCCTTCCGCAAGTGCCTTGGCTTGTAATATTACTGCATTGGCATACCCAGTTCCTGTCTGCTGTTCGGGTCCATGGCCCACGTACCATCCCTCAAAAAGAGGTTGAAATGATGGTAAAGACAACGGAAGGCGGGGGAAATAGCCTTCCCAGCCCGAACATGTCGCACGCGTCGCACGTCTGCTCTCATCGTCCCGCGCGCGGCAAGATCCCAGGATCGGGGACCGTCGCAGTATTCCAACATTCAGGATGCAAAAGATAGCAGCAGCATTATTGCGGCAGACGTAATGGCCCCATGACCAATGACCCAAGACTCTTGACTTTTCTTAGAGAAGTATAATCATGCAGTCGTTCGTACGTTATGCTGGCGGGTACCAAGCCAGGTACGATAGCTGATTGATCAGATCCTTCTGCATGAGTACGGAAAAGAGTCCAGTCCAGAAACTGTCGAGCAGATCTGGGATATCAGGGGGCGCAGAGCAGCAGCACGAAAGCAGTGGTTGCCGATGTTTGCTCCAGGGGGTCTCAGACTGCGACATCTGCGAGTTGCGACAGCTGACAAAAATAAGAACGGGTGCAGATAAGATAAGTGAACTGCTCGAGGCCTCAAAGTCCAGATGCATTTGCCTTCGCAGTTCGGCTGCCTCGGCAGCAGTCGGCAGATGACCCTGCCCTTTTGAGCGTCGTCTGCCGAAATCCCCCCCGATCCAAGATCCCAAGATCCACGACGCAAACCGCGAAGACCCTGCCTCCATATGAACATCTCCCCGACGTACCTGGAAAACGGTACCCTTCCCTGAATCTGCACCTTCTTTCCCTCTTTGGTTTCGCCTCTCGCTCCCGGCTGCCAGCCAGCCCCTCTCCCCATTCTAAAACTGCCGTAAAAACAGTCGTTGCTTTCAATCCTTTTCTTGTTCCTATACATATAATCTCCTTCAACTTCTTTTCATACCACGCAACCACACTCATTTTCTGGCCTGTATATATCAAACAACTCCCCATCTCTCCACCGGCTATCCTCTCCTTGTTTGTGCAGACCCACTGGTGTTTGTCACGCGTTCAACCCACCTACAACTCCACCTTTCCCTCGTCCTGTTATCGTATCATCACCCTCCATCAAATAATATCAACTTCCCTCACCCTCATTCCGCAATGTCCGCCTCATCGAGCTCTTCCCACGTCGCTGGCGGCTCCCCACGCTTCATCGACAACAACCACCTCGAACTCGTCGCTGTGATTGGCACTGGTGCCTACGGCGTTGTGTACCTTGCTATTGACTCGCGGTACGGCCAGCCTGTCTACCGGGCTGTCAAGTGCATGCGCAGACACGGCTTGGACGAGAGGCAAAGGCACTTTCAACGGCGTGAGATTGGTCTTCACCGCCTTGCCTCAAAGCATCCTAGTATCATCTCCATGGACAGGATCTTCGAGGAGGGTGAGTATGCCTACGTCGTCATGGAGTATGGAGAAGAGGGTGACTTGTTTTCAATGATCACCGACAAGCACAGAGTATGTCAACCACGTCCCCTTTGTTTGGCTTATTGCTGACTTGCTTGGTAGTACCTCGGTGACAACGAGCTCATACGGAGCATCTTCCTTCAGCTGCTGGACGGCGTCGCTTGGATGCACAGCCTGGGCATCAGCCACCGTGATATCAAGCCGGAGAACATCGTCTGCTCCCAGAATGGCACCAGGGTCCGCATCTGCGACTTTGGATTGGCTACTTCTGAAGAATATTCGAGCGAATTTGGCTGCGGGTCAACCTTCTACATTGCTCCTGGTACGTCCCTCTTCTCAACCCCCCATCTTTTCCGATGCTGACCGCTTCTCAGAATGTCTTGGTGACTGGTTCCCCGATCGAAAGACGTACCCCACGCGCTCTGGCGACATCTGGTCTCTCGGTGTCATCCTCGTCAACCTCGTCGCTGGTCGAAACCCCTGGCGTATCGCTTCCCCCGCCGACGAGTCGTTCAACTCCTACCTTTCCGACCCCAACTTTCTGCGGCGCATCCTCCCCGTTTCTCGCGACTGTCTCTACATTCTCAACCAGATTTTTGCCATCAACCCCGAAGAGCGAATATCCCTCGCCGAGCTGAGAAAGCTGGTGGTTGAGATCAAGACGTTCACGATGGACCAGGAGGAAGTCATCGAGGCGCATGTCGCGGCGAGGCAGCAGCAAGAGTACGCTACCGTTGAGCCGAGAACTCTGCTGTCTGTGGTGGAGGACGAGCATGCGTGGCTCGAGGAAGAGAACAGCGAGGGGCACTTTGCGTATGACGATGAGATGGAGACGCCCTCGCTGCAAAGCGATACGGGCTCGCCTCTCTATCCGGAGACTGTATCTCCTTGTCAATCATACATTGGCGACTTCATGCCCCCCACTCCCGACTTTGCCAGCGAAGATTACCTCATCCCTTCTCAGGCGACCCCTCCATGGGACGACTGTCTATCGAGTGATGATGTCTTCATCCACTCCAAAGACGACTCGTGTCCTACCTCCAAAGTCAGCATCCAACATACTGCCTTTGTCGATTACTCCTTCCCTCCCGTCTCTGCCTTTGCTCAATAATACTGGCATGTCTCGGTCTTGCCTTTCTCGTCATCTTTTGGGTCCTTTGGTTTCGATTTTACATCTATCACACATCTTTAGCATCGCCCTACCTGCATATCATTTACGTATCTCGCATGGGATCTCATCTTTCTTTTCTATATATATTATGCCGTACATATGTCTTTGGCATCTTGTCCCATCTTCACGCTTTAACGCCTTGTTGACGAATATCGTACTCTCTTAATACAACACTGCTATACTTAGAAGTACTAGATCTAGCCTTATGGCTTCCATCTGAATGTAACAGTATCCTGCTTGACTTGTCATCTTCTGCCGTACACTGAGGTTTACGAGGTTGTGGATGTTGACAACATGCACAGAGGAGGCTCACGCTGCATGCGCGATGTGCGATGAACGGGAGGTGCATGGCGGTTCGGCACACAACAAGCTCTTTGTCTCCTTATCAGTGCCTCAAGCCTCTTTACTCAATCTTACGAGACAACCGTCTAATAAATGTGTGAGGCGCTCCCGGTGCTCAGCACGGCTCAGCTTGCTCGAAGCGGAAGCAGGAGGAAGTTGCCACTCTTTGCATTGCGCACCGGCAGATCTTCTCGCTCTCCTAGAACTGATATCTATGATGCATGCTCGTACTCCTCGAACGTACTCTAGAACTGAAGCTTTTGCCTCGTCTTTCTTGGCTCAAAAGACGTCGCTGTGCTGTGTGCATGAGCTGCATGCAGCCAAATATCTTGCACGGAACAGAGATGCGGGGAAATTGACTTTTTCGTCCGCACAGGGCAGGGTTCGTGCTAGCTGAGTCTAATAATTGGGGTTCCCGCTCGGGCCCTTTACCGCGCCCTGGGCGTTTTGTTTGTGGCTTTCAACTCCCTCGGTCAGCGCCGTCGATCGACATTAAATACTCATCTCATCTACACTAGTTATGTACGACGCGTAAATATTCCCGCGACCGGATTATCACCGTTTCGTCAGCAGTACCAGTTCATCAGGCATCATTTGTGGCGTATATAGTCTGACTCTTGGGGTTAGAGGGAGTGAATGAGCGCAGATAATACATGGAGAAACCGTCGACTTCCCTAGTATGCATCGGTCTCCTTGGATTAGGGCGGCAGCGGCTGCTGACGATATACAGCTGGTCTATCAACGAGCACGGCAATCCAAGTAAGTCCTTGAGACGCAGAAGTCACATACAGTTCCCACAGCCTGCATATACCTTGACCGTCAAGCGATCACGCGAGCATTGGCGTCGCCATCTAGGTCAGATCCTACAGAGCTTACAGCTATACGTGATAAAATCTATTTGATCTTACAGGGTATCTACGCGTCGTCGGTCGCCACTGACGCGTCTCATATGGGATCCCTATTATGTAGTAGGCTCGACACAAGCCCCTCGCTCCGACGACGCCCTAACCTCAAACCTTTTCCTGACTCGCTTTCGCCACATACGATTTGAGAGATGACATGGCCGTTTGGGAATTTTCTCGACGACCCATATATATATGTACTCGAACTGTACGAGTACCATCCGTCACCATATGGCATATGCAAACGTTTCAGCCGCGTCGACCGTAGAAATTAGAAGCAGGCTTGGAGTCACGGGGGCAACTTGCATTCGAGCCTAGTCTTGGATTCCAGACTCGGCTAGACGTTCCAGAAGAAGCGAACGATGAAAGAAGAAGGACGTCACCGGTGAACGGCGGCCTAGAAGCACTCAGGTTCTTTGTTGTTGTTCTTCTTCTTGTTAATCGACTCGCATCACACCATCCTCCGTCACACACACCTGGCTCGACCTCGGCCTAGAACCCAGTCCGCTCCTCCACCAAGCTCTCGTGGGCGACAGCATCAATGGTCATTCCACATATACCCTCCTTCGGAAGAAAGGGCGATAGAGATAAGGATAAAGACGTACCTCCACCCTCTTCTTCGGATCACATCTCCCCGACGTCAACAAAGCGCCCCAACCACCAGTCCACCGGTTCCACCTCCTCCACTGTCGATTCCTCTGCCTCCAAATACCACCCAATTCGCCTCCTTCGTCGTAAAGCAAGCGTAAGCGCGCCGAAGGATGCTCCGCCCCCTACGTTCGCAGGTGATTTCGATCCCCCAGTCAGCGCGAGCAGTTCTGGCTCGGTCCTGGAATCTCAGCAGACGGTCCCTCCCTTGTCCTCTACGGTAGGGGTAGAAGATAGGGAGGGAAGTGATCATGAGGGGTTCAAGTTATTCCCGAGGAGGAAGAGTGAAAGCAAGCCCAGGAGAAAGAGTCGCGCCGAAAGACCAGGTTCGGCGTCCAAGCGGGCTGCTTGGGTTTACGACAGACAACTGCATGGAGGGGATGCTATTGAGGATGTGCCGGGTCGCCCCAGCAGCCCAAGTAGTGGTAGTGGAGGCAATGGGGACGCGGATGGGGATGTGTTTGGAGGTATGGGAGGTCCTGCGAGCGCGTTGGGGCTGGGCGAGGGAAGCTCTCAGGAGAAATATGGTGCGTATTTGCAGCTCAGTGTGTGATACTTTTCTAACCTCCTTATAGATATCAATGCAAGACTCACAACAGAGAGAGACTACGTAGCTGGCAGTTCACGTCACCGACGGTCTCTCACCCCACCAGACTCGGCGCCCCCACTCCACCACCCATTCCTGGCGCCCTACCCTACACCCTTATCACCTCCCCGACGACCGGGAGGAGCTATACCCAGCTCCCCCCGCGCCTTGCAGTCATTCCACGCCGAGCAGAAGAAGGGCGGACGGCCTTCTACAGCACCTTCCAGCATAAATGAAACCCTCGCAAGTCCAGCTTCGCGGCCTGTGACGCCTACCACTGTCAGCTCCCCTCTTCGTAAAGCCCATCCTCCATCGGCCTCCCCTGCCCCACCGTCATCACCATCTCCTATCAAATCCAGCACGTCTCCTCGTCCGTTGAGTCAACCGGCACAACCGCCCCGCACACCGGTGGTTACAGCAGAATGGCTGAAGCGTAAACCTTCCAGTGGGCGTTTACGCCACACTCCTTCCCTTTCCGCCGATAATATCCCTCTTCCGCCCAACCCTCTCGCTTACGGTACACCCCCGAGGCCTGCGAAGAATGGAAGTCGGGCTAAAGGGCTTGATGAATCCCCTCGTATTCACATGTCCACCGCTCGAGAGAGGAATGTGTCTTCTTCCTCGACTTCCTCGAGCAGTACCGACGCTTTCTCTTCAGATGGCGAGATAGGCTTCAAAAGCCCGACCCGTCGAAACATCTCAACACCCACCCGTCCCCCTTCTGCATCTCGTGCTATACCATTAGATGGCAGCTACGAAGTCCAGATCAACTGCTCTGACGACCGCGAAGAGATGGAAGAGATGAAATGGGAAGTGACCATTCGCCGGCGCTCCTCCCGAAACCCGAGCCAACAGCCCGTTTCCCCTCTGCACCTCGACACCACATCGAGCACTACCACCGCGCCTCTGACGGCAAGCTCGATCAACTTGAGTTTATCGCTCGATGAGCCGACGGGCAAGTTGGTGTTTATCAGTTTCCCGATGGATATCCATGCGACGCCGACGAGGCGGAGGAGGGGGTCACAAGGCGGACATGCGGGGAGCAGAGAGAAGGAGAAGGTGCAAGCGCAGGTGCAGCAGTATCAAGCGTCTCCTCGAAACTCTTTCGGGCTCGCTCCGAGACCTGTCACGCCGCCGTCTTCGAATAGAGCAGGGCCGGTCACGAGCGAAAGCGAAGTGGAGGAGGTAGAGAGATTGAAGGCAGAGACGCCCAGGCCCGCAACGCCAACGTCGGCAAGGAGAAAGGCGCCGCCTCCATGGCCAGATTCCATGGCGCAAGGGGATTAGATGATTGAAAAGAAGAAAGGGATAATGGAGAAGCTCGAGAGGCTGGTCCCTCGAGGAAGCTGTGATGAGTGATGACCGTTAACGAGATACATGCACATTCTATATCTAGACTCAACGTCTCTTGGAGAAAGACACGACAGCGTATTTTCCAGACACTCTCCAGTCGGGCGCTTCCTTGTCGAGCTTTTCGGCAATGCCCTCATCAAGACCAGCACTATGCATCTATCAGCTGAAGCGTCTCGTGAAGATGAGGGGACGCACATGGTGTCGGCCTTGTTGGTTCTCAAGCTGAGCAGGTTGATTTGACCGGCAAGGGGACCCAACGCTTCCTCGAACGGTGTCGTAGTAGGCCACCAAGCGTCACCCACCAATCTACAATTTTCATCAGCTTTCTTGCCAGTCAAGTCTGCAGTGAGTATGGCTCACTTTCGGTAGTTCAGATCACCCTTAAAGATCACCAAGTCCGACTTTTGCAACTCCTTCAAAACCTCCGGCGCCGTAGCAGGCAAGTCCTGGTAAGCATACTGCGTTGTCCAGAATCCTCCAACTTCGGGTGCTTGGCCAAGCTTGGTATTGAGCGGGACCGAGAGCTTGAAACGGCCCGACTCGACGTGCGACTTCCAGCGTCGAGCTATGGTGGTCATAGAATCGAGGTCAGAGGAGGAGAGGGGGGTGGCGGCGTCTTGGAAGAAGGAGCGGTCGAGGAGGGAGTCGATGGCCCAGGAGAAGTCGTAGGGGAGGACGTCGCTGACGAACCATGGGATCGCCTTGGGGCTAGGAGATGTGTCAGTCAAAGTCGACTGTATTGGCGGAGGCTTACTGGAAGACGACCTCGTTCACGAAGGGGGTGCATGAGACGAGGAAGTCGGCCAAGATGAAATCAGTGTAAAGCTGTTGGAAACATCAGCAACTTCCTCCCGGTGACCTCCTTGGCATCAGGCTCACCTCAAAGCCAGCTACAAAGCATATCAGTATCTGCTTTGATTACGACCAAGCAGTACTGCTTACCATTGTCCAGTACAATATCGACACGGCCATCCTTAAGAGTCTTGAGAAGCTCCCAAGCCTTGCTCATATCATTTCGCAAGATGAACTTGGCTTGCTCCGCTTGCGCTTCCGAGCCGACAGCTTGAAGTTTCTGGAGGTCTTCATATTTTAGGTCGATCAGGAGGGAGAGGTCCTACGCAAGCATATTAGCAGTTTCTCTCATACAAGCAGATAGACGTACAGTAGCGTTTCCCCAGAGATCGGCTTGGAGCATCTCGCTATAGTCATACGTCAATATCCTTGTCGGACTACAACGAAAAGACACTTACAAGAAGGCAACCTCCAAAGCAGACCCGGCCTTTTCAGAGTCCTTGGCCAGGTCATCCTTCTCTTCATGAGCCGTGTTCATGGCCTTCGCAAGCTCTAAAACCCTCCATCAGTATGAGGAGCATATCCGATACTGCGAGAGTACTCACGGACGATAGCAGCGGAACTAGACTTGTAGGTCTCGGCCTTTTGGTCAAAGAAGGGGTCATACTCTTTCCAAAGAGTGGTAGCAGCAAAGAAGCTCCTCAAACGTCGGTATCTAGCGCAGATCAGCACAGCCTGGCAGACATTGATTACTTACACGTAGCACTCAGCCCAAAGCCAGTTGACGGTACCCCACGTCCTTTCATTCTCCGGGAAGTTTGCGAGTTCCTCGTTATAGCACTGGGCATTGATGTCTCCGTCTTCCTTGATGGGAGTGAGAATTCCATCGTGTCCCATCTCATACTTCATTTCGGAGATCTGAGAGATGATCTTCTTGCCCTCCTCCACCCGCTGCTCCTTGTCGGGAGCGGAGCCGACGTGGGCTTCGTGGTTGGCGTTAGAGACGGTGGAAATGACATTCGTGAGAACAACGGGCCACCTAGGTATGTGTATAAGTGTGCACTCCTCGCAGAGGCTGATCTGACTGACCTCTTGACAAGGGTGGTGTAGGCAAAGCTAGACATTTCGTTAGCTCAGTGCCGCAATGGAACCTTCAGGACATATACCTGTGTTTATCCTGGGGTGAGACCCGCCTGTGAGGAAGTTGGAAGAGCTGCGGGGGTGTCATGATGGGCATCCTGGTTGAATAAAGTGAAGGAACAGAAAGTTGAGCTGTAGGATCGCTACCACGAAAGCGACGGAAGGCCGGGCGATGACGGTGTGTCACGTGACTTCAACATTGTAACAGTTGAACAGCCATACAGAGCCACCCTATGCATAGTCCATGCATATCTTCCACATCATCCTTGAGATTGACTATGGTCCCAAGTTGGAATGGAAGGATAAGACAGGTGTTCCGATTGATACTCGTACCGTATTCGTCTCACAATAGAGCAGATCGGCCAACGCCGCCATCATGACTCCGGTCGTTCTTCGGCTCAAGAATTCAAGATAATTTGTCCATCATCGTCTCTCAAAAGGCTGTCCTTGCGCTCACAGTCACAGCTGCCACCCACCGGTAGCGCCCCCTTATTACCCCTCGCCATGATCCCGATGATCCTCTATGCCTCCGAAACAGGCAACGCCCAAGATACGGCCGAACGCGTAGCTCGCGCTTTCCGAGCCAACAACCGCGCTGTCTCCTGCCTCCCCATGGACGCCTTTCCCATCTCCTCTCTCCCCCACACATATCTCCTTATCCTGATAACCTCTACTCACGGTCGGGGCGATCCCCCGCCAGCTATGCTCCCGCTATGGAAAGCCATGCTGAGGACGTCTCTGCCGGAAGATATTTTGGAGGATGTGCATTTTGCAGTCTTTGGCCTGGGGGACTCGAGTTATGAGAGATTTTGTTTTGCGGGAAAGATGCTGCTGCGAAGGATGGAGCAGCTGGGGGCTAATAAGATGAGCGAGCCGGCTTGGGGAGATGAGCGGTCGCCCAACGGGTGCGTATCGTCATTTGATCAACTGAGAGTTGCTAATTTTGAGTAGAATTGAAGATGCTTTTGTCCCATGGCTGCAAGAGACATTGGATCTTTTCATCCCCTACCTGCCTCCAGCGAAACTCGAAATCACTTCCCCTCTACCATCGACTGATCTGCCGCCCCCGATATACGCTCTATACGCTCTGAAAAAGTACACCCAGCCTCCAGCCGATGATCTCGACCTCGGCCGCCTTTCCATCTCCCCAGCTCCAAACGGTACTTCAGCGCCTACACGACAAGAAGACAAAATCCGCAACAAGGCTTCCGGCTCGCGGGTCAAGCCGGACGACTGGGTATGGGCGACTGTGAAGAAGAACGAGAGGGTGACGAGTGAGGATTGGTGGCAGGATGTGAGAAACATAGAGCTGGAGTTCGAAGACGGGGATGTGTAAGACTCTCTCCTCGTACAATTTGAGGTGGGCTGATAGTCGAGTAGGAATGCCTATCCGCCAGGATCAATATGCTCCCTCCAACCTCAGTCAAGAGAAAGCGACGTCAATTCGTTTCTCGAACTCATGGACCTTGAATCCCAAGCCGACGATCTGTTCACTATTGAATCTCTCCTCCCTGGTTCGTATCTCCTTCCCAACAATCGGATTCAGGGCTGACTATAGGCAGAACAACCCCTACCAGCGCACTTGCCTCCTGCCGGCACTCCAACGAGTATCCGCTCCCTCCTGACAAACCACCTCGACATCCAATGTTGCCCCCGCAAAAGCTTCTTCGAGTGGCTCCGGCGGTTCTCCCCGGAAGAGCTAGAGAGAGAACGGCTGGACGAGTTTATCGCCGATCCTGTACGTCTTGACTCGCTCGCCCTCGAATGGAAATCGCTAATGATGGCGTAGGACGAGATCCATACTTATGCGACGAGACCGTCCCGGACATTGGTGGAGACTCTGGCCGACTTTCGTTTTACCCGTATCCCACTGTCTCATCTTCTAGAAGTCTTACCTCCCCTTCGTCGCCGTCAATTCTCCATAGCAAGCTCCTACCAAGTGAGCAAACCTCACACTCGTCCTTCACACCACTAACCCCATACCTTTTCAGGCCCATCCAAACAAAGTCCAACTCCTAATCGCCCTCGTCCAATACAAAACCAACCTCTCCCTCCCGCGTGTCGGACTATGCTCCTCCTGGCTCAGCTCTTCCCTAAAGCCTGGCATGCGGGTCCCAATCCATATCGCAGCGCCGACGTTATTTTTGCCGGAAGATAAGGAGGTGCCTTGTATCTTTGTGGGACCGGGGACGGGGGTGGCGCCTATGAGGGCTTTTGTAGAAGCGCGGGCGGAACAGGGGGCTTGCGAAAGTAAGTCATAATGTGCTCCGTCATCCGTTGTGAGAGCATTGCTGATGAGCATTGTCAGATACTGCTCTCTATTTCGGGTGTCGCTCCACGGAATCCGACTATTACTTTTCCTCCGAATGGGACACTTATCGCCAAAAAGGAATCAGAGTCGAAGTGGCCGCGAGTAGAGATCAAGATGAAAAGGTGTATGTGCAGCATCTCATCAAGCGAGATAAAGTCAGAGTGAAGGAGTGGATAGTGGATCGGAAGGGGTGGTTGTTCATCTCTGGGTACGTCCTCATCTTCATTTCTGAAATCGTCTGACTAGCGAACAGAGCGTCGAACGCTATGCCGAGAGAAGTGAGAGAAGCGGTAGCGTGGTGTATCTCCAAAGAGGGTGCTGGGGACTTTACGGAGGAGGAGGCGAAGGAGTATGTTGAGCAGATGTTTGAGGACAAGAGAGGTGGGGAGGAAAGTTGGTAGGAAAGACGCCGGGATCTTCGGTAACGTGAACTCGCGGAGCGCGAAGGTTGGTTCTCGGTGTGTCATCCGGTCGACCAGCACCACCACCACGGCATATATGCATGACGTAAACGGATACGAGTGTAACCAACGAAGGGCCTTGCGATCATAACGTAAGCGCATGCGTTCGAGGAAGAAGTGACCCGAGCAGGGATTATGGGTGGTACTGCTGGAGGACAGATACTACTGGTACTGTATGGGAGCGAGCGGCTAAAACGCTTGCACGTGTCGTCGGGGGCCGAAAGGACTTGGGACTGAACTCGATAGGCGCTGCCAACGTGAAGTCAGATCCTGATGAGGTCACTGGATTGTTGTAGACGATGCATATTCCCCGTCCAGCGGCAATTCGGACTTTTGAACATATGTTGAAACCATACTGGACTGTATTCACATAGCATCTCGACAAGATTCGTAGAAGAAAGACCGCCCACGTTGACCTTTCGGGGCGGCTAAGTGGTGATCCACGCGGACTTCTTTGCGGTTTCGGTCTGCCGGCGACTTTATGTGGCTATGGCCTATGACACTGTGCCTCGCGTCATCAGCGTGTATATAAGAGCTGTCTCAGTAATGTGACCATACTGCCCTCGAAATCAACTAACTGAAACCTATAACTATCGACTACTAGTTACTACCAGACATATAAACAATGGTCGCCCTTTTCGCTCTTCTCCCTTTTGTTGGCTTGCTCGCTTCCGCCTCTCCTCTCATTCAGCGAGCCGATAACTCTACCACCATTGGCCAGAGAATCCACTGTAAGCCACATCATTCTGTTGGCCCACCATATATGACTGAAAGCCAGAACTCATATCTTACACAGCCTAGGTCAACGCGGACGAGTGGTGTGTAACTGCCGGAAACGGTAATGCCGCCAAGCGTGCTCCTATCAACATGTACGTCCAACTCTCGCTCTCTCTTCTGTTTTCTTGTCTCGATAGGCTGACTTGTGATATATAGTGCTTATTGCTTCGACGACTGTTCCGACTGGGTCGAGGAGCAGCTCTGGACCGCACCTGAAGTCGGTACCCCTGGCAGCATTGCCCTCCACAGCGACCTAGGCACCGCATTGTGCCTCACTGCTCTCGGTCCTCATGTCCGAGCTGAGTTGTCTGTTGACACTTGTGACAAGGACCAGCAAACTTGGACTCTTACCTCTAGTGACCAAATCGTCCTTGAGGGCACTGGTGAGTACTCTACTCGTACTCCTGTTGCTGTTGGAATGGCGGTGGTGTTGAGAAAGATGCTGAAATGGTGAATGTAGATCTTTGTCTCGATGTGGATGTCGCATCCAACCAGACCAACCAGAATCCCTACGTGATTCTGAAGGATCTCCAGGTTTCGGACTGTGCTGAGGACAGCGACAGCCAGAAGTTTACTCTCATCTGAGCTCTAAACGAAAGTAGTGACTCGTTAAAGAGACTCACCGGACAATTACAAGTAAACAGCGCCATGAGGAATGATAATCAAAAATGTATTTTCCATAACTCATCTTTCGAAGCTACTCTACTGTATACGTGAATCAGGTATTGCATTGGGCGCCACGATACACACGACGATACGGACAATACGTGGGGGATCCAAACTCAAACTTTCATTCCGGATCTTGCCTGTGCGGTGTGCGCGGAACATCCCTCCTCTGAACATCCCCTCCATCCGTGGCGTACCATCACACCAACACCCATACCCACCCTTTAACACGTTGTTCGGTCCCCATGCACCTGTATATAACTGTATCAGCAGGGTATACACGACAATCCTTTCCACCATCCATCCGTCCATCCCACCCCATCCCGTATGTACGCCCCGCATGACACGAGGTTCTCATGCGCCCACATGTGTCCAGCCCTCATGACTTCTCACGCCTATATATGATCACCACCACCAGGAGGGCTGCTGCTATCTTTTGATTCAGCAACACGTCTTCCCAAGCTAGCAGGACTGACTCACCTTGGACTTCGATGACTTTGTTACCATCTATCAACATTCCCTCTCCTCTCCCCTCTTCTTCTTCCTCCACATCTTCCTCGTCTTCCAAATCAAACGCCTACAACACCGTCGTTATATCCCCCACCTCCACCGCCTCCACCCAACAGCACTCGGGCACGAACCTTCTCGTGCCGATCCTGGTGACGGTATTGGTTGTAGTGGTGATATGGTCGGTGTTGTGTGTTTATTGTATTTGGTCTGCGTACGTCCTTGGCTTCTTCCTTCTCCCTCTTTTCTCATACTTCTTCTTGTCTTCAGCTTGAATCACTGGAGTTGATGTTTAGTTGCATATCTACTGTAGAAGGAGAGCAGTCCATCGTCAAAACGCACGGCAATATGCCAACCCGGAACACATCCTCCGAGGCAGACTTCATTCCTTCCACCCTTCTTCCACTTCCACTGCCACCCCACCCCTCTCTCCTTGGAACACGGATCTCGGAAAAGAGCCGTACCCCTACGAGCAGCACCCTCCTTCCCCGGTGAGAGGCTATACGACGTCGCCGAGGACGGTATCGCTCGCAGAATCCCTTTCCGTGTCTTTACCAAGCTCATCCCCGCCAAGGAGGCCTCAGGTGTCCACACACCGTGGAGGAAAAGAGAAAGAGTCTGTGACAGAAGTAATGCCACCAAGAGGGGGAAAGTGGTGGCATTCTGATCATCCTGGAGCTGGACCGGAGAAAGGAAAGGAGAGGGATACGATGTTCTCGGATACCACGCTGGTCGATGGGGATGGGGGTGACAAGGGAGAGGAAGAGGAAGAGACGAAGAAGAGGGTTTTGAAGGCGCCTGATGCGGTGGTTCTGAAAAGTTAGTGTGAGATCTGTGAATGACCAAGGGCAGTTCACTAGAAGGGTATCTGATATCTGAAGTGTCTGTGGGAGGTCACTCTGCCTGTAAAGTTGTTGAGCTTCGCCGTACGCCATGATAATACCAGAAGCCCGGTGGTGAGCACAACATGTACATGGTATACAACAAAATGGGGTCAAAAATCTAAGCCGCCGTAGCAGTGCTGGCAGCGGCAGGAGCAGGGGGCGGCATGGCAACCTTGTCCTGGACAGCCTTCTTTACCTCTTCAGACTTGTCTTCAGTAGCCTTGCCCTTGCCCTTTTCGGCAGCAGCAGCTTTGGCCTTCTTCTTCTTCTTGAGCAGAAGCGCTGTTTCTTGATTAGCAACAGATATCCAATAAACATGTGAAAGTGCTCACCGGCAGACACCGCAGACCTCACATTCTCATTGATCTCCTGACTCTCTTCCAAAAACTTGTTGTCCTCAAACTTGTGCTTCTTCCTCGCCAGCTCTTCCAGGTCAACGTCCTCGGGACGTCTCTTTCCGCCAGCGGAAGAGGACTCGGCGGCGTTGATGCCGAGTTTGCGTTCAAGGGCCTCGAGTTTGGCTTTTTCGGCGGCGGCTGCTTGGGCTCGGAGAGCGGGTTCAGATTCGAGCAGTTCGGCTTGCCTAATGTCACGTCAATAAAGCCCATCGACGATCAGTGCAGAGGCATACCTCTGAGCCTCCTTGATAGTGCCCAACCTCCTCCCGGAAAGATCCCTGCAAGAGTCCATATTCGTATTCTTACCACTACTCATCCTCCCTCCCGCCGCCCTCAACTGACTTCCAAAACCACCCTTACCACCCATCATCCTCGGGGTAACATGGATAGTTACAGGGTGGTTGGGGGCATCTTTGTGTGCGAGGTCGGAGAGGGGGGTGGCGAAGGGGAGGGCGCCGGTGGAGGCTGTGCGGAGGTAGGAGTTGTGGAGGGCGGCGGGGATGGGAAGGTCGGCGAGGGAGGCGGTGCCGGGGAGGGTGAGGGTGAGGCTGGCGAGGGGGGCGGGGTAGGTGAGGTGGACGAGCATGATTGGTGTATGGATGAAAGAGAAGAATGGATGCGAATTGCGAATTGAACGAGCGGAGTGGCGGATGCTTACGTACACACCCTCTTTGCTGTTGCATGTTGGTTGCATGATCATCTCGCTGGCAGTACACTTCTCTACTACCACTCTTATTGTTTGGTTCCCTGCTGTAACCATGGAGGTCAACAGAGAAGAAGCCCTCAGGGCCCTCGCCATCTCACAGAAACACCGCGCAGCCACAAACTACCCCTCCGCTCTCAAGTTCGCCCGCAAATCAGTCGCCCTCTATTCCACCCCCGAGGGCGAGGCCATGGTCACCATTATTGAGCGCGATATCAAGATAGCAGACGCTGGCGGCTCGGCACCCGCGGGTTCTGCGGGGGAGAGCAAAGGCAAGGCGAGCGGGGTGGAGGAACATGTTACAGAGGCGCATGCGAGGCCGGGGCATGGTAAAGCTCAGTCAGCAGGAGCTGGTGAGAAGAAGAGGGAGTATACGCCCAAGCAGATCGAGGTTGTCAAGCGGGTCAAGGCGTGCAAGCACCACGAATACTATGAGATCTTGTCAGGTGAGTTGAAGTGCAAGCTGGACGCATGACGCTGACGGAATGTAGTGGAAAAGAGCTGTAGTGAGAACGATGTCAAGAAGGCGTACAAGAAGGTATGTGCAGCTGCGATGGGAGTTCTCTTTCCTGACTCTATGTTAGCTTGCTCTCGCTCTGCATCCCGACAAAAAGTATGTCCCAACCCAAAAAAAGCGCCAAGCCATACTCACCCTCCTCCAGCGGCGCACCAGGTGCCGACGAAGCTTTCAAGATGGTCTCCAAAGCCTTCCAAGTCCTCTCCGACACCAACCTCCGATCAGCATACGACTCCAACCCTTCCTACGACCCCACACAACGCAACCCTGGACCTAGCGGCGGTGGCATGTCGGGTATGAGGGGAGGTGGGATGCACCCCGGTTTCGGGGGCGGATATCAGCAAGAAGTGAACCCGGAGGATATATTCAACATGTTCTTTGGAGGAGGGGGGGTTAATGGAGGGTTTGGGGGTGGGTCGCCGTTCGGTGGTGCCAATGGTGCGTACAGACCTCTCTCCTGAATGACGCTTACAAGTAATAGTGTTCTCGTTCGGCGGGCCGGGGATCCGTATCCACCAAACCGCCCCCCGACGTCCCCGCCAAGCAGCAGACGCCGCCGAAGCTTCCCCCCTAACCGCCCTCCTCCCCATCCTCCTCGTCCTCGCCTTCTCCCTCCTGACCATCCTCCCAGGCCTCTTCTCCCCCACACGCGCCCCGGACCCGTCATTCTCCTTTGACGCGTCGACAAGACTGGCGGAGGGGAGGGAGACGTGGAATTGGAAGGTACCGTATTTTGTGAACAAGGCGGAGTGGGAGGGGAGTGAGGTTTGGGGGAGTGTGCCGGAGGCGAGGAAGGGGACGGGCAGTGAGGCGTTGTATAGTAGTAGAGTACGACAATTCGAGAAGAATGTCGAGGGACATTATGTCAGGAGACTACAAAACGAAGTACGCCCCTTCCCCTTCCCCTCCCTTTCTGAAGAATAGTCACGCTGATAAAATCACAGTGCGAAGCATTCAACGACCGTAGAAGAGCGCGTATACAAGATAACTCTGGTTTCTTTGGGTTCGGCGCAGATTACGAGAAGATCAAGGAACTGCGCGCGATGAAGAGTCCGGCTTGTCAGCAGTTGCGGACGTGGGGGATTGGGCAGGGGTCGATCTATTAGGTTATGGGCTGGGAGAGGGAGAGGGAGATGGATAGAATTGGGTAGCCGGGTAGTGGGTGTTTTCTGTGTATGTTAGACGGTCTTGGCATGCAGTTTGTCATCTCCTCACGGGTTTTGCCGTGTTCGTAAGAAGAGAGGTGCTAAAGGCAATTGCAGGACTATCAAAGTCGAATACACCTACAATGGTGAACCTGTTACCAGCTATTTGAAGACAGAAGATGATTGCATTGACCATCGACCGTTTATGTATATCAAAAGAAGAGTCGATACCAACGAATTTGAAGTCACCTGCACAAGGGACTATTGATCTTACTACACTGCCCCCTGTGGCTCTCTTGGTGCTCTTCAGTCGCGTTTAAATAGCCAGGTGCGAACAAGTTTGGTGTCACTCTCTTAGGTACCAGACCAGACGATGGACATGGCTCTTAGGATTGTGAATGGGTGAAGTTGAAGGAGAGCAGGTGATTAGAGATGGTCCTCAATTGTTGAGGCGATGAAGGGATGAGGTAGTGGCTGCACTTGACACATTGACGATCTAAAAAGCATATTACCCTTCCACAGGTTTGCTTTCAACCGATATATGAATTCGCGATAGGAAGGCATCGCGGAAGAATATCCGATAATAGCGTTATAAGCGTCAGTCTGAGCGGAGCACCTCGAGATGATGTACTAGTTCCTTTGCCAACACCTATCATATTTTGGAAAAGTTTCCTTGTTGTGGGTGATACTGAGAGCACAATCTTCCAAGTCTGGAGGTTGTTGGTTAACTACAGACAAAGGGGCCGGAATATGATTCCTGTTTATTATCGTTTGTGGTTATTGGGTGTCGTGTCCGTGTCCTTTGTCCTGGATGGCCTAACGAAGGTCCGGTATAACAGCAGCCGACTGCGTCACCCGAAAGCACATCTATTTCAAGAGCCAGTGGAAACAAGAAGACCCACGCCTCTCCCATACCGTACCCGTGCACTTCTCGTCTCGTTGAAAATGGATTTAACTCCCAGTTTCGACCCATCATCCGTTGAAAGTAAACCCGTTGAGTGATTATTCATCTTGCTCATCGTCGTCTTCGTATAGATTGTGGTCTGTATTGCTGATACTCTGTTTTTCAGAGCTATCAGAGTGGAATACACCTGCTGGAATGGAGTGTCTGGTACCAGATACCTGAAGACAGAGCGAGATATGATCAACCATTGGCCATCCTTGATCATCTCGCGAAACGGAGATACCAACTCGTTCTTAGTCAATGCTGAAGGAACTGAAGAAGGACCTCTACAGGGTACTTTCAAGGTGCCCTGTGACGACCTTGGTGAGTTGGGTACCATCCTAGATAATGAGGTCAGAACTAGTATGGTCCCGCTCTCCGAAGTACCAGGTGACGGGGAGGCAGAAACAGCTGTGAAAGGAGAGGAAGCTGAAGAAGAGTGAGAAGTTGATCAAAAAGAGGAAGAGGCGGTCGAGGAACATGGAGATTCTTCTAGTCAGAAATGAGGCGAGGGTGTATATAACGGAAGAGAGCTGTCCAGATGCATAGTGGTCATCAGCGAATTGTGCTTGCGAAACATGCCCTCGATTTCCATGAGCAACAAAATGTGAGATGCGGGAGACGATGATGAGCTACGTGTCAATCCTGGAGGACTACTTCCCTTTTGTCTTGCTCCAAGGAGTCCTTGAGAGTTCTCTCGCAACTCATTCCTCATCAGCCTCTCAGTCTCCACAGAAGGTGATCTCTCCCATCAAATCAGTCTTCCATCAGCGGAGTCCCGCATCGAATATTTTCCACCATGTAAGGAAGAGCCGAACAGATGTCTATGACGTGAGCCCATGCACGAGTACATGTTTTACAATTGTCAGCGTAGGTTGCCTATCCTATCACCAGGAGCATTATATGCCCTCCTTTTGTATTGAGGTTCGTTTTCCCGGTGATCGGCCAGCTTCAACACACCCAATCTCATCTGCATTCCATTTCAGCTATGTGGAGCATGATTGCGCGCTGCTGACAGAAGAGTATAAAGTATATCGTAATCATAGTGCTAGGCTGTTAATTCCAAGCGCAAGCCTCGCATCGCAATTGTTTGTAAGGCGTTTATTCCCTTCATGATGTCTACCCCAGCACAATGCATGTTAGCTTAGCGTATGGAGCGCTATTCTAGGGGCAGTGGTCCTTAAAAAGCAAGGGCGCAAATGCATACATAATCTTCACAAGGGCTCACGAGCTTGAAATTTCCCCGTCCACTTCCTTCCACCGCTTCTGCTGCCGAATAGCACTTCGTATAGTATATGAAGCAAGGATCTCACAGTTTTGGTTCGCTGCTTGTTAGTCTGGATAACTGTCCCCATCATTTGCCTCGTTACATTCACAGCACGTATAATCAAGATGTTCCTTCCTTTCTGAGAATGTAGATCAGAGCAGTGCTGGTATGTGGCAGCAATGGAAGGCGTTCCAACCGTCTGATTGCCCATCAGCCCATGTTTTCTCATCTTGTAAAGGGAAGGGTTGAACGGAAATCCATTCAGACCATTGCATCATACTTCACTGCAGCTGTCCCCGCCCAAAACGTCCATATAAATGGCGCAGTATGGCTGGCAACCATTCTCATAAGTACAGCACAGAACACGTTTGATTCTTTACCATGTCGACGTTAAACTATTTTTTAGAGGATATCCTTGAGACTGCCAGGTCGGCTGCTGCGGTAAAGAGCGTGCCCGATGAGTGAGCTTCACTTTCTTCTCCGAGTTTAGAATGTCCCTTTTCCGTGCTGAGAATACGTCTGATCTTCTTCCAGGGCTATCAAAGTGGAGTATACTTGGAATGGGGATACTGTGACCAGCTACCTGAAGACGGAGGATGATTCTATCGACCACTGGCCTCGTATGCACATCAGCAGAAGGGGTGATACGAACTCGTATCAGGTTACCTGTGGCGGTCCATTTTGGAAGAACTTTACTGCACCTTGCAGCTCTCATGGGGAAATAAGCTCGCTAATCAACAGCGACATCAGCACTACTATGGTACCACTCTCTGAAGTTCCAAACCACGAGGTATCGGCGCAAGCGGATAAAGTGGATGGAGAAGAAGAGGCAGGAGGAGGAGGTTCCGGAGAAGGTCAACAACAAGAAAGCTGAGACTGAGGGAGTAGATAGTAGGGATGGATCATGTGTGTCATATTTAACATGACATCGGCGAACCTTTGTGCACATTCGAACGCCGCTAATCGCCCTTTCATTGTATCTTCCCCCTTCGAATTACAAGCAAAGCTTTCTATGAAATAATGTGCCTAGTGCATTCATGTCATATGGTCAGATCTCTAAGCATAGAGAAAAAGCAAGAAACAAGAGAGACCGCCAGCAGATATGACGTGATGTGGCAAGAAGACGAGGCCAGTCGGGTATGGTCAGCAGAAGAGTGGCAGTCGGGTAATATGGAAGAACAAGTAATATTCGTCAATACAGTAGCAATGTAGCTAATACTATCGAATGCTTCTCTGGAGCTATAAACGGTACATCAGCTGCAGCCCCACCATGCATACGAGCTTAGTGCAAGAGGACAAAAGTTCTTTGGCATCTCACTCAACATCGAATCACGTGATATCGATTTGATTCCGCTCAATGGGATCGTGTTGTGTTGATCGGCCCCGCCGAGCGAGTTGGTTTGAAGCTGGCATCGCTGACTCTGCAAAAGTAATGGACCAGGTAAGCCCACCACTGCTGCTGCTGTCCCACATAACTGACATGGGCCATCACAGAGCGCTTTCAGATCGCTTCTCAACAAGCCGCGGCCGGCGGGCGAAAGCTCATCCTCCAGGAGAGGCGTCTTAGGTGGCGCGCCTCCGAAGCGTGGATGGGGGCTCAAGGCAAAGGAAGGGCAAGTAATTCCCTATTATCCTTGACACACGCATGCTGATAGCCTATCAGCTATGAAAAGAAAGACGAGCTTCCAAAAGAAAGCAAGCCTGCTTTCGTCCCGCGGCAACACCTCAAGAAAGAGCAGGATAGCAGATATAAGGATCGGGCAGCTTTGAGGCGGGAGGGATTGAACGACGATTTCAAATCTGTGAGCGTCCCTTTCACAGTAGAGAATGCATCATTGACAAGAGGCAACAGGTTGAAAAGCTTCTCGAGGATTTCGAAGCGCGGAAAGAACACGCCACAGCAGAGGAGCTGGCAGAGATAGAGAAGCAAAGAGTGTATCTGGGAGGAGACGCGGAGCACTCAGTGTTGGTCAAAGGTCTAGATTATGCGTTGCTAGCGGCAAGAAGGGCAGAGCTGGCCAGGGAGGAAGGTGAAGAGATGGACGACGAGCTGGAGGCTTTCCAAGAGCAGATGAAGGATAAGAAACCAGCAAAGGCAAAAGCGGGCAAAGGCAAGGAAGAAGAAAAGCCGCAAGAAGAAGGGCTTGGCAAAGGAGTAAGTACCGTTTGGATACGACAGACGAACGCCACTGACAAACGCACAGTTCAAATCCATCGCGCAAAAAAAGGCCGAAGCAGAGGCAGCTGCCGCAGCTCCTGGGGATAAGAAGAAGAAAAAGAAGAAGAAGAAGGTCAAGACAGAACCTGTTTCTGCCTCTGTCCCCGACACGACAGCGACATCCTCTTCCATCCCCAGCAAAAAGGCGACTGTCGAGGAACCGATCAAACTACCCCCCAAAGCTCCTACTCCCCCGCCGCCCGAATCCGACGACGATGACGATATCTTTGGCGATGCTGGTGAATACGACTTGGCAGCGGCAGCTGGGCCTGTCGGTTCAGACTCGGATTCGGAGGACGAACAGATGGACGCTGAAGATGGGGAGATCTCCAGAGGAAGAAGCCGGAGCAGGTCTTTTTCAAGAGACCGCTCATATTCCCGAGACAGGTCTCTATCGAGAAACAGAGGTTATGGAAGAGACCTGGGTCCGAGATCTCCGGGGAGCAGACATTCCAGGTCTCATTCGAGATCTCACGAGCGCAGCCGCTACCGGTCCCGGTCAAGCTCGCGAGACTACCAAAGGCGGTACCCTCGCTCCCCTTCATACGACCGATACGATCGCCGGCGGTCGCCATCGCCACCGAGGCGCCGAAACCGTTCTCCCTCCTACTCGCGCTCGCGTAGCCCGTATGGAGGTGATCACAAAAGACGCCGGATGTCGTACAGCAGGTCGCCGCCGAGGAGGAGGTATGACTCGAGGTCGAGGTCCCCGAGAAGACGCTACTCTCCATCTCCTCGTCCTCGAGGCCGTTCGTACTCTTACTCCCGATCACCTTCTCCACCCCCTCGCCGAGCACGCTCCCGTACTCGCTCGTTATCACCCCTCCTCAACGCTCCCCTACTCGATCGCTCCCGTTCCCCAACCCCTTCAAGCGACGAAGACGGTCCCTCTACACGTTTACAGCCCCTCGCTTCATCAGCTATCCCTTCACTCAAGAGTTTCCTCGCTGCAGACGAGGCTGATGCAAAGGCAGCTGAGAAGAGAGCAAACAAAGCCAAGTGGAGAGCACACCAGGGAATGTCGATGCAGGAGGGTGCTGAGGAGGACACGGCGGCGGCAAAGCAAAAGACGATGAATGAGAAGCAGAAGAGCAACAGGGAGTATCAGTTGTTGATGAACAAGATGAAGAAGGATGAAGAGCGGGAGGGTAAGGAGGGCAAGAAGTAGAGTGTGGTACGGTATGCTTTGACATGCTATGTATGTACAACTGTTATGCTAGTTTGGTTCTATCTACATGAATCGTAATGTACTCGTGCTGCACGAGTACTTACAATCCAGACATCAATCCTTGCCTGCCGAGACGTCTCGCATTCTACCGTCTATCAACGGGCAGACTATGGCCAGATCCTGGATGGTAATGTCTTCTCCATCATCCAGTGGGACACCTTCCGTTGGATCTGATGTCTGCTCCTCTATCGGATCCTCCACAGGAGACCAAGCGCCTGGCAGGTGTTGGCCCGTCTGCCGCATAGCTTGCCCCGGCTGCTTCGTTGTCAGTCACCAAGTGTGTAGCAAAGCGAAGACACTCACAACGCTATCGATCCCGCTCATATGCTCATGCCTAGCAACATGCAAAGCATTCCGGATCGTTCCCCAATCATGATCCACCACATGCCTCTTCAGCAGTCCCCAGCCCGACGAGCTCGACACGTCCGATCCCGGCGACGTGGCATGAGCTTTCAAGCTACCTGCGGTCAAGTACCCGCCATCGCCATTCGGGGACGAAGGCACTGGGGCGAGGATTTCGCGTTTGGGGGAGGAGGATACGGATACAGAAGGTGATGTTTGAGTTTGATGTTGCGCACGAGCGCGCAAGAGGACCTGAGAAGTTCGGCGGGAGAGGTGAGAGTGGGCAGCCTCTTCAAGCTGTTTGTGGCGGAAAATGTACGCAGAACCTACACGGGTATTAGTTATTTTACATATCGTCAAAAAAAGTGTAAAACTCACCCAAGAGGAAACTTCGCAAAATGCTAGACATGATCTGTCCATTCTCATCATCGACGATGAACTTGCGATTCTTCAACGGCTCAAAGCCATCAAAGCCCTGCGCCATATAATCCCTCGTGATCACCTTGTACATCCTCCCGCCTTCTTCATTCTTCACCTCTTCCCCCAGCTTCAGTCTCCTATTCTTCACCACCACCCTCGTCCCGTCCTCTTGTTCTCTAAAATCAACCATATCCTCCGGGTCTTCCCAGTCATCGTCAGTTTCGCGAATGGGCTGGACGAGTTTGTGGATGGAGATCACGCGGTTGTTGGGCGGGCGTTTGTGATCCCATTTGACGGCGAGGCCGGAGATGATGGGGAATCGGCCTTCTTGAGCAGGCCATTTCGAGAGGGCGGACTCGATGGTAGACCAGATACCGGCACCGTCAATCTCGAGGCACACCACGGGATCGTCAAAGGGCAGGATCTCTGCGAACAAAAGTCAGCATACACACGTTGATCAGTCTCCCATGACTCACCGAGGATGTCCCCAATGGTGATCTTCCCAGGACCATATTGAGAGTCTCCTCGTAAAGTACCACCGCAAATGATAGCAGCATCCGCCCCCGGCCCTTCGTCATCTTCATTTTCCTCTCCTCCCCCTCCCCCCTCCTTTTTGGCAATTTTGCTCTCCGCAAACGCATGCATCAACACATCGGCAATCCAGTTCCCCAACCCGCTCTCCTCCACCCTAACCACATCCGACCTCGCATCAAACGGCGCTAGGGTAAAGCAAACCGGTTTCTGCAGCGCTTCCGATACAGAGGATAAGAGGGATTTGACCAGTTGCTCAAATGCCGGGGAGGAAGGGGAGGTGGGAAGGACGTAGTGGTGTCTGCCGGTGAGAGAGGTGATGAGGTGTTTACGGATAGATCCGGGGGGAGATGGGGTGAGCTCGAGGGAAGCGGAAGTCAAGTCTCTAAAGTCGGTGCCGTTCTTCATTATGAGGCATGATGTATCTTCTAGAGTGCCCGGGGCACCTTTACGGCCTGAATAGCCTTCCCATGAGCTGGCGCCTTGACCGATCTGCGAGACGTTAGCTAGGCAACTCTGATCAATATCTGTGGACTTGCATAGTATATCTTCAGAGTTGTCAGCTTTGCGTTCGGAAAGGACCGTCTGACTCACATGATCATGCCCTCCTATTATTAGATCCACCCCATGCTCGTTCTCTAAGCCAGCCTTTCCTGCTACTGCGCCCAGCTCATTGGCCAACTTGATATCCTACTGGCCATCAGACACTGTCTCTTCAGGCCACAGTGTTGACGTACATTGGGCACTCGACAATGGGTCAGAGCGATGACCAAGTCCACCTGGTGCTCTCCGTTAGGATCTCGAAGCTCCCTGGATAGTTCCAATGCCGTTTCTGTCATAGACCGGTATTTAAAGTTGTGCGGCCAAGATGGGATCGTAGCAATCCAGTCTCTATCCTCTTCATCAGCCTAGAGCACCACAAGAACGCGATAGAGCAAAGACTCACTGCTCTACCAGACCAATGACACCAATTTTGACGCCACATCGCTCGAAGATGTGGTATTTCTGCAAGGTCTCCGGCTGTACACCCGTATTGATGTCGACGATATTCGACAACATCCATGGAAACGTGGTCGATTGGATGAGTTTGGTAAGATGGGGATATCCAGAGTCGAAATCATGGTTGCCTGCACGCACGCATACATCAGCATTTGTCTTGCGCATCACAGCTCGTAGCCTGCCGCGACTCAAGACCGAGGGGCTTTCATCAAGGATCGACCAGCCCATGCATTCGGCGCATTGCCATGCTCATTGGGGCAAATCGTTGAGCATCGAGGGGGGAGCAACTCACCAACGCAAGCGGCGTCGACTTTGATAGCATTCAATATCGGCACCTGCGCACGTTATCAGCTACCCACGAACGCCGGGACATCTCGCCAAGCCATACCATATGCGACCCTCTAGTCACAGAGCTCTCCACACTAGGACTGAAAACATCACCAGCAAACAGCACCAATCCCTCCTTCTCCATCTCTCCATCCGCCGCCAGTGTACTCTTGTCGGCCCATTTCGACCTCTCCGTCAAGAGGAGCTGGGCGAACTGAGAGACGGTGATATTCTGATCTGGCGAGTTGTCTTCGGGAGCGCCGGGTTGGGGGTTGTATTTCTGTTGGACGCGGTAGACATCATTGAAGCAGAGGATGGGAAGAGTGGGCATTGTGGAGTAAGAAGTAGAAGAGGGAGAGAGATTGACGAATGCGATGGCTGGCATTTTATGACTCGCGCCGGCCGGCGGGCACGCCTACGTTACATAAACAGGGACCTGCATCATGTTGAGAGTAATGGCCTGGGAAGACAAAAGCTGGATGATCCTCTCAATGCACACTGTGGAACGAGGTGTGGCGGTGACTCTGGGTGCAGATCAACTACCGGGAGTGATTTCAACGAGAAGGATTGAGATGCGCGCTCGGACCAAACATGCCCGACGCGCATCTCGTGTACTTGTACTATGCGGCGTACTCCAGTACAAGTCGAACGAAGTTCTCTCCGTTCCTGTTCACTTGACTGCTGTCCAGGCTGCTGACATTGTGAATTAAGAGTCATTCTTAGAGAAGCAGTATCTGCATGATTGGATCAATGAGAAACATAAGGATCTATGAGAAACATAAGGATCTATGAGAAACATAAGGTAGATGCCATTCATGGTTCCGATCCTCCTCCGTCTTCTTCCCTCTCTCACCTCTAGCAACGAGTGTAATCCATTTCGGTGAAATTCTGCACATAGAACGATATATATGCCATGATACTTTGTTTGATCTCTTTGCGCAGCGGGCTACACCATGGACGTACAAGTAGAGATGCATTGGATGGCATCAATCAACACAAGGTCTCTGATATGCGTACCCTGCTGTCATCCGGCACACACTATGCACCGACTAAAAAGGTCACAGCAGACATAGTCAACATTGCAAGGACGTAAACTGGAGAAGAGCGGGAGATATCCCCCCAACCAAGCCAGTGGCACGCACTTGAGAACCCGCAAATCGACCCGGGCATTCAAAATATTTGATGTGGGTGTCCCGAACGCTGTGCGTTCTGATTTAACATCGCAGTACGTATGTACAGTAATAAGAACAATCTGCCTGATGCTTCTACTGCAAAAGCTACAGGACTCAGTCCGGCCTCACACATAACATGTATGCACTTTAAGGAGGACTCTATATGGGCTGTTTGTGCGCGTCGACCTATACCGCCCCCTGGACCTTGCTGGATCCCGGAGTAGGCTGAGCACCCTACTCGGTTTAGGGCGCGGAACCTAATTTGGGTAGGCGAAATAGTCTACTACTTGTAGGAAATTATACATTTCCGTCAGGACAGAGTTGTCCCGATCGCTGTGCGTTCTGGTTCAACATGACTTCGCGTGTGAAATACGATCAATTTGGCATGATGTTCCTGCTGGAAAAGATGCAGCATCCATTTCCCGCTCACCTGCCGCTGCTGTATGGACTCTAAGTGCTACGTTTTGCACCAAATACGAGTCGGTCTGGACCATTTTCCATGTCATCCACAAACCCGCACCAAACGCCTGGAAGGCAGTTTACACTTTTCCGCCAGGACAAGGTGTCCCGATCGCTGTGCGTTCTGGTTTAACATCACAGTACGTATGTAATAAGAACTATCTGCCTGACGCTTCTACTGCAGAAGCTATAGGAGCACGCACTTTGAGGGACTCTTTGAACGAAATGTGGGCTGTTTTGGGCTAGTTCGTTTCCATTTGATCCCTATCCCGCACTGCAGTCGCGAGATTTTATCTAGAATCGCCGGTTCGAAAGTGTCCGGATCTCAGTACGTTCACCTTTTCTTTTGCCTTCAGCGGTGCGCTGTAATCTCATCTAAACCGTAGATCGATCTACAGCAATCAGCAAGATAGCTGTAACTGTTACATATACAGGGCTATATGAGGCTGCAAGAAGGCTTTATCGTGGCTGATGCGGTACTCGACTACTCGTACCGTACTCGTGCCGTACCTGACGACCCCAGTGTGAATCGCAATGGTGGAAAGTTGGTCCAAGCAGGATCCCGGTCTCTGTGCCCTTTCACATCGCATTGGTTTACTGAACACTCCCTCGTCTAGTCATTTCACCTGTCGCGTGACCAGACAAACGTGCAAAAGGAGCAAAGTGGTCATGTTGAACGATGGCGGCAAGAAGACCGGGTTGATCATCCGAAGACGCGCTCTTCTGTTGGCCTTCTCGCCGGAGTGGGGCAAAGCACGCACCAGTCTGATGGCCAGCAGGGGCGAGCGAGTCAACAACAGGGCATGCTTGTCGATTGCTGCATGGGAAAGGGGAGTGGCGCTGAACCTTGAGCTGTTTGTTGAAAACGTTCTTCCGGTTCAGCCAGCCGGAGTTCAGGGCGGTGCACGTGGAGCAGCTTTTTGTAAACAAAGTGGAGCGGCCCGCTGCCGATAACGATGGAACGCAGACGATGCTATGGATTCTTTCTTTTTCCCCTCTCCTTCTTTTCCCACCAGCTCCTCGGGCACGCCATCTTCTACCCGCAGTGCCCGCTGGCCAGTGCACTTCACACTCCGCGCATAAATCGCCCCTTTCGCCTCCGCTCGCACCTTTCGCAACACCTTTCTTGCTGTTGAAAGGACAATTCTCCCCAGCGCACGTTCACCATCAGATTCACTATTTATAATCGGTCAGTCCAGCCGCCGGAGATCCCCCCATCCCCCAGCAATCTCAGCAAAGATTACTGACTCGCTGCCCCACAGATAGACAGCAATCGCCACCCGTAACTGCTATATAGATTCGCCCAGATCGATCCCGTTTCTTTTCCCACAGCAACACACTCGCAATGTCCGCCCAAGACGCCCAGCCAGTCGCTGCCCCCGACTCTACCCTCCAGACTCCCGCCCTCTCTCCCTCCAACTCTGCTGGACCATCTCCCGCATTCTCGACTCTTTTGCAATCTCCCGCGGTATCTGAATTTAGCTTGGAGAATGAGAACCCGTTCGATCGACTTTCTGCGGTCAACAAGGAGGTGATGCCAGAATGCTGGGGCCACCGAGGTGCTAGTGCTTCGTTCCGTGAGTCGTAGTCTTGCTTGCCCTCCTGCCTCATCACTGCCATCACTGGTCTCGGTGTTATCGCTCTCGGCCATCACACTTTGGAGATACAGAGCCGACCGAGAACGCTTGCTGATGTTTGCCCTTCGTGCTGCCCTACCCCGCCAATCCTTTGTCCCTACGTCTGACATGTGTCTTTCCATCACCGATTGCCCCCATCTCTCTTATCGGCCTTGTCTATTGCTTCTCCCGACGCGTCGCAATATGCAGCCGAGAACACCATCGCGTCCTTTGTGGAGGCTTGCAAGGCTGGTGCCGACGGTCTCGAGACTGGTAAGTGCATATCCACCTCGAGTTCCCGATCGTATCGTAACGCCTCTCAGATATTCACATGACTACCGACAATGTGCTCGTTATGTTTCACGACCCCGAGCTTGAGAGGACTACCGATGGTGAAGGGCGTATCGATAAGCTCCCCTGGAAGGGCGTCTTGGAGTATGTCGGCCCTTGCGCAGCATGGCCAGTTTCTGTACGTAAGAACCAAGGACAAGCCCCACCAGCCCATCCCCCAGTTCACACAAATGATCGAGCTTCTCCTACAGCCCGCAAACTCTCGTGTCAAGATCAACGTCAGTATCCTCTCCTCTCACCCCCTTTCCCCCTTCCCACAGCCTTTCACGATACGCCCTCTCTAATAAGCGAGCCACGCTGACGATGGGCCCCACTCGGGCCGGGTGCTCGTAGCTTGACCTCAAAGTTGAGAACGACCCGGTACGACTGTTTGGGCTCATCAAGAGCGTGCTCGAGAGCTATGAAGGTTGGCAGGAAAATTTGGCGCCGAGGATCATCCTTGGGATCTGGCATGTGAGTTTGCTCTCTGCGTCATTCGCGAAGTATGGCGCTGACCGTACAACAGCCCAAGTTTATCGTCCCCGCTACGACCATCCTCCCCTACCTCCCCCGCTACGCCATCTCCATGGACCTCCTTCAGGCCCGCAAATACTTCTTCACCTCCTGCCATGGTTTCTCCATCCACTACCCGATGCTTGCTTCCAATGAAGGCGCCAAATTCCGCAAGGAATGCAAGGCAAATGGGAAGAAGATCTGTGTGTGGACGGTGAATGATCCGGAGGAGATGCGGATGTGTGCGAGGTGGGGTGTGGAGAGTGTTATCACCGATAAGCCGGATGTCTGGAGAACTATCAAGCTTGATGTGAGTCTGCTTCTTTCGTCGATTGGTATATCAAGTAAGGTGCTGACGGCCTGTCTAGATTGAGACAGATAGGGCCAAGGCGCTTAAGCCTACGCTCCAGACTTACATCAAGCCTTTCCTCTCCAAGAAGAATTGGTGGTTCGACTACGTGAGTGTCCCGTGCCCCTTCCTCGTTGCGAATCGTGACTGATCTCCCCACAGCAACGTCTGGCGCGTGAAGAGACCGAGTACCTCGAACGCGAGGCTGGTACTTTCGACATCCAAGTCCCGCATGTCGACATGGGCATTGCCGACCCCAACGAATAACCCGAGCTGCTTTTGACCCTTTCGAAAGCTCGACTGGGGCATCTGTTGGGCTTGCAGTTCGTTGCATTGTGTCAGTTGTATATACGACATCATTTGTCGCCTTCACATGTTCTTTTCCTTACTATAGTACCCCTTCCTTGTTTATACTCGTAACGTCTAACGAAGTCTTTCGTCTCATTCTTTTTCTATCTCTTAATCACTACCATCACCAACACTATCATCAGTATCTGTATACAATCGTCCCCTCCCATCCATCATATTGTGCACTTTCAAACATGAACATTTGAAGTATCTCTGCAGGCTGTCAATAATCGGCTAACTCTATCAGATCTGGCACGATTGACAACATCTGCAGCTGCTCGGTTATTGCACCCATTGTCTTGAGGCCTGGAAGTTGATATATGAGGAGTGTTGGCGTGCACGGCGAAATGCATGTTTCAGCCGCAGCTGCCCTTCCTTGAATGGCAAAGTCACAACGAGCTCCGCAGCTTCCCTTTTTACACTGCTGGCTTCTTCCTCCCTTGTTGCCCGAGTATAAAGAGAATTCCTCCTTTTGGGGCATAGCGCCATAAACACCATCATTGCCTATTTACAGTACCACCCGTGATGCGTGAAACGATGACTGGGACCAAAAGGGTAGAAATAGCATCATTCCTTAGAGCACAAATTGGTAGACAGATGTTCTGATGTTTGCAGGATGGGTTTCAACAACTTGTATGACGTATCATGTCTCAATTCGATCACCCGCCCTCCTCTTATATATAGCAGTGCACATGACTAGACGACTACGCCCGAAAACCCCACAAAGTGCACCAGACCTCTCACCAATTCCCACCCTCTTACAGCCATCCCAACGACGTCACAAGCGCCGTCTTGCTGTCGTTTAGGAACAGACACTCATAAAGAGATCAGAAACGTCCCGGCCTGCAGCTGCCTTGGACGTCTTGAAAATGCCGAAGAGGAGGAGGAGCTTAGAATCGACCATGGACATTCAGGAACAGGAGCAGGAGCCGGTGCAAGAAGTGCCCTCATCTCCAGCGGGAGAGGAGATGCCAGCAGAAGTCCCCTCTCCCGCAGCCAGCTCCACGGGACAATCGGGTCTTTTGGACCATGATTCTGGCGCCTCCCAACATGAAGAAGCGGCGTCCCTCGCGCCCTTCCAGTTCTCCCCTCAGGGGCCCGGCATCGAGTCACTGGCCAGCAAGATCCGCTCAGCAGCTGTGAACGCTTCTGAGCAGCCTGATGCGCCCAATAGACGTCATTACATAGATGCCATGGCGTATCATCCGCATCATGCCCAGACTTTACAGTCTCGAGTCGAACGCGTCCAGGCCCTCCGCTCCACCTTGACAGAATACGACAACACTGCAAAATGGATGTACAGCCAGCTTACGAAAAGGCGGAGCCTCTTGAACAGTACATCAACCATAGGAGGACAGCCGACGGGCCATATTGACGACGCTATCTTGCGCGCTGCGCAGAGTGGCGACTGGGATCAAGTGAAAATGATCGAGAGTGAGATTGGGGAAGTATCGAGTCTCATCGACGCATATGGATGGGACTGGAGTGCGTGTAACGAAGGATTGCATGCTATAGATCACCAACAGAGAGGCGTCAGCTTGGAAGGTGAGGGTGGGGGAAAAGATGGACCCACCCATCTTCGAGACACGATCAATCCCCCAAACGAGGTCACGCAATTAGAAGAGTCGACCTTCAGCCCCGGACAGACAAAAGAAGTGAGAGGATCATGGCTAGAGCAAGTTATAGCAGAATCTTCTGCGGCCGCAACCACCACCCATGACTATCATGAAGATCCTCTTGGCAAACAGCTGCAAGAATGGGGTCGAAATGGCCTTCATAAGGGAATGCCTCGCGAAGAACGAACAGCTGCTCTCAGGCTCGGTCATGATTCTGATACGCTTGCAGTTGATTTGGCCTTATGTGATACGGCGGCTGCTTTGATTCAAATCAGAAACAAGAGAAGTACATGGAACAGTCTGCAGTCACTTGTATCTCACACTTATGACTTTGATGCCTCTTTGGGGCCCAGAGGGAACCTTCAGTCAGCACTGGAGAGAAATGACTTCAAATCTGCGAGCTCCGTGCTGGACCGCTTGGACGAGATGGGGAATGTTAGAGGTCCGACTTCGAAGAGCCTTCAGCAGCTGAGCGACATCTTGGGCTCTGTTGCCTCGAGCATGGCAGTACTAGAGAACGAAATGAGTCTGGATATTGATAAGTGAGAAACATGGGATGCATAGGAGCTATGAGGGGGATTCCAATCTTGTTTCTGCATTGACCATTCTAATGTGTATATGCTATCACATCCGCCAGAGTAAAAGCATATTCATTGACATTGGTCGCGAACTGGTGTTTGCATCTGGACGTCACGGTGCGCCTCTTTGGACACACCAATGGCTGACGTGATCGACCCACGTTAGATCTCAGTCAAGGTATACTGCATGAGGATATCCAAAAGCCCTTTTACAAAACATGCTATCTATTAGTATGGAAACATCACTTCTGCCGCTTATGTCACCGTCACGTTCAACCTGATACCCATACAAGCCATCTCCGCACAAAGCTATTTCTCTGTCAGATTGTATCACGTGATGGCAACAAGCTAAACTCACGTATCGGAAGACATAAGGAACCGGCACGACGTCCATCGTCCCCTTCCTCTCACCACCCCGCATACTGACCCCGACGCTCTTCTCCTTGACCTTCTTTTCCTCTCCATGCTCGTGCGCATGTCCATCACAGATCCTACAGTACTCCTTCATGCCCTCTCCACTGACTTCCTCGAAACCGAGCGACACCAAAGAACCACAAGTTCGGCAGACCCAAGCGGTAGAGTAGTCGGAACAGTTCATGAGTCGGTCTTGGAGGAGGAAGGACGTTCCGTGGGCGATTAGAGCATCTCGCTCCATTTCACCGAATCGGATACCACCAGCACGCTTTCGACCCTATACACAATGTCAGCAGATACCCCACGTATGTACAGGCTGACAGGCTGAACTTACCTTGACGGGCTGTCGAGTGAGGGGGTCCACAGGACCAGTCGTTCGCACTTGGAACTTGTCGTTGACCATATGTCTCAGACGCTGGTAGTAGACGAGACCAAGGTAGATGTCGGCGTGGAACTCTTCACCGGTGATGCCAGAGTACATGGGCTCGTTACCGTGGTAGTTGTAGCCAGCAGCCTTGAGCTGTTCGCCAAAGAAGTCGACTGGTCTGTCCTTGTCCGAGAACCTGCAAGTCTGTTAGCGCCGTCAGAACCCAATTGACACAAAAGACTCACTTGAAAGGCGTAGCATCCTGGGCGATCCCGTGCAGAGCACCAGCCTTACCAGCCATACTCTCGACAAACATACCAATTGTCATTCGCGAAGGGAAAGCGTGAGGGTTGATGATGACATCCGGCTGCATACCGCTCTCGCTGAACGGCATATCGATAGCAGGGAATTTCTGCGAGCAGACACCCTTTTGACCGTGTCGTGACGAAAACTTGTCACCGATGACGGGCGAACGGGGGATACGGAGTTTGATGTGGATCTTTTGGAGTTCGGCGTCACCAGAGTCGGAGCCGAGGACGCGGACTTCGTCAATGTAGGCCGTCTCGTCGCCCTTGTACTTGTGGAACTTGGTTCGGCCAGTAGTGTCGTCGGTGTAGCCACACAGAGGGTCTCCCGCCTTGACACGAGAGCCAATAAGCGGCAGACCGTCTGATCCAACAGTCGTCCTCGCATCATGGTCCTCCTTGATATCCCTGCCCAGACCAAAGTGCAGCGTAGGCTTGGAGCTCCTGCTAACACCAGGCACACCCTTGAGGTCAAAGATGTCGGACTTGTAGACGGTACCATAACCGAACCCTCGCTCGTGCGCAGACTTGTTCAAGATCATCGCGTCTTCCATATCATAACCAGTATAGGAGATGACGGCGACAATGGCGTTCATGCCGTTGGGGAAGTTGTCGAACCCATAGTGGTTGTGGAGGTTGGGTCGGACGACGGGGGTTTGGCCGGTCTGGAGACGGTACATCTTGTTGTCCGTACGGCGGTTGAGCGCGGTGGAGGGGGTACCCATGGATTGTTTACCCATCTGGCACTGGTACATGTTACGAGGGGACTGGTTGAAGTCGGAGAATGGTGTCAAGTTGGCAATGACCGACAACATGCTCGTCGGGTCGAGTTCCAGATGCGTAGACACGCCCTTCTCAATCTCTTCCTTCGTAATCGCCACATCCATGTACACCTGCTCAAACGAACCGAGGTGGTCCTTCTTGCCATTCTCCAAGTAGGTGACAGGACGCATCATCCTACTCCTGCTCGCAAAGAGGTACAAACCGGGGTACTGGCCTCCCTTGGTGACGGGTACGTAACCGATCTCGAGGTCGATGGGGACCCTGGAGTCACCTTCAGTCTTGAGCTTTCGGAGCAAGTTGGCAAGCTGCTTGGCCTTGAGCGCAGAGGCGTAACCAATCACGCGACCATCGAGCTGAACACAGACCATACGACGCCCGTCGATGGACGAAGCAAAGACCTGGGTCATACCCTGCGCCGTGAGGAGTGCAGGTACGTGGGAAGCGTCGATGGACGCAGTGACGATCTGACATGTATGCGACAGATGGTTCAACAGACCACAAGGCGAACCGTCGGGCGTGTGGACGGGGCAGAGGAAACCCCATGATTCGGGCATCAACTTTCGGACGGTAGTCGTCTTGAGCTCGGCAAAGAAGGCACCTCGGTGGATACACCTGAAATGGGCGAGGTATCGGTAAAAGTTGAGCTTTTCAGCGACAATGGTGAAACCGGATGTTTGTTGCAGGTCGAGACCGGTGGGGGAGACGAGGTTACCGGTGGCGATAAAGTAGGAGAGCTTGGATCCGATATCCCAGTTGGTCTTGGTCAAGACGCTGGTAAAGTACTTGGCTGTGTCAAGTCAGACATTGCCCCGTAGACGCTGAAGCAGACTTACGATCCGTAAAGCTCCTCGCCTTGCCATCTCTCAGATCAGCAGTGATCTGCGCCTTGACGCTGCTGAGACAATCGTCGAATCGCTCCTTGATGATCATGCCGTAAAGGAAACCGGGAAGGAGAACTTCGTGGTGCTGGGGAGAATCGGGGTTGTCGGCACAAGTGGCGCCAGAGACCTGGGAATACAGCTTTCGGAGCATGAACCTATCAAGAATTAGCCATGCTCACAGGGGCTGGGAAAGCAGACTTACAAGAGCATCCTGAACTTGTCCCTGGGAGCGGGCAAGTGCACCAACACGACCTTCCTCAAGAGGAACCCACCGACCTGGATATTACTCCAGTCATCGGGCACACCCAGCACGACCCTAAACTTTTCTCCCAAATAGTCCAAACACTGCGCACCAGTGTGCAGTCCCCAGGACTTTTGTCCTCGCAACAGCAACTCTACACGGTCGGTCAAGAAAGTGTTGTCATACTCGCCCTGGATGAGGCCCTCAAAGATCTCCTTGTCGCTAGCGTCGACAAGGGCTTTGAGGACGAGCATGAGGGGAATCATGTATTCGACCTTTCGCCAGGCGAATCGGATAGTAGCACCGCCGTTGGAGAGGTAGTGGATGGTGTTGGTACAAGCCGTCTCGTCCGGTCGGACGCATCGGATCTGACAGCCGTAAGGCGTATAGGAAGCACCTCGCTTGGCAAAGGACGGTCGGAAGAGGTTCAGGGGGTTATGTCGGCGGGGAACGACGAGGTATCGGATGATCTTTTCGTTACCGTTGACGATGAAGTAACCACCGAAAGAGGTGGATTCTTCGCCGTGCTTGATGAGTTCGGTAGCGGGAAGGCCCTGCAAGTTGCATCTTATCGACTGTATAGAGGTCAGCGACGCCTCATGAAAGCCTCAAGGACGTACTCTTGTCATGACCGGTAACAGACCACACTCTTTGATCTCATCATACTCCTTCTTGTTTCCGTCCTCGTCAGTGACGGTCCACTTGAGGTTGACGGTCAATTTCGATCGGTAAGTGACGAGTCGCTCTCGAGCTTCTGAAGGAAATATTCTTCGCTCGATGGCAAGCTTGTCCTTTTCAGGGACAAGAGGTTTACTCAGCGCCACTTTGTCGATTCGAACTGCCCATTGTCAGTATAGCTACACCACTCTTAGTATAGGCTTACAGCTGATTTTGGTGCCCAAACCTCCCTCGGCGCCCTTCCCGTCAAACACCACCTTCTCCCCAATATCCTCTACACCCATCTGCAACAACCCCTTGTTTCCGGGGTTCCCATCATCCTCAATCAAAGCGTTGAAACTCTTGATATGCGGCGCCACGAGCTCGTCGAGCGCAGGGACGTCGGCAGCATTGATCGGAGGATGCCTGTTCTGACGCTCCCTCGTAAGGGTACGGAACGTAGTCTTGTCGGGGGCGGTCGAAGAGGATGCCTGCGAGGGGGCGAGGGGGTCGAATGCGGCGACCATGCTGTGGGATGACCTTGCAAGAGTCGCTTTCTGTTGCAGACGGATCACTCGGCTTGCCAACATTTTTGTCGACGATAAATTTCAACGGAGATCGCCGCTCTTCTTGGAGCGGTGGCACCCTCCGCCCCGGGCACGAACCAAACATGCTTCATGCAGCCATTGCATCTCGCCTTCTATTTTGGAATTGGAGCTGGTATGCATCTTTGAGCAGTGCTCAAACTCTTTTGCTGAGCTGGATAGGTGTCGTCTTTACGCCCGGGGGTCTACGTCGCGTCTGTCTTGTACAAATGTCTTCTTCATTTGGCGAGCCTCGTTCGAGAAGACAGGAGAATCCTTGAGCTCGGCCTTCGATATGCGTAGCCTCTGAACGCTAGTTGTGTGGGTTGACATAGTAGAGTGATATGGACGGTGTCTTTGGATGTAATGAAGAATCATTCCAGCGCCTACATCTGGTGAGCCTGTCGCGCAGTCAATTGCGCTGATCTGGTGTACCATGCCTCCCTCTCCTCTACAGACCACCATCCATACTTTGTTCGCCCGGCGCAGACGTTCTCCCCGGTCGCAGCCCTCTCAGATCATCCAAAATCCATATCATATCGCGCCACACGATTCTATAACACCGACATTTAGAAAATAGACGTCACGTGACTGTGCCTCGTTGCGACGCGTCGAGATATTGCTGATGAGCGAGATGGGAGACGAAATTCGCGTTGAACGAGAACATCACATCCAGCGAGAACATCACCCGACATGGCCACCCACACCGCAAAGCGTCCCCGCCTCGCCCTCCTCGACCCCAACACCCCGCTCCCCTCCAGCGACAACGCCCACGACGCCCTCTTCCACAAGCTGCCTGCGCGTCTCACCGCCCCAGCCACACCGTCCACCTCCACCGTCGCATTCTCCTCCTCCCCCAGGCGCCACAATGCCCTCACCTCTTCCTCCCCCACCCGCCACGCACGCTTCGCACCCTACAGCGACGCGTCCACATCTGCCCCGGCCGACCATGAACTCACCCTCCAGACTGGGACTAGCTTCATCTTCGGGCGTCATCACGTCCGCAACGCGTCGGTGAAGAAGAAGAGCGTGTCTATCGAGTCTGCCATCCCTCGCCGTCTGGCGCACCTGGTAGGTAACCCGGAGAATGCGGTGGAGACCATTATACTCCCCCGTGAAGCGCACCACGCGTCGCGCGTCCATGCACTCGTCGAGCTCGTACTGCCGCTCTCGCAGAACCGCGACAAGATCCTACGCATCCTCGTTGTTGGCCAGAACGGTATGCGCGTAAAGGTACCCCGTGGGACGTCACCTGCGCCAGGCAAGAACAGGAGAAAGGGTGTGAAGCTGGTGCAAGGCCAGAGATTTGAGGTCGCTTTGGCTCGTGGACAAGTGGTGGAGTTGAATTTCGGTAAGGTCAAGGTGGCTGTCAAGATGGAAGGCGACGTCGAGCCTGCATACTCGAGCCCTGTCCGGGCTCCTCGACTCAGCTCGGCTCTCCCCAGCTCGGCTCTCCCCAGCTCGCTTCCTCCATCGAGTCCGCCTATCGTCAACGTCGACCTTGACGATGAAGTCGACGTCTCACCCCGTGAACGCGCCTCCCCCGAAAGCTCCCCCGAACCCCCTCTCTTCCCCCGATCCTCCCCTCTCCCGACTACCACTACGAAACCCACATTCACCCTCCCCTCCTCTCGCGAATCATCCCCCCTCTCCCCCGTCTCCCAACGCTCCAACCTCTCCCCCGCGCCCGAACCTTCTTCTCCAGCTCAAATGTCTTCCCCTGCTTTGCCATCTTCACCCTATCACGATGACTATGACTCGCATGAAGATAATGATGAGCTCGAAGGTGAGGGTGAGGGCGAGGATGATGCGGTGGACGTTAAGGCGGAGCGGTTACAAGGCCTCCATGCGCCCTCGCGCAAGAACTCTCCTTCCGGTTCGGCACGAGCATCAACAATGCCCGTTGAGACTCGTCCTCCTGCGGATGTCGACCTCCCAGCTATCATCGCGAGCACCGTCGTGTTTTCCGGTATCTCCAAGCTTAGTTTACCGGATCTGGTCAGGCATATGCTTGAAGTGAGTCCTCCCTCCTCTCATTTTTGTTTCAACGTGATGCTGACAAGAGCAATAGTCGCAGGGTCATTTGAAAGATCAAGGCGACGAAAAGCATTGGACGACCTGGGTCGAAGACGTCTTGGAAGAGAACCCCATGTTTGGCAAAGTCGAGCGTTCTGGCAAAGTACGTCCCCTCCCGCCCTCCCTTCCCCTCTTCCTTATCCCACAAGCTAACCCCCCACAGGACTCTTCCGGCCATCCCCTCCTCCCCCACTACTTTTACAACCCCTCCGCCGACCCCGATGCTGAACGCGCTGCCAACTTTGGCAATTTCGCGAGACCGCTCAGAAAGGCGGCGAGGAGTGCGGCGGCTATTGATTGGAGGCCTGTTGGTGCTAGAAGGAGAAAAGCTTGGTAAGATGGTGTATGCTATATGCTGGTTGGGAGTGGTGTTTTTGAGAATACGGGAGATGGAGAAGAGTGCGAGTAGTGTAAGAAGGTTGAAAAGAGGTGTGCAGTATTGAGAAGAGTAATTTGATTTTTTGACGTTTTTGCTATATGAATAGTTCAGATACAGATACAGATACAGATACAGATGTTGCATACTCATTGCGTTGACACAAGGGGGGCATCGAGGCTCTCCTGAGCGTTCAACTTCATACAGTCTTTGGTAGTGTGGCTGAGATTGAATCGGTGATATTTGCAGAACAACTTTGACTTTCTACTGACAGTATGCGCCGTGGCGGTGGAGGGTACAACGGCAATAGGGGGCGTGGCGACAGTCTGAAGACGGTCATAGTGCTTTTCGGCCATATTGGTGACATAGCACACCGTAATCTTTGAGGGATCACGGCGATGTTCAGAGTCAAGGTGACGCAAGACATCATCGTATGAGGGAGGAAGGGAGTTGATGATAGCATGGCAAAGCACATTTTTGGGGATGGGCAATCCAGACCCCTCAAGACTTTGGCTTTTGTCCATCAGTCGATAAATGTGCTGGTAGGCGTTGCCTTGGTCCGCAAGCTTCGTAGAGAAGATGGCGTCCATTGCGTAGCTTTGTTCCACAAAACTCATGGGAGAGCGACATTCGGCCTCTAGGTGGGTATACAAAATCTTGCTGTAAGGGTAGATCTGCGTCCTATCACCGCACATTTTGTCATACTCCTGGAAGTGGGGCGGCAGGCGCCTCCTGAAGAATGGATCGAGGGACCTGAGGATGATCTCATAGACGAGCTCGTCGTGTTCAGCCGAGTCTCGAGGCCAGTGGGGATGGAGGTCTTGACCCGAGAGCACGTAATAGACCTCGTGAAGGACACACAGGTCCTTGAGCTTGTCGCTCCAGGATTTGAAGTTGACATAGCCTTGGAGGTGGGAATGTACGTCAATGAACGCAAATCGAAGGGAATGTAACAACGCAACCGCAATGAAGTCCGGCGAAGATCGGGAGATATAAAGAGCGTTGCTCAAAGATCCCGGATCGCCTGTGAACGTGGTCGCTGGTGGGAGGTGAGCGAAAAGTCGTCGCTCGTCTAGTGGAGGCAGTGCGGCGCTGGGTACTCTGGGAGGGGCGGGAAGTGTTGTTGAGGGTGTATGGAGAGAGGCGGAGCCCGTCTGAGGAGGTTGCCCTCCATAAGCTGTACTTTGGTACGACATGACTGCTTTCGGTGTTGACCGCGGAGGAGGTAGAGGGGATCTGTGCGACGGGTCTTAGCAAACGGTCAAGGACATGGTGATAGAAGGGGGGAGTTGATGTCGTTCGAGATGTGAGGACAGGCTACACATACCTGAGACAGTCTCGAAAGAGGGTCAAGCCGAGTCGGATAGAAGAGGAGAGTACTGGCGCTTTGGCTACAAGAGCGACGAGAGAGAAACTGGAAAGGAAAACAAAACAAGTGCGGTGGGCGTGGGCCGGCGGCCCCCGCGCACATTGCGCTGTGTGTGTGGTTGATTGTGTTACGCAACATATTACTTCAACAGAAGAATGATGGTACGCGCAGCATGCATGTCAAACGAATGCATGTGGTGGTCGGTGTGGCGTAACATCAACACGACTCACTGCCTGACCCTCAGTATCTCCCTTGCAGACCAGGAGAAATACACATCTTTCCTCTGCAGCATCATTGACTCTCATATATCAGCAAAGAAAACACCGGTACAAATTGGGTACAAACGAGTACAAAACATGATCTCCGCATGCAGCGCTGCGATATATTTCTAACTACTGCTCAACACAGTAATGCAGTAACCTATTTCTTCCCATCGCTCTCTATAGCGAAAAGACTCATCCTTCCTCATGCAACCATCTGCCCCTCGATTTTGTCCCTTATCAGAATCTGATGACTGCTCAGCTTATACCTCTTCCGCGAAATGTGCTCGCCCATTTCCATTGCCCAGAACACTACTCGACGGACAGCATTGGCGTACCATGATTCAGCCTGCACCAGTCGAAGAAGCCTGTTTGATTGTGCCACCAAAGGATCATTCCTCTTGCACATCTCCTGCCTGAATGCCGTTAAGCTGCTGATCAATTCTGGTCACGTCAGCAGCGGTCCTTCGCTTTGAGCGGGGATGGGTCTGCTCACCATCGTCATCTTCTAGGGAGGTCAATACACGAACAAGCTCTACGGCATCTTTGATTGCCGAGCTAGCCCCGGCACCACAGAAAGGGGGCATCCCATGTGCAGCATCCCCTATCAGCACCACCCTTCCGCTTCCGCCCACTGTCTGCTTTGCGGTCCACAGACGGAAGGCTTCTTTCTCCTTCCAGCCGGGGTCTTTTTCTAGTTGCCTCAGAAACTCGCCGTGTATGGTGGGTTTGCATCTTTCTTCGGCACCTTTTTCTTGGTGGCTTGGCTCGAGCCAGATCGATGGGATCGTGAGCGCAATGTACATCGACGGGTACGATAGTGGCATCATGGTAGCGGAGAAAGATTCGCCATAAATGAGGCTGAGCCCGTTATGGTCGTGGATCCATTCTCGCATGTTTTCAGAGGTGGTGCGGACGTTGATCACTGTCTGCGGTAGCTTACGAAAGTAGCTTTCGTGGCTCGGTTTTTTTGTCGAGTAAAGAAGATTGCGAGTTTGTGAGAACATGCCGTCGGCCCCTGCATGTCGAGCGAGTCGCGATGTCAGACGTCATCCCTTCCGCCTTGCTGACGACAGCCATACGGACGCTTACCTATGACCCCGTCCACTGTGATTGATTCCTTGTGCCCGTCCTTCTTCTCTAGCATCACTTCCACACCACTACCGATGTCTTGTAGCCCGATCACTTCCGTGCCCCATTCTATATCTTGCCCGGCACCGTTGCTCAAAACGCTCATTAGGTCGCTCCTTTCCACCATCGGATCTACTCCAACGTTGCGGACTGTCCAGAATATCTTCTTGCGGTTATGGGAGGATATTGTGATACCATCATGAGCGGCTGGGATGGATTGGCGGGCTTCGAGGAGAGTTGTCGCGTCTGGTGGAGAGAGGAAAGACGATAGAGCTTCTCGTCCGGCCTACGTTGACAGTGAGACTCTCCCACGATTTCAAAAGCATGACTGACCTTGGACAAGTGTAGAGGATATCCCTGACGCCTTTTTGCATGCTGTTCTACTCCGAAATCATCAGTTGTTTTGTTGAGTTGTTTTGTTGTTGATGTTTCAGCCTCACCCCTTTTCTCAACGATACGGATGTTCCACCTGCCTTGCCGGAAAGAGTCTGTCTGGCGTAGAGCGTAGCTTGCGGCCAGGCCAGCCACACCTGCGCCTACTACAAGGACCGTCTTCTGTGGCTTTATAGTCATCCAGCAATAATTGTACATGGATGATCCTCCAGGTCATGAACCGTCCGTCTGGCAGTTCGAGTGACAGCGTTTGATCAAAGGAAGTGCTAACAAAACGGGTGAAAGGAGTTATATTTCTGCTTGGATGCTTGGTAATGCACGTCGGGCAGCGGTTCCGCAGTATACAGCATCATCGGGAAGGATAGTACGGCCAGTCGCTACCATCGTCAAGCTATCAACAAGTCTCGCAAGTATACTCCTCGTAAAAAGCAGGGGGAGGACAACGTCGGATCAGTCCCTAGTCGGCATTCCCGTACACTTTCTTGGACTCATATTCCGGCACTTCCATCCTCGTGGCAACGTCGACGAGCCTTCAGTGCTCGTAACTTGTCCAAACTAGTGAACACTTCACCTGCAGAATAGAGGCTGCCCGTCTGCTCAGCCGAAAGCAGTCGTTCCCTCAAATCAGCGCTCCGCAGTACCTCCTGCAGTCCACTCCAACTCCATTCCTAATTGTCAATATGGGTCGTCACGTCCTCAATTTCTTTTCGATTTTTACCAGTTCATTTCGTTTTCCCTCCCCCGCAGCGTTGAGCAACGCCTCTCCGAGCTGGCTTGAAATAGATCCTCCAATGGTCTGCATGCTACGCAAACTAAACGCTTGACGCGAGATTCCAGAACATCCGCATGCTCTGGATGACATGCTAGGTTATCAGTGCAGTATTAGCAGCCCCTTGCAGATCCTTCGGAATTGGCAGCACCCATCGCCGCTGCACGGAGCTTGCTGGCAAGAGTCTCGGGATGTGCATCTAACTTCTAAGTGGAATGATCTTGAGATGCTTGGGACTAGATCTTCTCGTTGTCGTGCTTGGAACTTGCCCGCCCTGGGGGAAGAACTTGATTCTCCCTGTGACTCGGCTTCGTCTTCCAAGGTGACGTAATGATTGGTACTATCATGCGACATGTTGACGAGAGAGTTTTGTCCTTGAGCAGGGTATACAGATCTGCTAGATAATGTACCAGCGGCTCACTGTTTTAAGCTAATATGAGTGCGATGAGAACATCCATATGGTGTTTCGACCGGGAGACAATCACGATAAGCTCCGAAAAGGGGCTTGCAGACCAAAATGATTGCCGACCCTTTCCTGAAAAATGCGCTCCCGGTCAGGGGGGGTCATGGCGGCTCGACTCACCTCCCAAAGGGAGGGTCCGTTGTTTACCTGATACCTCAGCATTCGCATGATTGAGCTGCTACTCTTTCTATCGTTTTATCTCCCGTTTTCCCAGAGAAACATTCTGATTTATGGCACAGATCGATGATCTAAGCTGATGAGATGATTGCTTTGACGGGTCTCTACTTTGAAAACATATTGCCCCGTCTTCACTCAACGCATGCACTGTAAATTGCCGAGAATGACCCTTAAAATTAGCCGAAGCCATATCCGGAACTATGTGTCGGTGATATCCGGAGCCTGATTTTTGCCGACGGCCCGGGTTACGCGAGACTCGTCACCAGACGACTCAAATCTGACTTTTGCGTCAATCACCACCACTCGATATCATGGATGGCTCTTCCAACGAGAAATTTCTCCAACAAGAATCTCCATCTCCCACCAGAACGGCATCTAGCGTCACCGTCCGCAACCCTTCCCCGCCCTCAGCATCCATGGCCTCATCATCAGCCCGCGAAACCGAGAAATACAAAATGACGACCCCCTTCACATCACGTCCTGGCACGCCTGAAACGCCCCATTCGACCGTACTAGAACATCCGCCTCTGCCTAATCTGAAAGCCACCAAAAGCAGGCGTTCACGCGGAGCTTCAACGAGCTCCAGGGTCTCGAGAGGTACGGGTGGCGCCGAGTTCAGCCCACTCGAGCGGAGAACCAGTTCGCAGACTGCAGAATTGCAGAATGAGCTAAGAAGACATGTGTCGCTACATGGTGTACCGCAAAGGCACTACGAGCACGAGGTATTGGAGCTACGGCAGGAAGTCGATCTCGAGAAAGGGAAGGGAAAAGAGGAAGTTACGATCATTGATTGGCTGCCACATGATCCTGGCGTGAGTCCTCGTGTTTCGAATCGCGTAACACCTGCTAAATAGGTACAGCACCCGTACAATTTTGCGACCTGGCGAAAGTATGCCATATTGACAGCTGCCAATATTGCCACCTACATTGCTGCTGCCAATCTCGCCTCAGTCGCCGTACTGGCTGATTTTGGTACCGCCTATTTTGACATATCAAGAGAGAAATGGGAATTGTCTTTGACGGTGGGGATGCTGGCCATCGCTTGTGCCCCCCTAGCTCTGGCACCTTTGAGTGAAAGTGTACGTCTACATGCCCTGAAATCTATTATCCTACTGATGCAAGCACAGTTTGGCAGGAATCCTGTATACCAGGTAACCTCGGTAATGTATGCGCCTTCTGGTTTTGATGGGAACAGTAGCTGACAGACAGCAGAACAGCGGTGATGTGGATACCCCAGATCTGGTCCAATCATAATTACAGCGGTGTTCTTGCTGCTCGCTTCTTCGTGCGTCCAAACCCTTCTGCAATGTCGTCCACTGACATCATCCACAGCAAGGTGTAGGAATGTCGGTATCGAATTCAATGGTCGGCGGTACCGTCGCCGACCTTTTCCGGCCAGACCAGAGAGGGTTCGCGATGAGTTTCTTCACTGCGTCCATCTTTTGGGCGCAGGGTACTGGGATCACTTTCTCCGGCTGGGCCGGAGAGAAGCTTGGTCTGCAATGGGCTTGGGGCGTGAGTGTGAGCCCTTTGGCGCTGTGAATTGAGCTAACAATGGGATAGATACAAGCTATCATTGCCGCATTGTCTGTCGTCTACAACATCTTTTTCATGCGCGAAACGCGTGCCGATGTACTGCTATCCCGACGAGCCAAAGCCATGACGAAGAAAACGGGCAAGAAGCATATCGCTGTGGTGGATTTGGAGAAGACGGCATTGTTGACGTTGATCAAGGTGTCTATCATTAGGCCTCTACGTGCGTCAAGCTTCCAGACGATGTGAAATTGACCAAAGCTGACAATGTCGCAGATTACCTGATCACGGAACCGATCGTTACCGCTCTTTCTCTATGGTTCGGCTTTGCCTGGGGTGTTATTTTCCTAGGGCAGAGTTCTGTTATGTTGGTTTTCGAGCAGTACGGTTTCTCTGCTGCCGAGGCTGGCTCTTTCGAAATGTACGCAACTCCTCTTATCGCTCTTCTGCATCCCTGACATCCTTTTCAGTGCGATGGTTATCGGAGCCACCATCGGTCTCTTTGCCCAATTCCACCAAGAATCTCTCTACCGCCGCGCCGCCATTAAGCACAACGGCAAAGCCCCACCCGAGGCGCGTCTCTACTGGGCCGCCTACGGAGGTCTGCTCTTCCCTTTGGCGTTGTATGTCTATGCCTGGACAGGGCAGCCGAGTGTACATTGGGCGGTGCCGGGAGTGGCATTGGTATTTATGAACTGGGGTGTTTTCATGATCTACAGTGGGGTCTTGTGAGTTCTTCTAGCTGCCTTGTCGGGAAGGGCGGAGTGCTGATAGGGAACGCAGCACGTACCTCGCAGATGCGTACGAGATCTACTCGTCATCCGCTCAAGCCGCCCAGAGTTTCTGTCGAAACGTCCTCGGTGGTGTCTTCCCTCTCTTCGTCCGTCAAATGGTAAGTCTCTCCCTCCTCACCACCTCGTTCAATCGCTTGACCAAGAGACGTAGTACAAAGGCATGGGATACCCACAGGCATCCACATTAGTAGCAAGCGTCGCTTTGGGCCTCGCTACAGCTCCATTCTTGTTGCTCATGTTTGGCAAGAAGTTGAGGGCGAAGAGCAAGGTCACGAGTCAACTATTCCAGGACAAGGAGGAGGAGGTCAAGGAGGAGAGGGCGGCATCAGCATAATTCAACAATTGCATAATCTTGATACATCGTTTGTATAGCACTACTTGTTACGATAGACTATAATCACCATAGATGGGGAATGATACGACATGCATTCATACGTGTGTCATAATCATCATTCAACAACGCAAATTCGGCCATGCATCATTCCTTGAGCGGTGCTATAGATGGTTCTGCTGTATACATCAGGACAATCAATACCAAATCATCAACCAATGTCATGGATATGACTAATTCTTCCGGGTCAGACATGATATCATACAAAAAGATTTCCCCCGCAGACACCATTCTGCGCGGAAGACTTCAATCCAGACACCATGAAATTATATTTGCGCGGTGTCCCAGTCCCTGCATTCCTTGTGAGGCTTCCTATTGAGATTGTTTCCAATGAGCGAGAGAGCTAGGCTGGTTAGCTCCAAGATGTAGTACTTGGGACAGATCAGAGTGTGAATGTTCTTTTTGGACGATAGCGCTTCCATACAAACTATGTGCAAGATGATCTTCCCAAGGTCCAAGGTCGCTCAATGATAAGCAGCCGTATTTCAGTCGAACATGTAAATAAGCTCTCTGTTCATCCAGTGCAGGTCCATCTGTCCGTCTGCCCATCTTCATCATGCAAGCCTTTGCTGCCCCGCCGCCACATCCGCTGCCAAATCTTGAAGGCGGAGGGGCCCAACCAGGGTATTGAAGATATTTCGACGGGGTGTCCCGAGCGCTGTGCGTTCAAACGCCGTATCTGCTTGAATGTCACATACTAGATGAGCATTGCACTCTCAAGTCTCAACACACGGGCCGGAGATACCGGACGATCTGATCCCACGGAAAGCTTACCCGGCAACCATCTCCTCTTACATCGCCTCGTGATGCGCCCGTCCGATGCGACGACCATCTGGCCCCCCTTGTCTGCACTTTTTTCCAGCCACTTTAACTGATGAGACATGCTCCAACCTTGATCCTTCTGGCTTAATCAAGGCTGTCCAAGCTCAATACGAAGGTCCGTGCCCTCCGAGCCGGGGAATGAAGCGAAAATGGCTCTATCGAGGAAGGATCCGCAGGGGAGATTGGGGCCGTACCTGGTCATTGTTCTGCCAGAGGCGTCCTTTCTCTCCTGGGCTACTTGTGCGAGGCCGGGAATCGCGACCAGAGAAAGTCGCAGCTGACTTAAATCCAGCGGGGCCAACGGATCATGACGGGGCCAAACAACGAGCAGCGGGGCGCAGATCTGTTGATGGGCACGGGGCCAGAATGTATAGGGACGCGAGCAACGGCGTTCAACATCCTTTCCAGCAGTCACAGTGGGGGACGCCCCTCCTTTCGGCGACAGAGGCACGATGCACTAGCCGTGTTTGATTAATGATTAGCTGCAAAGATATATAAAGGTGCATTCCTATCTTCATCTCTCTATTCTACATCTTTCTTCGCCTCGCCTGCTGTTCTAACGTGAGCACCCATTTTTTCGTCGTACGGCCACGATCTCACCCTTGCAGTGCCCCGAGAATGTCTCCACGAACTCGCACACGACGCCAATTTGCCATGACCTACCCAATTCTTCCCCAACAGCCTTCTTCACAATCTGGCAACATGCCGTCTCTCAACTGCGACGCAAGCAAAGGTACAGTCTAAACCAGCGCCGCCAAATATGGAGTCCCGGCTAACGGTAGTCACCATTGCCTAGTACAAGACCGACGAAAGACAACAGTGCACTGTACGTCATTCGAAACACCTTCAAACACCTCAAGCTGATACCTCGCTAGCTCCCCCTCTCAGGCCCAATCTTCCCGATTTTACACGCGTCGCTACTGCGGCCCACACTGCTTCCATCCTCGCCAGACCTCCTCCCCCTACTGTTCTCGGCCGCCCTGGCACCCGCGAGTTCTCCTTCGCTCCCCTGCCTTATACCGATGCCGACCTGCCCTTGCCAAAACCTTACAACGCCAACTATCCTCATCCCATCACTGCTTACGCTTCTCCCGGTACCAACCCCGAGGCGGTCAGGTGCTCTGGTTACGGAGAGATCTTGGACAAGATGGTAAAAAACGATATCCGACTCGCTTTGGGAGATATTCTGTATGAGGCGGGCTTTAGGGACCTCGACAACTCGGTGTATCTGCTCTTCTCTTACGAGAGCACGGGGCAGGGGAACGGGATCCCCGAGAGTCTTTGGAGCAAGTTTGAGAATGTCAACAACGTCAGGCTTCCTACAGCTGCGGCTGTTACTGCTTCGGTGGCTTCGGCGGCTTTGCAAGAGCAGCAACACTATCGACAGCCTGCTCTCCCTCCTCGATTCTCCCGACAATCACTCTCGGCGTCTAGCGATGAGTCTCATCTCGAGACCCCCTTCGAGTCATACCGCCAGAGGCCGGTCGTACCTGCGCCTCCTCATTCTCATTCTCAGGCTCATCATCAGTCAGATGTGAGGGAAGAGATGGATGCCTGGAAGACAGAAATTTGTGTAGCATGGGAGACTAGCGGTGGATATTGCAAGTACGGCGCAGGTTGTCAAGTAAGCCTCGTCCCTTTCGTCTCATACAGTGGCTGACAAAAGTGTAGTTTGCGCACGGCATCGAGGATCTCAAACTCGACCGCCATCAACTCGCACTCCGCGGCCTCATTACCCCCACCCCGGCTTTCGACGCTGCTCAAAGGTCCAACCCCGACGTGCTCGCACCTACCAGCTCGTCTCGCAGAGGGTCCTTGTCACCATACCCCAACTTCAGCATGAACCGCTCTATCCCTACGCCTCAGGCTCACTCATCATCGTTCCCCTCCTCCACTGGCGCAGACAGACGCTTGTCCGTTCCTCACACCCACTCTCAGCACGGCGTGTTGACACCAGAAGAGTGCGCACTTTTCACCGGCGTGGGTTACAGGCGTCAGTCAGAGGTGTTGCTAGAAAAGGGTGTCGGAGGGGTGATAGCGCCGATTGGGGTGGAGAGGGTTCATGCGAGTCAGAGGGGGGCCTTCGAAGGGAACTATGTGTTTCCCGTGGAAGCCGATCCCCTCATGAATGTCGGGGTAGAGGACGACTTTACATTCCACCTCGTCAACCCTTGTGCTTCTTATGACTCTTACAAGCAGTCCCCGACATCATTCCAATCCTCTTTGAAGCCATTTTCATTCCACCCCACTTCGGCCTCTTCATCCTTCGCCAAACCCCGTACTTCCAACCTCAGCCTCAACACCATCGTCAGCGCTCCCATGTCGTCCTCGGGTTCATCGAGATCGGCATGCTCAGGCTCGCGTTTCTCCGTCTACTCTTCATCTGCTCTGAGCGATCATTCGCCCGCGACGACGCCGATGGGGATGGGTACAAAAGACTACCTGTTTACGCCTACGATGGAGGAGGACTATGAGCCTATTGTTCTTTTTGGTGGCAATGAGGGAAGCTTTGGGAATGGGAGCACCTCGAGTGCGATTGGGGCCGGGCTGGGGTTGGGGTTGAAGGAGAAGAGTTCGACGACGTTTGAGTTTTCGAGTGGCAAGTCTATCTGGTGATCATCATCATCTTTTGCTTCTTTCCCTTCCTTGTCTACTTTTTGTGTTTTTTACCCCTCACCCCTTGTCACGTACATCATTTTGTTGCCTATGTTCTTCTTTGGACTGTGTACTGTCTCTGTCTCTTCCCCTCCTAATTTCGCTTTTGGTAGTCTGCCTGTCGATTCTTCCTAATCTGGTCTTCGATTTCATTCACCCTTCCGTCTGTTTACTTGTTTTCTTTCATTTGTGTCCTTTTTACTCTTCTCATTACTCGAACAATTAATATTTTCTCATTAAATTATCGCGCGTTTCCAAAGAGCTATACATGCACTCTCTGTTAATACTAGTACTTTCATACTCTGGAGTCATCGCATTCGACAAGGAGGTGAAGGGGAGAGAGAGGGTACTCATTACGATGCCTTATGTGTAGGGAGATTATGAGAGTCTACATATGGGGACACTAGTCCTGGCTTGCTGCCACTTACGCATGCCTTTTTCGATTTCATGCTACAGCCGGCTACTATCTTCGGTCAACGGTGGCTGCAAGGCATACTGGTGCTCAAAAACACAATGTCTCGTCTCTGCTTTAGACGATCGATATCTTCTACGTACGGTGGCCAGTGTATACTTGAGACGGTGTAGAGGACTCGTACTGTACTCGAATGTGTCAATGAAGCATCACCTCATGGTGTTAAACGCACAGCGCTCGGGACACCGAGACCGGCCTTCGTGACAAGGTTCCATGCCTTCGCTGTTCAGCATTATCTTATCGAGTTCTTCCAGCATATCGCTGGGACGCTCGACATTGTTTAATTAAGCTACAGGGGTCAAGGGACCTGTGCACCTCCCCCGAGTGCATGCATGGCACTGTGGTCCGTTACAGCTTCCTGGATTCAGATGCTGACAGTCGGCAGCAAGTGGCCACGTTCATGAGTGATTCCGCAAAGGCTTGCCTCTATATCTAGCTTATTTCCCATACTTTTCATCTAGTTCGAATTTCACCTTCGGTCTTCTGTATGAGATTATAGCACGGAATGGATCGTGCAGATGTTGTCCAGCCCACGGTGACATGACGTCAGCACCTTAACCGCCGCCGACTTCTGGTCAATCATGTCAAGCAGTGGACCTGTCTTTGCAGTACAATTCTCTGAAGATGGCTTGCCTTTCCCTTGTGCGGCCATATAGAACGTCGCCGACTCAATCTACTATAGGGGCAGACACTTGAAGACATACTCGTATACGACGCAGCTCAAGGTTGAACGCACAGCGCTCGGGACACCCCTGGACCGTTTCCGCCCAGGCGACGGCCAGGCTTCGTGCAAGCTTCGTGCAAGCTTCGTGTATGGATGTTCGTTCAAATCAGGCGACCGACATGTTACGCTCGAGTACGACGATATCGTCAATCCATACAATCTATATGAGGTATACTGTAGAATCTCTAATGCTAAATCCAACCCAATGTCTAAGCGCTGATTATTCTATACGAGTACAACCAAGAACGGAAACTCTCTATACAACGCGGTTGATGGCCCCCTTGCCGTCGAGATAATCGGCCATGATGTCGATAGCCATATTGCAGCCGTCGAGAGTGACGCCGTCGGTACTACCACCGCTACAGCAATAGTCAGTACGAGGAAAAAGGAGAAGGGGGGAGGAAAGAGGTGAGGAAGACTTACAGATGAGGCAACAGAACGACATTGTCCAGCTCTCTCAGCCCGCCCAACGACTCTCCGTACGCCGGCTCAACCACAAACACATCCAACCCCGCTCCTCCCAGCTTCCCCGCCCTGAGCGCCTTCTCCAACGCCCGCTCATCCACGATCCCTCCCCGCGCGGTGTTGACCACCACCGCGGTGTCCTTCATCCACCCCAGCTCTTTCTCCCCTATCAGGTTGCGAGTGCTGTCGTTGAGGGGGCAGTGGAGGGAGACGACGTCTACTTGGCGAAGGAGCGCTTCGAGGGAGGGAGCGCGGGTGTGTGGGAGGGGGGTTTGGTAGCGCGCGTCGGAGGAGGTCCAGCGGGTAGGAGGGGAGGTGGGGGAGAAGACGACGAGTTGACAGCCGAACGCCGTCACGAGTTTTCCCACTTCGTACGCGATATCGCCCATCCCAACAAGACCTACGACTTTACCAAACAGTCCCGGGCTCAGAGCCTTGATGGACGGCACGCACTCTCCGCTCCTGATCCGGCGGTCGACTTCGAGCACCCGGCGAAGGACGGTGAGCATGAGGGTGAGGGCGAGCTCGGCGACGACCTTGGCGTTGCCGCCGGGGACGTTGGTGACGGCGATGGAGTTGGCGATGCAGGTTTGGAGGGGGACGTTGTCGACGCCGGTACCGTTTCGAGAGATGATACGGCATTTGGGGGCGGCTTTGACCATGTCGGGGGTCACATTGCCCGTTCGAAGCACTGCCATTCGTGTTCAGCGTGGGTTCGGATGTTGTGGAAGGGGGCGTACGGATGGCGTCGATATGGGGCATGAGTGTTTCCCATGGGCCATCGCTCGGGCGGAGGAGCTTGGCGAAGCGGGTGGCAGCGTATGTTTCGGACTTGGGGTGGAATGGGGTGTGAAGGTAGACGGTGGCCTGAGCAGCGCGGACGAGGGGCTCGGCGGGGGGCGTGGGGAGGTGGGTGGGCATGGCACGGTCAGGGAGGCGGGGAGAGATGCGAGGGAGGCAGGGGATTGTGGAATGGGGGATGGAAAAAGATGAAAGCCGAGATAAAATGTGACTCGCTGGGCGATAAGGATTGGATCTCGGGATCGCGGCTCGGCGTCGGCAAAGCGGTCATCCGCGCGTCGTCCTACAACTTGCAGGGCCATTGGAGAGGGAGGGCGTGTAGGAAGACGTGTCAGTTTCCAGTCATTAAGTGCTTGTGGAAAGACCACTCAGGGCTTTGAAAACCCTTTAATGCATTATTGAAATCTCATTTCAAGAGGTGATCAACTCCTTAATGGTCGTTTGGTTTTGAACTTGAGCAGGTTTGCCGGGGCTTGAATGTATTGATCGAGTCTTGGGTCTTGAGAACCATCCTCAAGGTGCCGCTGGTATCTCTATCAATGAGAAAAGTCTCACTGAAGCGACGATTGGGCTACGCAAGACGTGTTTCCAGTATCTCATAAAAAACTCCACAGGGGCATCGTCCAAAGTGTCGGCACTGAACAGGAACCTAGACATGCTGTCAAACTCGTCCTCCTCGTCGGCATCCCCACCATCCTCGTCGCACAAGAGTCAGAGCAAGAATAGGAAGAAGCCAGCGGCCCCAGCGGGGCGACGCCCGTACTTGTATGTGGCGGCTTGTCCGCGTCGCATCGTCTTTCTTCTCTTTTGATGGTGTCATAAGCAAGAGTAAGTGTGCATGGACAATCTAGATATACCGAGGCCTTCGTTGCCAGCGGCAAGACGGTCGTCGTTCTGAGAAGGCTGAGGGCTGCGATGTCGAGTGCAGGCGGGATGTCACAACGTCCGTATTACCATATCTAGTCATACCGACTGACGTTCGTACACGTACATAGTACGTACTTATTCACGTACATCCATCCAATTGGGATTGCCAAGGGCAGGACAATTCAATAATGGCCCAAAGAATGTAAGACGCTTCCGCGCGCCTTGAAAACACAAGAATGGTCGACGGCCTTGAGGATGCGGTGCCCCATATTTGATCCGCAAGCCTTTGTCAAGCCTTTGTTGTTGCCACTCGCACCATTGCATTCCTGTTGTTTGCTCTCTTTTTGTTCTGTTTTTGTTCTCATCCATCCCCATATCCGCCATCGCCTCTCTCCTCTCATACAACGGCGTGCACCAATCCCCACTTCTCCATGGCCGATACAGGCTCCTCTTCACAGACGGGAGGATCGTCCGCTGTCCCGCAATCGTGAGCACCTGGGTACTGTCTGTGTCGATTATTTTCTAATCGTCGTTCAGAGTGAACCGATTCTCTGTCTCTCGGAATCCGCTCTCAGGGATCTCTCGCTTTGTCGACTACCACAGTGATGACAGTGACAATGACGACGCCACTGCCCCGCAACCGTGAGCACCTGGGTACGGTGTGTGTTGATTACTTTCTAATCATCGTACAGAGTGAAAACCCCTCATTCTATCAATCCGCTCTCAGATATCCGTGACTTCATCAATCGCCCGATCGCCACTGCTACTGCATCGCGGGCCGGCTCTGCACAACACAAAGACAAAACTTCTGCACGACTCAAGACAAAGCTCCCGCAGCCCCTCCCCCCTCGCAATCTTCTGTTCCCAATGCGTACCCCTCTGGTCTCGGCCATCCTGCGAATGGGAATCTCAAAGGTCCTCTGCGGTTGGTCCCGTTCAACCTTACAACATCCCACAGCTATCCCAACGGTTTCACGATCAAGCCATACAAGGGTGTGGATCAAGATTGGATGGGTTTATGCTGGACCGATTGCTATCGCAAAATCCCAGACGAACCTGAATTTCAAGCCGACCACGTTGTCTTGTATCTCCGTGAATTCTGCGTTCCTCCCAAGGCTGTATACCCAACTAAGTGGAGGACGAACGTGGACTTCTCCCAGACTTCTTTCTATGTTTCTCTGGAAAAGGAGTTCACGGATTTGGAGATTGTGCAATCTGTCAGGGATCATGACCCCGAAGTGAAAGTGAGTAGTCTCGCTTGTGCCCTGGATAGTGTCGCTGATCAGCTTCGGGGTACATCCCAGGCTGCATCCATGATGTCGACGGAGCTTGGCGCCACAAAGTCAGATGTCTGTCTAACAGGGTATCACATTGAAAACTCGCGGAAGAGACGTATCGAAAAGAGCCCGCGGGCGGCGGAAATCTGGGAGATACCGATCGCCCCCTCGAAGCCCTCTACGCTATCATCGAGCTCAAGTGGGTTCCTTGGGCAGGAGAAAGTAAGCTCGATCTACGGAACCTCGACCTACACCTCAAAGACCTCGACTACGCAAACGTGGAGGCCATCGCTCAGACAGTCTTACAGCCTACTTGGTTATGACCTCTCAAAGTGTCGTTCGGCTATGGCGTCGGTCAACGGGAATTACACTCGTATCTTGAACCTGACTCATCTCGTGCCAGAAGGAGAAGAGGTAGTTTGGGAGGGCGTCACTCTAAAAGGAGACAGTGGTCGGAGCATCTTAGTCGAAGCCGATCCAAATGTTGTCGCCGAGTTGAGGCGCCGCGACCTTCATTGCGTGTCTCCAGAGCAATTTGGCGTACTCGCGGGAGGAGATCCTTTGTTCGGTATGCAGTGGAAAGCACCGAACTCACTCATCGCAAAATACGAGGATTGGAGCTTGGATCTAAAGGCTAAGGATCGCCTCGATGCCACTGTATATATGAACCTCGCTCTCGCTACTCACCATCCGGAGACCGCCCCAGATCCTCCCATCAACAAGCGTTCCCTCAAGAACGTCATCGACGCGGACACCTCCGACGAAGTGGCATCGCCTAGTAAAAGACAAAAAAGGGCCGATGGCTCTGGTGAGTTCTCGGCTTCGTCTCGATGGTGCTCTAGTCTGACTTGAATCCAGGACCGACCGAGTACTTTCTCCCCTCTCCTCCTAAATCAATGATTGCAACTCCACCACCCTCGCCGTCTTCCTTTTCGACAATATCCTCATGTTTCGAAATTGAACATCCAGTCAATGTAGAGGAATGGTGTTTGTCTGTCAAACAGGAGGCTTCTACCGATCAATCATTCGTTGATACGGCCATCCATCACAAACCTGTCACTTACACCACTGCCGAGAAAGTCTTTCCCCGGGAATATTGGGCCCACAGAGACTACATCAACCACTTCTCGAGGCTTAGCGTAACCTTCGTGTTGGCTACGCCCACGGAGGTAGATGTGTTGCTCGCGCGGGCGGCAAAATTTGGCTGGGGTGGAGCGCAGGGGAGGGGGTAGGTGTCGGGGATGGGAGAGCTGGGTGCTGGCGGTTTAGGGTCATGTATTCCATGGAAAAACATTTCTAGTATCATGCAACTTTTGAACATTCTTTCACTGATGGATATCAGGCTTGTCTGATTGCAGCGTGGACGCGGCGTAGAAAGACCGGCGTGGCAATCAATTCTGGATATGCGGAGATCCGCCCAGTGCCCAGTATTGACCGTTTCTTTCGCTAAAGTACATGCAGCTCGATCGCTATGCGCGAAACAGGCCTCTCGCTGGTATATGGGACGGCTTAGGGGCAATTTCGTCATAATCACAAGCTTGTATAGTACGAAAGAGTCAACTTAACGCGGCAAACGCACAGCGATAGGGACACCGACGACGATCTTTTCACGGCCACAGAGTGGAGGGCACTTCCGGGTCCCCTTTCCCTTCTCGTTCGTTTCCAGTCCTGACCGAAGTAGTGCATATCATCATAGAGCACGCGCTCCTGGACCCTTGCACTGTTAGTTATGCATATGTCCCATCAGCTACAAGTATGTACAGATCCTTGGCCCCTCCAGCTCAATCAGCCTCCTCGATGGTGTCGCCATAGTTGGGCCTTTCACCAGTGAGCCATTTCCATTTTTCCTCACGCATATCGTCCCCTACTAAATATCGGCTCTCAAGCTCTGTGCCGTCCTCCTCCGCTATCTCCTTGCGGATGCGCTCATTGTCCTCCTCACTCCACTCATCTTCGTCCTCTGAGTGTACTTCGTCGCCTTCCCCGATACCGTCATTGTGACTGCCTCCTGGCGCGGCATCTCCCACAACGGATATTCTTCCTCCCTGTGGCTCGCCCGTTCCAGAAATGGTGACTATATGCAGAAGAATCACCCAAATCAGCATAAGCAATCGAATGGCTGGATATAGGACATCTTACCGTCGTTTTGCTGTAGATCCGCCAAAGACGCAGGCTGCTCTGCTGGACCCATCCTGCCGCTCAACCCCCTCTTTATACGGTGCACCGTGTCATATGACACTGAAATACTGAGGTTCTCCAGCAACCTCAACATCGCCCGAGAGGCACCAGACCCATGAAGTTGCCGGCCGAAGTAGACCTGAAACCTGTTCTGGCCGATGGGACGTGCATTCAGGAGCATGCTGATACAAGCGGTAACAACCTATGATGAAAGTCAGAGTTGAATTGGCGAGATGATCCCCGAAGACTTACTGGCTCGATCTTGCCCTTTCGCCTCGAATTTACTTCGCCCGTGCCCTTTGTCTTCTCGCCACGAGTGGGAGCCTCTAGCAGCTTGGTGAGAAGCCTCTGAGACAGAGGGAACAGCTTCTGGTGGATGTTGGGAAGCTGCTCCAGTGCGATGGCTGGGTCGGTCGTATCGAGAGAGTCATCCCTGTTGAAGGCCGTAGACTTGACATTGAGTGAGAGACCCCTGACTCTGACGCCTCTGTCGTGCTCCCGTATAAGCACTTCTGTCATGCTGTCTGTGACAGCGTCTTGGAATGCTTCCACAGCAACCCCCGTCACTGGCTTCCCTTTCTTCACGTCGCCAGTGGCCTCCTGCGTTGCGCCCCCCTTGCCCTGCCTCCGCTTCTTCGGTGGTGGCGCTCCTTCTGCGGGCACCATCGAGGCTCTTGAGGACGCGTACGGCGAATCTATCGGCACCAGAACCGTATTTCAGCACCTTTGGGCCCCATTCAGGGTGTTCCAGCACTGCGAAGATGAACTCCGCCAGGTCGAAGTGAATCTCGTCTGAAAGGATGTAATCGATGGAGAGCTTCGTTTTCTATGCCTTCGTCCGGTAGGGTCTGCGCTTCCGGCCGGATGGCCCCACATTTCCGTCACGGGCGCCCAATCGGGGCATCAGCGGGTGGCATAGGGAGATCTGGCATGGGGGCACGAGGTTGGGTAGATAAGGGGAGCGACGACGCCATCGCCGGTAGTGACGGAGTGAGGGATAGCGGTGACAGGTGGTGGGAGGGAGATGGCGATGGGGTATGGGGTAGTGATACGGGGAGGGTGAGTGTGTATGTAGTGGATAATCAATGCAGATAACGGCTGGCTCGAAGGAGGAACTACCGTTTGTTCTTTCCGTCGTCATCGCATCACTGCCGAGCAGACTTGGAGCAGACACGCGCCCGGCGTCCGGCAACCTCCACCGTCCAGCACCGCCGCCACTGAAATTCCCATACATTCAAGCATCTACAAATACCAATCTTCTCTCTTACCAGCGCCAGCATTTGTGACACTCAATATGACTCAAAACAGCAAAGATCCTCTCGGACCGCCTCCAGCGCTGGAAGACGACTTTGACCTTCCACCTTCTTACGACCCTTCCCTTGCCACCGCCGCCGCCCCTGGGGCTTCGTCTAGCACTGCTCCCTCCGGCGATGGGCACGGCGCCGCCCCAGATCATATCCGATTCCTCTTCACACCTCCTGTCAACTCTGAGCCCCTTTTGAGCAATGAGGGGAGAGACGCCATTGCCAGGCAGGAAGTCGAGAATGTCCAAATTTTCAAGAAATGGAGACGTATTGAGACGTGGGATCCTATACTTTCCAATCGTACGCACCCCACCTGTGGTTGCAACGAATCTACTGACAAACTTCTAAGCAAATACACTCTACGATTTTATCCGATACACGGCGTCTGTACCGCCCAAGGTACATGTACGTTGCAAAGGGTGGCACATGGAGACATGCGAGCGCGAAACCATCATCGATGGACGTACCGTACGCCGGGGCGAGCAGACTAGCGTTATTGACTTTGACTTCACCGTATGTCCTCCCGTCGATCTATTCTAAGTTGCAGAGCTGACAGAGCGAAGATTGATTTGACGGATATCATCGACCACTCTGAGAACAGCGCTCAGGTCCATCTATCGACCGCTCTCCCATGGCAGCCCGTCTACCGGGGTACAAACTCTCCAACGTACTCTGCAGCTTTCAACCCCCCATCTCGCCGTAACCATCACGGTCGCTTGCGAGAAGACGAGCAGTACAGTTCGCTCGCCGAAAATGAAGATGCCAACACGACTCTCCCCGGTCGGCGCCTCAGACCCAGGGAGGAGAGGCAAAATGTCGAGTGGGTGATATGGAGAACGGGCAAGGGTCTTCCCGTGTGGGTGGATAGGAGGGATGTGCCAGAGTATGGAGAGTATCTGAAGAACAAGGGAAAGGGGAAGGGCCGAGGGAGTGGGAGTGTACGTCCCGAAAATGACTCTGAGCAGCCTTTGCTGGATGAAGAGCGCTCCATCGAGGGTGCCTCTATTTCCCCCACGCAAGGTCAGGGTCAGGGCCATGCGAGGGCCAATCTCAAGGAGTGGTGCAAGGCGTACTGTGCCGACCGAGGCGTGCTCAACGAGTTTTACCTTCAAAAGGACATTTGTGGATGGGATCTGAATGGTGTTCAGTCTGGTGAGTGTCGCACTTGGGGGCGTATAGGTCGAGCTGACAAGGAGATAGCGATCACTGGCGCTATCCGGTCCACGGGCTATTCTCACCCCAATCTCGAAGTTACGCTCGGCGTCGACGATAGCGTCGTGATTGTACACCCCAACAACTTTCTCAGCCGTATCCTGGGCAATGTAAGCCTTTTTCTGATTTTTTGGACGACATGTTGCTGACACTATGTTTTCAGTGTTTTGTTTACTTCTTGAGCTGGTTGTTTATGATCTACCCGCTAATCTGGCTATGGAAACGATGGAGTTCTCGAGGTGGTGCGCCATGGAACGTCACTGTAGCCACCTGTAAGCCCTCTTCTCTTCTCTCCCCCTTTCTCCCAGCTGAATTTCCATACTAGACGCTCTCAAGTTCTACCCTCCCCTCCCCCACACATTCCCCTCCGAACCCCTCCCCGATGCCCAATCCCGTCTTCCCTCTCTATACAAACTCAATCCTCAACTCCCCAAAGAACCTCAGCTCGTCCAAGGTCCCAAAGGCGTGCATTACTTGGTGGGAAGGAAGGAAGGGGGGTGGTTCAGGGAGTGGGAGGAGAGAATTAGGATGGGGGTAAGGACGAGGTTCAGGGGGGAGCTGGTTGGGGACACGGTGGGTGAGGATCAGAGGGTTGAGTTGGATGGGTACTGAGTAAGGTTTTGTATGTGTTTCTCTTGTTGGCTGGAAATTACTTTGTTTCTTGTGCGTATATACTATGCATACACGGCTCTTGTATCGAATGTGTCTTGTCGTCAGGCGTGTTCACACTCTATAATCTACAGTATTCGAGTACTCATGATACAGCGATAAGTTTGAAAGCGCGACTCACTATCCAGCTTCTTCACCCTCTTTTCCCTCAATATAGCGCCCAGCGCTCTGCTTCTTATACTCCCTATCATACATGGTATTACACCCTATTCGTCGTCTATACACATCACCCCACATTCCCCCATCTCTCATGACACCCACAAATCCCCGCCATCTTCTCTGGATGCAACAGATGTCCCCGGCGATGCCACACAAAATTGCTAAACAGCAGAACAGCAGTCGCCACCGCCCCGACCGAGAGCCAAACGGGATAATGGAACTGGTCGGGGCGGAAGAAGATGATGGTGGAGGTGTAGGAGAGTAGTTCGAATGCGTTTTGCCAGGCGGATTCGATGGAGGAGAAGATGCCTCTGACTTCGGGCTCGACTTCCTTGAAATGATGGTATCAGCGTCGTGTGCTCGATCGGTGGGTTGAATGACAAGAACAAGACTCACTTCTTGTACGATGATTTGGGTACAGAGGTCAAACGTCCTAAGACCCAGGCGGCTGAGGATAGTCCCGACGACCAAGCCGCTAGCAGCAACAAAGGGCTGTTCCGAGTAACTGGCAAAGACGAAAGACCCCGCTAACAGTGAAAACAGCTGCCAATTCCCAGACCACAACGCCGCCCTAACAGGACCTATCATCGATATAAGGCAAGGCGCCACAAACGTTGCCCCAACCTCGAAAGCGACGCTGAGGGTTCTCACGGCGCCGACTTGGGATGAGGTAAAGCCGCTGGAGAGCAGGTAGGTGATCATCTGGCCGGAAAAGCTTAGGACGGTGAGGTAGAGGACTGCGCCGGCGAGGGAGGGGGCGCGAGCGGGGTGGGTCATGTATAAGTGGAGGTCGGAGGAGAACTGCCGCAGACCGCTCGAATTTTGTTGAGAGTGGGTGAGGACGTTTTGCTCGTCGGACGTCGGGAGGCCGAGGGTTGAAGAGGGTTACATAGAGTTTGTAGCGCTCATCATTTCTATGTACTAGGACTGTATGTAAGACGATGTCGAAATGAGGGAAAAAGACAAGACGGCCCGACTCGCCAAGTCAATAAAAAACCCTCTCGCCTCTAGCTACTCCCTTCTCCCTCTCCCTACATCCACAACGTCCTCCCCCTCGCCTTCACTAACTCTATCGCCACCCTACTATGCAGCCCGTGCCACACTTCCTTCTCTAGACACTTCCGCCAACTACGCCATTCCACCGCCGTTTCCTCGCTCATGAGACCGCCCGCCGAAAGTACAAGGGGGCGGAATGCCCCCCCGTAGATCCTCGGCGCCTTATCGACAACCTCTGCGTCCCTCTTGCTCAACCACGCCACCATCCGTCCTCGCACCCAGTCGATCCACTCCATCTCCCTCGGCTTCCCTCCCTGAACCACATACACGCTCTTGTCCTCCAGCCCGTACACCTTGAGGTCGTAGTCGACGTTCCTCAGCCCTCCTCCGCCTCCTCGCACCCTAAGGTCGTTTCTTCGTCGCCCGGTTTGGGTAGAGGGTTCGAGTGTGACGACGGCGCCGGCGACGCGGGAGAGGTAGGAGTGAATGACTCGGTTGATCGAGTCGTGGCGGCGGATGGACCATGTCTCGCGGAGGCGGCAGACTTCGTCGTGACCAAGGTCAGACTCGTTTGCGCAGGCAGCACAGACGGGGGAGTAGGCGGGGGTGAGGAGTCGGTAATGGAGACCGGCGGCAATCTCGTGGTTTGAAAGGCGATAACCGACTTTGGTACTTTCAGCCGGTCGTCCCGAGAATATACTTGGGCGATGGCCAAGTATTCTACCAGGACCGATGTGACGTTCATGCAGAGGTTGGTGCCGATTGCGACTTTCGTTGAGTACCCGTCTAAGAGGGCGATGCACAGCGGTCCCAATAGCTTGCAGACCAGGTCGATACGACGCATTTGGGAGTTGAGCGTGGCGAGAGTTGACGAGTCGTCGCCGGCGACCACCACTACCTGACGGGATATCAGCTTGATTCGCAAAACCAGGGCAACTACTATATGCTAGCTCGGTAGGCATGAATAGAGCTCAACGTAGGAGTATGAAAGAATAACGCGACGACTCACCCAATCTTTCTCGACAGAAACGGTATTCGCAATGGAACCGACTTTCTCTATGCAAGCCAGAAGGGCGAGGACAACCATCGCCAGGACCAGGACAGTCCGGTCTGTCGAAGGAGACTTGGCGAGCCAGTAGAAGATTGCACATGACATTGCGACTGAGAGACGCTGGGAGACTATGTCTTGGTCAGTGCCACTCGAGTGCGAGCCTCGATCCCATCATAATATACCTCACTAATGGATATCCTGACAACCTTGAGACGATTCTCCCGATCTATGAAAGCACCAATGGCAGAAGCGAATGCGATCGCCCAAAGTCCTCGCACAAAGGCGTAGATTGACATTGGCAGCAGCGTTCCCGGAAAGATAGATGTGAGGTATATGACGGCCCCAAATTCAAATACGCGAGAGTTCCAGGTGGATAGAAAGTGGGAGAGATACAGTCTACGAGCGGTTGAGGTCGAGGGGTCTCGCGCATCCGAGTCCACTATCGAGGGCGCAGGGGAGGCTGCGAGAAGAGGAGAGTTTTCGCCACTCCGGGGAGATGAATCTGGAATGTCTGGCACATCCATCCTGCTTGACTGAGATTGGTCTTGGGAAAGTTGACTGATAAACCCAAGACTGTATGGAGTCTGAACTCCTGCTGCTGCGGCGTATGATTACATAAGCATTCGTCATTGTTGCCACCCATGCATACTCTATGGCAGATGGTGGACAACGTTTCGTTCAATCGCATCTCTTTCATCTGCACCAGAGAGCACCCAGAACCCCCCATCCACTCACAGGAGCATCCATGCGCTCCCCAAGCCTCCTTCTCCTCCTGGGCCTTTGCGCCCGCGCCGCCCTCTCGGCTCAGCACGCCTTCTCCGTCGACTCTCCAGCTCATGCCGAAGACGATGTGGGCGCGACGTTGGCGGACGATGGTCGTGGTGAGCTTCATATCCGCTGCTGGGAAAGAGACTGATAAAGAGGCTGGGCCAGATCTCGAAACCGCAGCCGAATCAATCATCTCGACCCTCTCCGCCTCCTCCCAACATACCACATTCATCCGCTTACTCCAGCGCTCCAAGAGCGTACCCATGCTGGCGCATATCGGCAACGCCACAGTGTTTGCGCCCACGGACCAAGCTTGGAAGGAGTGGGCTGAGCGGAATAAGCCAAGCTCGAAGGCATTTGAAGAGGAGGGTGACGATCGGCCGGATTTGGTTCATGGCTGGCTGGGACCGGAAGGTTTGGACGACTGGTTTCAGGATGAAGCAGAAGTTCTCTTGGCTCGGGTTGCAGTCAGTGGTAACCAGGAGGAAGAAGTTCGGGCGATGGACAACCAGAATTGGGCTCTGCGGCAGCATCTCCTCTATCACATGCTCAACTATACCCTCACTCCGAAATCACTGTTGGCATCCGAACAAGTCAACAATGTGACGCTACAGACCACCCTGCTCTACCCTTTGGACGAAGAACCGCCTCTACCGCCTACGCCCGAGCCCGGACCTCCTTGGCTGCCGCGTGGTGGTGAGGGCCTCCTAGGTGGGCACGGGCAGAGGCTTAGGCTTGCCAGAGTAGGAAGCGAAGAAGGGGGAAAGAGGGGCAAAATCGGGGCTGATTGGAAAGGCGAAGGTGGAGTAGGTGTTTGGGACGGTAGTGGGTGGAAGGCTGGTAATGAGAGCAAGCATGGTGTGACGGGGGTCAAGTGGACGAGGAATGGAGTGGTGGTGGGTATCGAGGGTGTTTTGGACCCACCACCCAGCATTGGTGCGTAGACTGTCGTCTTGCATGATAGTACTGACAAAAGCGCAGATGTAATCATCCGATCTCATCCATCTCTCTCATACCTGGCCAAGATCATGCCCCTGTCCAGCCCACCTGCTCCCCTCCCCTCTTCCTTTGCTACAACACCCCACCTGACTGTATTTGCCCCATCAAACGAAGCTTTCCTGTCCGCCTTTGATGATATCGAAAGAGGATACTTGGAAGGGCCTTATGGCGATGAAGGGGTTGGCAGGATCGTTGGTCAGAATGTCGTGCTTGGGCAGGATGGAAAGGGCGTGGGGTGGAGTGATTTGCTGGGCAAAGAGTCAGATTGTAGGTTACTTCTTCGAACGATAAGCGCCCTTCACTGACACTTGTTATAGTCGAAGCCGCTTCCGGTCTACACCTCAACGTCTCTTCTCCATCCCGCAACGAAGTCCTCGTCAACGACACCAAAGCCGAAATCATCGACATTTTTGCGTCCAACGGTGTCATCCACATCATCCCCAACCTCATCCTCCCCGCCGAATTCGACCTGCTCAACTCGGCAGAAAAGATGCTTCTTTCGCTCAACGCTACCCGCTTTGTTTCACTGTTGCGCACGGCCAACCTGTCGGATGCTTATATTGGAAAGGGCAGTGCGGAGAAGGGCGGGGATTCGTATACCATCCTGGCGCCTACGGACGACGTCCTTGATACGCTTGATAAATGGGGTGGCCTTAGTGCTGCGTCTTCGAACCATATTTTGGCGCACGAGATGACCTCTCCTTCCTCAATTTCTCCCATTGGCAACACCCCATTCAAGGACGTTTCGCCTCTCGCTGCTTTACTGCAATACCACATTTTACCCGGCAAGCTTTTGCCGCAAGATCTCAAAGATGGGCAGTTGTTACCGACCGAGATGCGCACGAGCGCTTTGGGTGGGGAGAGGCAGAGGCTAAGAGTGGAGGTGGCTGAAAAGGACGGTAGCAGTCATAGTGATTGGGAGACTGTTGGGGAGGGTAAAGTGAGATTGGGCGGAGCGACCGTCGTTGGAAAGCCTGGTAAGTCCATTCTGAAGCGGAGACGTCTGCTTTCCACTCTTTGAGAAGGCCCTTCTTTTCGCACCTATCCTTCGTCATTTTGAGCCCAAAGACCCCATCATTGTCGATAAAGAACAGCACCGGACTTCGTCATTTTGATCCCAAAGACCCCATCATTGTCGAGACCGACGCTTCGGACTTTGGCATTGGTGCTGTTCTTTCTCGACAATGATGGGGCCTTTGGGGTCAAAATGACGAAGGATAGGTGCGGAAAGAAGGGCACTTCTCAAAGGGTGGAGAGCAGACGTCTCTGCTTCTATACTATTGAGGTGTTGGTGATATTAACGCTAGACAGTAAAATCCGGAAACAACATAATCTACCTCATCTCCGGCCTACTCTCCACCCCCGACAACGTCCTCCAAACAGCCGTCTCGGATCTCCAACTATCCACATTCGTCGCAGCTCTCTACGCTGCAGACTTGGCCAAAACTACCAAACACTACCCCGCCACTACCTACCTTATTCCTCATAACGACGCTTTCAACCACCTCGGTCTGACTATGAAGTGGCTTCTCTTGCCTGATGGGAAAGATGATCTTCGGAAGGTCATCAAGTATCATGCTGTTGATGGGCTTGTTTATTCGCAAGATGTGAATGTTGGGAGACAAGTCTACAAGACTGTTGAGGGTGGGGATATTGTCATTGAGCGTGGTAAAGGCAAACACGGTGCTCTCACCGTAGGTTCGCCAAACAAGTGGTCCGGACACGACTCGTTCGCTTCCCTCCCCTCCAACGGCGAGCTTTTCCCTGCCAACATCTCCACCTCTGACGCGCTCACCGATACGGGCGTGATCCACACTATCGACCAGGTCGTCATGCCCGCAGATGTGGGTATTACGATCGCCAAATTGGTCAAGGGGTCAAAGCAGAGTACGATGGCGGATCTGATGAGCCACGCGGGCCTTGGGTGGATTTTGGAAGGGAGGGAGCCGAGTGGGGAGGAGGTTACTAGAGTTGCGCTTGAGGGCTGGGTCAGGGCTGCGGACGAAGGAGGCGAGGGTGGGAGTGAAGGGGAGGGTGAGAGTGAAAGTCTGGCTTATCCAGCCTATACTGTGCTTGTCCCAACAGACAAGGCATTCGGCAAACTCAACCTCACATACTATACCAACAACCCTCCCGCCCTTCTCGACCTTCTCAAACTGCACATCATCCCTTCGCAAACCCAGCTCTCATCCTCATCCTCGTCCTCTCCTCTTCCCCCACCCCCGGAAACCATTCCACAAGAAGGTCAGCCTCTCTTGCTGATGGATGATACAGTCTACGGCACGCTCTTGTCAAGCCGTAGTAAGTTTGCGGATTTGGCATTCAGGAATGCGGGGGATGGGAGCTGGATTGTGGGGATTCAGAATGCGAGGAATGGGGCTGGGGGGGATTCGGCCAGGGTGGGGGCTAGTGGGAGAGCTAGTGTGAGGTGGAGGAATCCGAGTGCGGCTTCCAAGGGCCATAAAGACAAGCATAACGCAGAAGGAGATGATGAAGGCGGGGATGGCGATGATGAGGAATGGAAAAAGTTGTGGAGAGGCGGTATGACGCTTGGAGGGGGTGTGCTCATCATCGACTCTGTTCTCGTCCCATACGAGATCAGCTGGTTCTCTCGGTACGTCCTCTTGACTCTAGTGAAGATCCACGCTAACATACCACGCAGATGGGGTTTCTTGACAGTAACACTATCCGGGATCGGCATCTTACTTGTCGCTACAGCTGGAAGCATCGGCTATTGGTTCTGGACCCGCGAGAAGGAAGGTTACGAGCCCATCCTGGTAGAAGAAGAAGGCGAAGGCGAGGAGCAAGTGTAGATATTCCAGACAAGGACATCAGCATAAATCACCTCTTCAGCATGTTTGAATCTGTATATCGTTGTACGTTTTTGATGTTGCCATGTAATACTCGATCGTGTCTTTTGTCACACCCGTACAAGTACATATCTATCCACCAAGCCAATCCAGCTAAAGAACCATCTAAATTAAATCATCTCCACTACCTCCCCTCCCTGCCCGGTGCATACAAAGGACTTAGCATAACATCCTCCCCAGCAGCATCTTCCAACCTCCCCCCTCTATACGTATCCATCTCTTCCCTTGTCATCAGCGCAAACCCTCCCGCCGCTGGGGCTCTACCGCCCCGCCCGCCGAATAAGGATGTGTTGGTCACATCGCCTTCGGAGGAGGCGAATGATGCGTCTACCATCTCTTGATTTTGGCCTTGGCCGAGGCTTGGGACTTGGTACCCCCCCGGCTGTTGGTGGTAATTCATACCAAACCCAGGATGGGCCGACGATCCCGTCGAAGGCACATGCAAAGACGAAATCTCGCCCGAATCATCATCGTCAAAGGTATCGCCCTCGTCGAACGAGTCTTCTTCGTTGGCATCAGAGTAGAGGACGGGTCCGCCGGGGATTTGGGTGAAGGAAGCGTTGGAGCCGAAGGAGGAGTTTGCTAGGGATTGGCGGGCGTGCGGGGGAGGGGGAGGGGGGAGGTAGGGTTCTTGTTGAGTGGGGGCGGGGGGGTGGTAGGAGGATTGTGATTGGGATTGAGAGTGGGAGTGGGAGTGGGAGTGGGAAGATTGGGTAGCGTGGAAAGTCTGATCTTCATCCTCGTCTTCTTCCCCGATAGCATCCGGCCGGATAGAACTATCCGAGAACAAGAGCCGTCCTGGAATATTATCACTCGGCATGACCGAGTATCTCCGCAAAGCTTCAGGCGTCTCCAACCTCGGCGACATATCCTGGCTCATCTCCTCCAACAAATCGTCCAAGATGAACTTGGCCTCCTTCTCCTTCCCGCCCGCTGATTCCTTCTCTTTGCCTTTGCCTGGGGTTCTGGCGGCGTTCATGACAGCCTGGGCGCGGGGGGGGAGGTTGAAGCTCATGGTCACGGGCGGGGACATGCCAGCTGGCATCCCATCGTCCGAATCTGAATCCGAATCGTCCAAACCTGGGACGATGGACGCTTTAGGTTTCCAGCCTTGGCCCTTCTTCTTCATATTCAGCGGGGTCGAGCGAAGATCGACGACGCCAGTAAAGTCTTTGCCGAAGGGGTTGGAATCGGCAGGGGGCGGGTTGGCTAGGCGGTTGGCTTTGGGTGTGGGGGATGCTCGATAGGATTGAGCGAGGCGAGAGTGGGTTTGGGAGAAGGACGCGGACGAGTCGGTGGTTGCTTGAGAAGGCTCGATGTTTCCGACAGAATAGTCGTTGATGCTACTCATCACGGAAGAGTCGCCGTCCAGCCTGGGAAGACTGTAGCCGCTCGGCAAGCTTGGTGTGGGCATATCGCTGCTCGACTGTTCGTATCCCTCGCCTTCGTCAATCTTTAGGTCGTCCCTCAGCTTCCTGTCCAGCCTGTCGAATGGAGACTCCATGGAGTCTTCCCAGCTATCATTCTGTCTGCCGCCAGGACCATTACGACCGGCGGGTAAGGGCGTGGATGAGATTCCGGGAGGCGGATCAAACATGAAGGACTCTTCGGTGCTGGGATGAACAGATGAATCGTCGGCCTCGCGGCGGAGGGTGAATGTCTGGTCATCATATTGGGTAGAAGTGTCTTGGTTCTGAGAATTTAGGGATGTGTCGCCTTGCTGGTTCGACAGACGGACCGCCGAGGCCGTTTCAAAGAATGCTCGCCAAAACTACGCCTAGTAAGCACTGCCCTCCCCCAGAATTCTCGTGGACTCACCTGAGCAGCCTCCCTGGTAGGCTCCGAGGCAATAGCATACCGCTTGATCTGGGGCAAGATCTTGCTCGTGATGATCTGATGGAATCGCGCAAAGTTGGCATCGATGTCCTGGAGGAGCAGGGTGTTGAGCTGGTCGATGCGCTCTGTCTGGGCGGAGATGGGGGCGGCGGGGTCTACGCCTTGGATGTGGAAGAAGGGGGGGTGGTTGAGGGGGTTGTCGTTGTTACCGCTCATTGTCAGAGATGGATGAAAAACAAGCTGGGAACCGTTTGTTGATGTTTTAGACGCGACGCGTTTGAAGTTTACGTAATGATAATTAATACAAAGCGTAATTAACTGTACTTTGCCCCGCGGAACGCCGCACTTTCAACAAAGACGTTCAAAAGCAATTCAAAAGACACCTCTTTCCACGAATATTTCTACAGCCATGCCCATCGGACCCACCCTCCCCCCGCACCTCGCCCACCTCGTCCGCAACCGCTCCTCCTCAGCCTCGCCCCCTCCAGAAGGGCCCGCCCCTCCCCAGCCCGCAGACGACGATGAGGAAGACGACTACCTCCCCGCCCTCCCTCCCCACTTACAAAACCGACAAAGCAACCCTCGTCCAGCCGGCCCCAGCTTAGGTCCTACATTCCCAACATCTGGCCCCTCACGCCCTCCAGCTGCTCCTGCCGCCGGGCCGTCTTTCGAAGAAGAAGACGACGATTCGGATGATGAGATCGTCGGGCCTGTGCCCGTACCGAGCGCTTATGCGGACGATGATCCCGACGCGGGTGTGCGAGAATTTTTGGAGAGGGAAGAGAGGATGAGGAAGGATGCGGAGGAGAGGGCGAAGCCGAAGGTTATGAAGAGGGAGGAGTGGATGTTGGTACCGCCTTCAAGCGGGTCTCTATCTAACAGTCGGTTTCTTGTTCAGATGACAAGGCTTTTGACTGATAAAATTGAACAGTTGACCCACTGCGTAAACGCCCCTCAACCTTCTCACGTAATACCGAAGAAAAACACATAGATAGCTCCGTCTGGACCGAGACGCCTGCAGAAAAGGCGCAACGTATTGCGGACGAAGTGGCGGGTGTCAAGCGCAAGAAGGACAAGGCCGGAGACAGAATCATGACTGCCGAAGAGGAAGAGTCTGAGCGAAAGAGAAAGAGGAGGGATGAAGAAATCAAAGGGGAGCTTGGCAAGTACACTGTAAGTGCTCCGTATGTCTGTTTCCAGGCCGTTGCTGATGTTGCATAGCGAGGACCATCACTGCTCGACCAGCACACTTCCAAGCTCGCGAAAAAGGGAAAGAACGAAGACGATTCGCCTGCTATCTGGGATCACGCTCGAGATATGGGTATCACCGGCAGGTTGATGACGGATCAAGAGAGGAGCAAAAAGATCAACGATGCGAGAGGTCTGGGGGACAGGTTTGGACATGGCAAGAGTGGCGCTTACCAGATGTGAAGCGTATGCACTGCGTCCCTATCCTTGTGCTCGCTTGTCGATCTCGGATCGCTGGCCATGTAAACCAATTTGACGCCTACTCACGCAACATTGCTGCTGATAGGATAGCTTGTATAGGTACCATGCTCAAGAGAAGAGGGAGTTTGCGATAGCCGACTTGAAGTCGTACGCGAGAAGAGCCACTTCAAACAAACAGGCAACAACAACAAGCGTCTATTCATACCATCCTATGACAACATCTACTAAAGAGTAGCCTTGATCTCCTCCCACTCCTTCCCAATATCATGCCCATAAATCCACCCCAACGGGTTCCCAGGCGTCGGCGAGAACGAGCCGAAATCTTTACCGTTCTCTGTATTCTTCGGCTGGTCGAGGACTTGGTACATTCTGGCGTAGTATGGGGACCTGATCTTGTCAAAGAGGTCTAGGGATTTTGAGAGAGCTTGGGTTCGTTCTTTGGTGAAAGAGGAAGAGGAAGAGGGGGAGGGAAGGTAGTGATGCAAGATCTGGGCGATGAGGTAGCCGTCTTCCATGGCGAAGCCTGCACCGCTTCCGAATGCCCCTTTGTGAATATGTCAGTCTTTGCGGTGGCAGTTGAGAATAGGGGAAGCGTACCGAGAAGAGGGTGAGAAGCATCTCCTATGAGGAGTGTGTTTCCGTTCGCTACGACGTGCTCGAGACGAGGACCGGAGAACGCTGAAAACTCTTTCCAGGATCCTTCGGGTACGAGGTCGATAGCCTCTCGGATCTCTGGTGAGAATTCCTATATCTCTGTCAGTCTTATCGATATCGTGTCACACAATGATCAAACGTACAGTGAAATAGCCAGCAACCCTCTCGTTGGTACAAGGAATCCCCCAGCTAAACTTTGGCGCCGTCACCTCTTTTGGATCTTCGAATACCCTCAGCGTCAACTCCCACTGCCCTTTGCCTGCTTCAATCTCCTCCTTGGTGGAGACGACGGAGACTTTGAACATTCGGGCGGGACCGTGATGGAAGGCTGTGTATTTGGAGATAGAGAGGTGGTCGACGAGGGGGAGAGGGATGAGGCATCGGAAGATGGTGGTGCCGTTCCAGGACGTCTTGTGTTGCCCCCAAGTTTGCGTTCGAACGGCCTCCAGAATGTCAGCCAGCAGAAAGGAAGTGTAGACAAATGTACTCACAGATCGCAGACCATCAGCACCGATGACAAGATCAGCAGTCGCTTCGGTGCCGTCCTTGAAAGTGAGCTTGACCTCGCCTGTGGGGAGCTGTTCTACTTTCTGTACCTTCTTCTGCAGCTTGATCACTTCGTCGGGGACTTTTGATCGGAGAGCGGCTTGTAGAACGGTTCGACGAGCGCGGATATCGTGATACTTGAACTCGCCATCATGGGGTGGGTACTTGTAGACAACCTCTCCAGTGACACCGTTCCTAAACGCCATCAGGTCAGCTTGCGATCATGAAAGAATAGAAACTTACATGTGTCGATGGTCCACTTTGATATGTCCCGTGACCTTATCAGCCACTCCCAGGAGTTCAAGAACTTTCCAGGAATTGTATCCGATTCGAATGCCACCCCCAATCTCTCGAAGGACTGTAGCTTGCTCGTAGATGGTGACCTCGACACCAGGGAGTTGACGGAGAGCGATAGCAGCTGCGAGACCTGCTGGCCCGCCACCAGAGATGGCGATACGGAGCGGCTGTTGAGGTGTTGGGATAGGCATTGAAGGTGGGTGGGACGGGGAACACCGTAGCCCCAGAGGGAATATAATGTATGCGGCGAGTTGCGAAAGGGAGGAGGAGATGGCGGATGGCATGTGATCACGTCTTGCTCGGTGGTCCGACCATTTGTCATCTATCTGGTGGCCGCCGCATTGTCCTCTCCAGCGAGTCGGGTGCAGTATTGCTCGAGGAGTGGGAGAGCTAAGGACAGTGACAGGGTTGATGCATAGCACCATCTGGCATCTTTCAGGGTCGTTTGCGTCCGGAACCTTTGGTATTCATTTATTCGGAGTGGATCAACAACTGGCATCTCCTCCCACCTGCCTATCGATCAGCTCGGAGATGTGCACTTCGGCTTTGGCTCAAATCGCCTTCGGGCGAGTGCAAAAGAACAATCACGCCTGATGTTGTCGCCTTTTCCATCTTATCTATGCCCAATCCCTACCAATAAATGCCCTGGAGGCCGCCTGAGCTCACCATACGACGTGCTCTTGTGGCCTTTTACTCGGAAAACAACATCAAATATCTCCCTCATTCTACCGAAAAGAACGTGAACAAGCCCAGATATATGAAAGAGAGGATACCGACCCTTTCTACCCCTCAAATACCAGAACTCGCTCCTTGCAATGTCGCGCGAGTCGGAAGAACGCCGGGCTGACGATATCGTCGTCCTCGAGAACGCCCCACACTTATCCCTCGATCTCATCTCCGGCTCCCATTCCGACGAGAAGATAGACGAGGAGAAGGCCACCTCTCTCTCTGACAGCCCTCATCATCAGGTCAACGCTCTCCAAGCAGGCGAACGTCAAGCGGAAATCATCGGCGCTGATGGTCAACCCAAGATTGTCGTTTGGACACTGAAAGAGCAGAGGGCAGTAGTGAGGAAGGCTGACTTTTTTCTACTTCCCATCTTTGCTGTGAGTCTCGCAACACCGCTCTGAGGACTCAGCTGACTGAGAGCGTTCCACTAGCTGGGTTTCTTCTGGATGGCTCTCGACCGCGCCAACATCTCTGGCGTTCTGACCTCAACTATACTCAAGGACACTGGCATCACTCAGGACCAAATCAACAGTAAGTCATCTCTCTATCTACTCTTTTTCTTCCTCACCAATGACACCACCCCCAAGTCGGCTCATCTCTCTTGTGGCTCGGCGTCGTCCTCCTCGAAATCCCAAGCAACGTCGTCTTGCAGCGCGTCGGACCTCATCGCTGGATCCCGATCCAGATCATCATCTGGGGGCTGGCCGAGACTCTGACTTACAAAGTCAGCTCCAAGGGTGGATGGTATGCTGCCAGGCTATTCCTTGGACGTGAGTAATGATTCTTTCATACGATGGCGAGTGCTGATAGGTTGTATGTAGTCTTGGAGAGTGGTTTCATTCCAGGTAGTCTCTATGTCCTGTCCCAGTGGTACACTCGTGATGGTAGATATCGCCTTCACCTACACGCCCACATGCTAAAGAGTCAATAGAACTAGTCATGCGTACCTCACTCTTCTTCTTCGGCAATATCCTCTCTACCGCTTTCGGTTCTCTCATAGCAGCCGGTTGTATCAAACTCTCCGGCAAAGGTGGACTCGGCGGCTGGCAATGGCAAGCCCTCCCCCATACCCCTTCTCTTCATTTCACTAAACCATACCTAGGATCTTCATCATCGACGGCGTTGCCACAATCGCCACCGGCATCCTCGCCCTCCTCTTCCTCCCCTCCTCCCCACGCCACACTGCCGGACTCTTCCGCGGAAAAGGGTGGCTCTCCGAACGTCAAGCTGACATCTACCTCGCCCGTCTGGAAGCTGATGACCCCCTCAAATCGAAAGATCTGCACTTGCAGATAGGGCTAGGAGACATATGGAACGTGCTGGGGAATTGGAGGTTGTGGCCGCATTTGGTTATGTGTCTTGCGGGTCTGCAGGCTGGGCAGGGGGCGGGGGCCTGGTCGGGGACGATCTTGAAGAGTTTGGGGTTCACCTCTATTAGTGCGTATACGTTTCTCAGCATTGGGGAAAAACCCCGAGCTGACAATGTGTGGCAGAAGCAAATTTGCTCCTAGTCCCGGGCCCTATATTCAACGGTGTCAGCTCCATCATTCTATCTCGTTTCAGCGACAGATGGGACCGACGTGGATGGTTCATCCTATTCTCCGCGGTGTGGACTCTTGCAGGTCTCATCGCTCTCTATGTAAGCTTTCAAGCTTTCCTTCTTTGCACATCAAACCAAGCCGGGCTTACGAGCGATCAAGAAACTCCCCATTCTTTCAGGTGGTAATTGGGGCTTCTATGCCGCCATGGTCGTCACTGCCGCTGCCCCGTAAGCCCCGACTTGCCCAGTCGACTTATAAAGCTTACACACGAGACCAGCTCGTGGCAGTCATTCAACGTCACTTGGGTAGCCCTCAACGCCCGTACCCCAGCGGAACGATCCATCACTTACGCCGTATACAGTTCGTCTCTCCCTCACCCCCCTCCCCGCGTACGATAAAAGACTAACACCCAGCACAGTCGGCTGCTCCAACCTCGGCGGCGTCTACGGCTCCCAAGTATTCCGCGCCAGCGACGCCCCACTCTACCGCCGTGCTTGGGCAGCTACCGTCTCCCTCGGGGCTATCTGGCTTGCATTCACGTTATTGCAGATCATTCAGTATGAGTGGTCGAATAGGGTGAAGGAGAGAGAGTGGAACAAGTTGAGTGAGGAGGAGCAGGAGGCGTACAAGGCGACGACGTCGAATGATACTATTTCAAAGAGGTTGGATGAGCGGTATGCGTTGTAGATGGTTCGAACTGCTCGGTTTCTCTTGTCGTGTTGTTGGGTTCTATCCTGGTTAATGTGGTATAGATGCCGGACGTATTCGAGGCATGGATTCTTTGTCTGTTAGCAAGACTTGCGCGTAGAGTGAGCTAGCGGCCGGAATTATTACATGCACAATCTTGTTTATTTATACGATCAGTGATCTGATAACCATCGGTACTACAGATTATCAGCATTTGCAGTGACTCGTCAACATGATACTCACCTCGAATCTGAAATCGCTCTTTCTCCTCTGACACCAGCTATTTTCCCAATCAAAGTAATAATACCCTCCCTGCTCATAATCACTCGTAATCGCCTGGGGGTTGTGCGCCCTTTGGAACCACGTCAAGTACTGCTTGTGGAACCTCCAGCTCTGCTTCTTCAGCTCCCTAGCCGCGAGCCATTGCTCGTACGTGCCAGTCATGTAGTAGAAGATGTAGAACAGCTGGTCGAGTTCCAGGCGGGAGTAGATGGACTTGTCTTCCAGAGCGGGGAGACGGGCTTGGGGATAGTGGGATGGGGTTTTGATTGGGTTCTTGGGGTGGTAGTAGCGTGGACTGGGGGGTATTAGCGGGAGTAGGGGTAGCGTAGGAGAGGCTCACGGCTCGGCATCCTGTTGTTGAGGGATATTCGAGTAACTTGCTTCGAGCGCCGCATGCAACTCGTCCCCGTCGTCGGACCGTCTCTTGGCTAAACCGGAATCAGCTTGGTCACCAATGAACACCTCCCCCCCTCACCCTCCTGCCCACCCCGCATCCACTCCCCATGCACTCGCACATGATCCCCACCCAGAAAACTGGGGGGCGGCGGCACCACCCCCGCCTGTTCGATCCTATGCAGATGCTTCTTGCTCTTCCACTTGCCCTTCCCAGCTCCCCATCCCTTGGGATACCGAAAAACACACCCCCATCCACATTCACATACAAAACACTCATACTCACAGATTTCCTTGGCCACCTCGAAACTTTGCATCAAGTTGCCCATAACGCCAGCTTGCTGTTGTTGGGCCTGCTGAGCCTGTTGGGCAGCTTGGGCGGCAGCGGCTTGTTGCTGCTGCTGCTGTTGTTGAGCTTGGAGCTGGGCTTGGGCCTGGGCAGCTTGTTGAGCTTGGTACTGTGCGGTCGCTTGCGCCTGGGCAAGCTGGGCTTGGGCAGAATGCGAGCTCTCGGCAGACTGGGGGTAGCCGGGTGGCGGGGCGACGCTACCGGGCGTTTGGGCGGGGGTGGCAGAGATACCAGAAGCAGCGCTGACGCTGGGTGCTCGGGAAGGAGCGGAAGAGTCGGTATGGTGAGCCACGGAGGGTGAACGAGTCTCGAGCCCCGGTGGCGGTGGGGGAGGAAGAGAGGAGGTCTCTTGGGGCGAGGCAACGTGATCGCCTTCAGGCGCGAGGGGTGCGGTGGTTTGGGTAGGCGCAGAAGCGGATGCACCGCCAACGGCAGCAGCGGCGGCCGCGGCATACCTGATGGGTGGCAAGGGCGCAGGCTTGGACGGCGTGGGACCGGCCTGGAGATGCTTCTCCTCTGCAATCCTCTCCCTCTCGCGCTCTTCCCGTTCCCTGTCCTTCTTCTCTCGCTCCTCCTTCTTCTCCCTTTCCTTCTTCTCCTTGTCGACGGTAGACTTTCGCGAAGGCGTCTTCTTGGTGTGAGGACTGGCAAACTCGTCTCGCTCTTCGTGGTCCTTGTCGGACTTTGACAGGCGGTGGGGGGTAGACTTGGCAGGCGTCTTGGGAGGAGGGGAAGGCTCGACTTCGGGTTCCGGTTCGGGCTCGTCTTCTTCCTCGTGTTCCTCGTGCACACCAAAGTCGTGAAGGTAATCTTCTTCCTCCTGGAGGTTGAGCTCGTCGTAGATGCCATTGTCAAAGTCGAATTCGTCTTCCTGTAGCATCGTCAGCGAGTCCTCCCGGGATACGCCAAGAGACCCACCATGTTGGCCTCAACAAAGTACTTGACATCCTCCTCTATGCTCTCCACATCCCCCACCTGCAGCCCGCCATTCTCCAACATGCGCTGCACAATCTCGAGCCTTCCGATATGCCACTCTCGCCTCTCGTTGAGCTCTTCCAGCTCATCCTGCCTCTCGCCCTCCTTCTTCTTCTTTTTCGTCTGCTGCAGCGCTTCAAGCTCCGCCTCGGTGGCCTCGATCTGATGCGACAGCTCATCCGTCACACCCCCGATCCAGTCCACCATATCCCGCTTCGCCTGTTCCGCGGGGTCCAGCTTGCTCTGCGCTATCAGCCCCTCCTTCGAGAACGCCTTCATCTTGGTCTCCTTTTCCAGCGCCTTGAACCGCTCCATCTGCGTCTCGATCAACCGCCTATTTTCCAGCAACGCCGTCTTGTCCTTGATATCGCCATTGCCGAGCCATGCCTTGATCTGATCACGCATGCGCTGCAGTTTCTTGATCTGGGACTTGAGGTCGTTCTCGAGCTTGTCCTTCTGGGTGGAGTTGGAAGCGTGGTTGAGCTTGTCGAATGTGCTTTCAAAGACTTCGACGCCCGAGGCGACTGCCTTGAGGGTCTTGTCGATCTCTGTCTGCAGCTTTCTCAGGGCCATGTTGGATGATGTTGAGAGATGACAGGGTTTCCATCTTCTCACCGTCACAACGGCCCCGGGAGTCCTCTCCTTCTCCTGCGCGCCTACGCCCAGTTTCCCCGTCGTGCCTACTTTCTTATTTGTTCCCCCCTGCTAAAAGACCTCCACCGACGCGTTCGACGACGCGTTTGGGTCATGTTTTTGTTGTGTTTTTGTGTTCAGGAGAGTGATTTTGCAACAGCGAATATAGAGAGCATATAGTATGGCAAACCGTATGCGTGCTGTGATCGTCAAGGTAGGTCACTCCTCATCACATAGTACCCAATACTGACCACGACGCGTAGATCTTTTCGACCAAGCACTCTCTAACATTACCAGCCCCAGCCTTGCACTACATCGAAGACATCCTCGAAAATGTGACTACCATTCCTGTAACCAGTAACACGATATACTGACGATAATACTACAAGATCGAGGAAGAAGAATGGGTTAATGGTCTCGAACATTGGGCGAAAGAGTATCTCAAGGCGGAGGACTCTTCGTCGCTGGTGTCTTTGCCGGCCCTCAAGAAAGCTTTTGAGAATCTCCAAATGGGTGTATGTGCCTCCCCCCTCAAACAAAGGTGTATATATGCTCATTTTCGTAATTAGGCGCCAGACGATTCCGGCGAAGCCGACCCCTCCGAAATCAACGTCGAATCCCACTTTTCCGTCATCGACGCCTTCTCCATGCCTCCCATGCGTTTCGACCCCGTCCGCGCCGGCTTCGTCTCTGCCCGGACCCTACCGTCCATCGCTGGGCAAGCGAATTCGAGATCGGCGTTTTTGAGGGAACGGTGGGCGATCATCAAGGAGATTGTACTGAGGAACGAAAACTTTACGCCGCCTGCTATCGGGGGGCATGATAGGGCGAATTACCTCAAATTGACTTCGACACGCAACCTCTTGGGACGCTCGGGACAGCTGTTCTTGTTGTTTGGGATGCTGTCGCGCAATGAACAAGGAGCGTTGTGTCTGGAAGATGGGGAGGGACGCGTGCCGCTTGATATGGACGATGCGGTGCCCGGAGAAGGGCTCTTCACTGAAGGGTGCATGGTGCTTGTTGAAGGAGAGTATACGGTGGAAGAGACGGTGCGCGTCTTTGCGATGGGCCACCCGCCGAGCGAGAAGAGGGACGTTGCGCGGAGCTTGCACGGCCACGTCGACTTTCTCGGCGGCGGCGCCATATCGCTCAAGGAAGAACAAAAGTACACCCCGGCAGTACTCGCCAACACCCAAGTATCGTTCGTCATTCTCAGCGACGTGTGGTTGGACCATCCGAGGACGCTGCCGGCGTTGCAGCGGTTGTTTGAAGGGTACGCGAATGCGGCAGAGTTTATGCCGATGGTCTTTGTGCTGTGCGGCAACTTCTCGCAGGGGGGGTGGGAAGGGCCTGAAGGGCTGAAGAGGTATACGATGGGATTTAACGCGCTGGCTGAAATCCTGCACGACATCCCGCTCTTGAGATCATGCCACTTTGTCTTTGTCCCCGGCCCTTCCGACCCTTGGTCCAGCTCGACCTTGCCTCGGCCTGCGATCCCCTCAGCATTCACCTCGCGTATGCTCCAGCGCGTGCCGCAGGCGCGGTTCGTGAGTGATCCGTGCAGGCTCAAGTACTTTGGGATGGAGATTGTGGTGTGTAGGGAGGATCTGATGGGGAAGATGGTTAGGAATCTGGTGGTGGTCAAGGATGATGCCGAGGTGGATATGAAGCGATACGTACGTCCTCTTCCCCCTCCCCCTTGTCTGCTCCATCTGACTTTCCAAAAAGCTCGTCCAAACGATCCTCGATCAAACGCACCTCTCCCCCCTGCCTCTCTCCGTCCGCCCGACGATCTGGGAGTACGACCACGCCCTCCGTCTCTACCCCATGCCTTCAGCCGTCGTACTGGCAGACAAGTATGAACGGTATGATCTGACGTACGAGGGGTGTCATGTATTCAACCCGGGGAGATTTGTGGGTGGGGTAGGGGAGGAAGGGTGGGAGTTTGAGTGGAGCATGTATTACCCGGCGACAGGGAGGAGCGAGAGGAGGTGCGTACATCATTGGGTATGGAGAATGCTGCTGACGTCTGACCAGTGTATTGACGATGGAGTGATTCATCTTTGTGTTTTTTTCTTGTTGTATTATGCATACTCTCGTACCGATTCATAGAAATGTCGAGTCGTCCCAGTCATTCACTGTTCACGCCCAAAGGCTCACAGCAAAGAAAAACCAGTTTCCAAGCCCAACCCAAGAAGGGCCAAGGCATTTCCACCAGACCAGTCCAGCCCATATCACTCTCACCCCGCTCCGTTTCTCATCCGTCCCGTAAAAAGTTTTGTCGGGAGGAGAGAGCACCGCTAGACAGTGCATCGAGGTTGGAGGAGAAAAGCAGAGAAAAGAAAGTCAGGCAGGTTGTTTGGCTCAGAGGGACGGGATCAAATGGATCGGGGACACGTCATGGGGGCATTGTCGAAACGCCGGGTGAAATGCCGGGGGGTGGCGCAATTGTTGTCTCCGCGATGGATTTGCTGCAATTCCTCTCTCTTCTTACACATCAAGCATCGTGAGTAGCATCCCGAGTAGCATCTCCCCGCTGCACCCTGCTGACCATAGCCGCCCCTCACCCACCTCTCATCCCCTCCTCGAAACTACTCGCAACTCGTCAACTCACTCGTGCACCGGGCAACCTCAAATCTTAGAAAATGGTGAGTAAACCGGTCTATGCACGAAGATATACCATGAAGAGAGTCATGAGGCAACATTCGAGTAAAGGGGATATAAAATTTACCCTAGACTAACACTTGTCCCAGGCCGAGTTCACTACCCAAGAGGAAGCTGCCGCCAAGAAGGCCTCCAGGTCCTTCAAGAAGTACCAGTACAGGGGTGTCGAGCTCGACAACCTCCTCGACCTTTCCAACGAGGACTTCATTGAGGTGCGTCCTCTCTACTACGTCTTGACTGGCTGCTGATCAGATGCGTCTCTTTTTTGTCTCTCTTCACCACTCGACGCCCACCCAACAGCTTGTTCACGCTCGTGCCCGCAGAAGGTTCCAGCGAGGTCTCAAGCGACGACCTCTCGGTCTCATCAAGAAGCTCCGAAAGGCCAAGACTGAGGCCGGCCCCAACGAGAAGCCCGCCATGGTCAAGACCCACCTCCGAGACATGATCATCGTCCCCGAGATGATTGGTTCCGTCGTCGGTGTCTACGTGAGTGGAGCCTGAAATAGGGGGAAAAGGGGGGGAAGCTGACAAAAGTGCAGAACGGTAAGACCTTCACCACCGTCGAGGTCAAGCCCGAGATGACTGGTCACTACCTTGGTGAATTCTCCATCACCTACAAGCCTGTCGGTCACTCTCGAGGTGCCAACATGAAGGACAGCCGATTGTGCGTAAATTTGCAAGTTTTTGTGGGATGGCTGCTGACTGGGAATCAGCGTTCCCCTCAAGTAAGGAAACAGTCGGAAGTTTGGAGTGTCGCTTTGGGCTATTGGCGGTTTTGTATCGATATGCAGATGCCATTCCTTCTCATCACAACAGCGCGTGGTTATCGGGGCAGCATGGAAGTGGAAGTGGTGGGGGTTGCGGATCTCAGTTTGCAGGATTGGAGAGCGGATGGAGACTGCTGCAAGTTGCAAATTAGGAGATTGCGTCCATTCACTTTGGCGCAGAGGGGCTTGTTTGCCCGTGGATACAAGAAGCCTTGGCAGAGGCCCAACAACCTGACTTTATTCACCCCTTGGACCAGGCTAACGATCCGCAAACGTTTTTTTTTTTTTCTGGGTCGCTGAAAGGATGTTGTGAGTACGCGCGTGCGACTGGAGATGTGAAAAGCTTGACCAGGTGAGGTCAAGCAGCCCGTGAGAGAAGGACGGGGAGCATGGAAACCACTGGACACGAAAGCAGTGGGTCATCAAGGCTGTTGATGCAAACGTTGGCCTCTCGTGAGACACTTTCGCCCGCGTGGAAGAAGCAGATTCAAGTCCGGCCTCGTTGCTGTCGCATGGCAACCGCAAGGTATATAACAAGCAATTCTTCTCCATCACATCCATCTCCCTTCTCCTTTCGGCTCATATCGCCCAGCAGCGACAGTCTTCCTCGCCCTATCTCATCCCTTCAAAACAAACATCACATCACGATGGTACAGCCCGTCCCATGGGGTGACTGGGATATCGTCCTCCCCGGCGCCGTATCGGGTATCGCAACAGGCATCGCTTACTACTGGGAATACCTCATGAAAGCCATCCTGGGCAGTATCGGTTTCGGCGACTTCGGTCCCATCGCCGGTACGTCCCTCTCTCCCCTCCTTCACGATGATGCGTTGCATTGGCTGACGGTAACCACCAGGCCGCCTCGCCTCCCTCTACCAATCCTACATCCGCCAAATCGCCGCCCGCGGTATCTTTGCAACCCTCCAAAGCGCCGCCATGGGCGGTTACGGAGAAGCCATCATCGGCACCATGATCCGCCTGTCTTTTGGCTCCATGGCGGTCGTCTCTGGCGGTCTCGTCATTATCCCTCTTGCCGTTGATCTGTTGGAGTACTATGAGGGGGTTGATAACGTCAGGGACCTGGCGGTGCTGGTGTTTCATCAGGCGGAAGATGGAGGGAGGTGGGTGGAAGTGCATATAGGGGAGGCGTTGAGGAAGCGGCACCTCGAGACGGGGAAAGTTGTGCAAGGGCGGTTCGTCGACACCCGTGCCACGATCGACTTTGCTCTCAAGGAAGCCGTCCGGCTCCGCGACGATGTTGACCATGCGACAGCCGACCTTTGGGGCGGTGCGACAGAAGACGCTCGTCGTATTATCGAGCTCGCCAACGACCTCGAAACCCAAGACCAAGCTGCCCTCATCTGTCTCGGTAAAGCATTCGGGGACAAGCTCCGAGAAGAACTTGGGAGGGAGTAGGCTGATTGGGCCATGATCCGAGAAGGGATACGAGGACTGGTTGATGTGGTGAATGATGGTTGGAAGGGCGTTTTGGGATGGTGGACGAATTGGCGTACGCCCGAGTTGGTGCATATCTGGTCTATCGACTCTCGTTCTCTCCCAAACTCCACCACCGAATCTACCAGCTCTCTTTCGACCGGGGCCGAGGCAGACAGCTTTGTCCAGTCACTTTCAACTCTTCCTGCCGATATCACCCCCGCTGAACTCCTCCTCGCTCCCCATGATCCCACCTCTCTCAACTCCCAGCCCTCTCCTCTCCTCGGTCACCACATCAGCCCTTCCACCGATGCTCTCCGCCTCAGCCTCATTGGCGTCTTTGTGGTGCTCTTTTTCGCTGGGGGACTCTTTGCCTACGTGAGAAAGTTGAGGAGTTTGAAGAAGGAGAAGAAGGCGATGAGGGTCAGGAAGGCGGCTTATGGCAGTATCGATGCGTAGGGTAGGCGACGTTTGCTGGAGGAGCCGGCTATATCCATTTCTTTGTATATCTTCATATCGATCGCAGCTTCTTAGGTCTTATATCATAGCTTTATAGGGGTTTGGTAGCAACGTAATACGAGTACAGTCTTCTCTGAGCGCTCAATGTAAATTTACCTCGGATCCTTCGGCGCTGATTGCTCTTGTCATCTTGCCAATATTTGAACACCTTATACTCTGATCGCTCAAGATCTACACCAAGGTAGGTGTATACATGCCGATGCGACACCTCTCTCTGCAGCCCTATCCCCCAAAGACACAAGCCCCTATCCGTCCAATCAGTAGAATATCGCGAGATGTGGCACGAATCTAACATACCAGGTCTCAAAGCACACCAATGAGGCTGAAGCGGAGCAGCCCTCACTCCCCGGCTTACCATCCGATACCGTACATCATGCATCCTCGGTAGGGCAGAAATGGCGCCTGGAATATGCACGTCAGTAGATGTCATGTTTGGTGTGGCGTTGACTGACTGCGCGGACGGCCATCAGGTCCTGGGCCCGACCAGAAGACCTCGGCGAGCGCTGCTGCTCTGGGCCAGACGGTAGGTTCGAGATTGGTCTCGTCTGTCTTTCAGTACGTCAGCGCGCGAGCCTCAGCTCATGCTAGGCTGATGAGCTGGCGTACCTGCTCAGCCCAGAGAGAAGTTTGGCCTGGTATATGGCGTCAATCTTGGGTTCAGGACGTTGCTGTCAAGAAGCTCACCTCCTAATACTAGATGTCGTTCGTCGTCCTTGACATCTATGAAGGGATCGAAGCTGGGGTGAAGACAAACATCAGCAAAATGGGAGTGTTCTGTGTTAGGAAGCAGACTTGCGAGTAGATCTTGGCCCAAGATTTGAGAGGGTCGCACCAGCTATTACCGCCTCCCTCTTGTCCGATCCAGCCCCCCTGTCCACAGTCCTGCATGTAGTCAGCAGGACGATTCCTAAGAACATCAACCTACCAGATAAAAGTAGTCAGCAGACGCATGGACGATCCTGAACCCCTTATCGAGGACCTTCCTCGCATCTGCCGAGTTTACCCATATATCCACGATAGTATCATTTCCCAGAGATGGCATCTCGCCGTGGTCGAGTACCATCTCTTGCCATACGACTGGGGTTTTGCCTGCTGCGCGGATGGGGGCGTGGGTGACTGCAGTGAAGCGGTCGAGGGCGTCGTCGAGTGTCCAGTCGTTGTTCTTGAGGTCTCTGGCTGTGGGACCATCTTTGAGCTGTCAATGTATTACTCAGCTGAGGGCACAATCTTTCATCCACGTATCACACATACCATGCAATCCACATTGATCTCATCTCCTCCCGTGCTGAGATACTGGCTCGACGCCAGAGCTGCAACCTCTCTCAACAACCCCTCAGTCCATTTCATCACTTTCTCGCTCGCGAAACGGAGCTGTCCGGCGGGAGGCTGGTGAGCATACTGATGGAAGGGGGTCGACTCGAAGCAAGCCACGTGTGATGGATGTGAGGGATAGATGGATGCGGTATGGCCGGGGGTGTCGATCTCCAACAAGGTATCGATTCCGTGCTGTTAGAAAATGAGCTACGGCCAGCGCCGAGGATGGTCTACTCACATGGCCTGCATACTCGATGATATTCCTGACATCCTCGTCGCTATAGACCTCGAGCGGTGAGTAGGCTCCCTTCTTTGCCAGATTCGGATAAGCTAGAATGTCAAGAGGCCACGAGTTGGAATCTGTGACATGCCAGTGAAATACATTTAGCTTGACCGATGCCATGGTGTCCAGGGTCTATGGTTGTATTAGCTTGACCACTATACCAGACTCGTCGACCAGGACCATAGCTCACCTTGAGAATGGAATCAACTGAGAAATAGTGCCTCGAGGTGTCCAGCAGGAACGCTCGCCATCCAAACGCTGGCTTGTCAGCGATGGAATATGGGGCCCAGGGTGCATAGACTCGTCCTGCACCTTCAGAGGTACTGTCCTCGACTCGGTAGAACAGATTATCCAGTGTTGTAAGCCCTCGGAACGCCCCAAGGGGGCCTCTTGCTTTGATGAAAGCAGCTCTCCGCTTGAGAGGCATGTCCAGCGAATATGCCTCGAGCAGAGGTCTTTCTTCCACAGGTCGCGTTGCCTCCTCCAGAATATCCGAGGTACCATTGTAAGCTGTCAATTCCACATATGCCGAATCAAGAAAGTATTGACACGAGGACAATTTTTCAGAATAGCCAGGAAAGAACTCTCGGCCTCCCGTGACAGATAGATATCGAGCAGTCACATTCTTGAGGCGGTCCTCCGTGGCAGACATTGCTTGGAGCAGGTCGGTTGGATATGTGTGAACTGCACCAGCCACAGACTTGATACTGAAGTCAAGGGAGAGACATATAGGAGTAGCGCCTTGGCCAATGGTGTAATGAGTGGGGAGAGGGACGACATTGATGTCGGGCTTGTGCGTGACGGCGGACGGACCGAGGTATGGTAATAGGGGTATCACTGTTTCGAATAGTCTGTTGATGAACATGGCGAAGTTGGCTGCCAACGTTTATCGTGACGTATGCCGATGGGCGAAAAGTGAAAGACACGGACAGACACGCGCTCGGTCGACCGCCAAAGTGGAGGCAGAAAGTGGGGGCCCTCCCTGCATCTGTCCATTGTCCCCAGACTGTCCTGATGTCTCGCGATAGATAATTGATATAGATCAAGAGAGAAAATGCCATATTAGTTTCTACAAAGTACAGAGGATTTATATTCCACACTAGGCTCGGCGAGCCTTCTTAAGTCCACATGCTTCTTTCCCTTCTTTCGCAGACACATAATCGATATCCGATTCGTATCCCCGATCACCAGAATGAACACCAACCCAAGAACGCAACACAAAGGTTCTCCGTCTTGGTCGCTTCCATCACCAGCTTCTCCACTTGCGTCTTGACATCCAAAACAACGTCGGGCTTGAAGTCTCTTCCAGTCAACTTTCTTCTGACTCGCTCGATGACCTGTAAGCCCTTGTCGTTCTTAACCTCGGTTCCCTCAGCATCTAGAATGTGAGTCAGCATATGCTCATCAATCCCAAGCGCGGACATACCATTCAAAATCTCAGTCTCATTCGCCTTGTTCTTCCTTTGCTTTCCGTACGCCGCCGCATCGTCCAAATCTTGCACTTCGCTCGCTCCACCAGGCCTTGTAGTCGCCGTGAGACGCCAGGCAATAAGAGGGTCGTACACGAAGGCTTCCAACACTGCCATGAGAGACTCTCGGTTGTCTCGAAGGACCTCCATAGAGACCTCACAACTTCGAGAAAAGTTTCCGGTGATGCCGCAGACCTCCATGGCGTGAATGAGCATTCGGGTGAGACGGAAGGGGACGCGTTCGGGATATTTGTCTCGTTGTTGAGCAATTTCAAAGCAGTCACCCTAATGAGAAGTCAGCAATGAAACGAAAAGCTGGCTAAAAGACTTACAAAGTCAATATGGACAACCTTGCCCGTGACCTGATCCAACAGCAGATTTGAGGGATGTCTATCACCCAGACCAAGAATATAGCCGACCATGGAATTGAGAGCAAGACTTCGCGTATACGTTGTCCTTCTCTCAAGCCAGACGTCAGAATTACGAGACTTGAGCCACAAGATTCGATAGAGGTCTTGCCCGGTCGTGTTGTCCAAGGCGTATTGGAAGATTTCGACCTTGTGCAAGAGGGGCAAGAAGTCGTAGCTTTCGTCAGACATCTATTGTTCCGTCAGCACCACAAGATTGAACAGACTGTTCGCCCACTCACCTGCTGCATGAGCTTGTGCTCAATATCCACCAGGATCTTCCTCTGGTCACGATACTGCTTGATGAGTACGTGTACAGTGTCGCTGTGAGGCACCCATCCAAGAACACCCGCACTAGGCGATAATGGTGTGACAGAGAATCGTTGGATACTGAGGTGTCGCTTGGCACATTCTTGGTCGGTGTTGAGTAAGGTGTTGACCAAACCGAAGAGCTGCATGACTCGCTCGTCTTGACGCAAATCTTCGTGTCCTGAGATGTTGATCAGCGTGGAGTCCTGATTGATATTGAACCACTTACCTTTGAGACAGTACGCATACTCCTTGCCGTCCATACCACGCATACTGATCTGCCTTGGCTTCTGCTTGGAAGCGATAACCTTGAACGTGGGGTTGACGCTCTTGATACCGATGACGGGCTTGCCACTTTGGTATGTTCCGGGCACCGCAATGTCCAAGTCGCGTACAGCCATGAGCTTCGGCGAGACGTATTGTAGCTCGACAACGTTGAGAAGCTTGAGCTGCTTGCCGAGACGCTGGAAGACCTGATAATAAAGCTCCCAAGCTTGGTGGATCTCGTTGTTGTCGGAAGTCATGCGGTAGCGCTTCAGATGTTCGCGAGCATTGCGGAGGTCATGGCCGAATGATTGGATGAATGACGTTTCGCGCAACGTTTGAGGACCCTATGAAATAGTCAGAAAGCGCTTTGTATCGGAGAGTGTTACTCACAGCTTCGACAATGTCGTGCAAAGGCTCCAATACCGCCAACATTCCCGGAATATCGTGATCGCCAAAGTAATGCTTTGACGCCTCTTCCAACCCATCGTACCACATCTCATGCCACAGAATCGCCGCTCGGATAAGCTCCGTACTGACAAGCTCTGCTTGGTCGACAATCACTTGAGAGTGTTCACGCATCTTCTGGGTGATGTTCTGAGCGACTGCGCGACGAGCAGCGACGTTGGATTTAGAGGCGACGGTGAGGGGGTAGATAAGGGCTTGGGGATGGGCTTTGCCGATATCCTTCAACAACTGGATGATGAGCTGCTGGATGGACTGTCGGGGTGTTTGGATTCGAGCAATGATCTGAACCATGGTCAGTAAAGCCGAATCACACGTGTGACAACACGTACCTGGGGAATGACCTCCAGCCATACATCCACATTGACAGTAGGCAATCCCTGCATTACAGCAGCCGTCACGCCACTCGAGTAACCATAGGTGAACCACAAGGTCAACAATCGCAGCGTATCCTGCAAAGAATTGCCGGGAGAGAGCGAAATCGATTTGAGGAATCCTCCAACGGCAGGAATGATGTAAGTGGTGAAATGGCCAGGCGAGAGACCCTGCTGCGACACTTCGAGCTGGGTGATGACTTGGAAATTGGCCAACGCCCAAGTGTGCCAGGCCTGGTACCACTCCGGATCGAGCTCAGTAGCGAGAGAGTAATCTTGTAGGATACCGGTGGGATCGTTCTACTCTCAATTAACACGACTTCGCGTCCCTTCTAAAGACTTTGACTTACGGATCCCTGATTCTCACGTACTTGCGCTTGCCATTGCCCCAGCTCCACGTGACATTGCGCCAACAGTTTGGTGTATGACCCGTAAGCCTTCTGGTCCGGCAGCATGAGGCTTCCATTCTCATCTCGTGCCCCGATACCGACGTCTTCGGTGAGCTGATCCGTAAACTCGCGCAAATGCTGAAGAGTCTCGAATCGTTCCTCTCGGCTACCGGATTGCAAATTCTTGGCCCAGATCATCTTCAGGTAGGCAAAGATGATTGGTGGCGGTGCTCGTCCTCGCGTCTACCGAATTCGTAAGTTTACCTGTTCAACAGGACTCCAGAGACAGCACTCACGTCTTCCATGGAAGGATAAGAGAATCCAACAAGAGATGCAAGAGTCTTTTCGGCCAAATTGAGACGGTCCGACGTTCTGCAGAGGTCCGCGAACTCGATCCAGGTGTCCATATCCTCGTTGGGTTTGAGCACCAAAGAGCGGACCTGCAAGATTCGCTGCCAGACTTCGACGTCTCGTTGACAACCGTCGAGACTATACCCGATTAGAGAAGATCATAGTTTCAGATGAAAATTGCCTACCGCTTCTTCCAAGTTTGACGCTGCATCTCTTGACGGACAGGCTCATCGGCATGATCCTTGTACGCAATGATTTCTTCGAGCTCAGCGAGCATCTGAATCCGGACAACAGTGCTAAGATAATTCAGCATCGTCAAAAGAGTATAGGAACAGACAGTACTCACTCATACGCTCGACCATAGCTGTCTCCAGTCAAAGTCGTCAATTCGGGATCCAGCCTCTCGCGCGCCTTGGCAATTTGTCTGAGCGCGTGAGGGATTTGGTTCCTATGGACTGCCAGAATTGCTTTGAAGAAGGCTCTATCCGCACCATCTCCCTTCATAGCTGAGATGTAATCGTCCATCAGATCCCATTGCTTCAACGACCAACTGGCGGCAGCGGCCAAAGGCGAGAGCAGCTTTTTCTCTTCGGCTGTCCTGTTCGCCCATCGTGCTTGAACGAAATCGGACAACTGCTCCCATTCGCCGATAGCGTGCAGACAAGTAACCTTGCCTTCTGTGATCTCCCATTCGGTGAATGTGCTCGTGGGATCCGAGTCGCGTTGATTCCACACTTGCAAGGCTTCTTCCCATCGCCCGAGCTTCTCGTACCACTCAACCTCGGTCGTCATACCCATGTGAGTCTGAGCCCATTCGAGGGTACCCCAGGCAGCGTCGCTCTGCTGCAACTTCTGGTTGACATCGATCAAGTCCTCGATGACCTCCTTGCTGGGGTCGATGAAGAACTCTTGCTCCTTGTAATGAAGGGCAACAGCGAGGGCTTGATAATTGGCAGCGACGCTACCCAAAACTCGACTCTCGATGGCAACCTCCTTCTCGTCATGTTCAAGGAACTGAGTGGCGCCAAGAATAATATTGACAACATCTCCGGGGACGTCCTCTTTCTTGATGGCCCGGTCAAGGTTGTGCCACAAATCTTCCTGATAACTCTCGAAGAGCTCTTGCCAGCAGGAATAGAAGGCTACGTTGAAGAGCTCTTTCGTAAAGGCTACACTACTCAGCGCCAAACTTCTGGCCGCTCTGATGGCTTGACTAGGGCTTTCCCTCATCATCTCGTGTCCTAGGCCGATGATCCACGAGATCCACTCCGTCCTGCTGGTCGTCGTAAGCAGATGGGAGCAGTCCCAAGCAAGCTTGAGTGCCTGCTGATTGACCTTCAGAGGGACCTGGTCGGCGGCAACGGGCTCGGCGGAGGTATCGTTGAGGTAGCGTTCGACGGGGCCAAGGTCTGGCGGCAGACGTTCGCGATTCAAGAGTTTGGTAACGAGGGCATCATAGCCAGGGTGCGTGATCCTGTTCTCGACCAGTGCCTGTACATTCATTAGCATCACGCATCGAAGAACACATACGAAGACGTACCTTGTTCACCATAGGAATGAAGATGGCGTAATCCGGTCCGAACTGCAATACCAAGACGGAAAGCGTTTCCATCGCCGTCTGCCTCACTTCCTCAGAACTATGCGCCAAGGTCCTCACCAACGGGTGAATGATTTGACTGGCATGGTCTGAGAAGTTGACCTTTCGGCATAATTGACCGGTCGTCCTAAGAGAAGCGATTCGCAGCGAATCAGGCGCAGCAGGGTTCTCAAAGGACCGCACAATGACGGGGAGGACAAGGTGTAGATAGTCCTCGATACTCTCCCCGAAAACGTAGAATGCCTTCAGGATCTGCAAGAGAGTGTTGAGCCTCAGCTCTGGGAGGTGTTTGGCGGAAAGGTTCCCGTCAAAGGACCGGAGAATCTGCTGCAAAAGCTTAGGCAAGTATGCCTTGAACTCTCCCTCGACAGCTTTCGCAATAGCTTCGACAAGTGAGATGATAGTAATCTGCAGTGTCGAGTTGGGGTTCCAAAACTCGTGGATGAGTTCAAAGATCTCATTGAGGTAGTTGCGGATATGCTGTTTGACGATGCTGATGAACTGAGCAAGCTGTTTGAGATAGAGCTCGGTACGAGAGGAGTGCGCTATGCGAATGACGTTCAAGAACGCAGGTACGATCTGCAAATTATGTTAGCCTAGAAGACCATGACCATGTAGACGTACCTGAGGCAAAAAGTTGACGCATCTAAGCCCTTGCGTCCTGAAGATCATCATGATGGCCTCCACCGCTTGATAATGATCCTTGTACGCCGGATCATGCAAGACATTCACCAAAGAGTGGATGACAACGGTTTGGAAGAATTCGTCGTTCACAGACGAATTGTGTTGATTCAACAAGACAATATCGTTGACCCTCGAGGTTGTTCCTTCATCGATAGGGTCTCCAATATCACCCAGTAACGTCTTGTGCTTGAAAGGATCGAGCGCACCAAGCATACCAATCGTCCTGATCGTTTCTTGCCTGACATCCAGATTCGACTCGCTTCTCAAAAACCTGAAGAGCAAGCCCATCAATTGAGGATAGTCTGCGTATGGCCGTATGACTTCGCCAGCGTTACTGGCAATTTGACCGAGAGTTTTGAGAGCAGTATCTCGTTTAGCGGAGGAAGATTGGTCGTTCAACATGTCGATGACGAGCACGAGGATCTGTTTGACGGAGGGTACGAGCTCCTCACCCGCCACTCGTGCTAGCTCGCCGATACACTTGAGGCATTCAGCCTGCACGGTGACAGACGACTCGGGATTTGACGCAGTACGCAAAAGAACAGAGAGGATGGTCGGGGCATATGATTTGACTAGACCAGCCGCAGCGGCTATCAACAGGCAAAGGAGTTTAGCGCTCTCTTCCTTTTGTCGAGCGTTGGTAGAGTATTCCAGCTCGGTGACGATATTTATGAGGGATTTTCGGAGGTGAGGCATGACGTAGGCGGGGTTGTGGTGAGCCAGACGGCCGATGATGGAGATTGCTCTTTCTCTATTCTGAAAGACTTCGTCGTTGAGAGCGATAAAGAGGCAACGAATGTCGTCGGCCTGAGCAAGGTGGCGATCGAACTTTTCATCAAGGCTGTCAAGGACAGTGCGGCGAATAGAAGAGTCTATGTGATGTCAGCGGAGTCAACATGATCTATACACGACGTACTGGGATCGGTGATGGCTACAGTCAACAGCTTCTCCAACACATCGCTGACAATCTCTACCGAGTGGCTGCTCGTTTGATGGCAGATGGGGTCGTTGATGAAGAGCTGCGTCGACGCTTGGATGGCTTCTCGCCTGACGTCCAAACTATCGTGCTCCAGATACGGCAGAGCAGCATCGCGGACAAACTCGTTCAACGTATGGCCCGAAAAGTCGAAGGCGCCGAGTAGGTGAAGTGCGAGCTTGATCGTGTCGGTGGATTGTCCTCCCGCAGACGTCTATGCCATATCAGTACTGTTGTGCAATATTGTTCAGATGCACCTACTTGGAGCAGATTTACGTCCCTTCCTCCTCTAGGGGCCGGCGCACCGAGTGGTCTATACGGCTGTCCCGTCAAAATCATCGACAGCATGTCCAACAACCTCTCCTGGATCGTCCTCAACAGCGGCGGAATATTCGAAGCAAACGAGCCGAGCACATTACACAACGGCTCAGATAGCCCCCACGGCAGCATCAAATCCAGCACCTCGTGCATCTGCCGGGTCAACATCGGCCCGACAGAGGTAGCGCACATGGCGAGGCATTGAAAGATTGGTGCTTCGTATGGGGCGTTCTTTTTGCCTCGCATGCGGAGGTGTTCTCGGATGGTCTTCATGAGCTCTTCGATGAAGGGCTTTACGCGTGAACCGAGGTGGAGAGTCATGTGGCCGAGAGCGACATAGGCTGCACACTGTCAGCAATCGCTTCTCAACTGTGGACGTTACTCACCGATATCTCTGTCTGCTTGCCTCTGCAGCGCCCCCAGAAGATAGTTCATACTCTTGGACAGATAATGCGCTTCAAAGTCCTCCGTGTCGTACGTCGCCATACTCGGTATGAGCGCAATGACAGCCTTCCTGATAGCGACCTCCTTCGAGTCCCGATATTTGAAGGTGAGCTCGCAGATAGAGCGGTAGTACTCTGCCATCGAGATGTGCTGGTTCTGTAACATGGCGTTGAAAGCCAGCAGCGACCCGAGAATCACATCCGTCGAGCTCGCCTTGAGCAATCCCACTCTCGCCTCTTCATAGATCTTTCTGTAGGTATCGGAGGATGGTCGGTCACCTCGTGCTTTGACAGTCTCGAGGGAGATGGAGAGGAGCATGGACGCTCGCTCGCGGACGACCGAGCGGTAGTCTCTGAGCGGCGTCCAGATCTTGTCGAGGATTTTGGGAATGTACTGGTAGAATACGGCGGGGGCGCTGCGGGCGAAGGAGTAGAGGAGGAGGGTTCCGCTGAATCTGGAAATCTCATTCCGAGTGTCTGCTGGGGTCAGCTCGTACTCTGAGTGAGGGACATGACGCACCATCGATCATGACCAGCGCTTGGCCAATCTCTTTGCCCAGGAATGTGTCTGTATGAAGAGTGGGTGATTGCCTGACCATGTCTTCTACTACGGATGCTGCTGGAAGCATGACAGTGGAATCGCCGCATGTGGTCAAGGGTCGAAGGTCTACCAAACAGTCAGTATACGCCAATTCCAGAAGACTGATTGGACGCACATTCGTATAGACGCAGAACCTTCTGCTGTGCCCTGTCAGGCGTGTCATCCTTGGTCAGAGACAGCAGTTGAGCAATAGCCATAATGGCACCGAGCCTCTCGAGCTGGTTGTTGCTCCTCGTGAATTCGAATGTCTTGTGGAAGACCTCCGTCCACACGCCCTTGGTGCCGTCATGGCCAGGATACTCTGCCGTATACGCTGTGACATGCTCCGATAGATCATCTCCTGCCTGCGAGCGGACCTCCTCTGACCTGCGATGTGTCAGTACTGCTAGCTTGGCGATGGGAGATGAGATACCTTGACGCCAGGCGCTGGAAGATGTTGTCGAGTACGTCTGTTTGTGTGGACATGGCGATTATGAGGACATGGGAGGGCGACTTATGTAACAGCCGTGGTTGTGGACGTGGGTATAGCGTGCCGATGACAGGAAGAGTACGAGATGGAAATGATAGAGGTCATAGGCGCCGAGGTCATCGCTGTAACCCGTTTACGTAACCGCCCTGTTACCCGAAGACTTCGACGCAAGATTTCGTCGTACTGAATCTGACTTGTTGCAACCAATCAACATCTCCATATCCTCTCTTCTGCAGTTCTCTTCGCTCGCCTCTCGGGAGGTCATATCGTGCACGCCATGAGCTCCATGTCTACCGCAGACCAGCAGGTCTGGAAAAAGGTGCTCGCTGCGAAGAACAAGGTACGTCGGTGCGCACTCTCGGAGAGGTTGATGCTCACGTAGCGCAGAACATGAGCTTGCCGCAAATTGAATCAAGCTTTCCCAACATGACCAAAAAAGCTATCACTAGCTCTATCAATGCATTGCTGAAATTGGTAAGCAGGATTCGCAGTTGGAGGATCTAGCTGACACCACTCAGCGGCTATTGAGTGTTGCTAAAGGCAAAGGCGGCGACGACAAACTCCAAGTCTACCATGCCCAGACACCTGAAGAAGCCAAACAAAAAGCTACTCTGACTCAAGAGCAAGCCATTGTCCTTTCCGTCGTGCGCTCCGCCGGCAACCGCGGTATCGCCCAATCTCAAATCAACAGAACCATCGGCACCGACACCATGCCCGTGGCCGTCCTGCGGAAAGTGATCAAGACGCTGGAAAGCGAGGGACATATCAAGCAGTTCAAGCCGGTCAATGCGCCCACGACGGTGTACTTTATTTTGGCGCATTTGAAGCTGCCAGAGGAGATTTCGGGAGGAGTCTGGTTCGACGACAATAGAGAGTATGATCAGGCTTTGGTGGACACAATCTCGGCGGTCCTGTTAGATAGAGTCAGGAATCTGGTACGTTTTGTCCACGAGTAACAGTGCCCCACTGACATGGCTCAGACGTATGTGAAAGAGGAGAAACGCAGCGAACGAGACAAAGCGCTTGTCTCCAACGCTCTCAGCCTCAACGCCAAAGCCCATCCCTACCTTACTCCCGAAGCCCTGCGGCAGTACGTCAACAAATCGGGCATCACATCTGCCACCCTTTCTGTCAAGAACGTCATGGAGTGCATGCGTGCGTTAGAGTTGGACGGTTTGGTGGAGGCGATCAAGCCCATTGGCGGCATCAGCGTTGCGGTGGAGTCGGAAGATGAGCGTGATAGCCGTCGGGAGAGCAAACGGAGAAAGATGGATAGCGACGACGACGATGATGATGAGAGGGATAAGGAGAGAGAAAAGGCCAAGTTGAAGGCCAAAGAAAAGGCCAAGCTCAAGAAGCGCAAGGAGAAAGAGAAAGAGAAGGAGAGGAAGAGGAAGGAGAAGGAGAAGGAGAAGGAGAAGCGGAGAAAGGAAAAGGAGAAGGAAAAGAAGCGGAAGGAGAAGGAAAGAGAGAAGAAGAAGAAGAAGAGCAAGGAGTCGTTCGACTCTGATTCGGACGACGCGCTCGTATCTGTCACTGATGGCAAGAAGAAGCGGTCTCGCTCCTTATCGGTGTCATCTGCCTCATCATCTTCATCCTCATCCTCATCCTCGTCTTCGTTCTCGTCGGACTCGGACTCCTCCATCGCCTCATCCCAACTAGACACCGCCATCATCCCCATCAAACCTTCCGCCACTGCAGCCCAAACCACCACCCCCGCGCAAATCTTCCCCGGCGGCCTTTCCGGAGGCCTGACAGATCTGTCAGATACAGCCGTCATGTACCGCGCCACATCCCGAATCTCCATCCCCCTAGGCCAGACCCAGGCGCCGTGCGGCAAGTGCCCCGTATTCCATTTCTGCGAAGAAGGCGGACCTGTGGAAGCCGGGGGCTGCGAGTACTTTTACGAGTGGCTGAATGATACGGCTGGTGGATGGGATGGGGAGGCGTTGAAGGCTATGCGGCCAGAGCTGGTGGAAGAAGAGAATAGGGCGGAGAATGGGACGAACGGGGTGGAGCATCTGGATGGAGAGGGTGATGTGGAGATGGCGTAGGGGTAATGATTTACGAGCACTGTCATGCACATGTCTTCAATATGTTTCAGAGACCCATCGCCGCCTTACTTGCCTCATCGTCAAGGGGCTTGTTGGCGCGCGTATCCTATCACACTGTTTGTGGTGGCCATTTGTGTAAAAAAACGACGACCTGGAGGTAAACAACATGTAGCTCCACAAACCTGCATATACAACTTTCGAAAGTCACCCCAGTCAACAACTCGCAAATCTACGCAATTGAATAATATCCCACCATCTGATTAAAGGGGGAGGTCCTCTAGTCTTATTGGTCCTTTATATATATGTAAAGTATCGCAATCCAGATCTAATAAGTCCAAGCATCACCGCTCCATGCGTCATCCTCGTTCCAAGACGCCTGCAAAGCTTGAAGATCATTCTGAGACAAGATCTGACGGAGAGCGATGGTGGACTTTTGTCGCTTGACAGGCTGCTTCTCGGCTTTGCAGGTACGTTTCTCGACATGAGTGGTCGGTGACGAGTGACACATGAGATGCTTGATCAGCTGGTGCGTCCCGCCGACAGTCTAGTTCTGGTATGAGCTTTGATGATTTCATAGATGTTGAGTCACGTACCAAGTCAGATTTTGAGAACCACTCGTCCATTCGTTCAACCTTTTCCTTCTCAGTCTCTGCCCGAACCAGGCCCAGACTCTCCTCTCTCAACACATATTGTTGTTGAACTTTCGCCTGACATCGAGTCCCGGCAATCCAAGTCTTGGCATAATAGACTTCGCGCGGGATGATGGCAGACCATGTAGAAGACTCATCAGAAGAGCCATCAGAATCACTGCTGACGCTACTGAGCGCATCGAGATCCAAGGTTGAAACATCAGAGTCGGAAACTGGAGCTTCCGAGCAGCAAGGGATGGTGTCGGCCATACCGTGCTGGGCTGAATGACTGGTAGTGAACGAGTGGGTCGACTTCACAGATGGGAGGTTCTCGATGGTGACACGAGCCGCAGAAGTGCTGACTTTTGTGGCACTGGGCGTCGTCTTCTTGAGGCCGAGCAAAGACGACAGCCAGCCCAGACCTCGCTCGTGGGCGTCCTGCTGAGCATAGGCACTGGCTTCTGGTGTTTCTTGGGGGGTAAGAAGCTTGGGGGATGGAGCCAAAGAGGAAACGGAAGAGGACGCAGAGTCGAGCTCGGGGATAGTAGACAACGAGAAGCTCCTATGAAGGAATCCGCTCTGGGGATGGCTTGATTCGGTGTCAACACTCTTCAAAATGACAAAGAGAGAAAGAAGGACATACATTTCGGGGGTCGCGTCGGTATCATCAGCAGAGGAGGAAGGCTCGTTAGCCAACGTCGTGGTGTTTGGTTGTTTGGGGAACGGGTGGTAAGGCAGCAACATGAAGGGCGGCATGAGAAAAATTTTCCAATTGTTGGAAGAGTGAGTTGTGAATGAAGAGGATTAGAGGCGTCATGGATGCCATATATATGTATTCAGAGAGGAAGGGCGGGTATGAGGCGGATGTGGGTTGCCCATGTATGCGTGGAAGGCGGAGTTGCTGGGTCGCGTTGGGTAGTGTTTCCGCAAAACCGCCTAGCACCAGCAGTGATATCAGTCGGCAATTCATCGTATGCTTACTGAGAGCACACCCAGAGAGACAAGTTTCTTCATGACCTTCCGGAGATTCTGCCATGCTCGTATTTCCGCTTCAGGGCAAGAAAGAGGAGGTTGTCTTGGCAATGCAAGCGCTGCTCCAAATAGAGATGACTGTGAGTGAGAGATTACTTGACAATCAACTTCAGGTAACAAATGTGCTGCAGATCCAGCAGGCAGTCGAGCCACGAGAGATAGTAGGTTCTTCTCTGGAGGAAACCATAGTGAACTGACATTAATCCATACATGATCGTGACACCACTTCAGACAGTCCCAAAATCCCTCTCCCTATCGCTCTCCATAATCCCCGACCTCCCTATCGTCGCCGTCGTATACCCCGCCCCACCACTACTGCTCCCAGGCGTCATATCGAACCGCATAGCTTTACCGCCCGGCGACAGACTGCGGAGGAGCGTATCAAGTTGGTCGTCCACTACGCGTTTGGCGAGACTGTCGGCTTCGCGGGTGAGGACGGAGAAATGTTTCTGTAGGATAATCAGCTGAGGTGTGAAGAAAGGGGACAAGATGGACGAACTTTGAGCTTGCTATCGACTTTCTGGAAGAGGTCTGCGATTTGCGGCGTCAATTTTTGCCCATCTCCCACCAAAACCCTATCGAGCGGCACATCCCCCGCTATAAACGCCAACAACGCATCCCCCCCACCCCCTTGCTGATCAGACATGATTGCCGTAGGACTCGTCATCCCGTGCCCCTGCTGACTCGAAAACGTCGCCGTCGCTATACTGCTCGCACCTGGCGATTTGGGGTTGATGAACGGCTCGCGCGGGGCTGTTTGGACTATCGTAGAGTGGTGGATGAGAGAAACGTGAGATGAGGGGAGGTTTGGGGTTGAAAATGAGTGGGGTAAGGCGGGGGAGGTGGGGAGGAACATGTTGAGGAGTTTGCGGTAGAGGTCGCGGACGATGGAGCATGTTGAGGCGTGGACTTGGAAGTAGTCGGGTGTGAATGGCTGCAGGATGTCAGAGTGGTCCGCATGTAAGCGCGAGATACGCACAAGGTTGACGTTCAGCAGGTATGACTCTGCTCCATCTGGCGGAGCATAGTCAGACATCATCATACTGCTTCCCGTGACCTTTCTCGCTGTCCGTTGTCCTCTGACGCCGAATAGGTTTTTCTGCAGCATCCCATCAGTTGAAATCCAAGCGCTTAACCCGAAGACACGCACCACTCCCTTTCCTCCACTGCCTTCTGACCAGCTTTCCCACTCATCCAGCAGCTTTAGCAGCGCCTTCAGAAAGTCACTCGCGGTGGGAATGTCGAATAAGGCAGATAGTGATATCCCGAGAGCATACAGATTCCGTGCCCTGTTCTCCAAGTGTTTATACCCCAATATTGATTCGATGACCGGCCGGGGTATCCGAACAGTATTCAGCCAATG